GCTTCCTTCCTCTCTGCTTCCTTCCTCTCTGCTTCCTTCCTCTCTGCTTCCTTCCTCTCTGCTTCCTTCCTCTCTGATTCTTTCCTCTCAGCTTCTTTCTTCTCCTCCCCCTTCATACGCGCATACTCCTCGGGCTCGTAGTGTTGCATCATCCTCGCGCGAATCTGTGTAGGCCATAAATTACCCCGCTCCATACCATTAAAGACGGCAGTATCGCCTATCCATACGGCTCGACAGTCCTGATCCGTTTCATAGCGAAAGGTGCCTTTGAACTTAGCATGCAGCATCGCCTGGAGGGTCTCAACTCTGCATCTGTACCCAGCTCGCTCGCGGATATCCGGGTTGGCTTTCAGCCATTCTTGTAGCTGCCGATTCGTAATCCAGGCGAAGTCAGGAAGTTCGATGACACCTTCGGGCCAGCCTTGGCGGCTTTGCTGGTCTTGTGACTTGTGTGGTTCAGTGCCTTCACTGGTGTTTGCGTTGGAGTTGGGTTTATCTCCGGTTTCATTCTTCTTGCCAGAGCTAGGCTTATCCTTCCCGTTACCATTTTTGTTTGGCTTATCTCCCTCACCTCCGCCGTTTCTCTGGCTGACATATTCAGAGAAAGTCATGTCGTGAGGGATCTCGCCGTTGTTCTTTGCTTTGTTGTAATCCTTCCTGATTCGGAGCATAGCGTCAATGTCCTCCTTGAACTTCGGGTCAGCATGACCTCCGGGGTCGCCTCCGTCGTCGTCATCGTCGCTATCGTCGCCGTTGTCGCCTTCATCGTTGCGACTCTCGCCGGCGGCAGATGAACCGGTCGGACCCCGACCTATTCCAGCGAGCACGTCAAGAATCTCAGGCGTCATTACATCCCGCAGAACCTCATTCGTGACATTGTATGGCGCATTCTCGGGTTGCAACGCCTCTTGTCTCTTCCGTTCCTCCCGAAATTTCCTTTGAAGCTCCCCCCTCATCTTTAGAGACCGGAAGCCCAGCGCCTCCTTATGCGCAGCTGCATAATTCTGGGGGATTGTCTCCTCCAAATCCGCATCAATCAAATCCTTCGTTCCCAACAAATAATCTAGAAGCGCGTATACATACGGCCCGCTCGCGCTCGTTTCCACCTTCCTATCCTCTGTTCCATTTCCATCGTTCTGCTTCGGAATCCATTTCAATGTGCTGGCGCCGAAATTTCCCTTCTCGAGGCCAAGCAGGCTGTCGAAACCACACAGGATTTTTCCCGCGACAGGTGCGTTCTTGTCGGTGTTGGTGATGTGCCATTCCCCACCGCGTCGCCGTTCCATGCGCACGAGGCCGTCGGCATACCGCGCCGTGTGGGCGGATTTGTCGATTACGATGAAGGACCAGTGTGTTCCTTCCTTGTGCTCCTCGCCGCTATGTGGGTAAGAGTCATTTACAGGGATGATAACGATGTTTTTGCTGTTCAGCTGCTCTGCTTGCGAATTGAACTTCTCCTGGTAGTTTGGGGGCGTGGTTCCATCAGCTTCAAAAGGTGCAGTCGTGATAGTGTAGAGGTCGCTTCCGATATTGGTACTCCCGATGAGTACGTCGGCATGCTCACTGTGTTTTCTTCGGAGCATCTCGAGTGCCCAGTTCAGGACTGCGTCGTTCCAATGCGCAGCTGCGCGGTCGGAAGCTTTGGTCGTGTTGAGGAAGTCTTGGACTGACATCGTGCCCGTGCCGTCCTGGGTGATAAAGGCGCTCTGCAGCCATTCCTGCCGTGTTGTTGGATGCTGCACAGGTGGGATGGCTTGGGCGACCTGGGGGCCGGTCGGGACTGTTGGGCTGGTTTCTTCGGCCATGTTGGGTGCGGAGACGTCAATATGCTAGTGGTTCAGCAAAGGCCATGAATCAACGTGGAAAAGAAGGTATACGGTGCCTTTCGGGCATGCGGGCATAAGAATCCGTCTTGTACACCTGAATGACTCGAGCACAGTGCTAACAAAGGACTGAAAGAAGATTCAACAATAGGATTATTCGAACAAAGGCAAGGTGCAGTATGAAAGAAAGTAGCCTATTTCGGGTGCTCTACAACATCTATGCTAAGAGTGATTACGTCTTTGGTTTCTTATTCGGCTCGTCTAGTTCGTTCCCGTCCTCCCGAGGACGCTTTTCGGACGGCTTAGCACCCTCATGATTAAGTAGATCCTGGAGCGAAGGTGGAGTATCGGTGGTCGGATTCTTCTCCAACCCACTGGCTTGGAGGATTTGGTAAAGCTCCAGTGCTTCTTCATCGCTCATACCTCCATAAGTCGAAGGGTTCTCCTTCCTATGTTGGATCATCCCCGTTACCAAAATGCGGCCCTGTTCATTGTCCATAGGAAGACCCGTTTGGAATGGAGTCTTCGGGAGGTCTGAACCACCAGTTTGCTTGGGTCGCGCTGCGCCGCTCGGACGCCCCAATGGTGGCGTACCGCCCCCAAGGACGTCGAGCATATCCGCAGTCAACACGTGCTTCAAAATCTTAGGCGTCAAGTTGAAAGCATTCTCCCATTTACCCCTTGCTTCCTGCAGCTTCCTCTCATTAAAAAGCTCGTTCCTGACCTTTCGTCTAGACCGGAACGGCCTAAAGTCCAACTCCCGCCTTCGCTGCGCCCGTCTACTAGCCCGGAAGTACTCTTCAAGTCCACCGCGGAACGTCTCCGCCACATTCTCAAGCAGATGATCAATAAAGGCGAAGAGATACGCTCCACAGGGCCCGCCATCGCCGTGGAAACGGCCGTTTCCGCCTCGCCGTTGATCGGGAATCCATTTCAGCGTGCGCGCGTGGAACTTGCCCTTCTCGAGCTGCAGCATGTCGTCGAAGCCGCAGAGCATTCGTCCGGCGATGGGTGCGTTTTTCTCGTAGCCGCAGATTTTTCCTTTGTCGACGGAGACCTGGCCGTCGAAGTATCGGGCTGTGCGCTTCGAGGCGTCGCGCATGTCGATGACTATGAAGGACCAGTGGAAACCGACGCTGACCCATGCAGTATGGTGCTGGTTACTGTCCGCTATTTTGGCGTTTTGGTTTTGCTGCTTCGGGTCTGTTTTAGCTTTTTTACTGCCTTCCTCTTGCGTCTTCTGGTCCGTCTTAGCCTTTTCATTCCTTTCCTTTCGCTTTGCCTTTTCACTGGGTTCCTCTCGTTTGTCCCGCTCTGTCAATGCATCTGCAACCATTGCGTCGTTTACCGGTATAATAATTATGCCCTTGCCTTCAACGTCTTTGCGAAACTGGTTCTCGATAAGCTCATCCGAGACGCCAGCACTTTTACGACACAAGGCCCAGGCGTCGTTTAACGTTCCGATATGGACGTCGGAGATGTGAGCGAATTTCTGGCGCAACATGTGCAAAGCCCATTCTATTGCGGCCGAAGACCACCATTCGGTTGAAATGTCGAGATAGTCACTTACGCTTAAGATCTCGAGATGTTGTCCCGTGAGGAACTCGCTGCTCTTCCACTTGTTGAATGCTTGGGCGCCTGGGTTCTCTTCTCTAGGGACCTTGACGGTAGGAGCTGGGGAACTGCCGGCCTCGGCTGGCTGTGCGTTCGCGTCTGCGTCTGCGCCTGACATTGTGGGGATTAACCTCAGCTTAGAATGATAAATGCGTCAATATTATCGTAATAGTGAGAGAATTGAGTGTCAGAAGAGATTAAGCCGGCGAGTCGGACGCAGCTGCAAGTATATGACAGAGCGTCGAGTCGAAAAGGAAGCCACGACCATGCATCAAAGAGACCGAGAACAATAAGACAAAGAGCTCAGTGAGTACAAATGCCGTCTCCTATATTCAGTCTTTGAACAAAGACTGAAAGAACAGCAGGCACTCTTCTAGAGGAATATGGAGTCTTGGGGCGAAGCGTCCCTCACGTCTCGCTCCTCGCACTTGACCTTGGCCTTCGCATCCTCACATGAATGGTGCAGAAAGTGATGTGGGGAAAAGAGTGTGAAGGTGAGCCGCCTAGCGTAATTCGCGGCTGCTGTTCTCTCAGAGCACTTCGGTACTCAGTACCGACTTTTCGGTCCCAGGAGGGCATACGAGTCTTGTCGATACTTATAGTCGTTGTTTAATGGCCCTCGATAAGGCAAACAAAGGTCATTTATTGCACCGTGACTACACTCTGTCCCGCAAATATAGAAGCCTTGAAATAGGAACCCCGGGCCGTGGAAAATCCACGCGTGCTTTTCCTGTACCATAAGTATTAAGACGAGTGGAACGTGCAATTGTGATTCGGGTCAAGATCTGCTACCGTCAAATTTCCTATCTGGCCTATGATGTCCTCGAGAGTTACGGAGCGCTGTTCCGAACTCCCTTGAAACTTACTATTGCTCTTTACTAGCGTGTTAATTTATTAACGTTGGGTCTTAGTCTGGGAAAACCCCTCTTAATAGAAACAGCTATAGGTACTTTAACTTTGAATAACCTAGACTTAAATATGTGCTTCAAGCCTTTGCAATCCCTGTCTCGTTCTTTGGAGTCTTATTCTTTCGCCAACGCCGATGCGGAAGCTAGCTAGAGCGGAAACAATCTAAGGTGGTGGCGGTCCATAACCCTTCTGCAGCAACAGTGTCACACGCAAGGCAAACAGGCCAGCGAACGGAGGAATCTGAAGGCTCACCGTAAGCGCCAGGATGTACGGGCAGGCGAGGTTGTGGCTGCGCGACCCCACGCAAGTGGTATCGCCGAGCTATGCCCGTTTTGCTTTAGCGCCGAAATTTCTCCGAGGTTTCAAGCATCGTCTTAGCATCCCTAACGGAACGCCTGTCCATTCGACCCTTACTTCGACCATTACTACCTAAGTGCGCGCTACTTTCAAAGATGACCCTAGTCGCAGTGCGCTATCAAAAGCCAGTTTTCCGACCTAGCTGAGCCTTTTCCTAGGCCATGTGCCACAGCCCCTCACGGCAGCGGGTAGATTGGGGCGGCGTTACATGTGGGGGCCAAGGTATCAATAGCCATGTGGCACAGTCGAAAAGATGCGGCGTTTAAAGGCGCCCGCATTTTCTTCACTTGACACCTCACCAAGTCGTCGCGATCACTGACCCATGCTGCGGATCTAGCAACGTCTCGAGTTTCTGTGAAGGCATGTCTGGATCACCGGAGCAAGCCTTCCACAACGCTCGAAAGAAGTCGCCCACCCCTCAAGGCACTTACCAAGCACTTCCACTCAGCGCTCATAAGAAGCCCTATATCTCAGAAAGGCTGCAATCCGGCTTGCGCGCCGAGGAGAAAATCACAAGTTCACGGGAATCTCGACACTTATGGAAGCACTGGCGATGGGAGACCTTTACCTTTCTCCTTGGAACAGCAGCATTCGCAACTATACTCGGATTGCTCCTCCAATCTCGGAACAACCCTCCTCAACAATGGAATCTGAACGAAGTCCACGTTCAGATCCCGGCCATTATAGCAGCGTTATCACAAGTCGCACAATCGGCGCTTCTAGTCCCAATATCCTACTGCATTGGGCAACTGAAGTGGTGAGTTGCTTGCTGCACAACCACTAGACCAAGAAATTGTACTGATTTCAAGATTACCTTTCAGGGAGTGGTTCCAGCGTAGTAAAAAGACTGTCGATCTTGACCGCTTTGATCTGGCGAGCCGGGGACCAGACGGCAGCATAAGGCTTCTCTTTCATCTGGCTTGGAGACAGTGAGTTACTAGGGTTGCGGCCCCGTGATTGATCTTCAGCTCACTGAAATGCCAGGCGCCTAGTTTCTCTTGGATGCTTAGCGACAGTTTTGGTGCTGCTACTCCCCACCTTTATCCAGGCGTCCGTCCAGATAGGAGAGAAGGAAGTCGCGCTCCAGGACGACCGTCATGCATTGATCCAGCGCTCAACCAACGTATTCATGGATCCAGGAACAACAGCGAGGCTTTTTGTAGCGACTGACGATACTGCCTGTAAGTCACTGTGCCAGGTGAAAACGTTGAACCGAGAATTCCTAATAGAATGTAGCACCAATTGAAATAGACACGAACCTCAACACTGCGCTTAGGGCTGGGTTTACGTGGTTAACTTATGCCCCTCCTGTGTCAGCCTTTTGTGCTGCAGGTTCGTCAACAGCGAAGTGTTCATGGGCACCATTCAAAACTCTAGCCCTCTGTTCTTCAGCAGAAGACATCTCTAAGGACATCATACAGGATAGCGACAACGTCACCCTAGCAGCTCTGCGAGACTTCCTCCCATCGGCGGAAAGTTCTCCAATATTTCAGTCCGGATCATATGTGTATATGAAGGAAAACCAAAGTGCACAATCAACTCAATATCCTTCTCAACCCCTCCCCAAAACGTCTGTCAGCAACGACACCAACCTACCGAATCTAGCAGAGATATACTACCTCTATTATGACGGTTGCATTGATCGGCTGTCCGGTGGCAACAAGACGGATCCACAGCGCTGGAAAGCATTCAAGGGCCGTCTCCAATTCTGCCTACAAACAGTGGAAGCCAGCCACGAGTTCTCGACTAATACCACGATCGTCGCCTCTGAGGCAAACCTTGCGTGGTACAAAACGACGAAGTTCAACGAAACGGCTTTCTGCACCAAGGTCGAATCGGAGAATGAGGACTTCTGCGTCTCTGAGTCACTCATGGAAAGCCTTTCCATGCAATTGAACTCTATCTTCAACGTCACGGCGTTGTTCAATTACTCGAATGGCGATACCATCAGATACAACTCTGAATGGGGTCCCATCCTGACCCATGATGTTTTCGGAAGCCCCGGAGAAACAATGCCAATCTGTGGTATGAAGCGCGGCAGTAGCAACGGGCACAATCCAGACCCCAATGAACGTACTGGGTTGTATGGTTTCGAAAGGCGCATCCAGACTGTGGCTGACAGCCTGACCACCGCGTAGGCCACTCCCCAAATTGACCACTCCCTGCCTGTGTGTTCTTTTCTGACCAAGCATAGTTTCCGAACCGACCATCTAAGCCAAGACGTTCTCGGCCGCTACATAAACCAAGAACCAGCTGTTCTTGTCGACTTCCGCTGGTTCATACTACCCGCAACTCTCTATCTTATCATCACAGTCTTCTTTATCGCCACCGTTTTCACGACCAGGAATACGCCGATGTGGAAATCAAGTCCCTTGCCGCTACTATATTCGATGAATTCAGAGGATACCGATGGGTCGGAGGATCGGATTAGGAAAGAGGCGAAGAGCTGGATGCGGTTGAGACGAACCACGGCAGGTTGGCAAATGATTTATACGACAGGGGTACGGTAGAAGGAGGAGTATTAGTATTAGTAGTAATAATTAAGTTGCAAAGTGTGGTATTAACTGTGCGTGAGGTTGGTGAGACCCAGTACGCCGCCCGGATGGACGCGATCACACGTCACACAGGGCGCGGCAAAGCGGGGTGCTATGGCCCGATTGCGTAGTCGAGCCGGGGGCGCAGCACGATAGGACAGCTACGTTACTACATATTCACTGCGTCGCTGCGACTTCCTACCTCCTTTTTGGCCGCGGTATGGCTTCAAACATGGAAGCGCAGTCATCTTCGGTCGATCAACCCACTTTGATCCCGGAATTCAACAATAACGCGGAGCTTCACGACCGCTACATTTACGCACTTGCCTCCACTTCCTCTTCCATCATTAGTAGCGGCAAGGGCGGTTCCATACAGATGTGGTCAAAATCCACCCTCCAGCCTCTCTGCAACCCGTTATCTTATCATCAAGGCACAGTTACCGCACTCGGTGTCTCAGAGACCGCGGGCCTGGTATTCAGCGGCGATACCAAGGGTCATCTGGCGGTTTGGAGCCTCGCATCCGGCCAGCTGATCCAGGGGATAGCGCAAGCGCATGACGATACGGTGTTGAAGCTCGCGGTTAGCGGAGACGGGGAATATATCTTGAGTACAAGTCGGGATCGCAGCGTCAAAGTGTGGCACCGGAACGCAGGAGCCTCGGACAGGCGCATCGAGTTTGAGCTAAAAGCCGAGCTGGCCGGCCATCAGGGCGCGGTGCTGTCAGCCCTGGTAACGAGCGACTGCAAGCGCGCTGTATCCATATCGGGAGACAAGGTACTCAAGATCTGGAACCTGGAGACGAGTCAGACGGAGAAGACGTTTCGCCTCGCCAGCGGAGTGGGCAAGCTTCAGTTCATTGAGGGCGAACGCAAGATGCTGGCCGCTTGCTCCGATAGTAGAGTCCGGATCTACAGCCTTGAGAATGGAGAGGAGGAAGCTTGTTTGAATGGACACACCAACGTGGTGAAAGCTGCGCACATGATACCGGGAATAAATACGCGAGCTTCTGGAGAGACGATAATCTCTGCTTCCTACGACGGTACGGTGCGAATGTGGAAGAGGGGCGGGGAGGGTCAGGGGAAATGGCGTACAGTCCGGATTCTTTCCTTCAAACATGCTATAGGCGAGCCAGACTTCAATCCTCAGAGCGGCCGCATTTTCGATATGGTTGTTGATGAGAAGGAGGAGTATGTGTACGCTTGTGGACAATCCAGTAGAATTGTACGGTGGCATCTATAGTAAAGTCTTTATATTAGAACAGCTTAAGGAGTCGTACGAGTCGTACTGGCGAATCATGAGTTAGTCTCATTACATTACATATAATTCAGTTCCAGCTTTTCTTCCACTGCTACTCTAGGCTAGTATGCTCACGTTCACTCACTGTTCTAGATGAGAGCTTAAGAGGATCGTGATTCCAGCCTCAGAAACCGACATGTCTGACGTTTAATGGAGAGCATGCAGTGAAGGCGCCTACAGCATCTGGAAGCAGAGCCGACACATTCGCTTAACTACAAAGCTGTGAATTATCGATATATAGTTCACCCGGTGCGCAAGGCTTAGGGTTCGAGTCGACGATGCGTTGAGATGAGAGTGGGTCGGATTGCGGCGAAGAAAAGACGACTAGCTCCCGGAAAAGAGCTACTTCAGCCGGTGAAATGCATGAAGGTGGGGGTTACAATGAAGTCGGTGAAGTGAAGGAGGCATCGAGCTGCACAGCCCGCAGGCCCAGCCACTGCTGCCTGCTCTGGCACACTAAAAGTCTTGGCAGACCAACCTCAGCTTAAATTCCTCCACCCGGCACCCCGTCGCAACCACAATAGCCTACAAGATGGGTGCTGAGTCCAGCACTTCGCTCGATAGCGCCTCGATGAAATCCATACGCTGGGACTTCATTTTTCTTGGGAAGGCATGCGCCAACTGGACCGGCCCATTCAGGTTTCTCGATCTCCCAGCCGAGATGCGAGTGCACGTGTACCGCTACCTGCTCCCGCACAATCTGGACATCAGCTTCACCAAGATAGACAAGGTCAGCTTTCAGTCGGGCTCTTTAGGCTACGCGGGGACGAGGTACAGGGTGCGGGCTTTCCCGGCTGTTGCTAGATTCCCGTACCCAGTAGCTTTCCATTTCAAGGACGGGGCCTCGTTATTCCTGGTGGATAAGTTCGTGTCGAATGAAGCGCGCGGTAAGAGCAAAACCCTCCCCGATGCTCCCATCTGATCTCAGGAAACTTCCTATCTAACGCCAAAGCCAGCTGTTTTCTATGGCGAGAATTCGTTCACGTTCACAATCGACGGCCTATCCCACAAGCCCATCTCCCTATCCTCCCCGTTAATCTTTGGACCCCTCGGCCTGGACCACCGTCTGCATCTCCTGCGCAACCTGCGCCGCATCCACATCGACGTCAACATCAACGCCAGCGAATGGCGCTGGAACGCCATACGCCATCGAGCACGCCTGCAGCACTTCGTCAACATCATCAAGCAGCACGCGGACGACGAGCAGCAGAAGTCGCTGCTGAAGACGCTTACCGTGCTCATATGCCCCGACTGGGACACGAGCAACCACGTGGAGTTGTTCATGTTCGCGCTGGAGAGCCTCGCGGCGCTGCGCGGCATCGGAGAGGTGCAGATTAAGGGCCCGCCCGACTGGTTCAAGCAGTGTCTCGAGACGTGTGTGCGCGGCGAGGGAGGCGATGTGCAGGAGGTGGAGTGGCCTCTTGTGGAAGTCAAGCGCAGGAAAGACTGCGTGTCCAAGCCGAAGAAGTCCTCGGTGACGACGCGGAAGTGGTACAATCCCATGCTTAATTGGAAGGAGTTTGCGGAGCGGAATGGGATTGCTGCGCCGGAGAATATTGATCGATTCTACATCCCGGATGACGCGGTGAATGGTGCGAGTCGCCCTGTTGGTCTTGGAAGAGGGGGGCAGTATCGTTAGCCATCCAGGGGCTTTTGGAATGGCAGATTCAAGGTCACGCTCGGCGGTGCTACTGCGTTATTCACTGGTGGTCGGGACGGCGGATATCGCGGCGCATAACAGCAGGATGTTTTTTGGTTTGTGTTACGTCTATGACTGGAAATCGTGAGTTGGGATTTTGAAGCCTTATTCGTGGATTAGAAAGTTCGGGCGAGCTTGGATATCACTAAGTCCACGAGAACTGCGAGGTCGGTTACGCCAAAGATCTATACAAACAAAAGTGCGCTGTTGAAAGCCAGTATTCTACCCTAAGTGGCCCAGATCCAACCATTATCGTCCGATCCCAGCCTGTCAAACACACGTAGGTATACACATGATCATACACTCATCTTCATCGCAATCATCTTATGCGGCGTATACCCCACAACCTCAAAATCCTCCGCCTTCCACCCATCAATACTCCCCCCAACATCCTTGCTAATCTTCAGCGTTGGGAACTCCCGTGGCTCCCTCTCCAACTGCACCTTCAGCGCATCCACATGATCTAGGTATACATGCGCATCGCCCATCGTATGCGTAAACGTGCCAGGCGTGAGATCGCACACATGAGCCAGCATATGCGTAAGCAGCGCGTACGACGCGATGTTGAAGGGCACACCAAGACCCATATCGCAGGACCGCTGGTAAAGAATCGAATGCAAGACCCCTCGCGGCTTCAGCGCGCCTTCCTTTGCGCGCGGAAACGACACATAGAATTGCGCGAACATGTGGCAGGGCGGGAGCGCCATCTTTTTCAGATCGGCCGGGTTCCACGCGCTCAGTATGATGCGCCTATCGTACGGCTTGTTCTTCAGCTTGTCAATCACTTCCGCTAATTGATCGACGCCCTGTCCCGTGTAGTCCTGATCATGCCCCTTATACTCCGCGCCAAAATGCCGCCATTGGAAGCCGTACACGGGCCCTAAATCGCCCTCCTCGTGGTGTGCTAGGCCAACGCTGTCTAGGTATGCGCGCGACCCGTTGCCGTCCCAGATCCTTATCCCGGCTTCTGATAGCGGCACAGATGATGTGCTACCCGCGATAAACCATAGAAGCTCGCCGATCACGGCGCGCAGGAATACGCGCTTTGTAGTGAGGAGGGGTAGGACGAGTTCGGGCGGTTGGGAGGGGTCGGCGGAGGGGCGCGAGAGGGTGAATTTCATCTGCGGAGGCGCGAAGATGGAGTATGTTCCTGTGCCTGTACGATCTGGGCGGTGCTCGCCGTCTTGCAAGATGTCGCGGATTAGGTTCAGGTACTGGTGTTCTTCGTGATGGGAGGTATTCGGCATTGTGGTGGTGGGTTTTGCGGTATGGTTCGTGGTGGTTTCTTTGGGCTGTTCTGGCGCGTCGGAGGGTGCGATTACGGGCTCAAGAGCGGCGGGAGACATATTGAAGGTTCTGCGTGGGAGAGGAGAAGCAGTGGTTCTTAGAGGCTCTTAAAGAAATATATCTAGTCGCGAAACGCGTCTAGGAAGGCGCGACGGCGCGAATGGTAGTTCTGCCCCGCCGGACAAAGCGGGACACGCTAGGCTCCTTTCATGCCGACCGCAAAACATCAACACCAAACAACAATATCCACGCAATGGCTGAGGAGCAAGCTGCACACCACTTGCTCAACGTGCTGGAAGAGCGAGAGCTCAATGTTGATTTGGACAAAGTACTGCTGGCTTTCGAGGATGAGCGTACGAAGAGGGAGACCGCGGAATGGGTGAATGAGTATCTACATGAGGAGACGCTGTTGACGAAGGAGGAACTGCAGCTGTAGGTTTGAAAGTTGACTCTCGAACTTCCTGCTGACAGAATGTAGATATCAAACTCTCAGGAAAAGGGGGATCCTCCCCCAATACGAAGCCGAAGACGAACCCATCCGTCCCATCTTGGACCATGAGCTTGCGTCGGCAATTGAATCTCTCCAGAGCTCAACCGCTGCGATCGAGGAGCAGTCTAAAGTCTTGGAAGCCCAGCGGGATGCCTTGATGAGGCTGAAAGCGCTGGACAAGCCGAATCTCGAAGTCGAGCATCTAAGGAATGAAAGGAGGCGAAAGGAACATCAAGAGAAGACCAGGCTTGACATTGCTGTAATTACTTCTAAAGCCTTCGATGTTCTCGGGACTGACAACAGTAGGTCAATGATATCTCAACGACCATCAATGAGCAGCTGATGGATACGCGACGCGAAATTGACACCGAGAAGGCAACTTTGAAGAGCTATCTGACAGATAGACTCGCGTCAGATGATCAGATTCTAAGTCGCCTGCCAGGTATCGTATCACAGATCGTCGCCGAGCCCGCAGTCAACGAGGACGAGAAGTCCATTGAGCAGTGGTGCAAGGCCATTATCTCCTATAGAACCGCGGAGATCCGAGCAAGAGTTGATGCAGTCTACCTCAAGAGCTTGTCGCAGCCTCCTCCTGCTGAACTTGCGAATGCACCAGAAGCTGAGCTACGCGAACAAAAGGCAGATCTCCAGGCTGACTTGGATGATCTCCACTCGCAAATAGCGTCTGTTGCGGAAATGGTGGTCGACCACCAGTTGAGGAACCCGCTCATGGGTATGAAGGAGCGCAAGGATAGAGAGAGGAGCCAGACCCGAACCGCTTGGCTCCAATATGTACGTCTCTCCCATTGCAGGCTTTAAGCCGAAGCTTACAGTAGCAGGTTCTATCGACGCTCGAATATATGGGCAAGCGCCTCGACACCGTCACTGCGTATACTAGGAATGTCGACGAATTCCAGCAGGCTCTCACTCACATCAGTGAAGCAGCAGCAAAGAGAATTCCTGATGCAAACGGAGAGCCCGCGACGCCGGCAAGGAAGCGCACAATATCTACACCAAAATCGGCATTTTCCCCAGCGATAAAGCTGAAACCATCGAAATCGCTTGATCTGCCGCCAGCGTTGCAAGAGGCTCTCCGTCATGCAAGCATCTCCTTCAACCAGGACAGCGTGGACGCACTTCTGGACTCTTTGAGTAACATTCAGCTCGAACGGAATACGAAATTGCAGGACCACTACAGCTCTTCGTCGTCGTCTGCCCACGAGAACTTGGCAGAGCGCTTTAGCAAGGCCGATGGTGAACTGAAGACGATCTTGAATGCTTTGTACTCGCATACGCCATTCCAGCAGGTACAATTGACAAACCCGAAGCTGGAAAATCGGTTGGGGAATATGGAGAAGGAGCTTGAAAAGGCTGACCAGCAGTTGCTGGAAGCCGAGGCAAATGAACTGAGCTTGAGTGATGCGAAGGTCAGGTCATTTATTGGAAAGTATGGGAAGTAGACGCTCAACGGGACGTTTCGATATATTCAAAGCACATAAATCGAATCTTCTTGATAGACAAAGCCGCCTTGCATGCTATGAACTGATATTTGTGATCTCCTCGTTGCCATTCGCAGTTCAATGATTGGAGTTTGGGTTCTACCCATTTCGGCTTAGCGCGCCAGCCACCAGTTAAGGAGCTGACAACAGCTCCACTCTCACGACAACACCACCATCTGCGCCATCCACCGAGCGCGGGATGCTGCCAGACAACTCGCGAAGCTGCATGCCCCCCCTCACCATCAATTGAACTGCAATTCTCCCCATCCGGCCTCCCCGGCTAGTTTCCACCACCGTCGCCCAGCATGCCCAAGTCTGAAGCAGCCAAACTGCTCTCCCTCGGTGGTGCCGCAGCTGCCCTCGGCGGAGCCTATAAAGTCGGCGAGTTCCTCCACAAAGCGAAGCGTCTCCGCGATGTCGGCCCCTCGAATGCTGTTTACGTGCGCATGATCAACCGCGTGCGCACCGATCTCGACGAAGTCAGGCGCCTTCTTACCGTCCGTGAGGTCCACGATGCGCTCGAAGCGAACCCCGAGAAGGCGAAATGGGTGTATGGAGCCATGCGGGATGTGCGCGGTGCCATCGAGAACATCACGCCGCACACAGAGCGCGTGGCTTCTGACATCGACGATGGCCGTCGAGTGGGCCTGCGACACCGTGTCTACTGGCTTGTTAGCGAGAAGGAGAAGCTGGAGAATCGGGAGAAAGAGCTGACGACCGCGCATGCCAGCTTAACTGAGGTGCTTGGATATTTGACATCGCTGGAGCCGGAGAAGCAGGAGCAGCATGGGAAACATCATCACACTACAAAGAACGTTGACGTTGACATTGACATTGATGTCAGGCGTGAGGGGCCGGACAGGATCGACAGGGAGGTCTGGGTTGAGCGGGATGACCGCGCTCCTAGGAGGGTTGTCGAGGAGCGCGAGACGTGGGTTGAGCACGAGCATCGTGGACCTCGCAGGGTCGAAGAGCATTATGTTGAGCATGAGCGTGGGCCCGGTCGCTATGACGAGCGGGAGACATGGGTTGATGAGCGCGGCCCTCGACGTTACGAAGAACGCGAGACCTTTGTCGAGCGCGGCCGCGACCCACGATATGAAGCTCAGCACCACGATGAGGGCTACTACGACGACCGACGCGTTGAGGAGCGCGAATTGCACGTTGAGCGTGACCCGCGAGACCCGCGCCACGTGGAAGCCAGCTACTATGAGCGTGGCCCAGGACGCTACGAGGAGAAGCACTACGAAGAGCGCCGCTTCAACGAGCCGCTTGGGCGCCGCCCCGAGTCGTTTGAGGACCGCGTCCCGGAGCGGGAGACCTGGATGGAGAGCAACAGTCGCAGGCCACCGCCCCCGCAGCAGTACGGCAGGTACGGAGAGTACGCGGAATATGGAGCCCCTCAGCCCGTGGGAGCGGCGGATTACCGACGTAAGTTTCGGGGAGACCCGGGGTTCGGGGATGAAGAGGTGCTGAATCCCCAAATAGTGCCGCCTAACAGAGGCTATGAGCGCGAGGTAAGTCTTGCTGTAACTCCTAGGTCCTGTAACTTGCTGACAACGCCAGGTTTGGATTGAGGAAAAGGAGGACTACAGGTATGACAAGTATGGCAACCGGCTGCCTGACCGATACTTCCCCAACGCCCATCCACGGAGCCGTCTGTAGACGACTGGGTCTGCTCTCATAATTGAATGAAGCGCGATGTAATTTGTTTGGTTATATTGGAGCCATTGGGTCCACCACATATCTCTGGAATCTACGTACGCAGCTGTAAATGAGGCCCAGCTTCGCCCCTTTCCCGTAGCTGTCAAATATTCTTTCCTTTTTTGAACAACTTTGTCTCAAGGGCAATTCACACTGCCTGGGCTGTCTCATTCACGAATTGATGTTCTAGATCCCGCGTCCGCTGCACTTCCACACGAGACACCCGACGCGAACGTCCAATATTGCGAACCATGATTTCCCTTCACAGACCCATGGTTTCGAAATATTTCCTCACTAACAACGCCCTAGCCCGCGACTTCGCACCGCACCGCACCGCACCGCACAGCCTTTCCCCCTGACTCCACAAACAACACCCCATCATCTCTCCATCCATCACTCCCTCTACACACCCACCACATCCTCTTACAAAAACAACCACAACATGACGCCCCCTCCGCGTCCCCCAAAAAGCAGAGACTGCTGGCCCACGGGCCGCAGCCGCAAATGGCCAGGCCTCTCGCGCTTCGCCGGCGTCTTCGCGGGGCTCACGGCGCTGCTCGCGCTCGCGCAGGTCGCCGTGGGTATCGCGATTGCGAAGATGCTGATGCAGACGCCGGCGGTTCTGGACTGCTTTGATTTTAGGACCGAGGACCGGTGGGAGAAGAAGGAGAGGCCGCTGCTGATTGTGGATGAGTGGGGGCGGAGGATGGGGGGATCAGGTTGTTTGGGCTGGATGAGGCGAGGGGGACGGGGTATGTTATTCTCCCCTTTTTTGCTTTGCATAGCGGTAACGCGTAGGAGTGTGGATTGTCCTAGCTGACTGACTGACGATGATGATGTTCCAGTACAATAACCTTCCTCTCCATCATCCTCCCGCTCTCCAGCCTCCTCTTCACCAGCACGCTCGCCTACTGCCACACCCGCCGCGACGGCCTCCCCGTGCGCGTCGGTGTGCTCTGCGGCTCGTGGATGCTGACCGGGTGGGCGTGCTTCGCGGTGTTCGACGCGCGGCTGCGCGTGGATCCGTGGACCAGCGTGCTGCAGTGGGAGACGTGCTGGGTGGAGCATAGCACAGCCGTGCGCATGTGGGGCGAGAGGGGGATTAGGACGAGGCTGCTGGCGGCGAGGGAGTGGATGGTTGTGCTGGGGTTTATTGCGTGAGTTTTGGGCTTTTCTTTCTTTTGGTTGAGGGAGTTGCTTGGAGGGGAGGTAGGGGATGGAACTGTCCCGTCCCCCGTCCCCCGTCTGCTGGGATTGATAACAACGTGTGTGTGGGCTAACACTGCTCCATCCAGGATGTCGCACTACCTCCTCCTCGCGCTCCTCGCCGCGTTCCTCGCCTGGAAGGAATCACGCTGCAATCGCAGCCCTGACGCTGCGCCCCAACAGCTACCGCCTCCAAACCCCCGCTCCGATACCGAGCTCCGGACCTTCCCCCGACCCGATAGGCCTCTAGCCAATGGTCCCGTGCGCCTTCCGCCTCGCACCCACGACGAAGAAGCCGTCCGCAGGGACAGCGACGACACTATCGCTGATGCAGAGTTGGGGAATCCGTTCGTAGATCCAGTGCAGCGTCGGGTTTTCGTATAGCGCGGTGGAAGGCGGAGAGGGAAGTTGAGGAATATGAGGGATAGCGGGAGGAGTGGGAGTCGGAGCGGAAAGAAAGAGAGATAGGGAAAGGACGGGTGACGGGTAATGTTAAATGAAGACGGGACGAAGATAATGAAGGGATGTAGTGAAGTTATGGCTCCGCGATACGTTATACGTACGTATGTAATTTTAATAGTAATATGTCTATGTTGCTTTGCATTTCGCCCACGCGGGCGGATACTAGGCATGATGTATTTCTGTGTAGCTAGACACTTTATTGAACTGCTCGTATTATTCCTTGACCAAAGTGAGGTGTTGGGGATTTTGACGTGAATGCGTACACATAATGCATCATCCGGCGACTCGCTATTGGGTGGGTTTTGATATGCCCATGAAACATCCAACTATTCGAGATGTGATTTTAGCTATGAATAGAGCATAGATAGAAGGTTCTATGTCTCCAAGCGAATCGCTACCTCGAGAGTATCTAGATGGCACTCACAACGCTCGCTCACTTCCCCTCACAGCTTCCCTCCTAGTCAAAACAGCCCCTTAACCAACCCCTCGACCATCGCGTACAACTCACCGCCCTCTTCCTGCCCCGTCGCCCTCTTCGTAATCACTGGTATTTGATCCCTATCCACCTTGTAATTCCTCAGATCATAATCTAATTCCAAGCTCCTAACAAGCTCGATGATCTTATTACCGACGAGCCTCGCATCACGAGCATGATCGCCCGTACCCTTCTCGCCAATAAACGGCACCAGCCTCGCAATCTGCGCGGCGGCCGCTACATCCTCCGCCTTGAGCTTGACGACGTGACCGAGCGTCAGGCAGGACGTGATGCCATGCGGGATGCCGTAGGGGGAACCGAGTGCGTAGCCCAAAGCGTGGGAAAGGCCGAGGCCGCCTTTTATATTGGTGCCTAGGAAGCCGAGGGACGCGAAGGCGGCGAGCTGGAGCTTCGTGATGACGTCTTCGTTCTTCGGATCGGTTTTGTACTTGGGCAGGTTCTCGAACAGACTCGCCGCCGCCTGCAAGCACAGCCAGCGCGCCGGCATCTCGGTGGCGGTCGGGTGGTAGAGCAGCTCGACCGCGTGGTCCATGGCGCGCATCCCCGTGCTCATCCACAGCCTCGCCGGCGTGTGCAGCGCAAAGCCGGAATCATACAGCACAACATTGGGCACCAACTCCCTGCCCCTCACACCCGTCTTCACGCCGTTGGACTCGGTATACCCAGCCATCATAGTGCACTCGGACGCACTCAGCGTCGTGGGGACAGCAATGTGGTAGAGCCACTTCCCGCTCTTCTCGTGCAGGCGGTACGAAATGGCCTTTGCGGAGTCAATCGGGCTGCCGCCGCCGATGCTGACGACGGTGTCCACGCTGGAGTCCTTCTGGACGAGCTGGGTCGCTTCGTCGAGCTGCGCGACGGGCGCGTGCTCGCCAATCTTGGAGAACGTGCCTGCGTGCCGTGCGCCGAGCAGCTCCTCGACCTGCTTTACGAGCGGCGTTTTCGTGGCGAGCGAGTTGCCCGTGATGATGAACGCCTTGCTCTGTTCGCTGGGGAGGGATTCGACGAGATGCTTGGCCACTGTTTCGCCGCCGTAGAATAGGTGTTGTAGCTGCGTTGGCTGCCAGAGTCCGCACATTGGGTTGTATGTCGCGTCTGTCATTTTGCGCTGTTCTGATTTATGTCGGACGAATGAGGTAGCGGCGGATATTGGAGTAAACGGTTGAAATGCGCGAGTCCTTTCTCTTGTGCTATGATTCCGTAATCGCGGCCGCGAAGCTCCGAGGTCGTGGTTGTTGTTAGAGATGCTTTGCAAAGGGCGAGCACGGCTTTGGAAGGTTCTTGCGGCTATTGACGGGTGAGGTATATGCAGCCTTAGAGGCATGTATCGGGGATTCCTTGTTCTTTTTAAAAGTGGTGCGAAGGCTAATCGAGCGTTGATGGTGTGTGAGCTGTATGAAGGGTAATGCGGAGAAGATGGTGACGTAACGGCGATTGAGCAGTTAACTCCGAGCCGAGGAAGAGATGCGGAATTGAAGCGCACATCACGAAGCTAGAAGAGGACGAGCATTTCAAGACAGATGCTACGAGGCTGAACGTCCCATCGACGTCCATGAAACAGGTGTAGATTTGACTGACGCCGTTGAGGGCGCGAGTCGGGTATCTTTTGAAGCTATCCGGCAGAGTTTTCCTCCAAGTATATGCATCCATCATTATCTCATTACGGTCGTCAGGTTGAATCGACGCCTTCCTTATGCATGTGCCTTGCAGGCATGCAGGTCCTTTTTGTTGTTGGTGTTCCAAAGATCCACAACGCCAAAAAAGAGAAAGAAAAAAGTGACATATTAGAACTGTACTGTTGAGAGTGATAATGACGCCGAGATAGGGTTCGAGGTATGGGCAAGCCGTGCCAGAACGCCAAAAGGAGACCGGTCTTCCGTGTTGAATGCAGTAAGATCGTAATATCGTCGCAGTACCATAACATATCAATTAGATACTTTTAGGCTGTTGAGGCCATTAGTGACAGCTGAGGCAGCTGATTTCGCCGCATCCACAAGCTCGTCAAGTTTCGGTTTGCGGTCTTTGACACCGGAGTCACCATTGCTGGCGGCATCACCATTAGTCGCAATCGGGGTGGGCGTGCCGGTTCGGTGGAGCGGTTTCTCCATGTTCGCTACTTGAAGACCTTCGAATAGAGGGAATATGCCGTGTTCTACATGGAAATCGTTGTGGACTGAAGAGCACATTAGACGGGTGTTATGCCGACTGTGACAAAAGACTTACCAATGTTGATAAGGTACCAAGTATCCATGAGATCTTCAATGACATAACGAGAAGGGTTGATGGAGGAGTAGCAATTCGCCCACTCCTGCCCGAGTGTGTAGAACTCGTCCTTCCAGGCTAGGAAGCTCACCGTCTCGACAATGGTCGGCTGCACGATTTCCTTGCCAGGGAAGACGCCCCAGGTTACCGCGTTCGGACCATCACCGGGTGCGTTCGTCTTCAAATCGCCCTCCTTGTTCACGGCGTAATAGGTCAAGTCAGGGTCGCGCTCAATCCTGGTGATGACCTCGGCGATATGCTCGGGAGAGACAAAAATCTCCAGGTATGCCTTTTGATAGACGTAGCCGTTGCGAGGTCCCCAGCCATAGACGGGATGAGATGACTTGGCTCCATTGACTGCTGGCTGGGAGTTGATGGTAAGGAATCCACGTCGGTTCAGGTCAATGAGATCTTGCTGGAGTGACTCAGCCTCCTTGGTGATCGGCGCTTCACTCCAGGGCAGCGAGTTCAGCTTGCCTTCCATGTAGCGAACGAACAGGTCCGAGATGTCTTTGATCGACACCGGCGAGCCCCAGAGTTTGATGTTCTGTTCGTTAGTGCCTTTCAGACCGATACCATAGGCATCCAGTTCACCGAAAGCGGGAGACCTAGCATCTCCCCAGCGGCCGTTAGGAAACTCGTCCCAGTCTTGCGTACGAGCGACGTATGATCGATTACGATTACGCCAAAAGATGGGTCGCACGTTCTCATCGCGGCGGTTGAGGCCAAGCGAAGGTCTCCAGGGCAGAGGCTTCTGTAGCGGGCTTTCGACGTCTGGAAGCAGCTCCAGTTCTTCCAAGACCATGCGAGTGGCTTGAGCGAGGTTCATGGTGTAGCTGCTGGTCAGCAAAGTTTCCTCATGGGAGGCTAAAAGAACAGCTTACAAGTGCAGGTGGAGAATGCCGGCGTCGATGAGCTTGCGGCACATGTCCGCCACCAGGCCTTTGCCGACCTCGCGGACCTCTGCGTCGTCGTTCTTGACCGGCTCAAGCGCTTCGGTCCAGTGAGGCGGAATGTGGCACTTGGTCCAATTGGCACGGCGCAGGAAGGCGGCGTATGTATGAATCGGCATGATACCGGGGATGATCGGGATATCGATGCCCTTCGCACGGACCTTCTTCACCCAGTCCAGGAAGATGTCGGTGTCGTAGAACATCTGGGTAACAATGAACGTAGCGCCCGCATCCACCTTCTCTTTCAGGTGGTCGACGAGCTGATCCACATTCTTGTTATCGTCACAGCCTTCTGAGTATCCCGCAACGCCGATGTCGAAGTGGTTTCCGTACCGGTCCCGGATATATTTGACCAGGTCTTTAGCATAGCGAAAACCACCCTTAGTAGCCTCCCACTTCTCCTGTTCTCTCGGTGGGTCTCCCCTCAAAGCCAGGATGTTGGTGCACCCTGCCTGGTATGCCTCCTTCAGAGCCTCGTCCAGCTTCGATTTCTCCATGTCGGTGCAGGTCAGGTGCATGCACGTCTCGAGGCCATAGACGCTCTGGGCAACCTTGATCATTTCGGAGGTAAGGTGGGAGAGGCGACCGCCAGCGCCCCAGGTGACATCGATGAACTTGGGGCCGAAGCCGTGCATGCGGTCCATGCGGTCGTAGAGGTTTTGGACGCCCTGCGAAGAGTCAGTATTCGGCTCAGGGAGAGAGGTTCTTCCATATGCCTACCTGGGCTGTCTTGGGGGGAAAGAACTCAAAGGAAAAGGTGGGCTTCCCCTCTGCCCTCGACTGGGCAAGCATCTCTGAGACGTGCATCGTGGCGAGTTGTGCAAAGGAAATCTAACAAAAGAAATATTATCTTCACTCCTCCTGTTCCTTGATCTGTTAGCATTGATCTGACAGCTTTTCAGCCATTCAAAAGTCTGTCGGGGACTTTCGTAGCTTGTAGGGAGACATACCGGGGTCGTTCACAAACTTCTCCGCGACCTCCGCCACTCTCAAAACAACTCCAGCTATCCGAAGTAGCGAACGCGGGCCCAACGATCCGCAAGCTCACGCAGCATCAACCGCGACTGGTCTTCCGTAGGCTTATGAGGTAGCTCGTAGCGAAGAAATTTGTGTGGGAGGAGGAGAGCTAGTGCGGAGTTGGTGAGTCGGAGGACAATCGGAAGCCAAGACTCCCAGCAAGCTTGATCGATGCTTCCGTCCGCCGCCACGTAAATTCACCGCTTCTTCCAAGGTTGGTCTCCAATTGCGAACAGCCGAGCTTCAAGCGCTGTTCTCCGAACCTCTGCAAAGCGCCTGAAATACGAGCCGCAAATTTACGGAATGCTTCGTGGGAGCAATACCCCGCGAGTTGTTCCTGGCCGACCCCTGCACCGCTCCCGCTGCCTAGCCGTCGTTCCCCGGCGCCGGGTTTGCCCCATGCAGTAACCCTTGACGATAGCTTCATCGACGTCAATCATTAAACAGTCCAGCTGCGCACTCCATCGCATCACCGACTTCACAAGACACTGCCACTGTCACGCCCTCCAACTATGCCGCCCCTCCCACGCCCTCGCCGCATCGTCGGCGTCAGCCTGAAGATGTACTTCGACCTCCAGAGCACGCTCTCCTACGTCCGCGGCGTCCTACAGCTCGACGGCGATGCCTGGAACGCACGCGTAGACCTCTTCGTCATACCAGACTTCGTGACTCTGATGGAGTCGGCGCGGATACTGGAGCCGTCGTCTGTTATGCTCGGCGCGCAGGACACATTCTGGGAAGACAAGGGCGCATATACGGGCGAGGTGTCCCCGCTAGTGCTCCGGCAAGCCGGCGCGCGCATCGTGGAGATTGGGCACGCTGAGCGCCGAGCCATGTTTGGCGAGACAGACGAGTGGGTGGCGAAGAAGGCGGGCGCTGCGGCGCGGAATGGGCTCATACCGCTGGTCTGCATTGGAGAGCGAACGCATCACAGCGTTGCTTCGGCAGCTGTGGGAATGGCTATCGAGGAGTGCAAACCCCAGGTCACGTCTGTTCTCGCTGCCGTGCCCGATGACGTTGAGGTTATCCTGGCATACGAGCCGGTATGGGCTATTGGCGCTGCCGAACCAGCGGACCCAGATCACGTCGTCAATGTGACGAAAGAGCTCAGGAAGCTGGCCGCTGGTCGAACCGGCACGACGAGGATAGTCTATGGTGGCAGCGCGGGACCAGGCACCTTTGCGAAGATAGTCGAAGGCGTCGATGGCCTGTTCCTAGGCCGGTTCGCGCACGACATTCATAAACTGCAGAAAGTCATTCAGGAGGTAGGCGGGGCGTAGTCACGGATTTTATCATGGATCTTTCGCTCCGCACACCTCCTCTCGCAATTCGACAGCTTCGGATATCTTAGCGTGCTATGCTGCAAGAAGTCCGCAGCCCATCTTCTCAGTTGAGCATCACCCATTTGAGCTATATTGGCGGCATCAGTCTTTCCAGCACCCGCACGAGCCTTCTTTCCATAATGGCTCCAATTTCCACATTTCATCTTCCGCATGTCTAGCATACTCAAACACCTCTTCAAGACCATCATCTCCATCTCTGATACCATGTTCTCAAGCCTGCCATCCGGCTCCACGCGAGCAAGATCGAGGAGAAGCTATACAGAAGGATGCATTGATCGCATCTAGCTCATCGGGCCACTGGAAGGATTGTCTGGGATCGAGGAGGAGAAAATAGATAAGGAATGCGTCACCGAAGCGCAGCGGAGGTGGTCTTGATGACCGCTCACCGGTCACACGACTTCCGCTGTCCTTTCCATATTTGGTCACCTCGTGGCTATCTTCCGGGATCGTCAGTATACGCCCTCTATTGGCTCCGTCATAGTTCAGCATCTCGTTGCATTACGAGGGCGTCCTCAGTGGGCTCGCATGCCTTATTCAATCCAGGTTTCTGGGGGTCAGAGTCCATTGCGGAACTGGCGTAACTCAGTGAAGGTGGGAGATGCGATCCAACAAATTCAAAGAGGACGCTCGTTGCTTGCTGGGGTTCAGATGATAGAGACCCTCTCCCTTCGCCCTCTCTTCTCCCACTTTTGCCACCATTTCTTCGTCTCTTTAGTAATGATTTGCACACGTACGATACCGTGTCTCGTATATCCTACTGTCCCTACTCTCTCGAGCAAGAGCGCGAAATATATCGTGTATGGTTCACTCTTCGCGGTCTTGTGTCCTACAGCAGTACCCAAAAAGGCCAAATCAAGCTTTTTAGCCATTAGCGAATCGATACCAGTGTACGTCGGCCGGCGGTCAGGATACCAGGAGGTGCTTATGTCGCTGAAGGGTAAGGTCGGCATGTCTGAGTGACAGTCGAAGTGCTGATGATCCTCTGATAGACCTAAACGAAGAACGAATCCGTCCATGGTCAATGTTCCGTGTCCCGGCCCATACGCATTCGAAGTGGTCGGCGAAAAGTCGACGGCAACAATACTTCCCAGAGGGCTGTAGGTGAGAGAACTGTCCGTCATTGCAAACCACACCATACCTTGGACAGATGCCCACGACCAGCTCGGCGCATAGGCTTGCTCCATCGGTAGCTGCACCCCGCTGGAACCATAGGACCCATACTTCTTAGTGTTTCTCTCGCAGTACCATACCACCATTGTCTCAATGCCCTTCTCCCACATCCCAGCAACATACCGCCCGCCAATCCGCTCCTGCATTGCACCCGCCAGGCCCGCCAACGCCGGCAACCGGTCCGTTTGATACGACAACTGGCGCCTCGTAAACTGCGACACGGTCTTTTTCCAGATATACAGTCTCTCGTCCTGGGACGCCTGGTTCGTCAAGTTTGACATCGTCATTGGAGTTTCAGCGAGATTTGATTGGCGGAAGAGCAAATCGGAGCGGAGAAGCGGGTCGCACTCGCACGCTGTTTCGGCTCTGCAGCACCAGCCCAACTCCCACGAGCCGAAGCAGAGCAGGCGCGGCGACAGAATGACCTCCTGAAGTGTCCAGCCGCGGGAGTTGAGAATGCCGTTCCAGGAAGGATCGGATATGGGGCGGCTGCTGGCATGCAGAAAACCGAACTTGTAACTCGAATTCATCTTTCGCGCGTAAAGATTGCCCATCCGTCCATACTCAGAAAGCATTATAGAAAGAGCGACAGTACGCCGATCCGGCTCAGTCACGAAGAGCCCGGTGTCGCTGTCAGGAGAGTCAACCCCGGCGAAGGTGATGAGCGAATTTGAGTATACAGAGCACATCTTGGCTGCTTCCGCCTCCCAGTCGGACGCTGAATCTTGAATGATGCAGCAAGAGTCAATCCAGACGTACTGAATGCCCAGCGCTCTAGCCACTATGACAGCATCTCTGCAGGTCTTAGGCAGGTCTTCGAGTTGAAACCCGCGCTTCCTGTCGCGCAGTGTCGATAAGGTAGTAGTAAACGTCCTCGACTTGCCCCAGCAATACGACAAAGCAGCATAGCGCCCGGTCTCCATAGGCGCAGGCTCGTATAAGTGGGGATTCTGAGTCGAGGATCCTACATCTATGACGCGTGTCGGGAGAAGATTCTGCGTGTGTGAGGCACCGCAACTCGCGTGGTGCTTTCGCAAGCAATAATCGAGCCATTTCTTCGCCTGGCTAATACAGGCCGCCGACGCAGGATCAGTGGAAATGTGCGAACCTGGCGAGATCACAGGATACCTTCCCAGCACATTCTCTGCAACGCCATCAGCACTAGCGCGAAGAGACCCCAATGGAGTCAGTGAGAGAGAGGAAAGGGGTCTACGCAACCATCATCAGTGTAAAACTCCAGGCACACCCACTTATCATTCCCGTCCTTGACATCCACAAACGTGCGACACGGATTCCGCTCGACACCCTCTTCGTGCTCGTCGTCTCCAAATTCGCGGACCGTCTGGATCCGCACTGCCCCCAGTTCGCCTTCTGCGATCAACGCCCTTGCGCCGTCGCGGAGGAACGTGCAGGAGACACAGCCCGCTGCTGCAGACGCTGACAGGGCGGTAAATGACGTCTCGTGGGTAAATGCGCCGTGCTGGGAGACCGTTTTGTTCGAGTGATGGAGGTCGCAGCATGTTGCGCAGTGTGGCCTTTTAAGGCCGAAAGTCTCTAATAGTGTGCGCATGTTCTGCTCGTGCACTGTGTCGTCGGGTCTGGAGCTGTTTGCGTAGTAGATGGAAATAATGGGCAAAGGGACCTCTGCACTTTGAGGCCGACAGCGGGGAAGGAGGGATGGTGGTGGGAGGATGCATGAAGTTGAAGTTCATTAGCGCTTACCGCATGCGTTATCTTAGCGGACGCCCGGCGTCCTAGAATATGGATACATCCATAGATGGATGTTCACGAGTGCAAAATTGGCTAGTGGCTAGTGTAGTGTCATCGCCCGTAATCATGGCTTGGCACACCACCACCACTACCACCACATCGCATCTGAGCATTCGCGAAATGACTGACAGCGTAGTGGGCACAGGCGCCATATGGATCGCAAAACTGTTGTGGCTTAGTTTTCAAGCCAGCGCGTTCTTCCGCACGCCTGCTCCGATCCCGACACGTGCTGGAACCGCCCTCGAGTACTCTCCGAAGTCCTCAACGTCTCCCTGCAGTGAAGGGACGAGTCCCTTCGCTGATGCCGATCCCCACTCCGGTCGCAATAAGCCATGTGCTAGGGAGCGCAACTTGCGGCGCGGCGTGGCGTGCTGATGCAATGTAGACATAGCGGTTTGCTACACTGTATCACGAAGTTGTAGGATGCATATCTCGAGACTAATCACGGTTTAGCTAGAAAAAAAATGTAATATTTGTGGGCCATAAACGTAGACGACAACGGTAGCAATCTTCCAAGTAGTACAGGAGATACGACGCCGGCGTGTCAGAGGAAGAGAAAAGGAGAGGAAAACCGAGGAGACCAATGACGCCTATACAGAACACGCTAACGAGACGACTCAACCTTCGCTAACAAATTGCATATCTTCATCACTCATTCATCCCGAAGCCGAAGCGATCGACCAAACCCATTCTCGAAAAGTTATCGCCACTAACATATGGCAAATTTGGCTCTCTTCGACCTCAACCCGCAGCAGTTATCAATAGTCCCAGTCAAACGCCTGCCGACAAACACCTCTCTTACACCCTTCGCAGAGCTCGCTCTCGTGCGGTAGACCCTTTTTTCGATCGTAGCTCTGCCTCTCCATGTAGACGCCAGCCCACTTCTTGAGCCTGTATGCCACGCGGTCGACATAAGATTGTTCGTCCAGTATCAGGGTGCCCAGCCGGTTGCAGGACTTGCACCGCTGATTGAACACCACAGCGTTGTACCCGTTCCTGGGATATCCCCGTATCAATATGGCCACCTTCTTGCTGGTCCAGCCAGCCTTGGAACAGGCGTTGTTGTTGCATTTGAACTTGCCCATGACGTTGGTCGGGTGCTCGTTGTTGCAGTCTCGCTTGCTGTGCTTTTCGCGGAACCGCGTCGAGCCGATTTCGTCCGAGACTTCGTTCTCGACGTCCTCGTGGAGCTCTGGAAACGTAAAGGAGATTGGTGCCTCTGGCTTGGGCTTGTAGGGCTTCTTTCTCGCCATTTTCGATGAGGCAATGGTCGTGGAGGGGGTCGATGCCGTGAGGTTGCCGGTGCAGGCAGGCAGCGACGTCTGGCGCGGGGTAGGATCATGTCATTGTGTTCAGAGGTGTTGGCGGTTCCAGAACGAATGATGTTCAGCATCGGACATCCGAAGGCTGCTACGCCCCCGCAATTTCCCACGCAATCGGTATCAGCAGACGAATACCAGGTCGCCTCCTCGTGGTCACTCAGCATTGGATACTTGCAGCGTAGCCTTGCGCCTTCAGTTGCGGACCGCAAGGCATATCGACATCTTGAACTTACCATGGCTTCCCTTTTCCTACCATATTGTGTGCCGGGCCATACGCATTTAAAGTAGTTAGCGAAAAGTTAACAGTAATAATGTTACCTATTAAGCTATAGATAGGATAGTTATCTATTATTTTAAACTATACCCTACTTTATATAGATGCCTACGGCTAGCTCGAAGCAGTCTTTTCTAATAAGCGGACCACGGTTCTCCTTAACTTTCCTTGTTTGAAGCTTTCGATAACAGTCCTAGATGAAGGCATATCCAGTTCATAGACAAGAATGTGTATAACACTATGAATATCCCAATGCCTAAACAATGAGAACTACCTTAGAGTAAAGTCTCGTTGCTTGCAACATACAGCTGCAGCCACGTCTCGATCGCGCAAGCATCTGCCTTCAGAAGATATATTCTCCAATGTTACTATTCCAGCTCTTCTCCATACTGCATCAGAGTTTTCCACGAGCAACGCCGTAGTACGCCAATAAGTGTCAGCGAGAACAACGCAAGCCCACAAATTAGCGTCCAGCGTTGCACGTAGACGATCCAAATCGAGGGCTAACGGACGAACGTCCACAGTGCATGTCCACGTAATTTCCTTCTCAGGCATCGGCTTAGCATTAAATGTTACAACACCGTCCGAGACGAGGGTCAGGCCATCTTCCGTGATCGAGTCCAAGACGACTTGTAGTCGCAGCGTTTGAGCATGGACATGCAGGAGAGGAGCGGCGTTTAGCGTGAGCAAGTGAAGATCTTCTTCTTTGATATCCTGCAGTCGCGTTGTAACGTTGGTACTCTTTTCCTGCAAAGCGATTTCCATGTCGACGTGGATCCACGTATCCATATTCGTATCATCGTTGAGCAAATCCATCGCTCTCGACGAGACAACACCTTCCCATCCGCACCACGACCAACTCGGGAACTCTGCGCGGCGTTTGATTTGGCGTTCAGAATCCTCGACTCGGAAGGACCAGGACATGGCGAACCCCAGCATCCGCGTTCGGTCGCCTACTTCGCTGTACAGCGGCAAGCCCCAGAAATTGAACACCGGCCGTGGATACTTCTGAAAAGTCGACAGAATCCCAGCGAACGCATTCAAGGAGTCTGAAGCGTAACTGAGTCTCCTAGTCGTATATTCCTCGACGTACCTCCAAAACCTACTCAACGCACCGTCAATGTGGAGTTGTAGTTGAGTGCCGAACCTGCCACTGCGGCTACAAGCCATGCCAGTGAAAAGACCTGTTCGGACCCATGGGGCGAAACTCTGTTTATCAAGTGTGTGTAAGGCATCAAGAGGTGTGGATATCGCTTCGCATGCTTGCATGCCGTTGCATTCAAAGTACACCTGTTGAGGCGTGAAGACCAGACGACGCCGCGAAAGAATGCCCTCCTGGAATGTCCAACCCCTAGTAAACCATTTCGAACCCTGAATTGGTACATGGGGTGCTGGTAGCGTTGAGACGAACTGGGCATTGTTGATCTCGACACATGTCTGGGAGATCCGTGGTGTGTGCCCGACGCCTGGGAGCCCGTGAGATGGGTCTGATCCAGATGCTGTGATGATTGCGAAGTCTGCAGCATCGTATATCAAATCCATATTCTGGATCTGAATCATCTTATCAGCTGCGTCGCTCTGATCAATACAATATTGGTCGATCCAAAGATAGTTCAATCCAAGAGATTTGGTGGCTTGAATAGCATCCACAATGAGCGGTGGTAACGGCTCTGGGAGAGGGATCCTTTGAGTTTTGTCCGCTGAATTCCGTCGCCCCACATGTGGAGGCTGGACTGGCCCCCAGACATAACTCAAAGCCGCATAGGCTTGATGAGCAGGTAGAGGAATAATACTGAGATCGGCGCAGTCGATGACTTTCAGCATAGGTAGATGTTCAAGCACATCCACAGAGCTTTGGCATGCGCGGGTGTGATTTGCTCGACAGAAGCCCAGCCATTTTCCAACAGTGCTGAAATCGATTGTCGAAGGAATTTTGTTCCCATGAAATGTCCCCAACGGGCGAGGGATTTTCGGAATTCGAGCAATGAATCCCACGCCTGGGCATTCTCTTGATAGTTCCTCAATCTCATTCGACCATTCTAAGACGTTCCCCTTGTCTGTCTTCAACAGTGGCCGCGGCGTGTAGGCTTTGCTCTCAACGGGAATAACACCCAAGATTACAGTATCGGCCGTCCAATCCGTGTCGTGGCCCCACTGTATTGGGTTCACCTCGCCATAGCTCCGCATGAAGGAATATGCGCGAACCTGGTAATCCGAAGATGTACCAGTTGGTACACGAACCGATGCGAAAAGACGGCATAGCGGGCAGCTATTTGGGGTCGTACATTCAAGCCTTTGCCCAAGTGCTGCCACAAATGCTCCTTGTCCATCCTCGATTGTTGCTATGCGTTCGAAGGCTGCGTCCAGATCAATGTCCCGACAGGGCGCGCATAGGCTGCTGGCCATGTTCCATGCACCTTCAATGGATTGCTTGAAAGGTAGCAATCATCAAATGAAGCATGCAGCAAGCGGAGAATAGGTATCGGTTGGAATTTCATGTTAGTGAAGACTCTCTTGTGAGGTCGCAATGGGTGCGGGCACCTGTCCGTGTCTGCTGAGCTAAGCAAAGCCCCCGCAATAAAATTTCCCCTTACTTTTATATGCATTTTTGTGGATTTTCTTCTTATCTATGGATATTATTAGAAAAGAAAAAGCCTATAGTATAGAGTATAGTAGATATTACTACTAGTACTAAGAACAGAAGAAATAAAAGAGATATCTTAATACGTCATGATTTTATCTGCCAGTCCGCCAGTGTCTAAGTGTCGCTAATTCAAAGAAACAATAGCCGTCTGGTAAGCGATAGACCTTAGGAATGCACTCAGGCTCGACGTAGGTGTTTCTCCGTGCTTGAAGAAATGGTACCTAGCAACATGGACTGTCATTGAGATATGTAATGACGTGGCTAGCCATGACGGATTCCCTAGTGGCGGGCTTTCCTCGCAGCCAGAATTCTCTGAATTGTTCGCGCTGGGTGAGCCAGCGGCATGAGCCCTCAAAGCGTCTCTTTTCCAAGCTAAGCAGGATGTCCTCTGCTGAGTCGCTGACCTTGAGATACTCGTGAGTTTGCTGCATCTTTTTCTTGTACATATTGTTTCCACTGGCGGGCAACGGACTCCATGCACTCATATCTCCGGCCTTGATATCATAGAAGCCAGACGGTTACGGATCGACCGGTAGTTGGTGCCGGACTGGGAATCGAATATCCCTTTGTCCCACCCGTGCCAACGTGCCTTGCTTTACTGCAGATCCTATTGGCCAGCACCGGCCAGGTCTGCGAGAGCGTTCAAAGCGCTGAACCGTGCGATCCTGCTATTATAATTGCGGGATGCGGCTCACTAGTCGCTCGCTATGAAGATAATAACTACGGCGATTTACATGCCACGCTCTTCCCGCTCTTCTCGTTCATGCAACGTATCCTACCTGATTCTCCGTTCTGCCTTGCGAAGCCTTGTAACTTAAGGACTATTCAGCGCGAACACATTCGCCATGTCGGACCTCACGGGTATGCCAGCGCCGAAGAAGCAGGACATGTTCGAGGTGGTTGAGATTGATGAGAATGTCGCAGCGTGTGAGTAGATTCGCCCCTGCAATATCGCTTACTAAGCTTGCCCCGTTGCGAGGCTTTCCGAGAGGCACGCGAGTGGTTGAGGCATGGCTACACGGTGCTAGCTTCTGGACACGAACAGCAAAAGTTCAAGTCCAGTTTCCCGACGGCAGTCCGCACACCTACTTCTTGAAAGTTGCAACGGGAGATGTCGGCAAGGGAATGTCTGAAGGCGAGTATGAGGGAATCAAGGCCTTGCATCAGGTTGTTCCGGAGGGGGTCCCGCGACCGGAACCTACAAGTCGAACTCCGATACCCACTTCTACCTGTGCGACTTCATCGATATGATCGAAGATTTGCCGGACGTTCAACAGTTCTGTGCTTTGCTGGCTAAGCTGCATAGAGAGAGCATACCGCTATCGCCCAACGGGAAGTTCGGATTCCCGACGACGACGTACGAAGGGACCATGTGGCAGGATACGACTTGGTGCGATACCTGGGAAGAGTCATTTCTACGACACTTCAAAGCGTTCGTGCAGCAAGAACGCGAGGTCCATGGGCCAGATGACGAGCTCGATATGTTACTTCCGTCTTTCTACCAAAAAGTCATCCCCAGACTTCTTCGGCCGCTGGAATCCCACGGTAGGAATGTCATGCCGGTGCTAGTTCATGGCGATATCTGGTATGGAAATATCGCTATGAAGGCTGACACTGGCGAACCACTCATGTTCGATCCGTCGGTCTTTTGGGGTCACAATGAATGTGGGCAATCCCCTTTCCACCCCTCTAATTTTGTGTCGATTCTGACATTTAGATTAGACGACCTCGACAACATGAAAGTGCCTAGGTATAGAATGGGTCGCCATTGGATGCGTGAGTATCACAAGCATTTCCCCATTTCCGCTCCAGAGCACGACTACGAGGACCGTATCAACCTCTACGAAATGTAAGGCTCTTTCATTGGCACTATATAGATCAAAAGCTGACTCAGCTAGACGTGGGTGTCTCTGCGCATCCACTTTATACCCAGATACTACGGTTTTCCGCAAACTGTAGGAGCCCCCACAACAATTCAAAAGTTGAAAGTGCAACACAACTTACAGCGGCAGTGCCATCTCCGAGATCCGCAAGCTCGTAGAGAAGTTCTCTGATGGATATCAAGGTCAGTGAAATGTCATGATTGGCATACAGTAGATGGTGTTTTGGCAGATGAGTGGCTAAGTCTAGATTCCACTAACTACACTTCTCTCTTTGCTCCTTCCAATAATACTGTAGTGTGGTTCTGTGCATTCGACGTCGTTTGCTCTGCCATCACCACCTCCGCCCGTGCATAGCGTTTCTGTCTCCATTCCATTCCCTTTCGCAATTGGAGTAGATAGAGGCCGGCTGATGCCAGGCACGATCCGCCCAAAATCGTGAATGTCAAGCCCAGGCCGGTTGCATCAATCATCCTTTGTAACAGCCCAATCATTAGTGCCGAGAGCGCACACCGAACCATGTTAAAAGATGCTTGGGCGGTAGCGGGAGCTTCATGATTAATATCGATCACGAGTGTGTTGTTATACTTGTAAGAGTCTCCAGTGAGCGAAAATGCAACATTTGATGGGGTGGAGCTTCTTACATTGAAACATGTCTGAATACAAAAGCCGGCAACGGCCTGTAGCAGTAGAGGAATGGAGATGTGCTACTAACATATCAGCCACCTAATTTCTCTCGGAGAGTTATGAACACCTTACTGCTTGCTCTTGAGATGCCCATCCATAACCGACCATAGAGCCACACGCTAACAGTGTAGGCACGAAGATATTGCGAAGGCGCGCTTCTTCAATGGGAAACGTTCGCAGGTCATCTCCACCAATGCGATCCCTCGGCAAATTATGGTGTCTCGCCACGGTCTTGTAGTCGTAGTCGATGAGCTTTCCAGAGAATACGGTGGAAACCAGACTGCTCAAGCCAAAGGGAAGATAGACCAGCCCGGTCTGGAGTTGATTCAGGGAATAGTTCGCGCTGAAGACGGTCGATAAGGAGGCATGAGAGCTGCAATAAACCATGTAAATGATGCTTCCAGCAAGGATGCTTACAGCCGTGTCCAAGCGACAGAGAATTTCCAAGCTCCTCAGTGGATTCGGAACTGTCTTCCTCCGAAAAATCAAGGAGGTGGTTTGCGGGGTCATGCCGTTCCATGGACGCATGACAGCAGGCAGCCATGGCCGAGACCAGAGCGGTGGAGGAATTGAACCATTTCCAACGACGGTGCGAGCTGTCTCTGGCAGGATCAATACCATGGCAAGAAGCACGGCCGCAGATGTTATCGTGAGGAACCAGAATACCCATCCCGCACGGAAAGCTAGCACGCCCCCGAGGAGGGGACCAAGGCTGGGTGCAGTGGTGATTCTTGTCCAGTAAGCCGCAATTGCCATTTCCGTTCATAGATGGTTGTACTTACCCCAATGACAGCGCTCCCACAAAAGCGCCTCTTTCTGCAGGAGTTGCTAGGTCAGAAACGACTCCATACGCGATCGAGAAGGTCCCTAGACTTTTAGATTGCTTTCAATACCTGCAAAACAGGCACTTACCGGATATTCCTGCACTTTGAAGCATTCTCAGAAGCAACAGTGCTGTAAAGGACTTCTGAATGGCCATGCCGGTGTTGGCGAAAAGGTACATGCCAAGCGTGACTAAGTATACTGGACGGCGACCAAACATGTCGGCTGCATCTCCGGTGATGGACGGCGCCACACCGGATATTGCTAGATACGATGTAATTGTAAGATTTATTTGTTCGATGCTTGTGTCCAACTCGTCTGCTAGGAGTGGCAGGATTGGGTAGTAAATGAAACTGCTCAAAGTCGAGAACCAAGCAGCAGAGGCGACCAGACCGACGATCCAACGTCTCTGTCCATCGCTAAAAGAGGTGTATGGTAGGGTAGAGGAAGCCATGGTTCATGATGTGACAAGCCTTGCGGTCTGCAACTTAAGGTTAGTTGCCTTACGCGGTCAGCTGCAATCAACATTGTTTGTCTAAGTGGTTCCTGCTTTCTAGTGGCGGGTGGCGGGGTAATGTGCCCGTGATTATTACGTCGCCGCTTTTATTGCAGAAACAATACCTAGCTCAACGCTTGGTTGTGTGCCTGCTTGCGGTGAATATTCTGCGGGTATCCGGGATATTTCCGATAAGTATGGCATCTTCCTTATTCTAGACGAAGTGAGTATGATTACGATGCTACGACAAAAAGTCATTTGCTTATGAGATCGTAGGTAATGTCTGGCATGGGCAGGACGGGGAGCTTACATGCCTGGCAGCAAGAGCCAAACTTTCGTGGTCCTGACCTTCAAATGATTGGCAAAAGTTTGGGTGGCGGCTTCATATCGCTCTCGGGCCTTCTAGTGGGCGAGAAGGTCGAATCAATCCTCCGGACCGGAACAGGAACTATTTCGCACTCGCAGACGTTTCAGGTATGTAAACTCAAGCTCAAAAGAAGAAAAATAACAGCCTTCTGATCTCTCTAGAACCATGCTCTCGCGTGCGCAGCTGCCCTGCAGGTTCAAAAGATAATAGAGCGCGACAATCTGCTCAGAAGCGTGCAGGATATGGGTCAAGAGCTGGAGAGACAGCTCCGGGAACACATACTGCCTCTCAAGGTTGTCGGAGATGTCAGAGGCAGGGGACTGTATTGGGCAGTCGAATTTGTTGGAAACAAGGAGACGAAAGCCCAGATCCCTCCGGAACTCGGCTTTTCCAAGAAGGTAATGGCGGCGGCGATGGCTCGAGGACTGCTTCTCCATGGAAAGCATGCTCAAGCGGGAACTCTTTACAACGTAGAGCACGTGATGGTACTGCCTCACTTTATGGTATCACGCTCCCGTATACATGATATTGTGGGGCGACTTAAAGATGCAATAACAGAGTGTATGTAAGCAGCGTATATATTGATATATTATCTTCGAAGACAGAAATAGCTATTCTATATACTACTAGATCTGGAGGAGAGGTAGAGCAAACAACGGCAGACAACTTAGGTAGCAATACACTGCCAACTCAGGACTATACACCACTGGCATGTGCAAAGACTCTACATGCGAGACACTGGCACTACGGATCTGCGTCGAAGATCTTACGTGCCTTTATTAGGCTGCGCAAAAAGATGTTGGGTCAGCGTCAAACGATCGTGAGTGCCAACACTGCAATCCGCACCACGACAGCAAAACGACTCCGGCCCATTTCATTCTTGGCAACTGCTCATGTACCATGCAAAATGAGATGCGCTTGGTCCACTTGATTTGTGCCGACGATAGCAAAGCAAAATTGAAAAAGAGAAGATTCAGACAGTGAGGGGAAGATCTTGCTAGCGCATTGTAGATAATAGGCCTACTATGCCCGTTGACGAAGATCGTCGCCATGAAGATCACCCGCAGGAAGTTAGGGCTGGTATATCTTTCATGATTACAGTGAGGAAAGGCCGAACGTGCGCATATCGGCGTTCTCGAAAAGGCCCAGCTATCCGTGCCATGCAAATATTCAAGCCGCTATTGCCGAGCCAGCAAACGTCTGAGCGACGCCCGAATGCCTGTCCGAGCTCGTGTATTCACGAGTGTCCCGGAGGCCGGGGCTTACTTGTGGTTAGCAAGGCTCTGCTCGAAGAGGTCAGACACTGCGCACTTATTAGCCACCATGCCCTAAGCATTGTTGGGGGGACTTACGGGTCTGACCGTTGAGGAAGAACCCATTCAGCGTCTGCGAGACTTTCTCATAACGAGCGATGCCTTGCTCGTTCAGAATGACATTTGCCTTCGCACGAATGCGCGCGAAGTGGCTCTGGAACTTGAGGTAGTTGCGGGTAAGGCGATCGACAAGGACGACCTCGATATCGCCGCCAACTAGAGGAGCATCGTCAAGCCGCATCTCGTAGGTCGCGACGCTGTTGGTAATCGCCTTGTTGAAGCGGGTGGACGAGTTGTACAAGCATGATACCTTGCCGGAGACGTCCTCCCAGAAGCCGATGAGAGACAGGATGGCAACGCGACACGCCGCAGCCTTCTGGGCGCTCGGCGAGTGATGACCGGGGAGATTGCAGATGCGACAGGTGTCGTGGTGTGGCCGCGCAAGCAAGTTGAAGCGTTCCGGGGCCGTCGGAATCTTCTTCGCACCAGCTGGGGCCATTTCGCGTACTACGGTCGAGAGTGCCATGAGAGCGCGGCGTACTTGCTCGGCGTCGGTCGTGTCGCTCGGTGAGGACATCTTGAGGGCGGTTGTGGCGTAGAGGTCGAGTAAGGTACTGTTGTTAGCAAACAGCGAGATGAGCTGAGAAAGGCCAACGGGCCGTGGGGCCGTGGCTGTGCGAGATATTGAGGGAGAATTGGGTAGAAGCGGCGGTAGAAGTAGCGAGAGTGGGAGACCGCTGCTGATACAGGAGACAGGGCTCGAGAAAGGGCGTGTGGGCAGGGAAAGCTTTGTGGAAGGTGCGTTTGGGGCACTCACCTTCTGCGCTCATTCACCGCCAGCCTGGTGATTATGAGCATGCGCTCTCCCATCTCCGCCTATGCGAGAACATGCAGCTTGTCTCCGTTGAGATGCGACCCTGAAATTTAGTCATAGTTGTTTGCGCACTTCGACATTCAAATCACCAGGTGACAACTCTTTCACTTTGTCCTTTGCATCGCAGCACCATTGTAGATTGCATCCATGCGCTCGTGCGGGCGACACCTCTGCGAATGTTCCTATTACCTGAAGTGACGATAATCGCCTGCGCCAAAAGCCCATGTGGATTGGTCGGACCAACCGAGATACCCTTTGTCCCAAGAACTCCGTCGCTCGCCGGTGCAGCGGTACCCTATACCGGCCCCGACATTGCTGGCCCGTGGCGTTGATCTAGATGGTCGTAGTCGAGCTCGAACTCTCTCTGATGCGGCGTTAGCAAAGAACATAGTGGTGGTGAAAGTGAGGTGGTAGAATTACCCTCTCCCTTCTCCAGTTCGTCACGTCGAAGAATAGATACCAACCGCGCTCTACCTTGGGTGAGATTCGTATGGGCGCCGGAAGATCGGGGTCCTTCATCATCCACTGCTGCAGCTTGATATGCCATCTCCAGTCGCGATTGTACAGCTCATTCGCAGCAATCTCCTGCATGATGTCCCGAGGGTACTGATAGAAGATCGCGAGCAGTGTTTCCGCGGAGAAACTCGTCACCTTGCTGTGTAGCGGAGGGACGTTCGTCACTTTGTAAGCCTCAGGAAGTTTGAAGTCGGGAGGTATCACTGGCTTAGCGTTTGATTCCACAAACGGCGAGCCAAAGGTAGGATGTAATGGAGAGTTACTGCACCGTTAGCCCGAGCTCTCGCCGGCGTCAAGTACGGTACTTACTCTGGGCGGCTTAAGTCGAGACCCAGCACCGTAAGGTCCTGACCTACCGCGAGCGAGGAATAGTCGGGGCTTTCTAGGGGAATCATTGAGAGCAGGCCGGGCAAGCCATATCGTTCCGACTCCGTCATATCTGCGAGCTTTTTGTGCTGTTGTGGCACTTGGGTATTAGGTGATCCAACATTGTCAGCCCCGTAGGTCGGCTCGAATTGAGACTGCTGGGGCCGCTGTCCAACTGGGGGAAGATTTGACGGTGTTGATCCCATAAAAGACATGTTTGATATGTTGCCCAAAGCCTGGCTAGGCCGTTGGTTGCTCTGATAGAGGCATTAGTATGATGTTCGAGTTGTATGGTGGATACATTTACCTCCTGTAGACCTGTAGGGGTTCCTCGCATGTTCTCGAATGGTGTCCGAGACGCTATATCACTGAGCGATTGTTCTATCATAAAAGCCAGGATACGTACCACCACCAGGAGCGATGCCTCTACCGCCTATTGCAGAACCTATTGACCGATCTTGTTGGCCATCCGTCGGGCTTGACAGGCCGTTCCGCGTTTGTCCAAGGCCTGGGAAAGCACTTGAATTAGCATTGCCTCCATATGCCGCCGCATTCTGAATCATTCCGGTCCTTCGATCCGGTCCCACCTCTCCTCCCGCGCCTCCAAGGGGTGGAAATTCGTCGATATTGCCGGTTTGAGGTTGAGAAGCACCAGAAAGCGGCCCTACACCTGCTTGACCTCCAAATCGATAGTCGTCGGCCCCCGCTGAGAATTGGTTTGGGCCTGATCTGACTCCATCGTCGGGGCCCTGATTCTGCATCTGCTGGTTCGCAGACTGGCCCGACTGGCCTGGTTGAGCGCCTTGACCCTGCGGTCGTTGGATCGTCGAATGCTGTGTCGTTCGTAGGTTCGGATTTGACCACATCTGCTGTGCCGAGGTGTTCTGTTGCGCTTGGGGAGCGCCGGATAATGAAGGGAATTCTCTGTCATCCGATACATTTAGCTTGGTTTCCACAGCTTTTCCGAGCTCCTTGGTGATCTGCCGTAGCAGGACCCGACGGCCTTTGCATTTGCGCTTTCTCATAATGAACAAGGGCAGGCGGAGAGACTCACTCAAGGTTCAGAGGAGTATGGGCTTGTGAGCCGCCGATTGTCTGCGCGAAACTCGATAGGCCTCCCCCGTTTGTTCGCGATTGTGCGTTTGCTAATCCCGGAGCCCCGCCCATAGGCCCTCCAAACGCCCACTGTGAGCCGCTTCCTGCAACACATATGATTAGCAACACCGCCCGCCGCAGCTGCTTCGCGAATGCCCGTACCCATCTTCCCGTTTTGTAACCTACTCCCACCGAGCGGGCCGCGGGCGCTGTTCTGTTGGCTCTGGAACATGCCGGAGGGAATATTTCGTAGAGTTTGACCTCCCGGTCCTGGATGTCAACAAGTCAGTATGTTCGTTTTGCTCAAGGACCAGTAGCGCGGGACGAAGTGACGACGTGGAGGCGAGGCAGGGACGAGGTATGGGAGCGTAGGAGCGTGGAACGCTAGTTCTGGTCGAGCTGCAGAGTCGCTTTGTGCCGTCTCAATTCGTTTGGCTCGGACAGCTAATTGCATAGAGCGAGGTGAGGGTATTCGGTGCAGGACAGCTGGGTCTGCTTGCGATTGTCGGGCCGGGGACTCAAAGGATTCGCTTGAGGGGGGTACAGACCTGGTCGGTTCATGGCGCGTCGTATAGCAGTTGGCGAGTGCAACGAAGGTGTTCCGCTTCAAGCGTGAAGAGAGGGTTCCTGAGCTGTTGCGGCGGTCGTCTTGCAGCCCGCGTGGTGCAGTTGCGGAAGGTGCAGCTGGGTGCCAAGCTTATCGCTTGAGTGGCCAATCAGCAGGGATGCGTGAAAACTGTGGGTCGCGTATCCCAGCAGATTGCGAGCATCTGCAGTTTCCAAGCCCTGGTTCCAAGGTTATTACAGGAACATGTGACGAACTGGTTCATAGAGTCCCATACCTGGGTAGTGTGCTATGGAGTTTCAATTCAAATAATCTCTTTCGCTATTCACCGAACTCGCCCAACGTTCCCCCAGATCGAAGGCCGGCTAATCCATATCCGGAGTAGAATCGCACCCGTGATTAGCATGCTGGCCATGGTACCTAGGTAGAAAGAGGGATTGCTCACGAATGAGAAGGGCGCTTCACCCTCTTTAGCTTGTATATGCCCGTTCGGTTGGCTTCTGGCAGACGCGAAATGTCCGAGGGATAGCGGCTTCAGGTCGATGTTAAGCTGCCCGCAAGTATCAACACACTTTCTTCCCAGAGCCTTCGCTTTCCGGTAATGCGCGAAGGATAGCGCGCCCTCAGCACTGCTCCGACCTAGACTACTCCTTTTGCTAAGTTGCAGGATTTCTTTCCCGGAGATGATGTTCCAAGGTTGTGGTCAGCCGTACATGAGCGTACAGAGCGCGTATGACCGCACATGAGCGAGAATGACTCATTCTGAGCCAATCAGAGTCACCGTCCCACAGACTCAGCCTCAGAAGCCCGGAGACGAGAATGTGAGCAGAGGAGGGAAACCAAGTTGAAGCGTACACAGGCCTTTGTTGAGAACTTTCTGGGTTAGTCTTAACGTCCAGCCTCTTGCTGCTGGAGAGGATGCATCGCTCAAGACGCGGACAGATCGTAGTGCTGGGAACGCAGAGGGAAGCGAGATAGTGTGCTCATCTCGACTCATTGTGATTCAAAGTGATACCTCGAGCACTTTGGAATATAAGAATGTGGTAGTCATGTAGACAGTGGAATTCAACGAAACTATCGATTTGAACTACAGCGACGACAAAATGAGTGAATATGTGAGTAATCCCCTGCCTACGAAGACACATGCCTCAAAGATTAAAAACCGACTTCATTTGCCGAGATGACAGCCGCTCACCAAGGCGTGCAATGATCAGCTTCCGACATCGTCTGACACAATGGCCGATCCTGCGAAGTACAAGAGAAAAGAGACTCGAACAACGCTGACCCGGAATGATAGAGCTATTTTTGAGCGCGAAGAAGCTGGCGAAGCGTTTCGACTTCACCCTCGAGCCGAGCGCAACGAACCTTCAATTCGTCCCGCTCTGTTTGCGTTTCTTTGAGCTGGGTTTCGAGGCTGGTCATTTGATCGACGCGCTTTTGTCGGTACCGGCGAGCTGCGAGGGTATTGGCCCTTCGCTTCTCAACGCGCGCGGAGTCGGGAAGGGGCGTAGCGCTTTTTGAGTTTGACAATTTTGAATTAGAACAGCCCTCTGGAGACGAAGCATTCTGATTGGTAGAGCTTGAGGAGGAACCAGAATGAGAGGGGCCTGCAACTGTCAGTGCCTGGGGCGTCAAAAGCTCAAGGATAGTACCTTTTTGCATAGCTTGTGACATGCTTGGGTCGTAAACAGCTTCCATACCAGTGGGTATTGCTAGATCATTGATTTGTCCGCCGGCGGTAGAGACCAAGGGATAGGCAGATGAAGCATCGCAGGAGAATGGATCGAGAGGCGAAGATTGCAGGGAGAATGCGTTCCAACCAGAGGTATCGTAGAAGGGAGTTTGAGATTCGGTGAGGAGGCCACTCGTCAGGCCGGCAACGGAAGAGGAGAAAGGAAGATCGGCTGACCCAACAGGGAGCCCGCCGGAGCCGTATGTAGAAAAAGATAACGCCTGGTCCCAGCTAATAGCTTCCTCGCCATGGTGGCTCGAGTGCGACCCCGAGCCTTCGCGGCGTGACGAAGACTCGTCCGAGTTGGCTTGGGATAGGCATAAATCCGATGATTGTGTACTGCATCTTGGGATGGTAGAGTGCGGGCCTTCGAACCCGCTGTGGAACTCTAGGTACTCGTCAAAGAAAATTGGATCAGTCGAAAGGCCCCCTCGCACGCGGGTGAAGAGGGCGGTGGTGTGGATGAGGATCAGAAGACGGGAGCGGCAGCGCGGGGCTTTAAGGGCTGAGCCGGGGCTGAGGTAAGGCCGAGCTAGCGCCCTTTGGGTTACGCCGATCACTTCACTTTTGCTGCAAGCACCTGGGCACAGCCTGCGAACTGCAACACCAGAAGCTCAGCCCTGACAATGACGGCCACACCGACATTTCGAGGTGTGCGCCATTCGCTGATCTCGACGCCCTCCGACCTTGTGCTCTCGCTCCTCGCGCCTTCCGTTCGATGCACCCGAAGCGCACCCGTAGCTCGATTCTCTACGTCGCCGGCATTATGGAAACGAGATAACAACAAGAACCGGGGGCTGTCTGCTATCAGACATACTGGGCCGCGTCGGAGACAGACGCTCTCTGTCAAGCAGAAAGACTACGCGAACCAGCAGCTGCCGACGCCCGTAGAACGCACGTCCACGGTCTATGGCGATCCTGACCACGGTCTCTGGGAGTTCTTCACGGGCAAGAAGCTGCTGAGAACACCACAGGAAGAGTCGCGGCATGGTGTGTGCACAATTCTTGGGAGAGCTGCGTGGAAAACTAATCATTGAGCTAGGGCGAGCATGGACAGTCGCCGAGCTTCGCGAACGGAATTGGGAGACCCTACAACAGTTGTGGTGGGTGTGCGTGAAGGAGCGCAACCGCCTTGCAACAGAGAAGATTGAGCGGGCCCGGCAAAAAGCCGGTTATGGCGACGTCGAGAATGAAGACAGGGACAAGACAGTACAAGAGACTATGAAGGCGATTGTCGAAACTTTGGTGGAACGACACAATGCTTACCAGGAGGCGTACGAGCTTGCGAGGCATGATCCCACCATTGATCTAACCCGCACTGAGAATCAGTACCAAGAGCCCACATACGATCCAGAGGTAAGCCGCCGCAGTCTCGCCTCATCCCAGGATCACGCTAATAATTGAAGGGACTGTATGAGGCCGCCGAAGACGATACAGACGGCTCATTCGACGCTATGCAGGAGGTTCAGGAGAGACAAGCCTCCAAAGACCAGCCATCATCTAGCGCAGACCCTTCGAGCTCGCCCGATCGAGCCAAAGAACGAACCGCGAACTTGTCTTAGATGTATGAATTGTGGGCATAGGAAAGGAATGTGCTCATCCTATGGGAACGAGATGACGCAAGCAGTCGGATGGACGATGTCTTCCAATTACTCCTTCGCGTCGTCCCAGAGTGGCTGGTCTCTGCCATTGGATTGTAACGATATCATTGTGTGTAGAATCTCGTGGGCGATTATACTGTACAACATCGCAGATCGAGAGACGTGGAGGACGGGTCTTTCTCGACCATGTAGAGCCGAAGGGACCATGGGGGCTTGTCTGGCCAAATAGTGTATCTATAGAGGAAAGGGATGCCCTCGGGCAGGTTACAGTTCCATGCTCGCCTCCTTCTCACATGTCAGTAGCTGCACAAGGAACGAGAAATCGTCAGGCTCTCCAGAGGTAATGTATATGCGCTTCGGCGGGCACGAAACCCTCCAAGAAAGATCAACCGGTACTAGGGGTGCGCGTGCCTGCGGATGCCTCTCGTTTTGAGCATTATTCTAGCGGCCCACGAGGCCGAAACGAGATGCGTCCAGAGAATACCCTGGCAGGTGTTCTCCTGTCGCATGAAAGCGCTCTGCGCCACAGCAAATGACGAGCCGAATTCAAAGGAGCTACGAGCACCCCCACATCAACTGCTCACCGCAACACCGCCCACACCACCAACGCCCTCTATTTACCCCAGGTCCCGCCAACTGTCTTTCTTTCTCTTCTCTACTATCCATTCTCCACCATGGACGAGATTGCACCCGAGTACGACGTCGTGGTCCTGGGAACAGGTGGGCGCCTACCCCGCCAAAACATCCCGCCAGAAAGCTAATCCCCCGTCGCAGGCCTCACCGAATGCGTCCTCTCCGGGTAACACACCGCCCGCCGTGAGCGAAAGCACAATGCTGACCGCTTTCTAGTGTTCTCAGTGTGAAGGGGAAGAAGGTGCTGCACATTGACCGCAACGACCACTACGGAGGGTAAGTAAGGCAGCAATCGTGCTGAAACAGAGGTTCTAAGTCGTGGCAGCGAGGCAGCGTCAGTCAACATCGAAGCGGTATGTTCCTGCACATCTGCGGGTTACCAATTGCTGACCCTCGAAGCTCTTTAAGAAGTATGGCCAGACCGCCGGCGAGCCGTGGAAGAAGTACGGCCGCGTCAACGATTGGAACATCGACCTCGTCCCGAAGCTGCTCATGGCGAACGGCGAACTGACAAACATCCTGGTCTCCACGGACGTCACGCGATATCTCGAATTCAAGCAGATTGCTGGTAGTTATGTACAGCAGGGCCACGGCCCCAAGGCAACCGTGGCGAAGGTACCCTCCGATGCGGGCGAAGCGCTGCGTTCGCCGTTGATGGGCTTGTTCGAGAAGCGCCGGGCGAGGAACTTCTTGGAATGGGTTGGTGCATACAAGACCGATGATCCGGCGACACACAAGGGTGGGTGGCACGCATATCGCGAGCTTGATAGCTTACTGATTGGGCGTTGCAGGTCTTGACGTACCAAACATCACCATGAAGGAAGTGTATGACAAGTTTGGCTTGGAGGCCGGCACCAGAGACTTTATTGGCCACTCGATGGCTCTGTACCAGACGGACGACTACATTAACAGGAAAGGCATGGCCAACGACGCCATTGAGCGCATCAGACTCTATGTCAACTCCATGGCGAGATACGGAAAGTCGCCCTACATCTACCCCTTGTACGGCCTCGGAGAGCTCCCGCAGGGATTCGCTCGTCTGTCAGCTATCTATGGCGGCACATATATGTTGAACACTGATGTCGACGAGTTCCTCTACGACGGCAAGAAGGTAGCCGGCATCAAGGCCACGATGAAGGAGAGGGGAGATGATGGGCCAGGGATGAAGTTTGAGACCAAGTGCAAGAAGATTCTGGCAGACCCATCATACTTCCCCGGAAAAGCGCGAGTCACCGGACACCTCCTCAAGGCCATCTGCATCCTGAACCACCCCATCGCCAGCACGGACAATTCCGATTCGCTGCAGCTCATCATTCCTCAGTCCCAGGTTGGCCGAAAGCATGGTGAGTGGTCATCGGACCCAGCTAATGAGACATAGCTGACGAGAGATAGATATCTATATCGCCGTCGTCTCGTCCGCTCACAATGTCTGCCCAAAGGGCTACTACATCGCCATAGTTTCTACCATCGCCGAAGGCGATAGCAACCACCACCTCGAACTGCAGCCCGGTATCGACCGCCTCGGAAAGATTGAGGAGCAATTCATGGGCCCGCCTATTCCGCTCTATGAGCCGATCGAGAGCGGAGAGGACGACAACATCTTTATTTCCAAGAGCTACGATGCTACAAGTCACTTCGAGACCACAACTGGTGAGTGGAGTCCACTGTTGCGCACAATTAAAATGCTAATATTTGCAGATGATATCAAGAACATCTACCGACGCGCCGAGGGTCATGAGCTCGTTGTTGAAGGTCTAAGAGACGGCCAGAATTTCAATGTGGAAGAATAAATATGGAGGGCTATGTAGTATCCGCGCTCTGGTGTCAATTTGGTATTTGACTTGCGAGTCAGTTGGCGAACGTGGTCCATAACAACCATGCATTCCCCGAAGACCGTGGAGTGCTTGGTGTTTGTGTCGTGTTCCTAGACAGAGACGCAGAAGCCGCTGTGATGTCATTCAAAGCCATCTTGTGCGCTTCTAGCTCACAATGTGTGCTTGAATACGTGGTTAAAGCCGTTTAGAGTCTGCTATACACCCGTGGACGAATATTTGACGCTCCTTGCGGGGGATACCCCGACGCCTCCAATCTTGGTACAGCCTCTACTTAAGTCTTTCATCTAAGCCCTGGAGTCTCCCTTCACCAAGTACCTTACTATTCTTATATATAGAAAAGTTGTGCTTTGCACTCTCACCTTTTCGGAATGACATCAATAGCCACTAGCCAAAACAGGAAAGCGTGGTCCATGCGCAGGGACACTTCTCCATAGACGGCCGCGTAGCCTTTAGCCCTTGGGGTGCTCACCGCGTCAAACCTCCCGTTTGCTGTCTTTTAGAGACATCCGCTCCTTTGGAACCTCAGCATGGCGCAAGTCGGGCGCTATCGTTTTCTTTCGATTGCGGTGGTCTTCCACCTCGTATACATTTACAGGTGAGTCGTCAGAATGCTCTAAGCAGCGCGAACTGACGAGTCAAAAGCATTTTCTCAATTTACTTCGTGAGCCCGATTGTTCATGGCATGCGCGAGCACCGTGTAGAGGCTCGGGAACCGCCCGCCAAAAGGCTGGTGCTCTTCGTTGGTTAGTGCCCTGGACGCCTTCGGAGAGTCAAAGGCTGACAGCAGATGCAGGAGATGGCCTCCGCGCGGACAAGGCATTCCAGTCGTTTCCTGATCCCAATGCCACAGATCCCAGTTCCGAAGACGCGAAAGTACCCCGCCCTCTTGCGCCGTTCCTAAGATCTCGAGTCCTCGAACACGGAACCTTCGGCGTCTCTCACACTCGAGTACCTACCGAATCTCGACCCGGTCATGTCGCGCTAATTGCAGGATTATACGAGGATGTATCTGCGGTTATGACAGGGTGGAAGCTGAATCCGGTAAATTTCGACAGCGTCTTCAACCGAAGCAGGCATACATGGAGTTGGGGCAGTCCGGACATCTTGCCCATGTTCGAGCAGGGAGCAGTACCGGGACGGGTAGATGCGGACATGTATGGCGCAGAAGATGAAGATTTTTCCAAGGATGCATATCACCTGGATGAATGGGTTTTTGAGAAGGTCAAGAAGCTGTTCCAGGACGCAAAGACGAATACGACCCTCGACGCCGAATTGCGGAAGGAGCAAAATGTATTCTTCCTTCACTTGCTAGGGCTGGACACTACTGGCCACTCGGACCGACCGTATTCGACGAAGTACCTCTACAACATCCAGGTCGTGGATAAGGGAGTTCAGGAGATCACTAAGCTGATCGAGGACTTCTATGGAGACGGAAAGACGGCGTTCGTTTTCACGGCAGATCATGGCATGAGCGACTGGGGCAGTCATGGCGACGGACATCCGGACAATACCCGCACGCCGCTAATCGCATGGGGCTCCGGCGTCGCGGCCCCGATCGTGAACAAATCCGGAGTAGCCAACGGCCACGAAGACGGCTTCTCGTCCGACTGGGGCCTTGACCACATACAACGGCACGATGTCGCCCAAGCCGATGTGGCAGCTCTCATGGCCTACCTTGTGGGATTAGCTTTCCCGAGTAACTCTGTCGGAGAGCTGCCCCTTTCGTATCTGGACACGGATGCTAAGTCCAAGGCCGAGGCGCTTCTGGTGAATGCAAAAGAGATACTGGAAATGTATCATGTGAAGGAGGATTTGAAGAAGTCCACCGAACTCTATTACAAGCCCTTCCCAGGGTTAGGCGACGAAGCGCACTCCGTCGACTTCCGGATCTCACGAATTCAGGACGCTATAGACACAGGGAACACAGATGATGCCATCCGCCAGTCCAACGAACTAATTCAGCTCGGTCTTCAAGGCCTCCGATATCTGCAAACCTATGACTGGCTCTTCCTCCGAACACTGGTGACCGCCGGTTACATTGGCTGGATCATGTTCGCTATCACAACCGTCATCGACCTCCATGTCCTCAACGAAGAATCAGAGACTTTCAGGACCGTGCCGAGCATGATTGTGTTTTCATCGGTACTTGCGGCTTTATACTCCGCGCTCTTCGTGCAGCAGTCGCCGTGGATCTACTACGCTTATGCTTTCTTCCCGGTCATGTTCTGGGAGGAGGTATGGGCTCGACGACCATCGCTTATTAAAGGCAGCAAAGTTCTTTTTGGCCATATCAATACTCATGGCGACATCATTAGACTGACGCTTTCTACGCTTGGCTTCTTCGGGCTCCTGGAAGCATTGGTAGATCTACCATCTTCGAATCATAAACCAGGCTGATTGTGTGTAGGTCCAAAGCTACTTCAAGCGAGAAATTTATACCATTTGCTATTTGCTAGCAACGACCTGGCCGGCGTTCTACGGTCACGAGTTCATGAAACAGAATCTTCTGACTGTTGCAAGCTGGGTTTTATCGTGCATGCTAATGAGCGTGTTCACGATGCTTCCAGCAAACAAAATAGAGGACCTCACAATGATGTAAGAATCTTCCTCACATGAACTCAGAACGAGAAACTGATGGCATATATAGCATGACGGGAGGCATCCTGATGTTCGCCGTTGGCGTTCTATATCTTCTCTTCGAAAAGAGCATCCTTGCGGGTGCAGAATCCGCTGACGAGGAGCTTGTTACTTCGGGGGTAGATGTCACGTCTCGGATCATAGTGGGCTTCCAAGTAAGATTTTTAGTTCCTGGACACTTTCAACTACTAACGCGGGAAAGGTCGGACTCGTTGCTCTGGCAATGTACGTCACAAGATCTAGTGTGCTGCATCTTCAGTCTAGGCAGGGTCTACTGACTGGACATAAAGTGGTGGGCTGGTTTACTCTTGGTTGGTATTGCATCAATACTTTCCGCGAGACATGTCTAATAGAGATAGTGGCTTCACTGGTTCTTCCCTTCGCCCACGCCCATCGACCCAACAGTCACTACCTTCACCGCCTTGTGGTCATCTTCCTCCAGTTCGCACCAACCTTCATCATCCTCACGATCTCGTATGAGGGACTCTTCTACTTCGCATTCTGCCTCTGCCTCTTCAGCTGGATGCACTTGGAACACCGCGTCTTCCTGTATACGAGCAAAACGTTAGAACCGGCGTCTGCCACGACCAATCCCCTCGAACCAGCCGTCGCAGCGGCTACAGATCGACTGTCGTCGATCAAGAAGGGCGATTACCGCTCGCTCACACTAGCAGATGCTCGGATAGCTCTGTTCTTCTTTTTCTTCATCCAGTCAGCCTTCTTCAGTACCGGCAACATTGCCTCAGTATCCTCCTTCTCTCTGGACGCCGTCTCCAGACTCATCCCAGTTTTCGACCCCTTCTCCCAAGGGGCTCTACTAATTCTCAAAATCATGGTGCCTTTCGCAGCACTAAGCGCCAACTTTGGGCTGCTCAACCGCAGGTTAGGCGTTGCACCATCGGCGCTGTTCATGGTGGTCATGGCTGTTAGCGACGTCATGACGTTGAGTTTCTTCTACATGGTGAAGGACGAGGGAAGCTGGCTCGACATTGGCACGACGATCAGCCACTTTTTCATTGCAAGCCTATTAGGCGTTTTTGTCGCGGGCTTAGAGCTCGTCAGCGAGCATATCATCGGAGGAGCGGAATTCGAGCGCACTGAAAAGGAGGGACAGCTTGCCAACGGAGCGCACAATGGGCGGGCGAATGGGACTTCTAATGGACTCGCGAAGTAGGCACGCGATCGCGTCCCGGGTTGTGTATACTATACAAGGCTATTACGACACAAGAGCGCATTTGAAAGATTCGGTCGCATTTCCCTTGCTGATGGTGTGCGGGTTCTGAGACTCGAGGTCACACGAGAGGACGGATGAGGCGCCCCGCAGCATGGCGGCGCACTGTGCACAGTACGTGAATTTGTTGGCGGCAACGCGATATTCAAGGCGCATCAGGACGCGCGACGAGGGCAGCGGAAAGGCATGAGTTTGAGATGGCGAATCCAGAATTATTAATGATGGCGTTTCAAACCGGGGGTGGGGGTCCGTCCGGAGGCTCAAAGCGCTGGGCGGGGAGGCTGGGGGCTTCGGGCTTGGCAACTTCGCGCCGAAGCGAGCTAAGACATCGTCATGAGGTCTTCGACGTGGTATTGCGGAGACGGCGTCGACAACAATTGCGGCAACGGACTCGCCTTGTTTTATTCTTCCCTTTTGCAGCCGTACGCTGCGCTCTGTGCGACGGGCTTCGTTTGTGTCACCGCGAACAAGTTTATCTCTGTGCGCCGCTCTCCCCTCTGCCCAACCACCACGGCCGCTACCAACCATCGCAATTTTGGTCCACTCAACAAACCTCTGCCGGTCCAGCCTCCATCTCCATCCTACCACTCTCTCCTGACCGGTAATCGCGGCCCCCTCAACCGCGGGCGCCTCCATATATTCCGTCCCGCTTGCTCCTCGCGCCCTTCGTCCCTTCTTTCTCCATAATGTTCTTCAAGCGCCGCTCCCGGGCCAACAGCTACATCGACAACGACGCTCCCCCACGCTCCCAGTCCTACGACGACTACGAGAAGCGCCCCGACTCGAGCCGCGAAAAGCACCAGCAGAGCGTCTCGTCGCCCACCGAGGAAGACATGTATCCGCGCCCGCAGCAGCCGCAGGAGCCCTTCCAGCAGGCGAGGGGCATGCCCAACGGCGGCCACAACGCGATGCCCAACCTGGGCCAGCCCACGCCGCCTCTGAGCAGCGGCAAGACGGAGCCCATGCCTGACCTGCTGGCGCAGGCCTTCAATCAGGCCGTACGCCCGTACACGGATAAGATTGAGCAGCTCGAGAGCCAGCTCGCCGACATGCAGGCCTGGGTCGAGCAGCTCGAGCAGCAGCGCGCGGAGGTGCACAGCTGGATTGATAAGCGCGGACTGCGACCTGGTACGTACCCATCACATGTTCCATGTCCCTATCTGAGCGCAGAGACTAATAATCTACAGACGTCCCGCCCTCAATCGCAAAGATCATGGACACCACCACGCCCGAGGCCGCCGTCACCCTCAACGCACAGCTCGACCGCAAAATCACAATCGTGAACTTCGACCTGCACCGCCTGCAAGACGACCTCAACGACTCTATCTCAAGCGCACACTTCGCCTCGGCAATGCTCAAATTCCTCCCAGACATCCAGCGCCTGTGCCTTCTCCCGGCCGGCCCCCGCCACGCCTTTGACCTTGTCCTCAAGCTAGGCGGCAATCTCAACTCACACGGCGGCCTCGACAGCAACGATGCCACCGACATCGCCGCGCGCCGCGACTTCTACGGCCGCCTCGACGCCGCTATGGTGGACGTCGTGTCGCGCCGCTTCGGCGAGGGTGAGGACTGGAACGTGCAGCGCGAGATCAAGCGCATTGAGAAGACGGCGAGTTATCTGCGGACGTTCGGCGTCGAGCCGTACTTCCCGCAGACGCTGGATCTCATGCGCAGGGAGATTGAGTACAGGGGTGGACAGCCGGTGAATGGTGCGCCGAACGGCCAGGGGTCGCCGCCGCGGTACCATTGAGATTGGCAAAGATCTATCTGGGACTTGCTGAGCTGACTAGTGGCAGACCTTCGTCGATGGAGCCGCACAGTCCAAAAAAGCGAGTCGTCACTTCCGGTTGATATGCGGATCTCTTCGGCCTTGCAACTGGATCGCCACCAACGTCGCGACCTGTTCATCACTATTTCTCGACTATATTTTGTACTTTCTTCCCAGTCGAGCATACTCTCACCCTCTCGGCCCTACGACACCTCTTTTCTTGCCTGTGTTTTTCATTTTTGCTCTCCATCGGGCTTGGGTATACGGCTGCTTCACGACTGTACTTAATAGCACCACGTCACGAATCTCCTTGTTAGCATGGAGGGGTGGGAATCATGCCGTTTCACGCTTTTACGTGAGCGGTGGCGCATGGCGTTGATAGTTTTGCGCGTTCGTCTGGATGTATGGAGCGGCAGACGAGAAGGAAGGGCCAGGGCCAGGCAAGTATAGAGAGCTTGAGCCGGCCGAGTAATAGGGACATAGGAGATGAAAACGAAAAGAAGGCTTGAACTCCAACATCCTTCCTCCCTTCCCAACCAGATTACTGACCGGAGCTTTACAAAGAAATTATCCCTTGCTCCTTACATATCCTCGCGAGCAAACTGTCTTTCCATCCTACCAACTCACCCGGTCTCTCCGTCTCCACAATATCCCCCGCATCCATGATAACCACCTTATCATATTCCAAAACCCGCCTCCAGCCGATGCGCAACAGCGAGTACTGTGCATCCTTTACTCACAAACTACTGCCGTATGAGCTTCCGCATCATATCATGTTTCACGTCGTCCAAGTTCGATGTCCCTTCATCGAGAACACAAGATCTCTGGACGCTGTGGGAGTAGCATAGTCCGCGCGAGGCAGAAGGGTTGGGTCTGCCCCGGGGAGAGGGTGTTGGGGTTTATGGGAATCTCGAGGATGCGTGTTAGGGTTTAGCTATCGAGGATTTTGAGGGAATGTGGGGATAGAAGGAAGGAACGTGGAGATGGGTATAAGAGGCGGATACGTGGGGACTCGATGTCCCCATTTTGCGGCCAGTCCTCTAGCACTTGTGCGAATGCATCGGCGTCCTCCTCCTCATCAGCCGGTATATCACTCGCGAAGCTCTCTAGCCGTGCGATAGCGCCTAAATCTGTCTCCAGCGTCGTCCACTCGATCACCCACCTATTCAAGCGATCGCCAAACCCCAGAATAGCAATCAAGCCCACGCCAACAGATAATGCGCTACCGGCGCGCTTGACGAAGATGGCGGACGAGACGAGCAGGACGGCGATGGAAGAAGAAGCGTGGCTAAGAACGCGTTCGGTAGGCCCTATAGATACGATGGCCCCTTCGGAGGTAATGCTCAGGATTGCCTCCATGAAGGATAAGACATATGCTGTCCCAAGTCAGCCGCCGGTGTTTTTTTTGTCTACTGAAACATATAGGATCGTTCCCGAGTGCGTGACCAACACCACAATCATCCTTAACGCCCTCAACACTCCTTAAAGGTCCAATAATGAGAACCCGCCATCTTTTGTAGAACCTTGCTTAAATGCCTCCAGCAACCTCTTAGAGCCAAAATCCTCCTTAATCCGCATCGGTTCATCTGGGCGGAGAAAGGCCTTATACCCCGTCCTCAACATCCCGTTTAGCCACCAGAACACCCCCCGAGAAAACACTCTACTCAGCGGTGTCCGGCGGGAGACCCCTATACTGTGCCAATAACCAGCGCCTCTTACCCTGCACTTCAGCGACCAATAAACCAGTTCAAGTGCAAGACAACCAGCTACAGCGACGGCTGTCTTTACTGACAGGAGGCGAAGCCATAGAGCACGGATCTACACCGCATCGAAGAGAATAGTGAGGAAGAGGTACACTTTAATCGCGTCCTCGCTTCGAGGCGATTTGACACACTCGAGCAGCGAAAGACTGAGACTAACAATCACTGAAACAGAAACTCTGCGCGGAAATCGCCGTCTTAATCAATGCGATGCCTCCATAACCAGCGCGTAGAAGGCAAGTGATAAGCTGCGCCGCGAGGAGAAGTACGTATAAACTTGATAGCCACATTCATCAGCTTAGAAGTAAATGATCCCCGATGCATCCCACCAGTCTACTCAACACAAACCCACTTCGCCTTCTTCTCCCCCTCCTCCTCCGCTCAAAAGCCACCATACGCTCACTAGCGCATATATCAAGAACACAGCTGATGGCAGAATCGAGAGGATACTTTACGCGAATAACAACGTAAAGTCAAAGTCCCTGTGATTCTTATTACGGACAACGGAACCGAAGCTATTGTCGTTCGACATGTTGGATTGGGAGGCACTCATGGTGGCATTCGTACTGCGAAGGTCCGTTAGTGACCGAGGATTGGGAGATCTGAGGGGAATATGGTAGCAGGAGAAAGAACGAAAGTAAAGTAGCAACGGGATACTGCAGTATGATTGCATACGGCGTTGGCGGCTTAAGCGAACGCCGTATGAACTCTGCCCTTCTCGGAGGCCTGAAGGGGTAGACCGCGACGTTAAGAGGAAAGAGGGGGAAGAAACCGCTAATCCGGAATGGCGGATGCCAACGCCTGCAGACTCATGCAAAACACCGACGACATTGACATTGAAGTGGCCATGAGAAGAAACGACATCAAGACGTACAAAGAGATCGTATTTTGATATCCGCAAAGATAAACGCATCAGACCATCTATCCATGTATGACACGTATTGACACCCGAGCCTCCCTCCAATGCCCAAAAGACACATGCGTGAGCGCTGAAGATGCCAACACGAATCCCTTTTACCAAATGCCCCTCATATATCATGCAAAGAGTGATCGTCGCTGCCGTGCATCGCTATCGTGAAACGAAATCTATGCCGGATGTTGGATTGATGTTGATAAATCTGTCAAAAGGTCGAACGCTGTGAAGAAGCATGGGTTGAAAAGATGCCGAGCATTGGGAGCTCGGCGAGAAACAAGGGGAAGCGGGGTCCAGCTTCTATCCAAGATGCTGTAATGCTCAAAGGCATGCCCGAGAAAGGATGGATCCAATCGATTACCGATGGTGTGGAGGTATGTCCGTATATTTGGGGTCATTGCACGAACTGAGCAAGACATTATAAGCTTTCCTTGATGTTTTCGACGGTTTTGTACAGGTCAACGGCTCGTTCATTTTTCAGCTGCAGATTGCTTGTCAACCAATGGCTCGGTAGGCCATGTCTAGGAACTTACCTTGAGAGTGTGCGACTCAACTTCGCCCGTGGCAGTGGGCGCGGTGAAGAACAACTTCCCGTCCTTTGGTACGGTTCCCTCCGCATCACCGAAACCCATATTCCGAGTAACGGCCGCGTTGAGGAGCAGACGGTGAGTACCGTCTGCGCGAAGGACGAACCTAGCCCTTGTTGGAGGATCTCGGGTGACGTTCAGCTTGAAAGGCCCAACACCACGCTCGTGCCACTGCTTCTTTCCGGTTTCGCCAGCCAAAGTGTAGAGTTTAGCGCGGCCGGTCCAGACGGTGTCTTCGCCTTCTTCGCCCGTTTCGAGAGGGGCTATTAGGTATTAGCACACATCCTTCAAGGAAAGAGAAGCACCTACCATGAGGTGGGAGGATGGGCTGACTCCCCCTTTCCGAACGCTCCTCGCCATTTTCAGCTTCTTCATCATCTGCACCTTCATTCTCATTCTCTGATCCGTCCTCGTTATCTTCCTCTTCTTCAGCCTGGTTCTCAGCCGCACCAAACTGCGCGGGCTTGTGGGTTAAACCAGTGATGCCCACTCCAGTACCAAAGGAGATAGAAGATTTCGAAGCGCCGATACGTCCGAAAGCGCTGGCTCCCAATGGTCCACCGAATACTGGTTTGCCTCCGCTTGAGGCTCCACCAAAGGCTGACGGGCCAGAGCTGCTTCCGAGAGAGGTGAACCCGCTGGGCTTCGAAGTAGCTGTACTTGACGCAAATGATATGACCTTGTTGCCGCCTGCTGTGGCGAAGGGAGAGTTGGATCCGGTATTGCCGAGACCGCCAAAGGGTGAGGCACCGGACTTTGAAAAGCTGCTGAAACCAGACTTCTTGAACTTGTCGTCTGAAGTCTGTGGAGGGTGTTCTGCCGCTTTCCCGGTAGCGTTGGATATCTGGGGTTTCGGAGATATTGCGGCGAACGGAGACGTGGAGGAGGTGTTCGAGAAGCCGCTTCCTGCTGGGATCTTACAGAATATTAGCTTCAATGCAACGTGTGCATCATCGTACGAACCTTGGCCGCGCTTTCTGTTGTCTGGATTGCCGCCTGCGAAACGACCTCGTCTCGAGGTCGCTTCGTGTCCCTCTCGTCCCCCGCGTTGGCATTTGCTGCGGTGTCTTTTGAGGAGTCGGTTATGGAGCCTATCTGGACCCCAGAGGGCTCTACTTGATCGAGAGTGCGCTTGTTGTTCGGGCTGGTGACGGTGGCTTCTTTAATGGGGACGCCAGGTTCGGGAGTGATCTGTCGATCGGTTGTCGACGTCTTGGCTGGCGCAGGCTCGTCAATGTTGTGCATCGTCTCGTCTGTCTCATGCTCGTCAATCTTAGGAACGGGGGTAGTGCTGGTTAACGGCGGGACCGGAATTTCAATATCCTTTGGGCTCGTAATGTCTCGAGACTTCTTTCGTGTATGCCGCTCGTGCTTCTTTTCCGGGTGCTTTGCCTCCTCGTGGTCGTCCTCGAAGTCCTCGCGGCTTCGCTTCCGCCGTAGCCTTCCCCTCTCGCTCTCCGACCCTGATGTGCTAATGTCGCCGCGAGTACCATTGGGTGCGTCATCCATAAGCTGATCAGAGCTTGGTGGTGCATCCGAGGCGGCTTGGGCATCTATCCTCGTCTCTTTAAGCTTCTCGCGCACGGGTCTACCCTCGCTATCGCTGCTCTTGTCACTTCTAGCTGGGGAAGTGGGTTGTTCAGGCTTGGTAGACGTCTGCGGCTCCATCGTTGTATCCGTGGCTTCGGGAGCTGGCTGCGCCGGTTCTTCTGGCTCTGGTGAGCGCGCCATGGGTGCAGAGAGTGTGTGGTTCTTGGCCTTCGTTTTCGTAGTATGTGCAGAGGGCGGGGGTTGAAGAGTATTTTGTAGGCCTTCAACCTAGGCAACCTTCACTCGATCGTAGGGTGGTGTTGCCACAGTCCCGTGTGGACTAATCGCCCAGCGCCCCAATAGCGTGAAGAGGGACTCGTGAAGCTGTTGACCGCACGAGTCTTGCAACAGCCAGGAGAAGAGTGCGGAGGTAGTGCTTCAGCAAGGCTCCGCAGCCAGGCGCACGGGCGGCGATAAGCTATTCGCAGCAGCCGATTGATATTGTTGGATCGCAGAGGGCGCTGGAGAGCAGAGCGGAGGAGGGATCTTAGTTATCGAGCGAAACGGGAGAGCGTAGCACGGGAGCTGGACTTGGTCGTGCGGTGGGAGATGAGGGTCAAAGCGCTTTGTTGGCGGTGGTCAGCTAGTATTTACGCCTGCGGTCCAATGCGCCGCGTAGGAGGGCCGAGAATGGGCACGTCGTGCGGCAACGCGTGTGGCCGGGCCGGGAGCGGCGTGCGCGTTCTGGAGGGTGAATGGACGGGAGAGGGGAGAGTGCGGCGCTTCGATCTGCTGGTCGAGTGTGTTGTTCGGCAGCGGTGGCGGCAGCGGCCCTCTCGAGACCAAGACCAATGACGGAGGAGTGGTGGGGAAGGACGGTCGAACATTACACCATGAGCAACAACACCTACGTCGGCAAACCCTGGCTTCGCATTCTTAGTATAGCCCTGGAGTGCAGTTCATAGCGGGATGGAATTGCAAGGCGTTTGAAATTCAAAAGTTTCAATTGCGGCTCTGAGGCCAATTCGCCCAATCCTCCTGCAGGGCTAACACGTCCGACGCAATGGTGTTTAAACTACAGAATGGGACTGCTACACCGCAGCTACTATTACAGATCCGGAGTTACGAGCGCTAGCTGATGAGGCAGATGCAGCCCAGCGCGACGTAGAACACGAACAGCGGGTATACTGCGATGCCGACGCGATTCCTAACCACTCCCGAGCCGCCCATTATGCTGATGCCCGCCGCTAGTGACCAGGCTATGAGGACGAGGTACACCGGTATCCTGACGATGACGGGTATGCCAGCGGCGCTAAGGACTGAGGCGATGACGAGCGGAAAGAGCGTGTAGCCGATGATGGAGACAGACTGGAAGAAGGCGCTGCGGACGTTAGCGAAGAACCCAGAGCCCGCCAGCAGGACAGCTTACATATTCCCTCCCAGCAACTTGATCTGCAGAGTCACGACGGCCTCTCCTATCCATACCATGGCGAAGATGCCCGAGAACACGAGGTCCTTCTGGGAGTCCTGGGCGCCCCTGGAGAGGAAGAGACTGAGGAGCAGACAGAAGATCAACGGGCCCCACAGATCCCAGTCTCGCAGCCCCTCGCTCATGCCGCCCTGTAGAATGACATCCGCGTCTGGCCATCTGCCCGCAAGACTCCTAATTCCGCCGCCGAACCCATCAGCCTCTCCGCGCTCAGCTGCACCTATGCCACCTCCGCGGTGCATCATGCCCCCCAGTAGGTACTTGGGGTACAGCACCTGCTTCATCTTCTCCCAGATAGCAAGCAGGTCTCTCGAGAGTGTCTCCCATACTGTCTCATCGATGGTGTTGGTCGGCGCGCGGCGGTCCTCGCCGGGGATGCTCGAGGTCAGATACGACTGCGCGTTTCCGCCTGACCGCGACGAGATATTTCCAGTGAGCGGGGTGCGGTCGGAGGTGCCCTGGATCGGGTCGTCGAGATCGTCCAGCGTTGCTGTTGCATTCATTAGCAACGAAATCAAAGCTGTATACAGCGCCTGTGAGTCGCCGGGGACAGTGATGGCAGGCTCTTCTGAGGCCTGAAAATCCGCCCAGCGGCAAAGGTCGCTGAGGGACTTTAGGCTTGATCAAGTACATGTCAGAGCGCACACTGTCCCGCCGGCGTATATCAGGTGCTGTATGCGGCCGGCAGCTTGCGTACCATCGTCTGGATCGATCAGGTCCCGGTCCACCGCGTCGTTGTCGTATGGCGTATTTGCCGTTGAGGCGCTCGGCATCATTGCCGCCATGGTGGGATCCACTCTGCGAAAAGATTGTATATATGCTAGCTCGAATCGGCAGCTGGGGTGATGAATTTATGAAGCTCTCCAGGGCTGCGAACAGTTGGCGCCTTCGGCTTTCCAGCGGCGGCGGCTCGCATCCAAAACGGGCTAGCTATCCGCCGCAGGGTCGCAGTTGCATCAGTCAGGGCATTCACAATTCACTATATTTGAAATGGACCTTTACGCAAGTGCTGTGGGAGTCTTCTCTACTGCCACATTAAATATTCCCGTGCACCCTCGCTGCGGCTTGCATTGGCGACCTCTTGTCCACCATGGCCGAGCCAATCTTGAACGACATCTCCCACCGGCGCTTCAACCTGCTGCGCGGAAGCTGGGTGCTTGTTTCGCCGCATCGCAACAAGCGGCCGTGGCAGTAAGTCTGATTGAAACCGTGAGCCCAGATTGAGACGCTGATGATTTTCCAGAGGCCTCAAAGAATCTCCGTCCAAAACTACTCTGCCAGAATATGACCCAGAGGTACGCTTCCAAGTTCACGTACTACCCCACCATTTCATCATCAATTCTCACACGTGACAGTGCTATCTATGTCCTGGAAACACGCGCGCGAACGGCCGGAAGAACCCCAAGTTCAACAAGACCTTCCTCTTCGTGAACGACTACAGCGCGGTCAAGGAAGACCAGGAAGAGTACCACCCAGAGCGCAAACCAGGATCGCTAGCCACACGACTACTCAAAGCAGAATCAGTCACCGGGAAATGCTACGTCATTTGCTTTTCGCCGTCTCATCACCTCACCCTCGCGGACATGACCCCCGGAGAAATTATGCCCGTCATCCAGACTTGGACAAGTCTCTACACGGCACATCTAAGTCCGAAATCGCCTCTCGCAAGGGTCGCTGAAGCTACGTCAATACCCCCGGCATCTGAAGGGGATCCAATGAAACCTAATGCCCAATACCGTTACATGCAGATCTTCGAGAACAAGGGCACTACCATGGGATGCTCAAACCCACATCCCCACGGCCAGGTGTGGACAACTACATCACTTCCTGAAGAGCCAACAGCGGAACTAGAGCAATTGAGCAAGTACCGCCGGGAGAATGGCGGGTCTCATCTTTTGGTGGACTACGCCGAACTGGAGTCAAAAGAGAAGGACAGAACCGTCTTCGAGAACGAGTCGTTTTGGGCAGGCGTGCCTTACTGGGCGGTGTGGCCGTTTGAGGTTATGATCGTAAGCAGGCACCACAAACGGGCGCTGGTGGACTTCAACGACAAGGATCGCCTAGACCTAGCGGAATGTCTATCAGAAATCACGCGGCGGTACGACAACCTGTTCCAGACGCAGTTTCCCTACAGTAGGTTCACCGTTTGCACATGTTACCGACATACCCGCTGACGTACGATGTAGGTATGGGTCTCCATCAAGCACCACTAGAGGGATCAGACGAGGAGATCGAGTCAAGCCATTTCCACGTCCACTTTTTCCCTCCGCTACTACGCAGTGCGACCGTCCGGAAGTTCCAGGTCGGATACGAAATGCTGGCTGAGCCGCAACGAGACATCACTCCTGAGCAGGCTGCGGAACGCTTGAGGGCCTGCGGTGGCGTCCTTTATCGCAAGAAGTTGGACGGTGTCATGACAAATGGCGTCCATGGAGAGCAAAGCGAGGCCGGAGGTGTGCAGCAAGGACAGTAGCCGGGAGGTGATAGGACCGAGACATGGAGTCGATATCTTCTTGCATGTTTAAGCTGTCCATTTCGGTGTACATATAGATCGCATGGGACCTTAGGATACCTGGACTGGGAGTATTGCGCGTAAACTACACTGCATAGAGGAGGGTGAGGAAGGGAGTTGGGCAGCATTAGCATGGGGCGTAATGTTACTGGGCGCAATAGTCACTGCAATTCAACAAATTCAAAAAGCCGACGGTCTAGTCCGCGTACTTCTCTACATTCCAATTCTCTCTCATACCCGCTCGGTCCTCAATTTCAGAATCCTCAGTAAAAATTAATGCAGTTTTGAACCTGCGCAACGCTCACCACCATTCCCAGTCCTGCACAGACCACCGCCCATCAAGCTCACCCCTGCCCAAATTTCCCGAACACCAAAACAACCATCCCACCTACCTCCAAACCCGCACCCTCCAACCGCTCCAATGGCCACCGATCTAGCATCCTATCTCCCACCCTTCGAAGGGCTGCTGCCAAAATGGCTTCTCCTAGTATGTACATCTCCCCCAATCGCCAATTGCGTCTCAGCACCGACACAGCTTGAACATGGACCATACTAACGCAACCCCATTCACCCACAGGTCTCCATGATCTCAATCGCCAACTCCATCCAAGCCTACACAACTCTGCACTACACAGCACGCGTGTACAACCCCAACCCGGACACCTCGCAACCACCATCCAACATCCGCTCCTCCTCGCCCTCCGCTAAACCGCCCTCCGCTAAACCGCCCTCCGCCGACTCATCAACCTCCAAAACCCCTCCTGCAGACGCAATCACCGCCCCCGAGATCCCCTCCCAAGTAACCCCGCTCAGCGCCCGCAAATTCGGCACCTGGACGTTCCTCACCGCCATCGTGCGCCTCTACGCCGCCTACCACATCACTGACAAAGCGGTGTATGAGCTGGGCATGTGGACATACGGCATCGCGTGGGCGCACTTCATGAGCGAGTGGTGGGTGTTTGGCACGACGCGGTGGGGGGCGCCGCTCGCGGGACCCGTTTTCGTGAGTACGGGGAGCTTAGTGTGGATGTGGGTGCAGAGGGAGTTTTATCTTGGGCAGTAGGACTGGGATAAGCGAGGAGGCCTGTGTAAATACCCGTTAGAGAGAAAGGGGCTTTTGTCTGTATGGACTTCTACTAGGAGAGGAATGAAATGAGGACTATCTAGTCGCTGTTTAGAGGCCGGATTGTAATCGTAATGCGTATTAGCAAGGCATCACAATGAATGTCAATGCATGGCCTGCTCAATTGCTACTGTTGAAAGACGAAGTTAAAGTCATGTCAGGGATGACCCGGCGATGCTGCATGAGGTACATTTGGCTATGGGTGACGGCAGGTTGGGTTCAAGGACCTGATCGAAGACTTCCCGCCCAGTTTGACCCTAAATTTAAAGGTCCAGCGTCATGTATAAGCGCGACACCATGCACCACACTCGACAGAGCCCATTACTTTTTGACCGCCTCAGCAGTGCTTTTTGCCAGCCGAGGGCTTTCATTGCTCATAGACTGAAGAAACATACACAGCCCGTAGGACTCCGAATCCTAGTCCCAAATGCAGAGTGTGACCTGTCGAAACCTCATCCCCAACCACCATTCCTCCTGGCCTCCATAGCCTCTCATTTCCAAATCACCCGCTTAGAACTTAGAGAACTGCTTGACAGCCTTGCCGGTTCGGGGAAGCACGCGGAGGACGTTGAATCGAACGGTCTTGGAGAGCGGTCGGCACTGGCCAACAACGACCGTGTCACCGGGCTCGACACGGAAGGCGGGGGAGACGTGAGCAGCGAGGTTCTTGTGGCGCTTCTCGTAACGCGCATACTTGGGGATGAAGTGGAGGTACTCGCGGCGGATAATGAGGGTTCCTGGATCCATTAGTATCGCTGCCAAGCCATATCTCGATTTCCCGTATCGCTATTCTAGAAGGCCAGAATATGTCGATATGGATTGTATGTAGGTCTGACGTACGGTGCATCTTAGTGGAGACGACAGTTCCGGTGAGAATACGGCCGCGAATCGACACCATTCCCGTGAAGGGGCACTTCTTGTCAATGTACGAGCCCTCGATGGCCGTCTTGGGCGTGCGGAAGCCCAGACCGACCTCCTTGTACCATCGCCTGTTTCGCGTGTTCTTGCGCGGTCCGGTGGCCTTGTGGTTCAGGAAGATATGGGGCTATTGCAGATGTATCAGTATCGCGAAGTGTTTTGCGGCAAGGCGGGTGAGATTCGTAGTACCTGCTTCTGGAAAGCACGCTCCGACTGGACTCTGTTGTCTCAATTAGCCATAGACTTCGAATACGATTATTCTGCGACATACGTGAGCTCGGTAGCCATGATTGCGGTCGGGGATGTGTTGTCGTTCTGCTGGCGAAGGAACTTGAAGTTGCAGAATGTGTGGTGCTAAGCGAGTCGGCAGCCAGTTTTTCCGCCTCCGCGATATTCTGCCAAGCTTTCTAGCTTACTGATGTCTGATTGGCCGGCGCAATAATCGATTCGACAACAATTCCGCGAAGTCCGATTCATTACAAGCTGAAGCCCTCCGCCGGCTTGTTACATTATCAGAATTGCCAATCGAGAAGCCAAGGCCCCTTTTCGCCGGGTCGAGCACAGTGCGGCGCTGTCTCGGGGGTCTACAAAACTCGGGGCCAACAGCTCACCTCCGAGTTCAACATTTATTTCGAGCACGCATCTTTCCCTCCAACAGTCCGCATTCTGCCTTTTCCTCTCACCACAACTCATCATGGATGCAATCAAGAAAGTCACGGACTACCTCGGAGTCCAGTTCGAGTCCAATTCCTCCTTCATTCTCGTTTCCTCCGTTCTGCTCGCCGGCATCTTCACCATCGTCGCACCGATCTTTAGCTTCATCAGGGTCCTGTTCAGCTTATTCGTACTACCAGGCAAGCCCGTACGTCTCCTGCCCTCCTCTTCCCCAAGGTAATTCAATCGCTAACAGTATCTAGATCAGCAGCTTCGGGCCCCGCGGCTCCTGGGCTCTCATAACCGGCGCCAGCGACGGCATCGGCAAAGAATTTGCCCTCGCCCTTGCGAAGAAGGGCTACAACATCATCCTCATCTCGCGCACTCAATCCAAGCTCGATACCCTCGCCTCCGAAATCTCCTCCAAATATGGCCCGAAGATTAGCACCAAGACGCTCGCAATGGACTTCTCGCAGAACAAGGACTCCGACTACACTGCGCTGCGCAAGCTGGCCGATGGCCTCGATGTCAGCATCCTGGTGAACAACGTGGGATTGAGCCACAGCATCCCCGTGCCGTTTGTGGAAACACCAGCGCAGGAAATGAACGATATCATAATGATCAACTGCATGGCTACCCTCCGCGTAACCAAGCTCATCGCCCCCGGCATGATCTCCCGCAAGCGTGGCCTGATTCTCACCATGGCCTCCTTCGGCGGCTTCTTCCCTACACCCCTGCTCGCTACCTACTCTGGCAGCAAAGCTTTCCTCCAGCAGTGGTCGACCGCCCTCGGCTCCGAACTGCAGCCCCACGGCGTGCACGTGCAGTGCATCCAATCCCACCTCGTTACGACCGCCATGTCCAAGATCCGCAAGACATCAGCGCTGGTACCAAACCCACGCCAGTTCGTGCAGGCTGTGCTGGGCAAGATTGGGAGGAGCGGTGGTGCGCAGAACGTCGCATTTACAAGTACCCCGTACTGGAGCCATGGGCTTATGCAGTGGTTCTTGTCAAGGTTCTTGGGCGAGAGGTCGCAAATCGTTGTCAAAATCAACAGGGGTATGCATGAAGATATCAGGAAGCGTGCGTTGAGGAAAGCGGCTAGGGATGCGAAGAACCAGTAGAGCGAATACAACGAGGTATGGAGTCGGTTGCGCAGCTAGAGTGTCGAGTTAGCGAATAGCTCGTTTATGAGGGACGAGCGTTCCTCAGTTGCAGAGAGCGAGCCGAGCTAACATGATCAAAGGATTATATAGACGTAATGAATAATTTGCCATGGATGCTTCTGCACAATTTGCATATTGGAGTTGTTAGTCACAAATGACCAGAGAAGCTCGAACTGGTCGCTCAATTAAGCTACTTCCACGTCCGAACACTCAGAACCCGTGAACACTCAGTTAAGATCAAGGGCCTGACATTCCTTAAGGGGCTGCATCCGTATAGAAATCTCAACAGCCTATGCCTATAACCATGACAGACTGCTCTGTCAAGCATTGAATGACACTACCCTCGACTATACAGCGACAGCCATATCTTCCTCCTCGCCAACATCCTCAAAGTGCTAGTCCAAGTACTTGGAATAGTAGTAGTCCTGTCCTTCCGGTGGCGTCTCTTGATCTCCAGCACCCGTTCCCTCCTCGTCAATTGAACGCATAGTCACCATCAAAGTCGCCTCCAAACTCATCTGCGTCTGTACCATGTCGCTCCCCTCGCTCCAGTTTCAAGTCAGGATCGTCACTATCGGGGATTTCGCCATCTTGCATGCGTTGGGAAGGATGCGCGTCGTTGGCATGGGTGCCTCCTCCTTCGGGTAAAGTGCCGTCCTCATCGTCCTGTCCGTCCTCCTCTGGCTGATCCGGTGCGTCTTCGGCGTGTTGGAGGATCTTTGCGAATACATTAGGGGGCATGTCACACTTCACGTTCCGGTCCCTACACTCTCCGCAGTGGGTGCCCAGTGCGCGACCCACGTCCTTCAGTCCAGGATGATACAGCATACAAGTGGTTCCCCGCTTGCGGCAGTTGGGGCAGCTCTCTGGAGCTATCACGCCGTACTTTCCTTGGATCAGCTTCGCGTGGGCGATTCGGGCTCGAACGGTAGGGTGCGATCTCGTCTGCAAGGATTAGCATGTGCGTTAAAGTATGATACAGCCCGGGAGAGACGAAGATCGGTGCTTGAGTGATCCTATATAGCTAATCTTGTAGACTCCCAATTGATGGAGACATGGTGGGCACATGCGACGACGTGTGAAGGATCTACTCACCCACTGACGGCTCTCGCGGTGACCGAAAGAGCCAGAGGGAGCGTTTATGCTCGCTGCAGCCTCGAAATCGGCGGTGTATTCCGACTGGGGTGGGGGTAGTGGGAGGATAATTCGCGTCTTAGCAAGCACAGCTTCCAAAATTTGCGCGTGCACTAGAGACATTATATTAGCCTGTGGGGAACGCGCCCTGGAGTACTTCAACAACGTTTTACGTACCGGAATCTGGGTGAGCACTGCGAATATGGCGGCGGAAGTGGTCACCACGAGTATAGCCTCCCGCTGCCCGGCTTGTACACTCTTCCACCGGGCAAATGAAGGTGCGTTCTCCGCCACCCGCGCGCTGAGATCCCGACGCGAACTCGCTCACGGATCGCTCCTTGTTGGGTACGCTGACGCGACTTCCCTCTTCAAGGCGTGCCGAGTCGACTTCAGGGTGTGCATGCTCGACGTGCCGCACAAAATTGGGTCGACAGTTGAAGCCCTCTGACCGCCGTGGGCAGGTAACCACTGGACAATAGAACATAATTTTGGCTTTCTCAATGGTACTGCTGAGCCGGGGCATTTTAGCGGGAGGAGCTTCCGGAAGTGCGCTCGAAAGTCGTTTCTTTGAGTTACGATGACCGCGGCCACCCATGGTGCAAGTATTACTATGGAGGCGACATTCGCCGCAGGCTCCCGGTGCAGCCCTGGCTGCCTTCAGATCCGGATGGTATATGCGGCATTCGCGTCCTTCTTTCTGGCAGCGGTCGCATGTGACAATCGATGGAGTACCGTATATCCCTTTGATGAGGCGAGCATGCGCTACTTTATACTGGTATGCCTTTTTGATGTCGTCCCTACAAGTGGAGGTAAGGTTAGCGATGACTCTCAACCAATGGTCACCCTGCGTTTGGGAAAGTCACCCTGGAGGGCTTCACCAGGTTATCTATGACTGCGGGGAATGAAGCAAGAATAGTCTGCGATGTGGAAGAGAATTGAGGAATCCTCAAGATTATACCATTTTTGGACTCCGTCACCCAGGATGGGAGCGCTGAACACCCACGAAGCGGAAGAAGAGAAATGTAGCCCGATATGCTTCGCCGGGGTATGCACAAACGGGGAACGGGTCTGACGGAGTACGTACCAGTTGTGCTTATGGCCATAGCTTCCGTGAGCTGCGTTTACAGTTATGCAAGCTTTGAAGTCTATCGCATGCTGGGTAGGGGTAGCGCTTAGCGGAAGCGGCGGGGACTTGAAGACGGGTGGTATTTGGGGCTGTACAGCGACCGCATCACCTTCTTCGTTTGACTCGGTCTCGGCTCCGTTATCGCTTGGGCTGAGAAGGAAGTGGGTTTCTCTAGATTCCTCTGACTCTGAATCTGATGACAGATCCTGTACCTACACAGGTAGCGGTACATTAGCAGATATCTTAAATCAAGAGGGAGTTAACTCTCTAGTATAGCTTAGGCCATCAAGTGCTGGAGATCTTCGGCAAGAGCTTTCCTCAGGTAAAAGCTAAGATAGGCTAGAGTATGACGTGGCCTACGTACCAGATGGCGCTTCCGCTTTTGTGGAATGGTCAAGGGCAACGGCATAGACTGCAATATTGGTCGCCCGCCGAGCGAAAAGCCAACTTCATCCATCATCGTCAAAGAGCTGGAATGGGTAGCTGGCCGAGAGGAAGTCCCCGTGTCGACCACAGTCGATGCTGCAGTGCTGACAGTTCGAGGCTGCGAACTGGTAAAGCTTCTAGCGCCAATCCTCTCAAAATGAGCGAACAGGTGGAGTTTGCCTAAAGGCAGGGGTACAAGGTCAGTGTGGCCTTCGAAGTGCGTAAGAGTACTTCATGTCTTAATCAACAGCTTGTGGTATCTGAAACGGCCTTCATGAGGGCACTTCAGAACATTTTGCGCATTGATGAGACCGATGAATTTAGCACCAGGAACCTTACGTACCTGTAGTGAGGCAGCCTTCGTCAAAGTAGGCTCCGTTATTCCAGAGTAAGGGGAGTGCCTTTCCTTCGCACACGCCGTCCTCTAAGTGGAAATGCACGGTCCATTGCTGCGGATCCTTGGACAAGATACTGTAGGTCAGCGATTCGAGTTGCTACAGCTGTTAGCACGAGCCTGATTTGATGCGAGGTATCCCCATTTTCATAAGTACCTTGTACGTTTGGGCGAGCTTTCCTGGGACCCAATCGCTTATGGCGTCGGTTCGGAACTCGCAAAGCAGAATAGTCGGCAGCGCCATGTTATGAAATCCCGCAATTGAAGAACTGCAACTCCGGAGGCTGGTCTGGGGCCCTATAGGGAGGGTAGCACCTCGAGGTGCCATCAATTGGTGACGGGAAACAAGGCGGAGGTTGCGTTGGGCAAGTCGCGATAGCTTCAAATTGGGGCAGTGCACGGACCTCGCTCTAGCCCGATTCGGATACACACCATCTTCCGCCCTTCAACATGAATGATCCAGAGCGGGAATAATCTTAAATGGCTCGGTGGCTCACCTTAAAGGAGAGCTATAGAAGTAGCCACTTCCTCGAGCTTCAACGTGATGAATGGGCGCCTTCGCCAAAAAGCGCGCTAAACGCGGTCACACGAAGCCACGTGCCGTCGATCAAGCATGTGGCGTGGATGTCTTGTAACATGCAGCGAGTCTTCTCTGTAGAATATTCGGTCATGATCTTGTGAGTCGATTCCGAAAAGGTTGCGGGAGGGCATCGGATGCTGAATTCAGACCTATGGGCTGAGACCATCCCAAGTGAATCAGGAGGCCGCCAGCGCTCGTGGAACTTGACCACTCATATCTGATGCATCAAGGCATCCGGCCACTGCCCCGCACAAGCCCCTAACCCACCGTTTCCGCGCCAACATACGAAGCCACAACCTCTCACTTCTCCAACATCTTCAAACACGCCCGCAACTCTCTTCTCCCACAACCCTGCGTCTCTCCCCCTACACCAGCCATGTAGGTACCTCAACCTCAATGTACTTCTCTATTTGAAGCTTCTGGCGCTAATGACAATTGATACAGGGCGCGCGGGCGTCAAACAAAAGCTGTTGACACCGTCGGCAGCAAGCGAACCGGTACGAAGCGGGACCGCTACAACGGCGACGAAGCTAAAGCGATAGCGAAACGCCCACGGCAGATGAAGGAATCCTTCCGATTTCTCGATCTACCAGGAGGTTAGTTTATTATTATTACCGCCAATCCTTCTAGAAACCCCCTAATAATTGTAGAGCTGCGGAATCGAATTTACCAATACGCGTTCGACATCTCCTACCGAAGCTTCCCCGCCAGCTCTTTCCGGAAGAAGCCCAAGCGCGGAGAATCGCCCTTGCCAGCCAACACACCCCAGCCGATCCCATACCTAAGCCTCACACAATCATGCACGCAGATCCGACGCGAGTTCCGACCATGGTGGATGGGCAGTCACAAGATACCGCTGTGCGCGCTCGATAACTATCTCTCCGCGTTCTTCCCCTCCCGATTGAAAGAGACCAAAGCGCACTTCGAAGCCAGCACCAACACGGCAGGCGAGCTGAGGATATTCCTTCGCCAGGACGACATGCGCGGTCGGGACCTGCTCCGTCTCGTGAAGCACAAGCTGAGGTTCCCGGATTACACCATCGTCTTCCAGCAGCTGGCCGCTGTGAGCGAAGTTCGGGCGCGCGGCTTGGAGCAGCTGGTGAACAACCAACATCCGACATGGAATCGCTGGATCCGGAGGAACGACGTAGTCAGTCAGATCCGAATCGGGTTGTCCAGTCAACACTCTGCCGGTGACACCATCACCGTCGTGATGAAGGAAAAGCACGCCTTGCCTTGGATGAAGCCAACTCTCAACCAGATCGTTCCGAACGACTTTCCTCCGAGCATTGGTCTGGACAAGGTCACCCACTGGCAGATCAGTTTCGCGGTTGACTATTCTTGAGCCGGATACTTAGAAACGTAGCGGGACGGGCGATCCGATCAATGTCTAGGTTATGTTTCTCCTCTTCTCTCTGCATCTTTGAATAGGCTCTCCGCCTGATCTGTCTTCTTTTCCACTCCTCCCGCGATCAGCAGGCATCTCCGATCAGGACCCCAGGTGCAGTGGGTGCATTTCTGCATATGGTACCATATTATCTTTTTTGGAATTGGAGAAACCGGGAAGAGGGTGTATTCCCGGGTGATTTGTTATTCTGCTCACTCGAAATCGATATCGAGCGACCTGAGCATGGTCATTCATCCCGAACGTCTCAGGTATTGGGGCAAAGTAGGGTCTCCATAACGGTAATCTCTACCTGGCTGAAATTTAAAAAGCTCCTCTCATGATCGTCGAACGCGCTCGACTACGAAGGGCGACAATTCGTGATGGACTGTATCCGCCGGCGTATCCCCAAGCGATATCTGGGACCTTGCGTTGGCAATGGCGGTAATGGGCGTCCGCGAGCCGTGCTCGTGGACAGAAATCTTTCCTTCGGAAACGGCGGCCTGAAGTCCTTGTTCATGGTTTACGCGGAATGCAAGAGGACTCGCAGCCGTTTTCTGCCGGAAATTGAGAGCGGTGCAAAGGGCCGAAGCTTAGTGAGGTGGCTGTAGTAGCGATTTGAGTAGGATTGGAAGCGCTTGAAGCGGGAGAAGATACTGAGAGTGAGGCTTCCGAATAGATGGACGGCTGTATGGGCGAGTGTACAGGCTGTGGGAGAAGTGAGATAGATATATGAAAATACTGAAACAGAATGTGTATGACCGGGATGCGCGTCGAAAGCGCTTGCTGATCGTAGTACAGTCAGCTGTAAGACCGCGATGCGGGTAAAGCGGGACCCATGATGTAAGTAAGAGAGCATTCCTCTACGATCTGTGTGGCGGGGCGAGGAAGGAGATTTCTGAGGAGAGAGCGGAGAGTCATTGAAGTGGGATATCGTGCCACAAGGAACAGAAGCTTCTGGTGAGTGGATATAGCGGAGTGAGCTGCGACGAGGTCAATGCCGTGTGGCCAAAACCGCGAACGAGCTACGAATGAGACATGAGAGGCAGTGAGGAGTATGGACTTCCTCGTCTTACTTCAGGAATAATGTTGAACCCCTCGAACATTACGGCGGCGCTCCACTTATTCTCTCTCTAGTCTGATCCCCAAGGTCAAATCAAGTACGCTCAAAGATAGCCCGATTCCCGCCTTTGCCGTCCGGATATCGGCTCGTTCGCAGTGACGTCCAAATGACAAAAAGTCTCGACGTCCAGACAAGGCGACTGTTCAATTTGGATATACGAGTGATGTTTCAGATCGTCTTGATCGTCCAGAGTCGCCTAGGAAGCGAAGACACTCACTTGGTACCCGACAATAGTCTTATAGGGCTGGGGAGGCTATAGCATGCTTATCTTGATATCTCTTGTGCAACACATCACGCCACAAGCCATGCTCTCATATGGCAAAACTGGAAAACGTATCGGATACACGGACCTCCAAGATTTCTGATAGATCGAAAAGAGGGGTTGAGCAGATGGTGGTTGCAAGCTTGAGATCTTGGCGAGGGTGATGCAGTGACCTCCTGAATCAACCCGGTAGACATTTGGCGCTAACTCGCTTGGGAACCCCTGCCATCCAACCTTCCTCCAACCTCGCCCCGTCCATCCAACTTCCCCATCAACGCCAGCACCCCTCATCGCGAACGGCAAAGCAACCCCACCAATTACGCGCTCCGTACTGCCGGCAGCCGTCTTGTCCCCTTCCATTCTCCATCCTTCGGCACTTTTACTGACGCGCGGCTGGCGCCGACGTCGTTCATTGGCAGTCGCGAACTTGCATATGCAGCTGCTGTTTCTGAAACCCATCATCTCCGAACGCGGCAAACGAATGACGTTGTTCATCATGCAAAGATTAACATTATTTTCAGGGACTATTGACGAGGGCTATGTTGATGTCTCAACGGCCGTGCTGACGGGCAGCGTTACAGGCGTTGCTGTCGAAGCTGATGGCGTTGTGGTTGTTGATCCTCCCCCGCTCTTCTTTTGCACCGTGGCCTGGACGACTTGTCCCGCAGTGTTAAAGATGATATCGACTAGGGACCCCAGTTGCTCGAAGGAGAACGTCTTCTGGATCAGCCCGTTGCCGAGTTGCTTCTCGTCTCCGACTTGCGTCATGTCTAGGCCCAGTTAGCAAATGATCTAGCCCTCAAGGAATTTCGGATACGTACTCTGCTTGTAGTTACCGACAATCGTTGACAGCGCACCCTCAGCTCCTCCCACCACTTCCTGGACGATGTTGCCAAGGTTGTCGACCAGGAAGTTTAGAGTCTTCCCACCCTGCGTGATAGATCCAAGGAGACCGTCAACCGCGCCAATCACCTCTCCGATCAGATTCGTTACGTTGCCGATCAGACTGAGCAGGAGCGGGTTGAGGTCGAGAGAATCGAAGACGCGCTCCACAATGTCCACGAGATGGCCGAGGCGCACGATGAGCTCCAGATTTGCGTCTACATCCGCAATCGTAACGTTGATCTTCTGGACTGATACTTGAACGCCTGCATTGACCTGTACGAGTCCGGCAACCTTCGCATTCAGGTTGATGTCGGCTTGTAGCTCCTCCACATCCAGCTCAATCCGGCCAACGTGCAGTTCCGGAACGTTCAGATATACATCTGGAGGTGTTGATGTGGTCTGAACATCTGGCGGAGTCGTCGTAGTTCCATTCCCAATCGGTGCTCTGGTTGTGCTTGGACTGGGCTGAGTCGTTGCAGCGGAAGTGGCAGTCTGTGCTAGAATTTGCGTCGCAAAGGACAGGACGAAAAGAAGCATGCGAAAAGAAAGGAGAGACGGCATGTTTGCGACTTTGGCGACGTAGCAACGAGAACGAAGGAGGAGGTCAAGGTAAAGTTTCGAGAAATCGCGTCCCTGCTAACTTTTAAACAGCGCCGTTGGCGAACATGCAAATCGCGTTTCCCATAACCTAATTTCGGGTAAAACCCCAAGTCTAGGCGAGGACAGGGGTGCAGGCAGGGCTGCCTCCATAGAAATTCCCAGGATCAATCACCTAGAATCCGGTATAGCGCGCAGAAAACCAGTTTTTCGAACGGCTAGAAGGCTTCGGATTGGTCTCCTTAATCTAATTCTTTTGGCCGCCAGATGTACGCGTTGGCGTGGTTCATGCATCCATGCTGGCACATCACGTTTACAAACCTTTTTGTCAACGGTAAGCCCCCGCAGCAAAGCACTCGACTGACAGCTCACGTCAAGTTCCCTTCTTTCCGCTTTTGACGCTGTCTTTTGTGGCTAATCGAGCTACGTCCGCTCTCTTTTTCTCAAGAAGCAACATACGTTCAAGATGTTGCACTCACTCTTCCCCTTCCTCACCTTGCTTCTCCTTCCACTTCTGGCTGCCTGCCAAAGCATTGGAGACAATGACGGCTACACAGGCTACAAGCTCGATATTCGAGAGGATGGCGACCCGCTTGCCGTGGTATATGAGACGGAAAATACGAACAACAACGTTTCCTCTTCAGTACCGGAACCCGACGTTTATCTGAATGTAAGGAATCCCTTCATCGTTTAGAATCAATCGCTTACAGTTATTAGGCTTCAGTGCACGTCGGCGAAATCAGCATCGACGTGCAAAACCTCACAGCGAAGATCAACCTAGATGCGCAGGTCCTCCAATTGCTCCAATTCAATGCGGGCGTAGACCTCTCAATCTCTAGGGTGCGGCTGCTCATTCAGAACGTCACCGCAAAGGTGGTTCTTGAAGCACGTCTAGCCAATCTAGTCCTCATGATCGTAAGTTCTTCCTCAAGAAACCTCATAAACCTTGCTAACGAGCCCTGCTACAGAACGACACCCTCTCCTCCATCGACCTCAACCCCATCATCGCCGAGCTCGGCAATGGCCTCGGCACCATCATCAACGACACGGGCAACCTAATCGGCGACGTCACCGGCTCCGACAGCAACGCCAAACGCAGCCTCGACCTCATGCAGTTCGAGCTCGAAAACAATATCCTCTATTCCGTCCATGACTTCAGCGGCAACAACAACAAGAACCGCATTCTCGCGCAGAATGGCGACATCGTGGAACAGCATCTCGACAATAGCGGTCGCGTTTCGAGCACCACAGTTGTGGGGAACTATGCAAAGGACATGCGGTTTAACGGATTTAACCAGACCGTGACGTACAAGGGCCAGGAGGTCATTGAGGAGGAGTATGTGTATGAGCCGTTTTTGGGCCTCATGGCTATTAGCGGTGTGTTTAAGAGTAAGACGACAGGCGCGGTGGTGGGGACGCAGTTGATTGCTGAGGCGAGGGGTGGCGGAAGCGCGACGATTGCCGCGAGCGAGGAGTTGAGGGCATGATGATGCGCTCGCTCATAGAGAAGCAGTAATACCAGCTATCATGAATGAGCGATAATGTTCCAGCAGAGCATCTTTCCAAACCCCATCTGCTTAACGATTAAAGCGCATGCACGCGTCCACCCGTCAATCAGCGGGAGATGAACGCAAGTCCCATCGCTCGAAGCCCCCTGTTCCTGGTCTTGAAACACGCCCCAATTTTAACGCCGATCGGTTCTCGATGCTTTGATCGGCGATACATACGAGGATCGCTTCGGATATAGCGTTAATGCGTGGTATGGTTTTGCGCGTTTTAGGATGTCATGCGAATTTGGGTTTGCGATATGGATAATGATGGGATTGATGAGGTGGGGTTTGTTTGCCTAAGGCGGATGCGGATGTGGATGTGGGCTGACGGGGTTTAGGGGGCTGAGGAGAGGAGAGTGAGGAGTGTGGGAGGGGGATAGACACGGTGCGTATGTGAGGGAAAAGGGAGGATGTAGTGAAGATGAGGGAGAGAAAGAAGGGGTCTCTGGCTGCAGCGGACCAGCCGCGCTCAGAACGCAACTACGTCAACACCACAACACCTCTACTCTATTCCTCGGCTAAAATCCTCTAACGCGACACCTTCTAGACTCATCACTATGCCTCGCTATACCTACGAAGTCATCGTGCCATCGCACCATCTCCCGCGCAGAAACCCGGCTCTCCTCGCCATGCTCGCGCGCAGCCGCACCTGCATCTCGATGTAGCGCTAGGGGACCTGGCGCAGCGCGGGCGTCTTGTGCGGCAAAGGTTGTGCTGGAGAAGGGCCTCGTTGACGCGGGCGGACTTAGAGCGGGTGGCGGGGAAGACGTCGTCGAAGCGGGATATGTAAGTGTGGTGGGAACTTGTAGGGAGTGGCGCGCAGCACGCTGCGCTGCTCAGATGCAGAAGAAAAGTGGGTTTCGACGAGAGAGGGACATGAGGAGACTGGATGAGACCTGGAGAGGAAGGAGGATCGGGTGTGGTGGAGGGAGTACGAGGAGATGTGAATCCCTGTTCATGTTAATGGGTGGAGAGGACGGACAAGAGGAAGGATAGGGAGAGTATATGTTCATGGAGGCTGGAGGGTTGTTTGATACTATGGTATTGTGCGAATAAGCTTGAGATAAGTCCTATGCTACCGTCTACTTGTAAGAGGAGAACAACAGGCACTGAAGAGTAGGAAATATGCTAGTTCGGCCTCAATGAAAAGAAAATGCTGAATGCAGGAGAAAGGGAAACCACAGTGAGGGAAAAAAAAATACGCCGAAGGCCCTCAGGCCGGCAAATGCAAGACCAAACTCCATCGCCGCAAGATATGCTAAACCCTTGAGGACGAGATACCCAACCTCAAACCACAAGACCAATACTATTCTCCGCCATAACAGCCACCTGCAAGCCAATCAACCTCTCCACACCAGCATTCTCCCTCTTCCCCTCCAGCAGTTTGCGCCCCAGCGCGCGCCTCCACGTGAGCACAACCGCATTCCAGTACCGCGCCGGATCCTCCGCGGCGTGCTTGCAATGCGCGCTCTTCTCGAAACACACATCCATAACCGGGACACCGCTCTGCGCCGCCGCTAGCATGTGCTCCTGGACATCCTGCCATGCGATAAGATCATCAGCCCGGGAATAGAGATAGCACCGCGGAGCGCGCTGGTCCCAGGACGTGGCGTCATTTACTCTGCGACGAGTGCGCGCGATCAGGTTGTTCTCGAAGCCTTTGAACACGCCGTAGGTGAAATATACGAGGCCGAGAATGACGCCGCACAACACGACGCCGGTCGCTTTGAGGAACGGATTGGGTGGTAAGGCCTTCTGGAATGCGGTCAGGAGGCGCCGGTAGTGCGGATGGCCGGGTGTACTGTCTAATGCGAGAGCTGTGCATGGAAGCCGAGTCCCGGTGACGTGGGAGTATTCTTCCGCAAACTCTACGGCTTTATTGGACCCGCCTTCCGAGAAGGCGTGGATGAGGATACTTGAGTGGTCTTCGTATTCCTGTACGCGTTCGACGGCAGGTTTGAGCAGCGCCTGCTTTCGTGCTGACGGCCGGCACCAGAAGTCTCGCGAGGAGGTCGTGATGACGAGGATGCGTGTTGTCGGGAAGAGCGTCTGGTAGATCTGCGTGTACTTGGCGATGTGGCGGCCGTGGGCCCCGGTCCAGGAGAAGAGGATGATGAGGGAGGGGGCGTCGAGGGGGAGTTTGCCTGATAGTGGGTCGAGAGGGAGGGAGGGAATGTACTCCCACGTCATTGGGGCGACTTGTGAAAAGCCTGGAATGGCGTCGCGGCGAGCCTTGGGCAAAGACATGATGCGAAGTTGTGAGATGACGACAAGTTGAAGAGGTGCGAGTGCAGTGAAGAGTGATAGAGACCAACCGGCTTGAACGGATGTGAGAGGCGTAGTGGTGCTGCTATCTCCCTCTCTGCGAGATGAGTTTTCCCTAGATATCTATACTTACTCCCCGAAACATTCCATGTATATGCGCGGCACTCCGAAGGATGCACGTGCGAGGCGTGGGGGAATAGGTAAGCTAAGCTTAGTTTATGTTCCACGAGCTGAGCCTCTAAGAAGCCGATCCATACATTCCCATATGCCAGAATGAATCACCACATACCGATCGCGTTCTGGGAGTCTCATCAAGGCTGGTCTATCCATTTTCCATCGGCCAGTCTTGCTGAGTGCACTCCATTTCGTCTCTTGCTTCCGAAAGCAGCCGAAATGTCGATAAACCAACCATAATTCCAAATTGCCTGGCCAAGACACGCTTTCTTTCAATCGTAAATAATAAGCCTCGTGCAATCTATTCATTACCCAGCGAGAAGCCTCGTTGCGCAGGCACACGCTCCGAAACAATATCTAAACGGGAATGGCGCTAAGCCACGATTGCTTGTCTAGACGGCCATTTTGTACCAGGTCGCTGGGTACGGAGCGTAGAAATTTGGGACTGTGTATTTTTGTCGTGATGCCGCCCGGCCAAGAGTGGGTTGTTTCGAGGATGTAGCGAATGGTTTCACTCCGAATATAGGATCGTACACAGTCTGCACTCTTGAATTAGTAAATGCCACCCCTTCTGACCTTGTGAGAAAATATTCGTGATACGAAGGAAGGTCATGGGGGGTTGGGAACGGATTCCTTCGGTGTCCAACGCTCTGTGCTCACATCAACAATGTTCTCGTAGTTGCACTGGACAGGGGTTATGATTTCTAATGTGCATCGCGTTGGTTCAATGTGGGCACAACAGCGACGTGAGCCTTGGTACGAAGCGTTGGAATTACGATGCAGTCGTAGCCCCCGAGACACGGTGAGAGTTGCAGATAGGAGTAGTCTAGCACCTATACTCAGCTCTTGACGTGTAGATGGGAGGAAGCAACCGTAGATCTGAGGGCCAAAATTAGGGTATCCGCCTCGCGCTCCTGCCGATCCGGGAATTTTGCTATGCCTGTTGGGGTAAGCGCGCGCCGCGATTGGCCAGTCGGCTTCCAGGCTGGCTGAGATATGCACCACGTCAGATCAGCTACACCATCGCCCTTTGCCCACTTTTCTACACTGCGTGCTGCAACTCTTCGCGGCTCACTCGCCAGATAAGGTGAGCCGGTGGAATAAAAGTGTACCGAGTTCCGACGGTGCGGTTTGCGGATTCGATCGTACTACCCGGACCAGGATGTTGCGATGCGAGGATTCCACGCTTGCCCAGGTGGGTGATAGGAGCCACGACCCGGGCCACAAAAAATACATCATGGAAGGTGCCAACGCAAGGGTGTCTTGGGTAGACGGTCGTCTTGATAGTGAATGGAAAGCGTGTGGGATATCCGCTGCTGAGCGTGCGGCGAAGCCGTAGGCCGGCGTTGCACTGTCCCACCCTGAGCCATTATTGTATTCCTTCCCTGGGCTCCGTCGTGACCACATGTGCTGTTGGAATCCACGCCTACATATCTGTCTTTCCGCCCTTGCTTTTGTTCGTCGAATAACTCGCTCACCAGCTCTTTCCTGTTTTGTTCGGACCAAACACCATGGCCAGCTTCACTTTCACTGGGAAGGACCGTTCAGGGAAACATGCCTCCGCTCACAGCGGCCACAGCCGGGTTAAGCTCGAGAGAGGATCAGAAGAACAACGAAATCTTGCAACCCCACCTCCAGTTACAACACCACCTCCAGCTGCAACCATGGAACTCAATTCAAGCGAAAAACCGATCACCGCAGGCTCCATCTTGCCGGTTTCGACGACGAGCACTGATGTCGAATCCCTCGAGAAGCCTACCGAAGAGTGGAAGCCCCACAAGAAGGAGTGGTTCATCATGATCAGTCTCTCCTTGATCTCGCTCATGGTCTCGCTTGACGCGACCATCCTCGTTACTGTCCTTCCGGTACGTCACATCCTCGTCCCGTGTCTGTTCATGGTAACTGATGTCGTCCACTAGCAAATCGCAGTAGCCCTCAATGGCACCTCCGTCGACGCCTTCTGGGCCGGGACTTCGTATCTCCTTTCCAGCGCCGTCTTCCAGCCCGTCATCGCTTCTGTTTCCGAGTTCTTCGGCCGCCAACAAATGCTCCTCTTCTCCTTGACATTCTTCACCGTCGGCACCGCCTTGTGCGCCGCCGCCAATGACTTCACCGTCATGCTGACGGGACGGACTATCCAGGGCATTGGCGGTGGTGGTATAATCACTCTCTGCCAGGTCATCTTTTGCGACATCGTCCCCTTGAGGCAGAGGCCAAAGTACTTCTCCATCGTGCTCGGTGCGTGGTCGATCGGCACTATAGTCGGACCGGTTATTGGCGGTGCGCTTGTAGAGCACACGACGTGGCGTTGGGTACGTATCTTCGATAGTCACCATTTCTATTTCTGAGACATTTGCTAACTGTACCTCTCTCTTGCAGGTCTTCATCATCAATTTCCCGTTCTGCGTGCTAGGCTTCATCCTGGCTTTCCTCTTCGTACGGCTCAATACCATGGCCAAGATGACTCTCGCGCAAAAGCTGAAATCGACCGACTGGATTGGCGCAGCGCTCTTTGTGGGCGGAATGACGAGCTTCCTCATCCAGTACAAGTGGGTCTCGGTACAGACCCTCGCTCCCATCATGATAGGGCTCATCGGCGTTGTGGTGTTCGTGGGCTGGCAGATCTGGATGAAGCCGAAGAGCTTGCTGCCCATGTCGATATTTTATTGCCCGTCGGCTCTCGCGGCCTTCTATTGCGCGCTCATGAGTGGGTTAGTCGTAAGTTCAAAGCAATCCCTCTTGCCAATAAAGTTAACCTGATGTGCAGCTTTTTACCTCGTTGTACTACATTCCCTTCTACTGCATGAGCGTCCGAGGTGCATCATCCACGAAAGCCGGTATCGACATTTTCCCAGCCCTATTCCTCTTTATCCCGGGCTCCATCATCGTCGCGGGGCTGACTACTCGGCTTGGCCGATTCAGATGGAGTATCTGGGTGGGCTGGGCTATAAGCACACTCGGTTGCGGACTCATGTTGCTCTTTGGCCTGCACACCACGACCGCCGTTTTCGCCATCGTCCTTGCCGTTTTCGGCATCGGTTCCGGGATGGTTGTAACTGGCGTAAACGTCGGTATTCAGGCTATCTCGAAGGTCGAAGATGCAGCGATGGCGGCGTGTATGTACGGGTTTATGAGGAGCCTCGGAATGCCTTTAGGCGTGGCTCTCTCGGGAACGATCTTCCAGAATGCGATGTCCAACAAACTCTCTGCTTACGGCCTCTCGACATCTATCGCTCAAGACTCCGAGCGCTACGTGTACATCCTGAGGACGCTGGACGAGACGACGCGCACACCCATCCTAGAGTCGTATATGCACGGCTTCCGCGCGCTGTTCGTCATGATGACATGCGTCTCTGCAAGCACGTTGACAGTCAGTCTGGTCATCAAGAAGTTTGATATGAACAAGACCCTTCTGAGCAAGTACTCGGCGAGGTAGGACTCGAGCGAGGATTCGACTGCGTATAGAAGGCTTCAGCGTGCTTTGCGTGGGAGCGATCTATCGAAGGAGCGTGAGGGTCTTTCATTCTCTCTGTCTGCATTTTCCCGTGGCATGCCACGCACATTGATACATGGGGCAAGATGATGGATATACCTGTAGGTGGATACATGGACGTAACTACAGGTCAGCACATATCGTTAATATGCACGGACCACTTTTCGCCTATTTAAAATGACTCTCCTGGCCTTCGCAAGCCTCCACGAACCTCCACCACATCTCCCCATCACAAGGTACTCAGAGTCAAACAACTTGACATGGCCTCGCTACTAGATTGACAACCGATAGGGCTTCGCAGGCTTTCAGGATAAGCTATACTAATTCGCGGCTCTCTGATCCCAGATGCACGCCCGCACGCAGACATCGTCCGGACATCTAGCCACAAGAAAAGACTCCAGACCTTCATCGCTCTTTCGCATCGCGTCGTCAGCCTCCTCTGATGTCCGCGTGCGATACGCCTCAATTAACATGACGACGCTGCAAGTGCACTGACCGCAGTGATTCCACCAACCGGAACCCATCACCCTCTCGGCATATCTCCGCATCTAAATCAGGGGTGGGGAAATCTCCCGAGATGTTCTGTTTCAACCTCTTTTGACATATCCAAGCGCGCGGGGACTATGTTTCGTGATTGACTGGCGCGAAAATAGTATGGGGCGGAGAAATCCCTTAATATCGGTGGCGAAACTCATCATTCCCTCCCGAAGGACATCACAGTGATGAATACCTCACCTACTGTATGTATAAGTAAGTGTTTGTTTCGATATGATTTACCCGTTACGCCTTCATTGGTTTCGCTTCTTCGCTCCTCTTCATCATCATGCGCTCCCTTCTTCTCTTCCTTTCTTGGGTGGCCACTGGCCTGGCTGCACCAGCCGTAAAGCGAGCCACTTCAACGAGCCGGACCTCAGCGCCATCTGGCTGCCTCGTCGTTGGTGGCTCGGGCACGTATAATACCGTCCAGTCGGCCGTCAACGCCCTTTCCACATCCACTACTACTGCGCAGTGCATCTTTATCAACCAAGGAACCTACAAGGAGCAGGTTTACATCCAAGCTCTCAAGTCGGCGCTCACCATCTACGGCTATACGACAGACACCTCCAGCTACTCTGCCAACACCGTGACCATTACTCAGAGCCTCAGCCAAGCCAATGGCCTAAGCAATGATGGCACGGCCACTCTCCGTGCATGGACTACGAACCTGAAGGTCTACAATATCAACCTCGTTAACAGCTACGGCAAGGGCTCGCAAGCACTAGCCGTCAGCGCCAACAACGACAAGCAAGGATACTATGGTGTGCAATTCAAGGGCTACCAGGATACTGTCCTCGCGCAAACCGGCGCTCAGGTCTACGCGAAATGCTACATCGAGGGTGCTACCGACTTTATCTTCGGCCAGCAAGCTACGGCCTGGTTCGACGGCGTCGATATCGCCGTCCTCTCCGCCTCCCTGGGCTACATCACTGCGAACGGCCGCGACTCGTCCTCCAATCCGTCCTACTACGTCATCAACAAGTCCACTGTCAAAGCCGCCTCCGGAAACACGGTCAGCTCAGGCGCATATTATCTCGGCCGCCCGTGGCGCAACTACGCCCGCGTCGTGTTCCAGCAGACTAGCCTGAGTAGCGTGATAAACAGCGCGGGCTGGCACATTTGGAACACGGGCGATGAGAGGACCGATCAGGTTACCTTTGCCGAGTATGCCAATACCGGGACCGGGGCGTCCGGTACGCGGGCTAGCTTTGCGACGAAGCTCTCGAGTGCTGTGAGCATATCGACGGTTTTGGGAAGTGGATATGCTAGCTGGGTGGATACTAGCTACCTGTCCTAGTCTCGCGCATAGTAGTCTAGGGGCTCTACTTCTTTGTATATATTCTGAATAGTGTTGCTGGGCGCATCAAAAAGTTCCGGTGGTAGAAGGACAGATGTATATACATATTCAAACAACCTGACCTGGCGTCCTTGTCTGCTCGCCATCCGAAAAGGGTTCTGAACGCCCTCAGGCTCCACGTATCCGAATTCGCACTTCCTCAGCAAGGTAACACTTCAGGAAACGTTTCGATCCTGCAACGGCCTTGCCGAGTCCCAGTGCCAAGTCGTCGGATCCCATTACACCGAGCCGTCACACCAACAACGTCCCACCGCCGCAGAGCCACCGACGACATCCGCCAAGCAGACGATCCCCGGATTCTACCCCAGTTTTTGGAGGACATGCAACGGTAGCTTCCTAACGCGGCCTAGAGTTCCATCGTCGGATGATGCTCTCGGGCAAAATGTGCGACCGTTTAAAGCGACTGGGGTTGCGGCTCCCGTTTGCTGGCTGCTCACCCGAACCCTGATTTTAACACCTCACCGCTGGCGGGCGGCGAATACAGGACCTTGAGAGAGATTGAAGAGCTGGATTGAACATGGGCTTCTTCAAGAAACCTACGCTGAAGGTCAGCGATAATAAGAGGACACGCGCGGCGGAGCTTACCCTAAGGGAATCTATCTATCCGCTCTGCCTCGTCACCATCCTTTTCTTCCTTTGGGTAAGCTGCCCCGACCGGCACTAAACGTGGCGGTACACTCACTGATCACACTACCCAGGGCTTCTCCTACGGCCTCCTTGATACGCTGAACAAGCACTTCCAAGTAACGCTCTCGATAACGCGCTCGCGCTCCTCCGGCCTCCAAGCCGCCTACTTCGGCGCATACCCCCTCGCCTCCCTCGGCCACGCAAACTGGATCCTGCGACACTATGGATACAAGCTCGTCTTTATTTGGGGGCTTGTGCTGTACGGTGTAGGCAGTCTGATTGCCTGGCCATGTCTGCTTAACAGGAGCTTTGGCGGGTTTTGCGCGGCCATTTTTATCATCGGGAATGGGTTGGGCAGTCTGGAGACGGCGGCAAATCCGTACTTGACCGTCTGTGGGCCGCCGAAGTACAGCGAAATACGCATCAACATCGCGCAGGCGTTCAATGGCATTGGAACGGTTGTTGCGCCGGTGCTGGGAAGCTACGTCTTCTTCAAGAACACGGGGGATGATATCAATTCGCTCAAGACTGTGCAATGGGTCTACCTCGCCATTGCCATCTTCGTCTTCGCCTTGGCCGTGGTCTTCTATTTCTCGCCGATCCCCGAGATCACGGTGAGCCGCCTTCCTGAAAACAGCGTGAGAGGTGACTTGGGCTAACGAGACGAAACCAGGACGCCGACATGGCCTTCCAAGCCTCCGAGACCCACGCCGGCACCGACGTCAAGCCCTTCCGCAGCCAATACCGTCTCTTCCATGCCGCCTTTGCGCAGTTCTGCTACACGGGCGCCCAAGTCGCTATCGCCGGCGCCTTCATCAACTATGTAGCGGATACGCGCCCCAACACCTCCGACTCAACCGGTGCCCGGCTCCTCGCTGGTGCCCAAGGCGCCTTCGCGCTCGGTCGCTTCGCGGGCTCCGGCATCATGAAGTTCGCACGCCCGCGATGGGTGTTCTTGGTGTTCATGACCATGTGCATTATCTTCATCGCGCCGAGTATCACGCAGCGCGGGAACACGGGCGTCAGCATGCTCTACGTGACGCTGTTCTTCGAATCCATCATCTTCCCGACCATTGTCGCGCTCGGCATGCGCGGCCTAGGCAAGTACTCGAAGCGCGGGTCGGGCTTTATCGTGGGCGGCGTGAGCGGCGGCGCGGTCGTGCCGCCTATCTTGTTCGCGGCGGCAGATTCGCAGGGGAAGGCCAATTTCGAGACGGGACATGCGCCAACGGCGCTGGCGATGACGGTGCCGCTGGCGTTCTTTGTGGCGGCTTGGAGTTATAGTCTTGCGGTGAACTTTGTCCCTGCGTATAGGGACGTGGCGGATAAGTTTACTACGACTGAAATAGGGCTCACTGGTGCGCATGCGCATGATGAGGAGAATGGGATGTCGGGAGGTGCGTCGGGCGAGGCGGAGAAGTATGCTGAACCGATGGAGACGGAGAGGCTGAATGGCGAGTCGAAGATCTAAGTTCTGAGACGGAGCCACTTTATCGGCGGATGCTGGAGCATCCGGGCGATTTTCGTGGTGAGATATCTGGATGAGAAGCTGCGTCTAAATCGGAACTCAGCTAGATAGGTGAGACAGAATGGATACTCTCTTCACTTTTGCTACTCCGTTCTTCCAGAATCCTATATGGGACCTAGACGTACCAACTTGAAGTGCTCCACAGGCCGCCATCTGTCATGAACTTGGACATCCATAACGACTCTCAGAAAATTCCTTTGGTCTCACTTAGCAGCCAACGAACCCAATAAGCATTTCTCCCTGCCTGAACGACGCATAGTACTTCGCCTTCACAGTCCCACATTCGAACGGCTTACTATTACTCCTCGGGTCCGCAAAACCTTAAAAGTGACTCCCCGCAAGCTTGCGAGGCAAAACGCAGCAGAGAGCAGTCTCCCTTGACACTCAACCTTAGTTCCTTGCGTCCAGGATCCACACGGGCGCGAATATCTCCAATCCCACCTCTTCCTGTCGACACGCGTCGAACACGATATCTACACATGTCTGGATGCCCAGCCAGCTAGCCATCTCACGCCCCCAAGCCTCAATCTCAACGGGCCCGCCCGCCCGCAAAAGCTTGCGAGGCTTCGTCAGACGTGCTCCTTCAATCCGTGTTTCTCGTCTGACGACCTCGCCATAGAGACGCGAGGAGTAGAGTAGTTTGCGCTGGCGTCCAATCGGGATGCGTATAGACTTGCGATCCTTCCAATTCTCTGCGAGCTGCATGTAATATATTTTTCGCCCGGCGATTGAGTGCCCTGCCCAGGTGTCATGCATGCAATGCAATGCTCACCCCGCAGATCGTGTACTACCACACTACATACTACTGCCCTTCTCCCAGTACGATAACTCGGCCCTACGAGCCCATCCACCTCATCGGATTCTCATGCTCGCCATCGCAGTCATGCGCGGAATAATACCACGAGGCATTCTGCAAAACGTGGGGCCCTGCCCTGCCCATCGCCAGAAACCTACCCCAGAAGTGCGGAGCCCCCGAGTGCGGGGGGCGGAAGTGGGGCAGCAAGAACTTACTCCAACGACCCGGCCCTTGTCCATCCTCGTTCATAGCAGGGCCGCTGCTAACTGCAAGCGCTATAACGCTCTGGAGGGATTGCGCTTCGCGTAGGGGAGCAGCGCGGAATTGGGGCGAATGGGGGGGACGCGGCAATTCGTGCTTGGCTAAATGCCGACATTGGGGCTGGCATGGATGGGATGGGATGGGCATGGGACGCGTGCGCGAGGATTTACCTAGGTATTAAAATGGCAGAGGCTCCGGTCGTGCATGGGAGGTGATCTTTAGGCTTTGTTGTACTGTTATTTTGCTTTCGGGTTCCTCGGTTTCCCTTTGAGAACTTGCCTTGCTATTGAAGAAGGCTTGATTGAGGGTTGCTGGTACTTGTTTCTTCTTGCTGTGGAGATTTGAGATTTGAGAGCACTATGGGTCTCGGTGTGCTGGACGATCATCACCTCGAGCATGTGCCTGGCACGGCGCCGCTGGCGGATATGATGGATGCGGAGCATCATCAATACCACGGTACGCATTCCATCTCAATTGACGGCAAGATCGCAGTCTAACAGTATAAAGGGCGCGACACCTCCGGGCTCAAGCACGGCACCGGCCGCAACGCAGACATCGTCCTCGTGCCCCAGCCCTCCGAGTCGCCGCGAGATCCGCTCAACTGGCCGCAATGGAAGAAGGAGCTGCTCCTCCTCATTATCAGCATCGACACCGCCGTCGTCGGCGCCTGGGGCCCCATGATCTCGCCCGGTTTCGCGGAGATGGCCGTGCAGTTTAACATGAGCTATAATTCGCTCAACGGTGGCCTCGGATGGGCCATCTTCGCTATCGGAATCTCCTGCTTCGTGACGAACGGGTTGTCGGTCAAGTATGGGCGGAGGCCGGTTATGATGCTGGGCAACCTGATGCTGTTCATTAGCAGTGTGTGGGCGTACCATGCTCACACGTATGAGAGTCTGCTGGCGAGTCGGATCTTTGGCGCTATCGGGATGAGTCCTTTTGAAGTGCTCACTACAGCGGTCATCGGCGACATTTACTATGTCCATGAGTGCGGTCTGAGACTGGCGTTCTGGGGGCTGTGTCTGTCTGTTGGTGTTGGCGGTGGAAGCTGCATCAGCGGATACATCATCCAGGTATGTCAAACCTTGTTAACCCGACTCAAAGGCTGACGGGACGGCGCAGAACCTCGGTTGGAACTGGACGTATGGCATTTGCGCAATCTTCTACGGCGTCTTCATCATCCTCATCTTCTTCTTCGTCCCCGAGACGGTGTACAAGCGCGACCCAGCCTACAACCTCGATCTCGGCACCACGGACCACACCGAGGAGATGCTGGACGCCGCAAAGACCAAGGATGCATCGAACATCGTCGGAGAGGAGCCTAAGGACACTACTCTCCATACTGAGCGCTCAGTCCGCGTCGAGCCTATTTACACGGGTGCAGACGAGAAGCCATATACCTGGTGGGAAGAGCTCCGTCCAGTGCGCGGTGTCGAAAGCGATGAGAACCTGCTCGAGATTATTGTGCGCCCATTCGGCATGCTGCTCTTCCCGCAGGTCTTCTACGGCTTCATAACGTACGGTCTGTCGACGTCGTGGCTCGTGGTCATGGGCGGCGTGCTCGCGCAGCTGTTTACCGCTCCGCCGTACAACTTCAGCGTCTCGGCCGTCGGCCTGATCAGTATCTCACCGCTGGTTGCGGCGCTGCTCAGCATCGTCGCCGGGCCGCTGAACGACATGGCGGTCAAGCAGCTTGCGCGCTGGAACAAGGGCATCTACGAGCCCGAGTTCCGCCTGTCGCTGAACGTGTTGACGCTGATTCTCGGCGTCATTGGCTTCTTTGGCTTCGGCGCGACGTTGCAGAACCACGATCCCTGGGCGGGGCCGGTGTTTCTGTACGGCCTCATCTACTTCTCGATGGCGTTCTTGAATATCGGGTACGTATCCTGTTCCTTCTCTTGTGTCGTCAGACTGACGCGGGGACCAGCATTTACGGCTACATCACCGAGTGCCACCGCTCCAAGGCGCCGGAAGCGTTTGCGTCGCTCAACCTGCGCAACATCTACTCGTTCGGAATGAACTACTTCATCAGGTGAGTTGGTGTAGCTAATTCCCGAAACGTTGACTCTAACCGCACGGCAGTTCTTGGATCACGAGCATGGGTCCGTTGCAGGTGTTCTCGACCATTGGCGGCCTGCACATTTTCATCCTGCTCCTCACTATCCCAATGTGGATTTTTGGCAAGAAGTGCCGCAGTATGACAGCGCGTGTCCCGTTTTTCAAGAAGCTGCAGGGCCATTGAGGCATGGAGACTGTGGTGCGGCCGGTAAAGTAGGAGGCATGAAGCCGGGGAGATGCCCAGTTAGGAAGGAGGAGCGGCGGATCGCAAGTACTGTGTACCTAGGTAGAACACCCCATGTCATCAGGGGTGATGCAAACAGAGGACGAACCTCGATTCTTTGCGTATACTGTACTGTGTCGTCGTCTTGTGCGAGTAAATACGGGGAGGTGCCGCTCGTGACGTGTGACGCGATAGGTGACGAGATTGTGATCAACGAGGGTCCACGAAAAGAGCGCTGAAACCTCACACAAAGCACCGCGGCCGTTGCATCCGCCCGCGAAGGCCCTCCATGTTCGTTCTGAGGTGATGGATGCGCTGGCACCGGCAAGACGCAAGACGGCATCTGCGACCCCCCCGCCGCCGGGTCCGGTTCCGGCTAGCTCCCTTCGCTGGGGCGCAGCTCTGGGCTTGGGTGGATCCAGGGCCGGCGCGGTGCCTGAAAGTCTTGGTCTTGTCGTCGACGACGTCTGCCCTCACTCGTGTTCGAAGGCCATGTCCAGCCGCCGCCGCTGCCATTGCTGCCCCTCGCAGCTGTAGATCCGCCGCCGCCTGAAGCATGTGGCGGTCATGGACAGAAAGGCGCTCCTCGTCCCATGGTCCGTCGCTCCTCCTCCCCGCTTACGCTTCACGAAGCCCAGCGCAATTGCTGACACTGCGAGCAGCGGCCTCGTTCTAGGATCAAGCTACCTGTCCACGAGTCTGCCCACGTCGTTTGCGCTCGATCGCCCGTTGCATACCGTTGGCGTGGTGTTGTTGCTTTCGGGGCTCGCCATTATCGCATACGAAACGTGGGCGTGGAAGAACCGCCGGTCGACCGCCAATGAGAGATATGTCGCGATCCCGTTAACTGAGGGCAATGGGCGGCCTTCGTCGGAGGAAGCATGGCCACCCGAAGAGCGGACGTTCCGGAGAGGCGCGCTCAGCAGGAGGGGACTCGCGGCCCTGCTCGTCCTGCTTCTGTTCGGCCTGTGCGGCCGCATTGCCCTCTTCTTCGCTGTCATGAAAGACGTCGCGTGCACTGGGCCGACAGTCATAGTAAGACTAGACACATACCAGATGGATGGCATGCTAAGGACCGTAGGCATTCCTCCCACTCGTCCTCGCGCTCTACCATGGCTTCTGCGCGCCCACTCATCGCCCCGTTCCAGCCTGGAGCGCCGACTCACCTCCGACTTCCCCTCTAGATCGCATCGTACATTTCTTCCTCTACGGCCCGACGCGATACATCCTCCCCTCGCTCTTGTTGTCTATCGCTAGCTTCCTCACCACACTCAAGACAAGCGCGCTGCGCTCGACTTACATCTGCCCAATCGCGACCTCCGCAGCCTCCACTATCCCCAAACTGCAGTATCTCGGCTTCGTACTAGACTGCGCATTGGCTTTGATACTCTATCGTTTGATTGACGAGAGTGTCTCGCAAAGCGAGAGCGCTCCGGTTGAGCCCAAGGACGGCACGTCCATCAACGGGCTAGTTGGATATACCTTGATTGTACGTCATTTTGGCCTTTCCGCAACTTCTGGCTAACAGCCCAAGGCTTCGGCTCTCGTGCTTGCCGTGGCCGGCATCGTTGTCTATGCCGCGATGCCCGAACACCGTCAATGGCTGCTCTCCGCTCCTCGTGAATACCTTCTTAGTCTTCTTCGTTTGTCTTTGATGATACCCATTATGATGTTATGTTTTATTGTTTCGGTAAGCCTATCACTCCCGCTATTGTCGACTGTACTAATTCGTTAGGCTCGTATGTACGGCGTCATGGGCGCTGTTCTGATTGCTGCATTTTCATCTGCATATATCGGCGTTCTTCGGGCACTTGCAACTGGCGTTTCATATTCCTTTCCCCCAAAATCCACCGTCGGCCTTAGCCTCTGCCTTACCCTACTTACCATAGCTCTCATACTACAATTGGTCGCGGATGCGACCGACGAAACACAAAACCGGCCCAAGATACCCGTGCGCCTCGGACGAAATCAGATCATCTCCTTCGTGGCAGTTCTCGTCTTCTTCTCCGTCGGCGTCGCCATTTACCGCTACCAGAAACCGATTCCGGGACACCCTATCCCCATGCTGATGGCCACAGCAAACGATCAGCAGGAACGATGGGCATCTCAAGCCCATCAGAGTAAGACATTAGCGGAAGCTGTGATTCACTATCAGGAGCGCTACCACCGGGATCCGCCACCACACTTCGACAAGTGGTATGAATATGCCACGACCCGGGATTCGATTGTGATAGACGACTTCGACAACATCGAGGAAGATTTGACCTTGTTCTCATCATTGAGTCCGGCCGAGCTGCGACAGCGCACTGCCGGGGTTCTCGCCGATAATGACAGACTAGGTGGTATTCGTATCCGGGACGGCAAAGCTGAAGTGTTTGGAAACGCGCCTGGATCGCATAAATGGATGTTGGATGGAATTGTTCATATGTTGGACAAGTTCGTTGAGTTTGTGCCTGACATGGACCTCGCCTTCAACCTCAACGACGAACCTCGCGTAGCTGTGCCGTACAAGCAACTCCAAGAGGCGCGTGTCCACCGAGAACACTATCCATCGCACACCTCTGCCGATGGCACCATCGACTTCCGCCCAGATCGCGCCTCTACCTGGCTCCAAACCACAGAACTACCGCAAGCTCCCCCGTTCTTCGAAAATGCCTGGATGAAGTCTTCATTCCAGACTTACGGTTCCACGGCATGTCCTACAGACTCACGCGCACGGAAAGACAGGCCTTGGGACACGGGTATCTTTTGCTCCGCCTGTGCAGCCCCTCACTCTATGGGTGCCTTCGTGGCCAACTGGACGAGGTCGGCAAATCCCTGTCATCAGCCCGATATTGCCAACCTTCACGGGCTGCATCTCAGTCCGGGGACTCTCGCTGGTACGCATGAGCTTGTTCCCATCTTTAGCCAGAGCCGCGCGCCGGGTTACGCCGACATCAGATATCCCTCCCCGTGGAACTACATGGATAAGACGAAGTATGAGTTTGGCGAGAAATTTCCCGATCCGAGATTTCTTAGAAAAGACGATAAACTCTTCTGGCGTGGCGCCACAACCGAGGGTTTGAGCACTGCTGGGTCATGGAAGGGTATGCTGCGTCAACGATTCGTCCATTTGCTCAACAACGAGACCTCTCGTCAACCCATATTCCTCCCTACCGGAAATAAGAACGGAAAGCTGGAGTATGTCATGGAACGCCCAGAAACGATCAAGCAGCTACTGGAGACCAAGATGGATGCCCACTTCGTCAACGAAATCAATCACTGCGGCGGACCGGACTGCGACGATCAAGCCCGCGAGTTCGGCTTCGGTAACACGATCGACTTCAAGAACCACTGGCGCTACCGCTATCTCTTTGATGCGGACGGCGCGGGGTTCTCGGGCCGCTTTATCCCCTTTCTGCAATCCAACAGTGTGGTCTTCAAGACAGCCCTGTTCCGCGAATGGTACGAGGGTCGCCTCATAGCTTGGAAGCACTTTGTTCCGGTTGATATACGACTGCACGATCTGTTCTCCTCGCTTGCTTACTTTGGCGGATATAGCCTGCAGGAGAAAGGATCGAGGACAATGGAGCCGAAGATCAAGGAGGCGGAGAGTATTGCGCGGGCCGGAAAGGTGTGGACGGAGAAAGTGCTTAGGAAAGAGGATATGGAGATCTATATGTTCAGGTTACTGCTTGAGTGGGGTCGCTTGACGGATGAGCGCAGAAAGGACGTTGGATTTCGGATGGATACCCGGGGTAGGAAGGGCAAGGATAATGGGTAGTTGGTAGGCACGACAAGGCTCAAAATATCTCGTTTCTCTTCAAAGGCACAACTGACATGATGAGTACTTTTTATCTACTAGGACTGGGGTATGCCTCGAGAGGGTGTAACTCCGCTTCTTCTAATTGTGGGGCTGGTTATTCACAGCGTTGACAATGATTCAGCCTTGTACTACTACCTGATGCGCCTAGCACGAGAGACCGATACTCTGATTGGCTCGTAGACGAATCAGCCAATGAAACATCGGCATCCGCTTACATACAAAGCCCCAATCACGACACCTCATGAGCACTCCGCTTCCTTCTCAGACAATGTCCTCTGCACGTCTTGTCACCACTCACATCAAGCTTCCCAAGGTCTGCATCTCTCATAATGACACCGCCAAGATCCAAAGATCGAAAGCGGGCACAGCACACGCGCTCGAAGCTGGGCTGTCGTGTCTGCCGGTGCGTAAGCCATCTCTCTCACCCCATCCGTCTCGTCGTCTATCACGTATCAAACTGATCTCGATCTGGCAGTATTCGGCGAGTAAAGTGCGATAAGACGCGCCCAGCCTGTCTCAAATGCACCAGTACCGGCCGCACGTGCTCCGGGTATCCGTTGGCGCGGGATACGGCGGCGACTCAGCTCATCCTTCCGCGGCGAGAATTCGCAACCTTCCCGCTGGACGATCCGCTGGAAGAGCGGTCCCTGCATTTCTTCCAGAGCCGCACGGCGCCGCAGTTTGCGGGGCATTTCGAGAAAGAGTTCTGGTGTCGGCTAGTGCTGCAGGTTGGGACGCGCGAGGGGTGCGTTAGACAGGCGATTTTGGCGCTGGGCGAGCTGCATGTTGCCTTTCAGGAAGAACACCAGGGCGCGGTGGTGGGGGAAGGCACGTGGAGTGGAAGAGGAAGAGCGAGGGAGAAGGCGGCTGAGTATTACGCCAAGGCTATTAGACTGCTGAATGCGCAGATCAGAGAGCGGAGCTGGAGGGGCCTGGATGTCTCGCTGCTGTGCTGCATTCTGTGCGTGGCGTTTGAGTGGCTGCGCGGCTGCTACAAAGCCGCATCGACGCATTTGCAGAGCGGCCTTCTGATCCTTAGTCAGTGGAGTGCGAGTAGGGGTTTGGGCGCTGCGTGTGGTGGTGGGATAGCTTTTTCGAGCCCGACGGGGCATCTGATTCGCGCGCAGATGGCGCCGGTCTTTACGCGCTTGACGCTGCAGGCGAGGACGTTCTCGACGCCGTGGCTGGGCGTCGGCTCGCTGGGGGGCATGGAGAGCCTGGTTCCTCCGCAGAGACTACAGGGCGAAGAGTATGATCTCAAGGCCGCAAGAGATGAGCTGGATATGCTGCTTAGCGACGTGTATCTGCACCCCGAGAACTTCGCACCTTCGTATCCGCAGCCAGTGCTCAGCGGCGCTGCGCGCGCGGCGTTCTGGAACAGGCTCTCGCAGTGGCATCGCGAGTATAAACACCATCTCTTCCATCATCCGTCGTTTCCGACCTCGGAAGCTCCCGGCCGTGGAGGAGGCCCACCACCCACACCCGACAAGATCTCCCTTACCATGTGGTACACGACGCTCACGATTATGCTAGCGACGAGCCATTCCGCGGACCAGATGCTGTATGATGCATTCCTGCCGCAGTTCTCCCGCATGGTCGCCTTTGCGGACTTCCTTCTGTCCTGCTCCTCGTTCCCGGTATCCCCATCTCCTATCCCATCATCATCAGCTCCCACTGCCACTGCCCTAGCAGCAACGCCCTCTACCCGCTTCGCGCTCGACATGGAAACCGTCCCTATGCTCTACTACGTCGCCTCGAAATGCCGACACCCGGCTACACGGCGCAAAGCCATCACACTGCTTGAGACCGCCGCGCCGCGCGAGGGATGCTGGGACGGCGCTGCATCGGCGAGACTGGCAAAGGAGATTGTGGGGGTTGAGGAGGAGGGGTTGGGGTTGGAGCAAGGAGCGGATGGGACGACGCTGGAGGAGGGAATGGATGAGAGAATGGTGAAGGCGAAGATGCGGGTGTGGAAAGTGAGCGAGGAGACGGATTTGCAGGGACGTAGGATGAGGGTGAGGTTTTTGAGGCAGGGGCAGGCGGAGGTGGGGAGTTTGACGGTGCTGACTTGGTGAGGATGGGGAGGGAAGGGAGGAATTGGGAGGAGGGGGTGTTGTGGCGAATTGGAAGGGCATTGAGAAGCTATTGTCCTCGGGAGCTAGAGCAGTATCACTGTTCCATCGAACCATTCCTTGGTGTTTGCTGAACGAGCATTGGACAAAGCCGTTGCGAGTTGTGTTATCATGGCTTTTGACAGCTCCCAATCCATTAAGCGGGTGGAGAAGGAGCCAACCTATTATCCAAACTCTCTCTAGCCGATAGAACATAGAAAAGAAGCACAATAAGCTACCCCAGTTCATCAACCGTGGGAAAGGGGCGGTTCAGGGAGTTCGGAAGGCCGCTGACCGGTGCCGAGTACTCTTCACATCGTTGGCAGTGGAAAGCCCACGGTTCGTATTCCTTCCTCTTCGAGCTGGAGTGCAAGTGCATCTACTTCGTTCGAGGCTGGATCTAAAGAAGCTGCGGAAAACTACGTATACAGAAAGCTTGCCTTTTCTGAAACAAACGCCCTCGTTCCTGCGCTTGGCCGGCGGCTGGTACGCTGATGATGGAAATTTGGTTCTTGCTGCTGGTCAATGAATGCACTTCTCTATGCATGTATGTCGTTAGATCGTAGCAGCCTCAGGGGCTCTCGTATACCATCTCCATCAAACTCCACCGCTTTTCAGACCGGCACCGCCTTATACTCCACTGCGCCCTTCTCACTCTCCTGCGTCGTCGCCGTCACGGCTGAAGCATCTACAGTCGACACCACTTGGAACGGCTCCATAACCTGCCCGTTCAATGCTTCCTTCGGCCCTTGCACGAGTATGTGCACGAACTCAATCACCACTGGCAGCCACGTTGCAAGGCCCAGGATCTGCCCGAAAGACCATTCGCCGTCCTGGTTCGTCTCTCCGCCACCTTCACTCAGCTTCGTCCGATAGTGGAAGAATATACCAAGGCATGTCCACATGCCCGCAAGCGATAGCGAAGCTATGATGAGTCACCAACGGTCGCGCAGTCTGCGTATCCAGTCTCTCGGCGCCTTGTCGAAGCGCAAGTTCCACAGCAACGTGAGATACAGAATGCAGAACACGAGAAGCAGCGCGTTCAAGAACCACGCATACTTGAGGAAGTTGCGCGCAGCGACGTGGTTCAGACACCATGCATCCCAGGCGAATTGATGGTCGGGATCGTGAAGCGATTGGACCAGTGCTTCGACGTTGGATGTGCTCTGGTATCTGACGAACATGTCGGGTGCCGCGAGAAAGAGACCCATGACCGCGAGGCCGAGTAATACCGTGATGACCCAGGATGCCCTTCTCCATTTGGCGCGGCGCAGTTGGTTTGAGATGCAGGCGTGTAGCAGCACGGCCGGCAGAACCGAGTACAGAGCCATGAACGCCGAGGTGATGGAAGTGTAGGTGGTGAGCGGGGCCTTTAAGCCGTTGTGGACAGTGCGGGCGAAGGTTACCATGGCTGCAATGAGCATCGCGAGGCAGAACATCATAGCTGCGTCGAGGAAGGTGCGTGAGGAGTGATGTATGGCGTCGATGATTCGCGCGTAGGGGCGGTAGTTCTTGACCTCCTCGGAGATCTTGTTGAGCCTGGATGGAACGAGGATGGCGAAAAAGAAAGTAGTGAGCACCGCTTGCATGATGTAGTTCACAAGCATCTAATGGTTCTGGTCAGCGGGATGTGCCTGCAAGCGAAGGGCAACGTACTCCTCGACCAGCCAAGTCAGAATTCCCCTTCCACCCGATGCGCGGACACACTTCGTGGCTGCACTGGTCGTACGCAAAGGTATCCATATGGTCCCAGATCTGCTTCTCCCCCACTTCATCTTGGCTAAGTATCCAGGCAATGATTTCGTAGTCATTGGGGATGCTCTCGTTCCTCGCGCTGTAGTAGTCTGAAAGACCATCTTGGAGGAACTTCATCGTCCAATAGAGCGGGATTTCGGCAGTGCGCCAGTACGTCGCCGCCCATTCTCCGGCAATCGTGCAGTTCTGGTAGTGGAGAAGACTGAAGTCGGATGGAAAAGACGAGAGATTGACGGCGGAGCTCATGGTGGCTAACGTGAACTCGGTTCGTTGCCTCTTGCGGAGAGCGAGAAGCCGTTCAGGACCCCCTAGTCTTATCTTTGTTTGCCCGGAGAATAAGTGGGAAGCATGTTGCCTAGGAGTGGGGCTGTGTGCTGTCCGACAATATGTCAATATTGTCGTGCGTCCATCTCAGAAGACCCTTCTAGTGTTTCGCATCCTTATATGTGCAGTTATAACGTACAGTGCCGGAGGGCTGTGTTACGCCTTCTATGGCGCAGGAGCCAATCGCATCGCCTGGAATACAGCGCGTCGTTCAACATGTTTGCCATCGCGTCGTACACGAACCTGGGAGTTACCCAGACCGATGTCTTCCCGCTGTTCCTTTCAAATGCATGGGATGGGTGCTATCTCTCGAAGACACAAAGTGACCAACTAGGTTCGAATGGCGGTTTGGTGCTCTTGCAGCAGTAGTGAAACCGCTCATGAGTACGTTGATGAGTCAGAGCTTCTTGGGAGGCCAGCTCTGTCATCCGGGAGGAACGCGTAGGTCCAATAGGGACACGGCCTATCCGGGAAGGCGCCTATGTTGCGAGTCCGTGGGCGTGTGTTCCGCTCTCAATGCTGGACTGGCCAAAGTGAACGATAAAGTCACGTGCTCTGCGTTGGAGTGCAATCCACTGCCACCAAGTAACTGATGGACCCCGTATATGCTGATGCGTTTGTGAAAGTGATTCTTGGAAACCGGCTCTTTTCTTCCACCCTCAGTCATGCAAAGCCCAATGCACCAAATTCGAGTCTGCATAGACCATCTTTTCCATGGGCATAAATGAGAGAGGTCGTCGGCATAAACCTACCAAGGAAACGACGGACCGAGTTCTATTTCTCAACGTCGAGATACTAGTAGGATCAGCTACCGCACGCTCGACTCCCGCCTCCTGGAACGGAATAAGGTGCCTGTGCCGCGCTTGGCTGGGCAGCCCGCCCCGGGGTGGCACCCCACAGCGGCTTTGTAGTCCGTTGTCAGAGCGGTGATCGTCAGCCAAGTGAGTCAATGACCGGGAGACCGGAGAGACAGAATTTTCCTAGGCACGTGGAGAAGCCAGGGCCACCGATGGAATAATGGTGCTCGAGGACCAGGGCAGGATCCGGGATGACATCACGCTAGGACTAGCAAGGAAGCTACGAACGCCATTTTGCGGGGAATCGCAAACACCAACATCGCCGGATCACGAACACGCCACCACCAAGCATTTTGACAAGCAGGGCACAAGACGCTTCGCGGCGCGGCCTTCGTATTGGGGTGACTTGACCTACATTGAGTAAATGCCAAGATGGCGGTTCGTTCTCCACCGCTGACTGGGAGCTTGTCACTCCCAGCCACCTACGTTGGACCCCGTACCCGGAGCCTTTTCCCGCTGCATGACCAGGTTTCTTTGTGCGATGATTTCGACAAACGCGCGCAGCTTAAAGGCGCCATGGAGACGCAGGCTTTCTGCCGTCGCACGCACTCTTTCCATTGCTCTGTCGTGATTATTCAGCGTCAGCATGAGGGCTTTGAACGCGTGGACTGCTGCTCTGCTCGCAGTCGTGCCATTGGCATCCGCATTGTATGAGAATGGCTCTCTGATCGCCCCGTGCGATTCGCCAATTTACTGCTATGGAGACCTCCTGCGCGAGATTGAGCTTGCGCGGCCGTTTGAGGACTCAAAGACGTTTGTGGATCTGTAAGTGAGGGACCATGGAGTCGTTTCGCAGGCGCTGACGGAACAACAGGCCAACCATCAAACCCCTCAACGAAGTCATCGAAGCATTCAATAACCTCGAAAGGCCGATCCAGAACAACACTGCTCTGAACGACTTCTTGAGCGAGTATTTCGGCGAGGCTGGCGGGGAGCTAGAGGAGGTTCCGAATGATCAACTGCAGACACAGCCGGATTTCCTAGAGAACGTCAACAGCTCAACGGTCGCCGATTTTGTATCCCAGGTCATCAATATCTGGCCTGATCTGACCAGGCGCTATGCAGGGCCGGGCAATTGCTCGGAATGCGTCGACTCGTTCATCGCCGTCAATCGCACCTTTGTCGTAGCCGGCGGTCGCTTCCGAGAGCCGTATTACTGGGACTCTTTCTGGATCATCGAAGGACTCTTGCGCACCCAGGGCTCCTTCACTCAGATTGCGGAGAATATTATCGAGAATTTCTTGGACCTCGTTGAGGATTATGGGTTCGTGCCGAACGGGGCGCGCATATACTACCTAAACCGGTCTCAGCCTCCTCTCCTGACGCAAATGCTCCGCATCTATGTGGAGTACACGCAAAATGCAACGTTACTGGAAAGGGCGTTACCTCTGCTAGAAAAGGAGTATGAGTTCTGGGTCAATAACCGCACCGTGACCCTCGAGCGCGCCGGTAAGAACTATAGCCTTGTAAGTGGATGCTCTTCGACAGGCACGGATACCTACTCACAGGTTTCAGAACCACTACGCCGTTCTCAATACCCAACCGCGTCCAGAGTCCTATTACGAGGACTATGTAACCGCTAACAACGAATCTTACTACAATGAAGCTGGAGAAGTCTTCAACGCGACCACGCCCCTCAATGACACTGAAATGGCCCAACTCTACGCCAATCTTGCGTCCGGAGCTGAAAGCGGCTGGGACTATGGCACGCGCTGGCTTGCGAATCCTTCGGATGCTGTCTCCGATACCTTCTTCCCGCTACGGTCGCTGAACACCATGAACATCATCCCAGTAGACCTCAACTCCATCCTCTACTACAACGAGATCACCATGGCTGAGTTCTATCAACGCGAGGGGAACTACACTGCTGCTGCAGCATGGGCGCGGCGTGCCGCGGACCGAAGCGAGGCCATGACAGCCCTGTTGTGGGACCCTGAGCATTTTAGTTACTTTGACTACAACTTGACGTCCGGAACCAAGAACATATACATCCCCAGGGATAATACTACCGTAGCCGACGATCTACACGGCGCGCCTGCCGGTCAGCAGGTCTTTTTCAATATCGCGCAATTCTACCCTTTCTGGACGGGGGCTGCACCCGACGCCATGAAGAATGACCCATCGTCCCTTCGCCGGGCTTTTACGCGCATTGAGGAGTTACTGAATGATAGGGCTGGAGCTATTGCGGCTACAAATCTCCAGACTGGCCAGCAGTGGGATGAGCCGAACGTCTGGCCTCCGCTCATGTACATCCTGATGCAGGGCCTCCTCAACTCGCCCGTGGACGCCGCCTCCGACAACCAGACCGCTGCAGATTATGTTTGGACTCAAGACCTGGCGCTTCGGCTCGCACAGCGGTACCTGGATTCAACGTTCTGCACGTGGCGCGTAACGGGCGGTGCTACGCCGGATATGCCTCGTCTGCAAGACGCCGAGGGGAATGGAACAATGTTCGAGAAGTACGGGGATAATTCGACAAATGCTGCAGGTGGAGGCGGCGAGTATACGGTTGTAGAGGGTTTCGGGTGGACTAATGGTGTTCTGATTTGGGCTGCAGATTTGTTTGGGCAGCAGCTCAAGACGCCGGACTGCGGGAATATTACTGCGGCTGATATTTCTGACAAGAAAAGGAAGAGGAATGCCGTTGAGCTGCCGAAGAGAGATGCGGCGTGGATCAAGAAGTTCAACTAGACCAGTGCTAGTGAGTAAGCACCGAGGTGTCTATGCCTTTAGCAATGTAGGCACAATGAGTGTTCAAGATTCAAGCTCACACTTGCATACCTCGCGAGTAATCCAGTGCTCAACGTTCGATTGACAGGCTACCATCACCGATCCCATGCTAGTTCCCGCGTGGTCTCCGAAATGCGGGGTACATATACAGATTGATCGACATATATAACCCCACATTCCGAACACAAGCCGGGATGGTATCACTTCGCAAACCAATCAGTCTGGCCTACTATATGAAATAGGTACCGTGTGCCTAGCTTGAGTGAGTACCGAGGTTCGCACACCCTCATGGTGTGTACTGGCTTCTGAAAAGCAGCAAACTTCACATTAGCAGTTGCGAGTAGGGACGGGGCACCTTCCTGTACCGGGTGGAGGATTGTGCCATGCGGGGTTTTACATCCTAGTCGTAGGGTCACGCTGCTGTTTCTTGAGCAGTCTCCATACTAAGGAGTCCTGGCTAACGTCCAATTACAATCTTCGCAGTCAACTACATCCCTCGGTAAGGATGGAAGCCATCGTTCAAACAAGCCCTATTCACGCACCGTTTTCTCCGTCGAACCACTGTTTCTGCACGAACGCAATACCGGTACTGTTGCAGCACTCCTCAGTGGTGGATTCCCCGTGCCTGACTAAACCTGCCTGCACAAGACCACGGATACAACCCCAGATACAGCTCCCAGGCTCCGAGCACACTGAAGCGCGGTATGCTCATCTGCCGCCGAAGAAAGATGTATAAAGTCTCCAAAGATGCTTCGACTATCTCCTCAGCCGGACATCGAGAGCACAGCGGCCCGTCCCTCCCACTCCATTCATTCTCTTGAAGAGTCTCGCAGCCCAAGCACAAGCAGACCAAGATGAAGTCCCTCATTTTCCTCTCCCTCCTTGCACTCGCCGCGGCAGCCCCCTTAGAGATCCGCCAGTCCACCACCAGGAACGAGCTCGAAGACGGCAGCAGCTCCTCATGTCCCGAGGCAATCCTCATCTTCGCGCGTGGCTCGACTGAAGCCGGGAATATGGTAAGGCCCTTTCCATCCCACCCGCCTTCGACAAATCACTAACACGGCATTACCTCCAGGGCGCGCTCACCGGCCCCCCGCTGGCAAACGCGCTGGAAGCCCATTACGGCGCGGCAAACGTCTGGGTCCAGGGCGTGGGCGGCCCGTACACAGCGGATCTGGCGTCTAATTTCCTGCCGGGAGGGACGAGCCAAGCGGCAATAGCGGAGGCGGTGAGACTGTTCAATGAGGCGAATACGAAGTGTCCGAACTCCGATGTCGTCGCTGGAGGGTATAGGTACGTCTGCTCTCCCCTCCGCACCGGTTCCCTTTCCCTATTTCCCCTTCCTCTCTCTATCCTCCACCGTATCCCCCGAAAAGACTGAACTAAACTAATGAATGCAAAACAGCCAAGGCAGCGCCGTGATCGCCGGCGCAATCCCTGATCTTAGCGCCGCTGTGCGCGCCCAAGTCAAAGGCATCGTCGTCTTCGGCTACACGCAGAACGAGCAGAACGGCGGCGGCATCCCGAGCTATCCGCAGGACGACCTCGAAGTCTTCTGTGCTGATGGCGATCTCGTGTGTGATGGGACGTTGATTATTACGCCCGCGCATCTTACGTATAGCGATGATGCTGCGGGGCCGGCGGCGGAGTTTTTGGAGTCAAAGATTGGGTAGGCTGGTAGAGGAGAAAAAAGGGGTGGAAAAGTAAGGAGTGGAAAAGTACTCGGGTGGGTGTCTAGTTTTTAGCTGTGCGGAAGGAACGAGAAAAGTTTAGCCGCACTTTCAAATGAGGACTTCCGTTGCCTGAATATGCTCTTGTATGTAGCGCTACAAAAGGTCATGCGCGACGGAATCCGGACATAGAGAATGATCTCCACGCTCTGAGTGGCGATATCCTAAGCCTCTAATTGGTTCGATCCTTTTCATGCACTAGCCCCCACCTGCGCTTCTTCGACCTCCGCATCATCAGTCATCATACGCGACTCCTCCAAAAGTATGCCCTCGCAACGAAAAGCCATCTAGGCGTCTATCGCACCAAAGCCCAATGGAACTTACAGCCACGTCGTCCGCTCAGGGACTACGCTGCACATCGCAGGCTGGATGGGCGATGACCCGGAGACCGGCGCTATAGTCCCCGGGGGCATCGAAGCGCAAACCGTCCGTCGCCACCCCACTCCAATCATTGGCATTAGATGCTGATGCAAGACGCTAGGAACAAGCAATCAAGAACATTAAAGCTTGTCTCGAAGCTGCTGGATCGAGTCTGGATAAGGCGGTCAGGACAAGGATTTATATTATGGATATGGATGAGTTTCGCAAGGTGGATGCGGTTTGGGGGAAGTGGTTCGAAGAGCCGTACCCGGTTAGTACGTGTGTGCAGGTGAGTGTGTCCCAAGGATGGTTGAGCGAAGGGAAGAGGGGCTGACGGGAAACAGATTAGTGGGCTAGCGAAGGAAGGGGCGCTGGTGGAGTTGGAGGTGGTTGCTGAGGCCTAGTGTGGGTGTTCTGTCACAAAAGGACATAGCGTGAATCGAGTTTGCACTACAACTGATTCTAGCGTAGGGCATTTTCACTACTGAGCGCGCTGCTTAGCTGCTCTATAGAACTGAAAATCTTCCTCTGTCGCACTCATCGTCCACTCTGCTTCATACGCCGAATCGCCGCAACCACTACGAGCCGAAGCTAAAATCATGGCCACTCAGAACGTCCCAGACAACGAGCCGGAAAAATTGTCGCCCGATAATAAACCGTTCCGCTTCCTAGATCTTCCAGGTGAGCTGCGCAATCGCGTGTACGAGGAGATCATCCCGCATCAACCCGTCCGATTGCAGTGGACACCGCGCCCCGAACCAGGCTGCTACCTCCACCTTTCGCTGGCCAACGCCAACAAGCAAATCCGGGCCGAGTTCCGCCCTTTATACGTAGAGCATACGCGAATCGAAGTTCGGTGGAAGGATCTTCTGGCGTATCTGGAGACATTCTTCCAGAGGGTGCTGGAAGGCCCCAAGCCTAAAGACCTTACAATCAATCTCCACCCCGACGATTACGGCGATAGCGTGGACGTTCTTCCGTTCATCAAGCTGACCGGCAACCTTCAGAACCTGAAGTGTCGCTTTCAGTCCGACCCGCGCCTAGGCTGGTATAGTCACAGCACCACCTATCATTCTATTGTCCTGGAAGACATCTTCGACTACTTCCACTACACCGCACAAGCTTCTCTTTGTGCCGGGTTGCTACGCCACGTCTTATTGCACAAGCTAAGCTGGAATGCGCCAGTCGACTTAGTGCTGATCAAGCCGCCGAGCGCCATGACCTTTGCGGAGAGGACGGCAGTGGACACTTTTTCTAGTCGTATGGGGGGAAACTTTAGAGTGCTCATATACGTTGACGGGAAGCCGGAGAAGAAGTGGACGAGATTGATGTGGCTAACAATGGAAGAGGGAGAGGGCGTCACGTAGCCAATTTCCGAGCAACCGCAGTATCGACTCAATAGGGGTAGACTGCCCTTTCTGTGAAGATCAGATGCCAGTCGACCTGGAAAGAATTTACAATGGTTGAATCCGACACAAATCGATCTATTTGTTGCTTTATGACCAGGCCGTTCCAATCGATCAGTCCTAGTGAGATTCCATCTTTGAATCACACATGGGCGGTAAGCGGAGGATTCCTGTTGTGTAGCTTAGAAGCAGATATCAGATCATTTTCAATTTTCAGAAATACCTACTGGCGCGTCTGTCAAGGATTTCGTCATAGCATCTCACCAGTTCGCCTATCCGAACCTCATCGTCGTCCTTCCAGGCACCTACCACTGAAGAAAATCCGAAAATGCGGAGAGATCGCACACTTCGATTCCATTTGACCGATGGCATGAAAGGTTTTTGTCGTGATACTCAACAAGCATCCAAATTCACCCTTCCTAACTCGAACGCGGAGCCCTTCGAAGACCATTGCGGTTTCACCTGTTACTAATTAACAAGCATCCAGACCAAGTGTTTAACGGTATGATACTTAGGTTGCAACCCAATCCTTTGGCACGTAAAATGTGAGAAGAATGCGAAAGCGAATGCTTAGTATTCACGCCGCGTCAAGAATACGAACGTGTTGGAGGGAAGCCTCGAATAGCGGTGAGCTTTTCTGAGCGAACCCTCGTTCTCGGCATCGTAGCATGAGAGGTTGTCAAACTTTATTCTAGATCCACGAACCTGAAACGCGAGTCAAGGCGCGCTGTCCAGCGAATCGCGGCAGATCCCTTCGCGGGGCGGTCGAAGAATTCGGAATGGCCCGCAGCTCGCCTCGTCAAACTCGATCAAAGACCAATCAGAGAGGATTTCCCCCCGCGCATCGCAACGTTGACGCGAGTGCAACGACGCCCGGACGTCTGAGGCACTGGATGATCTGCAGGACGGAGGCTTAAGTCGAGCACGTCGGCGCGGGAGGATACAGCGCGGGCTGTCATCGTGCCTTCATCTTCACCATGGCAGACAACACGACAAAGATGGTGGCTGGGGTGTGGTCGGTCACCGCTATAGCACTGTTCTTCCTTCTATCAAGGATTGCCTTCAAGTGGAGAAGTGGCAAACGAATTGGTGCCGATGACTGGATTCTAGCAACCTCCTGGGTAACGAGACCACTCCCTGTCTTCGCTGACGATGCGCTGACCTTTGGCAGTGTCTCCTTGCGATATACGCAAGCCTCATTCACGTAGCGACGAGCTACGGGCTTGGCTACCACCTCGCAGACATCGCGGAAACCAACCTCCCATATGCCCTAAAGTACCTCACGATCGGCGAATTCTTCGTAATCATCGCGCTGCAGGTCAGCAAGACTTCTTTCGCCGTTACACTCCTCCGTCTAGTTGCGCGCACATGGCAAACCTGGGCACTTTGGGCAATCATTGTGTCCCTAAATGTCGTCATGGGGTTGGATGCCATCTTTGTCTTCGTTTCTTGCAACCCGACCGCAAAGATCTGGAGATCTGAACTCCCTGGACACTGCTGGAATCCTCGCGATGGCATCAACGTTTCGATTTTCGCAGGTGTATACTCTGGAGTGATGGACTTGGTGCTAGCAGCATTTCCGGTGGTCCTTCTACAGCCTTTGAAGATTGACAAGAAGGAGAAGATCGGAGTCAGCATCGCAATGAGTCTGGGTGTCTTTGCCGGAATTGCGGCTTTCATCAAGTCAGCCTACTTGCCACAACTTGGGAGATGGAAAGATGTGACCTGTACGATCAACGGGCGGAATGCTCCATGTCGAGTCGCTAAATGTCTACAGACTCTTCCTACATCATCCTTATATGGGCCGCAGCCGAAGCCGCTATCACCATCGTTGCAACTTCGATCCCCTATCTACGACTCGCCGTCATACAGTCAAAGCGTCAGTCCAGAGGGTACCGTGTCCATGACGAAGAACTTCACATGGATCGCGTCACACCGAAACTGAAGTCAGATATTACCGTGTCGACACTGACGGACAAAAAGAGGATCGCTATCCCCGACTCTGTGAAAAGGAATGCTAACATGAAGAGTGTCCGGCTCGGACAAACAAAAGAGCAAGAGCGAGATACGTGGGACAAATACACGGATCAGCTAAGCCGTGGATCGCTGAGCTAATGACATAGAGTTTAGTATAGGTTCCACCTTGCTTCCTAGTATAATTCCCCCCTCAACATTGTTTACTTCCACTGGGAAGCGTCACCGCGATCATACCGGGATCCTCTAGAGCTCAATGCGTACGCTCTCGTCGCTCTAGAGTCGCCAACTCTCAAGGACAAACATATAGCAGCGCTCTTCGCAAACTTGGGCATTGACCGCTTCTGGAAGTTTGCTGATCTGCCGCAATTGCATTGGACCTTATTTGCGGACGCAGGGTATTCCAAAGCCCCGGACGCTTGCACCGTTGTCTCCTTGACCTTATAAGGGTGTTACTTCACTCTTATCTCCCGACAGCGGACGAGAGCCAATGGCTAACATGCCACCTACCAATCTATGGAAACTGCTCAAGTGCACCTCGTGCAATCAACCTGCCGATCGCTCCGTCTTCGGCGAACCCATCGACCCCCCCTACACAGGCCGCCTGCGAGGACTCTGCCAGAAATGCCGCCTCAACCGCATCTGCCAGATCTGGCATAACGTCCATGAGTGGCGGGACATCCTCATGTTGAACCTGGCCTACCTGCGGCGCGAAGTCGACTGCTCGCCAGGGTACGGTGTCGAACTCAATTCCGAAACCAATGGGCTGGTACCTGGCTTGATACGACTGCATGAGTACGGTATACTGAGCTGCAGCTCGCAACCTGGAGGAGTGGACCCAGACGGCGGATTCCAAATTGCCGAGCCAGAGGGCGAGGCTGAAGGGTGGTATCAGGCGAGGCAAAGAGCGTACGTGGAGCTATTGATTCCAACAACGCATATAAGGATTGGAAAGGAAAAGGTCTCGGCACTTGTTAACGAACTGCTTGCGCGGACTGATATTGTGGTCACGGTGTACTCCGAGATGGACACCTATCCGACCCCGAGGAAGAGAGAGGATTGGAGAGCGCGCGAAGTAGCTCCCGTCCCGCCACCGTCATTCCAACAATACGTCTCCGGCTCGAGCCAGCACCAAGCCAACCAGGACGATAAGCTGTACTATTTCCGCTCTTCGATGCCGCCAAAAGAATATGTCGTCACGGAAGAACGTATGGCTCCCACTCAGGAAGCCTTAAGCGCGATGGAGTGGAAAGGGAAGACTCGCATGAGCACCGCGTCTGTACGAGATCTGCAGCGCGACGGCAGACTCAACTCTATTTGTGGGGAAGATGAGAAGGGGAGATGGTTCGATGCGGTCAGCCGGATGAGGCCTCTGGCTGTGCTTGTTGCATCGAAAGACTGGAGTGGAGATGTTGACTTGCTGAAGCTGGTCGAGGATGTGTGTGTCAGGGTAGGCTTGCCGAAAGTATTTCAGGGGATAAAATATTGGAGGCTTCGTGGGATTGGAGATTGGATGTTTGAGGGAGAGGAGGAGCAAGCGGGGATTGATTGGGCGGACGTGCAAATTGGATAGCTCACGCGGGGATGAGGTCCCGTGCCGCATGGTATGGTAGCTTTTCTCGAATGGCTCATGAGTGGATGGACACTGAGTTACTCAATAGGAATTATGCCTTTCCATGATATCGCCATCCATCGCCCCAAATTCGAAGCATTTTAGCCCACTAACTTCCACCTACCCTCGGCGAGATCCTAAATTCCGTGCGGGATATGCGCACCCAAAGTCGGGGATGCTTCTGGTACGCTTGCTGGGCCTTTCTGTTACATCTGCGAATAGATGTGGGCGCGCGCGGGTCGGAAAAAGATGAACAGCATACTGATCCGTCAATCGCGTGGCTCTGTCGCCTGCTTGATTTGAGGACGGCTGTTTACCAGTCCACTGACAAATATGGCAATAGAATGCTGCTAATAGGTTCAACCATAGGACGGTTTGCTCTTGTTCTGCTAAAAATTGATCAGCGCTAAGTCTCACGATATTAATGGCCACAGAGCAATGCTGTGTGATCCTACAGGAGGCTGAAGACGTTTCGGCCCCTCTTCATCAGCCACGGCGCAACACGGCGCTTCCGTTGCGGGTTATGCATACACCATCGCAACCACCCACAGCCCGAGGAGGAGATAGATACAGAGCCTTGGCCTAAGCATCGAGCTGTATCTTAAGTTCTTCACTCCAACGTCGACTTACCAAGCTGGATCGCTAAGTATCTCCTTTAGCCTCTGAGCGGCCATCGCAGCCAAATTCTGTCCGCAGCACGAAATCCAACGGTCGCCGTATCTAGTGTGAATTTTGAAGACGCATCGAAGTATGAAGAAGGAATTTGGAAGCTTCCGGGCCTTCAGCGCCAGCAATTCTACGCAGCAGCATACTACCTCTCAGTCGCTCAGCGACAACAACGCGTTTCGACGAACTCTACATCAGTATACGATGCAGATTCTTCGAAGGCTGACCCGTCTGGGATCAAGGATCTCTTCCTTGACGTTCTAGCTTTGCTATTTGCTAGGTTCAAGAACAAGAGGAGAACAGCGCGGAATGTAACGGCAGCCGCACTCGTCATTGACGGGAACAAGTGGGACGTGTGGCTGGCCAAAAACGCTGGTCCCTATCGTACGAAAGGTTTCATAAGCGACGAAGAGTTTTAAGAAGAACTCCGGAAGTGGTTAAACTCAACTCCTTCGGATTCGTGCGAGACAGCTCGGGATAGCATGGCGGCCGGTGAAGCGCCAGACGACACCCGCACGGACTCAGAGAGGTAGGGTAGACGATAAGGTGGGGAAACTTCACCACCTTATAGGCTGCCGTAAGAGAGCTCGGCTACTTAAGCGCCAAATGACGCGTTCTGGAATCGCATTGTCCAATTTTGGGACGAACGAGTCGTTCACTATGTCAAGGGGATACAGGAAGGCGCCAGCTTTCTTCCTGTCGAGCGGCATCCAAGCGGGAGCGAGTCATCCAAAGCACCATACAAGGGAAAGAGAACGAAGCCGCGAAAGAGTGCAGCTCGACACAAGTCAACATCTCCGACGCCCAGCAGACCACCGACGCTCAAGGAACTAGCCCCATGGACAAACAACGTTTTTCGGGGAAAATGCGAACGATTAGGCCGACAGACGTCCGACGTGTGCTGAGGGACAAGAGATCCGACGCCGATCTGGAGCTATTCGAAAGTGACTGGACCACGGCCGTTGAAATGTCCACCCGCTTCGACGAGCCAGTCAGCGACGAGCCACCGACGGGGTGGATCTCAAACCCCGAAGCAATGACAGGAAAGCCAAAGAAGCTGCGCAAAGGTGAAACGAGCAGCATCCGGCTCGATTTTGCCCCCTTCGGAACCGAAAGCCGCGACAGGAATATCCGGCTGCTAAATCCATACGCGATCCGTCCGCGGGACCTTACGAGGCATTTCGCAAGAGAATCAGAGACCTGGAAATGCTCGGCGCTCTTAAGACCATGTGGGTGGTGCTCAATCTCGTCCGCAACGAGCTGAGGGAAAGGAATATCACGATGGAGATACGTTTCGTCCTTGCGTACCCTGCTCTGGAAAAGACAGAGATTGCTAAAACAATCCAAGACTGGGCAGGCCTTGGAGACACGTCGGTCCGGAAAGATGTCCTGCAAGAGCTCAAACTCGGGGACGAGACGCTCGAGAATCTGAGGCTTGGGAGGGAGCTCACGGAAGCTCCACACCGGCCGTTCACGAGATACTTCCACTGCGAGCTTCAGCTGTTGCATCTTTTGCATGGCGAGGAACGTTCTGGCAGGACACCACACGAGTATATTGGCGTGAGCAAGCTTTCTTGCTACCTTTGCCATTCAATGCTCGCGAGGCCAGGCGGACTCAAAACTCCTTACCGCACCAAAGACGGACACTACCAGATCTCGGCTAACTGCGCATTCCCCTTCGACATCACGCGCGGCTATGGATACATCCTAGAAGCGCTAGTAGCAGCCCAAGCCTCCATGCTCCAATGCATACTGCGGAAAGTAGTCCACATCGACGCTGAATACTCCATAAATACAGAAATGGAACACACGCAACTTGGAAGCATCTCGGCCTCTCTCGTTTCACGGTATGCGCGAGCCAGCGCGCCACTGCTGCGTGTTGTCGCGGCACAGGGCGGTGATTTTATCACTGTGCAGGCATTGAGGCTGGCGGCCAGCAGTGAAGAATCACAAGAAGCGGTTAGGCTCATGGACGCAACAACTGCCGAGCCACTTTCGTCCGACAGAATATTCCCCCGGCACCTGGTTCCCGAATGCCTTCTCCGGGGCGGCTGGAGCGGCTGGAAAGCCACGGGGCTCAAATTCAGCAGTGGCGGCCGGCCTCTTCGGTTCATCATCTACTATCGCGAGAAGGGGAACGCTCCTCCGAACCGCGGGGCCTTCGCGGAAACAACCAGAGCGAGAAGGTACAGTAGCGAGGAGATGCGGGGGAAAGAAATAGACGAATACTTCTTCCGCGGGGATATTTGGATATTCAGGGTGGACTTGGCTACTCCCGTCTATCAACATATCTACCCTTCTGATCACGCAAGGCGGAATACGAGACCCAGATGAAGAGTCACTTTGCTGGGTACTTGAGAACGAAGTATGACACGTACTGGGAAAAGAATGAGTTTAAGTTCCTAGATTGGTCATTGTAAAATCCTCCCCTATCGTCAATAGTGCGCTCGGGGAAGCCTGGGAGTAGGCGCTGACTACAAATCTTGAGCCTTGCGCTCAAGGATCTTGGGTGAAACCTTTGCTCCTGCCGGGGACTATGCTGGAATATGATAGTATGCGAGAGAGTGAGCAAGATGTTCTTCTGTAGTGATATGATCCGAAGACTATTGACTTTTAGACCACATGCCACTGCACCTTGACAATCAGCCCTTATCTCGATAGCAGTATTTTCTTGCAGTCCATGAAGTGCAATGATAGGGTGCGTGCCGAGCACTCTGGTCGCAGAGTGTAGTGGTGAATGAGGGGAGACACAACGTCGGGGTAAACGTTGGAGAAGGGAATCCATTGGATGAGATCTAGCTATAGTCAATCAAATCCAGTATATTGTCTCCCCGCCGTAAAGTCGTATACCCTTGTGAGCTGCAAAACTCGTCAAGCCCTGCAGCGCGTCGACCGGGCCGCCTATAGAACCGTGTCCAGAGAGACCAGCCGCGAATCCCAACAGCGCCGTAAAGCTAGCCCAGGCCCCGCCGAAGGGAAAATTTAGCACCACTGGCAAAGCTTGCAGGCCTGTCCTCGTCAGCTAAAGCCCGGAAACTCCTCTTCACCCTCAAGCCCATACTCACATCCCTGAGCTTTGCGGTGCCGCATGTATACATCATGCAGATCTTGGCGCAGTTCCACTCTTTGATCCAGCAGTCGTACTGATCCCCAGAAGAATTAAGCATACATTCATGTGAACGTAGGGCAGGGCCAAAACTCGTACCTTCAGGCACCTGTTGTACTCGGCGCTGCATTTCTTGGGGCAACCCCCCTCGGCGACTCCGGTGTCCGGGCTCTTCAGGACCTCCTCAAAGTTGTCCATGATTTCTGGCATGGCGGGGTCGGAGGGAGCAGCGCCTTGGGCGGCTACAAGGGTGAGAATGCCTAGGACGAGAAGTGCGAGCTTCATTGTTGGCGGCGGTGAGACGGTTGTGGTAGGGTTTGAGGTCGAAGATCGAACTGCTAATTGCTGAGAGTGTGGTGCTGGTTGAAGAAATGGGAGTGAGTTGAGAGCCAAAGCTTGGATTGAATGCTTATTGCGGGAGAAGAAAGAGTGAGGCGGTTGTCCTTCACTCACACCGCTGTTTTAAGAAAGCGCGATCGGTCCTTGTGACACAAGCAATCTTATCAACCCATAAGAAAACGAAACTGCAAGATTTAAAAGTGAGATAGAAATACATGGTTGAGGTCCTTCACTCATGCCCACATTTCATAATCCGGGAACCAGCGCTTATGAATCAGTTCCGCATACTCGACCACCACCGGAAACTCTTTCTTGATCAACTCTCTGCTCTCAGGTCCTGCATCGCAGACCAAGACGCTGACCACGAAACCGAAAACCGTGGCATCGGCTTCAGTCGGCTCATCCCCGCCTAGAACCCAAAAGCACTCCCCTTGTTTTCCTCTCCGACGACTCTCCTCTAGCATTCCATTGACTCCTTCCCACACCTCCTTGATGAGTCCACGGATTTCGGCGTCGGTGAAGCGTCCTGTTCCTTGATCGTGCAGTTTGCGCACGTTTCCGCGATATGCCAGGACCCCGATGACGACGCGCATGGGATACGGAATAGACCAGAGGGCATGATCGCGCATGATGTAGTAGTGCTTGATCCATCGTTCGTAGGTGTGACAGAAGCATAGCTTGTCCTCCATAAGCGCCCTAACGGCGAGATCCTGACCTCGTTCGGCAGGAGACAGCCTCGCGTTGACGTCGGTGATCAGACCGCGGTCGCTGAAGTCTTTAATAATAAGGCTTGAGTCGGCCAGACATTCGGTAGGGTTGTTCGGAGTCATGAGTTCGACATAGGGGATCTTCCCTTTGGGACCTGATCTCGTGGATCCAACGGCGCAGGTGTATGGGGCTTCAGAGGTGCGCAGGCGGAATTCGACCTTGGTAACGAATGGCGACCAGACGTATCTTCCAGATTCATCCCAGCCACGGTATAAGGTGATGTTGGGTTTGGGGTTGGAGCCCATCGCGCAAGAGGTCGGTCAGAGGAGCTCAAGTGAGCGAGGAATCCGAGACGTCTAGCTGTTGAGATATGCAAGATTCCGCTTCTGCTCGCACGAAAGATTGAACGAATATGTAGGAATGGTCTTAGATCCTTTTGTCTGATAAAATGAAATATTTCAACTTGCACCTTTGATGGCCTTCTTTATATACAGAAGCGCGTACGACCCGATGTCCGCTGCTCGTACACGAAGGAGCGCCAATGCTGGTCCTCACCAATGCCAAGGCTTTGATTGCGGCGCATCGCCTCATAGCTGAAGGCTTAGCTCTATAAGCCTAGGAGATGGATGGAATACAGCTAGGGGGGCAAAGTGATCTCATGATGGAGTGCGGAAGGGAAAGTGGTCGAGCAGCCATGGCTCCACCAGAGCTTAGGAGCTTGGGCCACCTTGTGATCGTCGCTGGGATGTGCTGCGAGGCTGTCTCGCTCATCACAAAGCTGCAGGAACGTGGACAGTAAAGCAATGAGGAATCGCCAGGCCGTTATGGTGCGAGAGGTATCGCATTGTTTACAGGCCTCAGGAGCGCGGACTTGGTGTTGCGTGTTGAATGCCTGGGCCGCCTTTCCCCATTGGCAGGCGCGACTGTTCGCGCCGTGAACGTTCACCGCAGAGATACCACAGCACACCCAACAGATCTCGGAGCCCATCGCCATGGCAGGCTTAAGCGCCCAATGGCGCCTCTGCGCACAACCTCTTCGGCCCTCTCTCACGCTCACTCTCACTTTCTCTTCCCCGCACCCAAGCAGCCTGAGACGCAGTGACCCAAGCGCCGCGCGAGGCTCCTTCCTCCAGGCAGCAAGCCAGCCTAGTAGCCCCTCGTACCCAAGGCCTGCTTCACCTCACCCGCGAGCGCTCGAGCTCTTCCTCTACAGATAAAGCGCCCTTCGGCCCCCGCAATCTCGCTCTCTACCTCCAACCGCATGCGACAAGCCGACCGCAACCCGATTGCCCCGCAATGGCTACAACCCAAGCTGAGGCTACCCTGACGGGCTTGCCGCTCGAGATGCGCTGGAAGATCTTCGAATTCGCTGCTGCCCGCGATACCAAGCCTAAGAAGGTCCTCCGCTACTATTTCGAGAAGAAGGAGGTCAAGGAACTTATCGCGAAGAACGCGGCCAACAACCCCGACGGCGTGACGCCGCAGGTCCGATACAATGACTCCTATGACGAGGATAGCGAGATGGGTGTCGACCACGAGGGCGAGGAGAATGAGCAAGACGACCAGGATGAGGACGACGAGCAGGACGACGGTGAAGATGATGACGAGGAGCAGGTCGACGATGACGACGAAGATGGGGAGCAAGACGATGAGGCCGATAATGGCAATGAGGAGGAGGATGTAGACGTCGCAGAGGATGAGGGGGACGACGGTGGGGTCCCTGAGGACATGGACGGCGTGGAGAATGAGGAGGTTGAGGTTGAGGCTGAGGCTGAGAATGACAACGGCGAGGGTAACATTGCCGGCGAAGAAAACGAAGAGGCCGCCGCCGAAGCCGCCGAGGATGCAGAGAGCGATGGCGAGAATGATGAGGCTGATGCTGAGGCCGCTGAGGATGCGGAGAGCGACATTGACGAGGAAATGGCCGACGCAGACGGCGACACGGCCAACGCCGCTGGAACCACCACCCAGACTGCTCCTCCGCCTCCTCCAGCTCCCATCGTCAGGCCGCATGGTAAATGGCGTCATATCCCGAAGTTCTTGCGTATCACACGCTGCCCGCCTCCCGTCGAGCTCTTCCTTGTCTCCAAACAGCTCAATGATGAAGCCAAGGACTGGTTCTACAATGTCGCTGTCCTGAAGATCGACGCCACTGGCAGCTTCGCCCATACCAGCTTCTTCGAGGAGGCTCTAGGCCAGATCGCCGACGCCGCTTTCTCTCCCATGGAGAGCATCCGCAAGGCTGAGGTCACATTCGTATGGGACAGCACCTGGATCCGCTCAGAGTCGACCGGCTTTGCCGGGAATGTATTCCCGGCGCTGCTCATGAATCGAGCTGAGTATGTGGTCAAGATCTTGAAGCAAGCACCATACCTCAAGGACGTGCTTATCTATTGGCACGACTCCGCACAAGATGTGCAGAGCGAGATGTTAAAGAACGACGTCCTGGAAGCCTTTCTAAATCTCAAAGGCGACATTAGGGTTGAAGAGCACTACATTGCTTCAGATGCGAAGCCGCACGTAAAGAGCACCGCAGGCAAGCGTCGGATTGAGTTCCAGAATATCATCGACAACCCGCCGGAGTATTTGTAGGTAGGGACTATACCTGCCTGTCCTGAGCTAGCGTCTATTTCTAGGCCGCTCTAAACCCCGGCATTCGGTTCGCACATAGCACGGTCTCTGTCATCATGCGGATAGGTTTGGCTCTATCACCGACGGGATTCATCCCCTTCATTTGGTCTGCAGACGCTATGGCCATGGCGACTAACGGATTCATCGATTAATCAATACGCTCTTTCGCGCCTCAGATATCTTACACATCCATGGTATACACGGTCATCATGTTTATGGATCTGGGAATCGGCGCTGGCCGAGAATGGCGTTTCGGGCGAGGACAAGGTTGGCCTGTCCAGGTAATTCCAATGAAATATCTATTTGATCTCCTTTCCTTGAGTTCTGTGACGCCTTGCAGCCCCCATCTCTTTGACACGATGGTAGGTGCACCACAATGCTAGCGGCTTTTCATGGCATTGCGCATCTTTGATAAGTACGCCTGCCTCTTATCACCCACCCAATTCACACCTAGATATTCCCTCTGCCACTTTCCGCTTTTGGAAACCGCGCGCTGTAACCTCTTTTCTCGCTGCTTCCTCCTGACATTCGGACCATCTTCCGCCAATCAAAACCTCTCTTTACTAAACCCCCAGTATCTCACCGCCACAAACTCATTTTCCGGAACACACCATCGGGTGAATGGAACAGCGCAACCCACACCTCCTGTAGCCGTCCTCTTCCCTCCCGGAGCTTGCTCCCGGATGTTGCATAAGCGGACACAAGAGCGGAACGAAGCCGGTGTCGCGCAGCCTGAAGCTGATACCCAAAATACAACTAGTTCGGCAATCAACCGCTCGCCATACTATATCCAAACCGCCACTTCCCCAAACTAGCGGACGCCAACAATCCAGCCAGTTCGCGAAGTTTCGAACACCACATCAGTAGCCAACACGCCACCTTCCCTCCCTCCCACGCACACACCTCTACTCCACGCCAAGAACCTCAACCACCACCACCGCCGACCCTCAGCTCAACCCAGCTCAGTTCAACTCAGCTCAGCTTACTCCACTCTCCTCTTCTCCGGACGCTATGATCGCCGATTGGTCATTAGCTAGCTACGTGGTACTCCCTCTCCTTGTTCTATTGATGGCCCACCGCCAAGCTTCAGCGCCAACGAACGCATTCGCCCCGTACCCCGGCGCAGAACCTATCCCGGACTGCAAGTGGAAGTGCTGTGGTTGCGCAAGAGAGTGGTGGACGCATCAGGTGGGGCATGCGTGTGTGGGGTGCAGTCATCGGTATAGTGTGGAGTGTTGTGGCCTTGCTGGATGAGTGAGGGAGAGAGGGGTGATGGTGGAAGGTGAAAGAGGAAGAGGGATGGAGAGAGGATCGGGTAGGTGACCGCTGAGGAGGGAGACTGCAGGGATATGGTTGGAGCGGGTTAACAAATGGTTGAAAGGACCTAGCAAGGGCCAAATGTATGGGTCGATGGGGTAACGGAAAGGAAGAGCTTGGTGGAGCTTCCGCTGAAGGTTGGTGCTGTGGTTCAAGTGGCGTGAAACACCTTTCCCTTCGTTCACAGTGGGCCATTTGCGCCTTTATGAGATACCCATTCCTGTTTCCTATACGTTCTTTTTCGTACAGATCATCTTTCCCTCTCTTGTTTTACAAACCGTCCAATCTCTCCCGTGTGTACCCCGGGTCTGAATATTGCCCGCTACGCGTGCCCGGGGTAAGCCTCTGCCACCCTCTCTTCTCTCCCTCCCTGCTCCACTCCCAATTCCCATGGCATCTTCACCCCTCTTCTCTCACCATCCGCGGCATAAATATCCCACATCCCACCCTTCGGCCTCCACATAGCGAAGAACGGCGGGGGGGTCATTTCCCGCTCGCATTTCCGCCACACATTACTCGCGTCTTTCCTGTCGGTGTCGAAAGCGATCTTGAACAGTGATCGGAAGCCGACGTTTTCGTAGAGAGGTTTTCCCATAGAGGATGCTTCCATCCAGCATTCGAGGTTTAGTGAGTCGGCGCGAGTGGTACCGGCAGCCATGAGAAGGGAGCCAATTCCGAGACGGCGGTGGGCGGGGTGGACGGCCATCCAGTTAAGCGCTGTCCACATCAACCTTTGAGCAATGTAAAGGTATGGGATGATTTATACCGAGGTGGGGCCTCCGCATCCAGTTCGCTCTTGGCTTATACACTTGATTCAGAATCAACTCGCAGAAGTCCCGGTGCTCGCCCTTTGGCCACCACGGCGCAGTCAATGGCGGCACTCCATCAGGAAATGGATTTGAGGTAAATATCTGCCATTGCGCGCAGCCAACAACGTTCCCAGTGTCACCGCCAACAACGTAGAACCAATTGCTCGACGGATCCGCCATGTGTTGACTCCAGAAACGGGCTTTCGACTCAGCGACCGACGTTTCGCGGTCGAGGGGCCTGAAACCGAGGACTGGAAAGAAGAGTTGGGCGAAAGGGTCGTATGGGGAGTAGTTCGCCGCCCATATCACATCCATTATTTGATCCATCTCTTCCTTGGTTTTCGCATGTTTGAGTACATATTTGCTGGCAGCTTTCAGTGTTGGTTCTTCCATGGAGCCCATTTTAGGGGCACAAATGAATTTTATATGGTGTTTGGGGCTGATTTGACTATCATACGTTAACAAGCCCTTGATGTTAGATCGAGGCACAGCAAGCGCACTTTGGAAGGTCAGTAAAAGTAATGGTGGTACCATGTTTGGTTCACCAGCCCGAATTAGGAAGGCGCCAGTGAGTGCTCCTTGCGGACTAGCGCACTGCCGAAGTGGACGCAAGCCCTGGAGCTTTCACACCCAGTGGACGGGACCACGTCTGAGCAACCCCTCATCAATCATACCCCATGAATCGTCATATTGGTTTCACATGTGGCGCTCTCGTCGTCTCACCTGCGACCGCAATTTTTTCCTTGCCCGGCCCTAGCTTATCGGCTAGGCCACCGGCAGCGACGTGGCCGACACCGGTCGCACGCAATTCATCGGTCGTCCGAGCCCGGAGCCAAAAGCGCGCCACAAGGTGGATCCTTATGCCGTTGCGGGCTGAGGTTAAACGGCTAGGAAATGCGTAACATCAGTGTAGCACAGATATTTTCTCCATCAATACTGGGTGGCGACGCTCTCTCCATCATGAAAGAGCTATCGTCATGGGGAGCAACCGAGAGTATCGACCCTTGAGCGGAGAAGAGGAGGGTGAGATCGAAGTGAAAGGCATCGACTGGAACGCGAGCACGGAGATTATCCCTACCCATACCCCCAGCTTCGTCGTCTATCTATCGCTGTTCCTACTTTCTCTCTCAGCAAATGTTCTGCTGATGCTTGATAACGCTCGCCTCCGGTACTCTTCCAGCGACTTAGGGAAGAGCAAGTACAGTAAGCTGACATACCTCACGCGCGTGCTGCAATATTAATCTATCTCAGGCGGAATCACCTTTGACACCGTCATTCCGTTCCACTCCTATACGCGATACTGGAACCCCAATGTCAGTCAAAGCGTCACGGATGAGGCGTGGGACGCGATAGACACGAATCCTATGGCGATCTCCCTCCACGATGACTTCGCGAAGCAGGTTGGCTTAGGGCCATCCTCACGCTTCCCCTGGGACAACGAACGCAGCATCTACTATATTAAAGGCTTCCACGATCTGCACTGCTTGGTAAGCCGCCTTTCCTTTCCTTGGACCCGTGCAGAATTAACATGGCATCAGAAACTTATACGGAAAGCCATAGTCACAAAACATAGCGGCGACGGGCAGACATTCTCTCTTCACCATCTTCTTCATTGTCTGGACGGGCTGCGGCAGGACATCATGTGCGCTGCTGATGACACGCCAATGCCCGCTGCGGTTGCGCATCATGTGGGAGATGGCCAGCTGAGGAGGTGCCGTGACTGGAACAAACTGACGGCCTGGGCTACCAGGCCCGATCAGCACGCTTGTCACAAATTCGACGACTATCGCGAGGCCACTAACACCCTAGAGCTCTTCGCTCACTGCCCGGAGGACTCCCCTTACCGAGCCACCATGAAGGCTTATTTTGAGTACCATGGGCACAAAGATCCGTATGAGCAGATGAGTGATGGTCAAAAGGAGATTTTCTAGACTTGTCTATGAAACCACCGGGCAGCCGTCAGTTGGTGTCCGCAACCTTAGTGGGGATGAAGAGTACGCTGGGACTGTCGCTCGCACCAAAGCTTGAATATATGGCACAGTTACATCCAACATCGCTTACAGTGCCTCATTTTGGTAAATGCATCCCCCACAAAAAAATGGTGTTGGATGCCATGTTGCATATACGAAAGCAACGATGCGAAGGAATCCGACGGGTACTTCTCGATCCATCCTCCATGGTGCGTTGTTGCCTGCCATCCATGGAAAAAACGACGCCAGCTGGACCCTCACCGCCGCTCTAGCCGAACATTTCCTTGCTTTGGTCTTCTCCGGCGTATCATAGAGAAGTAGTTGTGGAACCAACATGTCGGCGATGGGCCGTCCCGACCTGAGACATATCCTACCCTAGTGCCGGTCAACCTTTCCCATGGCACCTGCGTCCACATGATTGATCGCGAAGGACGTGCTGTCGCTGAGCTTCATCGTACAAAGTGATAAGGAGGAGGGTATTTATTTAGGATCAGGGCAGTCTAGGTAGCTAGTTCCAGTCACTCATCCAAGCACCAAGACGTCTTGCTTATTGCACCATCGAGGCACTGTGAGTAGCATCATGCCGTCATCGCGGTATACTTCTGACAAATGCAGGCTTCTTTCAATCGACGACGTCACGATGCGATCCACCATCGTTCTCCTACCTTTGCTTGCTCTCGCGACTGGCACCGCGTCTGCCCCAATTGAGCACCGTCCGGTCTCTACTCCACCCGACAAAATTGTACATGTTGACCGACGCGGACTCCTGCTTACTGGTCTCGATGCTCACCGTCTACAACGCATGGCCAGAGCAGCTCCAGCTGTAGATATCACAGAGATCGGACCCATACCTATTCATCGCAGAATTGCTCTCGCTATCGAGATGGAAGTGGAAAATCCGACAGAGGTGCGAGACTGATAGTAAGTCGATACGTCGAATAATCTCATCTCAGGAGGGCTGACGTACTCGCATCCAGATAAAGCGCTTCCGCCTTTCCGCGTCGGTACATTGGAAGGCTGGGCAAGTCAGACCAGGCTTCGGGTCTGAACATACGCTCATTCATCGTCCCTCTGTCCTTACCGATTAAAACGTCTGGAGGATTTGGAGTGCATTGTAGATGCATCATTAGGGCCAAAACTAAAATGAAATTCTTCGCATCCTTCAATCTGGGTCACATCGTACAGACTACCGTATTTTCATGATGCACAGCATTCGAGACCCGCAAGTGCGTGTAAGAGATGTCAGATGACCATTTCACGCCTTGGCTGCTGCCGGCTTCCGACTTCGCCGCCCAAAACGGAAGTCCCTCAGACATGCATTGGTATTTGTTTCACGGTGCAAATTGTTCCGCTCTAGAATATCCTTCAATCTCCCTCGACAGCTGCCGTGGTACAGTCAGTAAGCCACATTGCTACACAGCGCCTTAGCGCCCCACTATGGATGACGAGACAATCGATCCCAACTAGCAGCGCATGAAGCGAGGAGTTGTCTCAGTCCTAGATGCGTTCGAGTCTCCCTGGGCCAGCAGTATATTCTAGCTTCCTTAGCGCAAAGCTGCGTCCAGGAAGTCGGGCAATAGTCAACCCACCGATGCCGACCGCATGGCTGGCTTCGTCGCACAACGGCGACTGATTGGCAAGAATGCTCACTATCTTGCTCTGATCGTCCTTGCATCGCTGTCCTCCTGCTCGCGTACCACACGGCATCCACAGACTCGTCAACCCCTCTTCGGACTCGGTTTCGAGGGCTGAGAATAACATGGCAACTGAACGCAGGGCGGGACACCAGATCGCAATCGTTCTACACACAAATCCACGCCCGGAATATTACATTTCTGAGCGCCATGCGCCGCAGTGCGCAGCCTTCAGCTAGACGCCGCCTCTCCTAGCATCATTGCGGCTTTCCTTCTTTTTTGCTGCTCAGCGCTTTGGCATGATTCAGTTTGCGATGCCATGACTGCCATTCCTTCTGCGAACCAGCGCGTTGCACGACAGCCGGGCTCTGAGCGAGACCTCGGCCCTTTTCTTAATGTTGTTACTTGGGTGCTGTTGATTTCTTCAGTGCTGGCGGTCTTGACGAGGCTCGTTACGAAGAGGGCGCTGAAGAGGCGGATCGATGTCGACGATGCTTTTGTGGTAGCGGCCCTAGTATGTCTCCACTCAGCAAATGTTCCGATGTCAACGGCCCGCACTGACTGCTATTGCTTTCGATAAGCTTGCAAGCATCGGCTCCGGCATAGCCGTCAGTATCCAGACGAAGAATGGGCTGGGACGGGATATCAGGTCATTGGCGGGTAGTCAGATCGTGGCGTACGAAAAGGTATGCTTCTGGTCTGCATGCTCATATCTTCAGCTCGGGTCCGCTTCTTCGCATTCGCATTAAATTTGACTTTTGAAAGCATACTCACAGTCTGCAGGCCGAGTATGCAAATAAGCTGCTCTACATTGCGACCCTGGCTCTCGCGAAGCTCTCAATTATCTCCCTGCTCATGATCCTCACCGCCTCGGATCTGCATCGCAATCTCGGCATAGGACTGACAATCTTCATCGCGCTGTGGGGCATAGCCGCAGAGTTTGTCGCTGCATTTCAGTGTGGCACCGAAAAACCATGGCGATTTGTCGAACGGGAGAGCACCTGCATGAGCTTGGTATGTTCTGTCATGATGGAATCGAAGTATTGCTGACCACATGGTAGCCTGCATTCTGGCGTGCCATGGGCCTCATCAACATGTTAACTGACCTTTGTCTCATCCTTTTTCCTGTGCACGTCATCTTCACGCTGCAAATGAGCGTGAGCAAGAAGATCACAATCCTCGGCTTCTTCGGAGCACGATCATTGTATGTTTGCGCTTTTTCTCCTTGATTCCGTGACCGCTAACCAATCGCAGCGACATTATAGCGAGTGGGATCCAAATCGCATACATCCCCGCCTTCGACTCGGAGAACCCCACTCGCGCCCTTTGGAAATGGACACTCACTACCCAGATCATTGAATGCATAACAATCCTTACGTCGTGCGTGCCCTACCTACGGCCTCTCCTAGAATCCATACCCTCCGGGCTCTACGGCGCCGACGAACTGCGCCGCCGCGGCACACCCTCCGAGCTCGGCTACTCGCGCAGTCGCAGCCGCAGCAAATCCGTGTCCTACAAGCTCAGCTCCACAAGCTCTACAGCAGCGCACGAAAAGAGCAGAAGAAGCCAAAATGAAACCGGGATCAAGAGGTTCCTACCCATGCTGAGTGCGACGAACCATGCGAACTCTGCGTCCGGTTTGCCCGGTGGTCCGAGAAGACCGGATGGGCAGATGGATGTTGAGATAACGGCGCAGAAGGTGGAGAATGCGAGGTGGGAGACTGATAGTACGGGAAGTCAGGCGCGGATTATGAAGACTACTGTTGTTTGTGCGGAGTGGGAGGAGGCGGAGAGGAGGAGTAGAGAGGCGCATAGTGATGGGATTGAGGTGGTCAGGGGTGAGGGGTAAATCCTGGGAGATGATACTGGAGGCCAAGTAACAATGGAGGCGAGAAGTGCGCGCTGGTAGTATTACGCAGGCTGTACGAGGTCATGAATCTTAGTGAGCTTCTTAAGCAGTTCAATGGCATGATGGCAATCATGTACTGATAGACCATCTGTCTTTTTCTCACTGAAGCGTTGATTGGCGGGCGGACGGAAATGGGGGGCTTCTGCAGAAGTAGCGTCGCTTGGGGAGTTCCGTCGCCATAGGAGATCCTAAGTAGAAAGCCTCGAAACGCGAGCACAAATCTCGTGGAGGCCCTAGAGAGGACGAAATTTCGAGAGATGGCGCATTCACGATGTGTGTACGGGTCATCTACTACAAAGCGCCTTAGCAGAGTACGACCGCCAAACACGCAGAAGTCTCGCTTTTGCGACAGATGTCCACAAGCGGACTTGAAATGGAACAGGGCGAAGGAAGATGAGCTGGTTTCGGCCACACGGCTCGATCGTGGCGATGCGACCGGATCCTGCTTCCGGGAGGAAAGCAGAAACCCGAAACTGAGGCGTTGCCCCGAACAGATTTCGGCCAGGAGGTTGTTGAGGTTCACGTGAATGGCTTCAAGATGAGCGTCTCTCCACGTGGCACGCTAGACTCAGACGGTTTAGCCGGTCTAAAACCCCAACGTCCTTGGCCGATCTTCTTCATTCCTCGTCTCAACCACCTCCATCCTAAGATCCTGTACATATTGTACTACAACAGATATCCGGGGACTTCTCAATCTCTTTGACTCCGGTATGACAGTCTGTGTCAGCGTCATCGTCAGCGTCATTGACGCTTGCAACTGCCCCCATGCCACCTGTCCAACAACATGAGCTTTGTGTGACGGCACACCCTGCGCTTGGTCTCCTTCCGACTCCCTAGTCTCTATCGTCTCTGCGGGTGGAATCATTGGCGCCATTTGTTCAACAACCCCTCAAGCCGGCCAAGCTAGATGGTGCAGATGGGCGATCCATCAGCAGTCTGCAAAGCATAGCCTGTGTAGCTCAAGGAGATGCGCGAAGATAGCCGGGAAATTATCTGATTCGCAATTTGACCTGGTGGCGAAGATACGAGCAAGGGATATCCTCCGATGCATGCCACCGCAGAGTACAGTTCTCGGCCTGCCCAGCCCAGCCGTGCGACGCGCCGGACGAACCAGCGCCCGCCCTCGCGCGACTCCCTGAATCTCAAAATGCAGTAAGATATGTCTGATATGTCAAGGCTGCCGCCTTTTGCTGCAGATAGCCTACGATTGCCCAACTGATCGGAAAAGCCGGCTTGCTATACATCCGTGGAAGTCGCCCCGTCGTTGCCGATCGACGCCATTGGCTACTCCGTGCTAAGAGCTGGTGTCGGCGCACATGGCCTACGTTACCTCTAGAGAGGATAAATATCAAGGTTGACGTGCATTACATGTGTCCTGTACTACGGCCTTCTCTTATCCTTCTCCTTCCGATTCTGCTCGTTCGTTATCGTAGAACCCGCAAAGCAAATCCAGGCAATCAAACTCTTTATAATCCGGTATCGTTCACTCCTGAGAGCCTTCGGCGGGCACAGGAGAGAGGTCACGAAATTTCACCATGGAGAAAGCCATTGACCTCCAGACCTTCGACGATGACATCCTTCGTCAGAGGGGCAAGAGCTCCGTATCAGACGCGAAAGGCGCCAGTGATTTCGACCGCGACAGGTATGAGCTGGCGCGCGTGGGAAAAAAGCAGGTTCTAAAGGTTCGTCATCAGGATACGGTAATCGGCACGCTTGGTCTTTTAGTGTGCTAACATCGAATAGCGCCGCTTCGGACTGGTCAGCATGACGGGGCTTTCTTGCGGTTTGATGTGCACCTGGGAGAGCCTATTAGTGTAAAGTTCACACCTCAATGAGATGGCAGCGAGCTGACCAGCAACAGCGTGTTTGCGATCGGCTTCCAAAAGTGAGTGATCCTCAAACATCTCCCTCTGGAACATGAATCTAATGTAAGTAGTGGCGGACCTGCGGGCCTGATATATGGCTTCTTGCTCATATGGCTGGGCAACCTCTCAGTCTTCATTGTTATTGGAGAGCTTTCTAGTGCAATCCCCACGGCCGGCGGACAGTACCATTGGGTATCGCTACTTGCGCCTCGCTCAAGTAGGAGATTTTTTAGTTACATCACCGGTATGCCTCATGATTCAGAAACCAGTTCATGCGGATGCTGATTGCATAGGCTGGCTTACCGTGATTGGCTGGATTGCCGCGCTGACAGCTGTCTGCTTTTTCGTTGCGGACCTCACTTTGAACCTAGTAACTCTCAACAACCACGAATACACAAGGGAGCTATGGCACGGCACCTTTCTCCTATGGGCCACGCTTCTACTCTGTGTATTCATCAACATCTTCGTCAGCGCTGCGCTTCCGGCAATCGAGGTCATAGTCCTCATCATCCACATACTGGGCTTCTTCGGAATCCTAATTCCTTTGGTTTACTTGACTCCTTCGCACCATTCCGCCAAAGAGATATTCACGTCTTTCTATAATGAAGGGGGCTGGAATAGCAAGGCTTTGGCTTTCTTCATTGGCCTCCAAGGCAACGCTCTGGCCTTTGTAGGGACGGATTCTACAGTGCACGTAAGTATGATAAGGAAGCGGACAGCATCTGCTTGCTAACTCAATCAGATGTCCGAGGAAGTCAGGAACGCCAGTATCGATGTCGCCCGTTCCATGATTCTCAGTTTAGGAATCAATGGCTGTCTCGCGTTGGGAATGCTCTTCGCGGTACTCTTCAGTGCTCCGGATATCCTTCAACTCCTATATGACGAAAGCCCCGTTCCAGCTTTTATGAGGATATTCACGTACGCCACTGGCTCCGGTGCCGGCGCGACGATCATGACGAGTATCATCGTCGCTCTCGAGTTTTGCAGCGCAATGGGTTGCTTAGCTGCTGCCTCACGGATGACGTGGTCGTTTGCGCGAGATCGAGGACTCCCTTTTGCACGAGCGCTGAGCATGGTAGGTTTCCATGCCACTTCTAGGTCATCTCGTGGCTAACAAGCCAAATAGATTGACAAGCGCACCACGATCCCCGTAGTCTCCATCCTGGCAGTCACCTTCTTCTCCGCCCTGCTTGCGCTCATCAATATCGGAAACAACGTGGCATTTAACGGCACCATATCCCTCGTGCTTGAAGGTTTCTACATTTCCTACCTTCTGGCAATCGGTTTACTCCTCTGGAGACGAATCCGCGGGGACATGGACGACCCGGGCTCTTCGTTAACGGCGTTCAACTCATCAGCGAACCACGACGAATCCTACGATCGCAGTCTGACCTGGGGCCCATGGCGGCTAAAAGGCGCCTTGGGAATTGCGAACAACGTCATCGCGTGCTGCTACCTTCTCCTGCTCATATTCTTCAGCTTCTGGCCCAACCAGTTCCGCATAGCGGACCCAGCTCAGATGAACTGGGCTGTCGTTGTAACAGCTTTCGTCGCACTATTCAGTATCGCCTACTACTTAATCTGGGCCAAGAAGTCGTATACAGGGCCCGTGGTCGAGGTAGATCCTCACAATCTGTGAAGAGATGGATGAGAGTGTTCAGAAAAGAGAGTGGTTAGGGGACGCATTTCCTCGTTGCATACGTTCGCTCACGTCGACACGGCCACATTGCATCATTGGGGCTTGGGAATGAGGGTGGGACTTTGCTTTCGTGGTAACGCATAGAGTGGAGCATTCGTTACGTAGGCATGAATTACGACCTGGTCATGATCGAGCCTGGGGTTTAGGCATCTCTTACACCTCCTGCTACTGTCTGGTCTCTCAAAGCTTCTTGTGAGATCCATATCACGTTCAACAAAACTAGTCAATTCATCGTTCGGAGAAGCAGTCTTCATTATCCGCGCTAACAGCAGAAGCGGCGCTGTAAAAAAACCATTGCTAAATGCACCCAGAACTAAACGCGCCCTTGCCCGCCGGCCCTTTCCAATAAAACCCATCCCAAAAGGCCCTCGAAAGGAGCGAGAGCGAGCGTAAGAATCGAATCCGTCTATGCCAATCCATTCATCCCATCCTTATCTCTGTCCGACTCTATCTTCACCATCCACCCATCTACTCATACTTCATATACAGCCCACTAAGCCCGGCATCCCACTCAATCCCCGTGGCCCACTTCGCCACAACCTCAAACCCATACTCTCCCTCAGCGGGGCACTTGAAGTCCTCCAGCAGCCTCGGCCAGTCATCCACATTCGCGTATCCAGTGTGCACCTTGAAGTTGCCATAGTGCTGGTTGCGCTGGTTCCCGGGCGGGCCCCAGCTCTCGACGTCGTAGGCGGGTGGCACCTGGTGCGTGCTGAAGACCTGGACGCCGCCGCTGCCCGAGACGGCTGCTGTGCTGTCAGTCGGGTCGAGATAGAAGTGCAGCGAGCACTTCTTGCCCTCGATGCCCGCGGGCACGGAGAAGGCGCTGATGGTGCTGAGGGCGTCGAAATGCGCGGCGCCGGTGGCCGGGTTGTAGACGAGTCCGCCGGTGCCGAGGTTGTAGTGCGAGATGTAGGTGGGCGTAATGATGGCAGGTTCGCTAGGCCAGCGCTTTGTAAGGGCGGTGGGGGCGGCAGAAGTAAGGCCGAGAAGGGCGGCGATGGCGAAGGACTTCATTGTTGTTGGTTGGTTTGGGTTGGGTGGAGAGTATGGAGTAGTAGCGGATATAGAAGCTTTAATGCTGTAGAACTGGTGGTAGGCTTTGGCACTGTTGGTGTTTGATCTGGAGATCTGTTGCTTGCTTGCTGGATGATGATCTCTTCCCCTTCCATCAACTCTCCCTTATATACAGCACTCTGCACTCTTCAGCCTGCTCCCCCATCCCAAAAATATACCTCTTCTGAGCCTCTCTTCACCGCCCATCCGCCTGCACCTCCACCACGGCCGCAGCCACACTTCTCCAGCGCGCCACCGTCTTTCCGCCTCTCTGCCCTAAACCCGTAATGCCACACCTCAGCCCTTCTGCCCTATTCGCCTGTCTAGCATTCCGTTACCAATGCACTTTAAGCCTACTGGCTGCATGTTGGTGGTGGAGTGATGCGGCCGGTCCCGTGACCAGCCCGCGCCTCCACTGCCCAAAATTTGCCTCAAAACCCAACAAATGAGGGATAAAGGGCCGTTAACACTGCCCGTCTAGGCAAAAACAGATGTGGCGCTCTGCCATGGAATCTCGCGATGTCGTGGCTGCGGAGCTAACCATATCCGGGGGCTTGTCCAGCTGAACAGGTGCGTATATTTAGCTCGTTCAAGTTTCGACGGCAGTTTCCGTCACGAGATAGGCTGTGGATTATTTGTCCGAGCTACAGTTGGACTAGGAAAGCTTGGTGTCATTGCGGGGTGGAGATGCACCGGAGGGTGCTGAGGATCGTGGATTCGTGTGTTGGTGTTGAGGTCGCACAAAGACCTAGGTTGGCTTGGCGGCTGAAGCAAGAGGCCGCAGTAGTAGACCCGCGTCATTCACATGAGTGTAGGATGGTGAGAACGCAGGCATGTGTGGTGCGCCTATAAGCTAGTGCATCGCCTAGCGTGCAGAGACGGTGAAGCCTGAGCAGAGTCGGCTTGAGGACTTGGCAGTAGAATATCTTTGACATGATACTCGGCTTAGCTGTCTCGGTGGAAATCGAAGCCGAAAAGAACCTATGATTACGCGGAAGCTAGCGTTCTCGTGAGCCTTCACGAGTGTACCTAGCGTGAACTCACCTCACCCAAAGCGAGACAATATCAAGGCACAGTGAGCTTTTGAATGAGCGCATAGATATCGAGGCAGCACTCCACAACGCTACCGGGAGGCGAGAGCTCAGCGGCGCTTCCGGAAGTCAAACGTACGATGAACTGAAATGCATGCGGGGAAGAATACAAGATCGCATTAATATGGACAAGAAATTGCGCCAATATGCCTGCAGAACTTCAACCGAGCATCAAAGATTCAGAGCCATACTTATAGCTTGGGCTTCGACACGATATACCCGTTACAATTCTGCAGCCACTTGACAGCATCGGTAACAAACTCATCCACAATCTCCTTCGCGCTCTTCCTCTCGTTCACAACGGCGGCGGCTTTGCCCATAAGGAACGGTCGTGCGTTGTCCATAGTGTCATCATCCAGGTCGTCGCCCAGCTTCTCCAAGTCATGCTCAACAGGAATGACGCCCTTGCCAGTGAGCTCCTTAATCTCGTTCTGCCTGTTCTCCTCCCAGTTCTCAATATAGGGGTTCTTCCTTACACGGAGCGGTCGGCCCGTGAAGATAATCGTTCGGACGTTGTCGTCAAAGCCGGAGGTCCGAACGGCCTCCTGGTGCGCCTTCGGGGCACCAGCTTCCTCCGAAAGGACAAAACGCGTTCCAACCCACACACCCGTAGCACCAAAGGTGAGCATAGCAGCAAGCGACTGGCCATTGAACAGACCACCCGCAGCCACGACCTGCACCTGCTCGCCCGTCATCGGCGACTTGTATCCCTCTACCATCTTGACCACAGTCGGGATGAAGATGGACGTGGGAACGTCTCCCGTGTGGCCACCGCCCTCGCCGCCCTGCGCGCAGATGATGTCGACGCCGAGATCGAGGCACTTCTGCACGTGCTTGGGGTGGCCGATCATGTTCATGTAGAGGATGCCGTGCTTATGCAGCTTCTCGATGATGGGCTTGGGCGGGACGCCGACGGCGGAGACGAAGAGTTTAGCGCCCGAGTCGATGATGATGTCGACGAGTTCGTTCAGCTTGCCCTTGGTGTAGTCGTAGCTGTTCGCGATCTCTTGTCAGCACACTCGGCTCCCAATGTGCTGGGGAATGAGCGGCAGAGCAGCCAGCACTTACTTAGTCTTCCGCGCGCTTCCGCCGACCTGGGGGAGCAGCAAGTCGACACCAAAAGGCGCATTCTTGTCCTTGAGGTATCCCTTCAACTCCGCAATCTGCTCGCGCAGCATGTCCGGCGTGTATCCTACGCCTCCGATGACACCTAGACCTCCTGCATTTGTGACGGCGGCAGCGAGCTTCGGACCGGCTGCGACGTTCATTCCCGCAAGGAGAACGGGGTGATTGATCTTTAGCAGATCGGTGAGCTTTGTGCGGATTTGCTCTGCGGTGTGGTCAGCTTTAGAGGCATGTGAAAGCAGTCGATGGGTAGCGTACGTGGAGAGGCCATGGTGGATGTGATGGGAGGGGATGTAGACTCAGCCGGTGATCAGGGGAGGGTGTCTAGAGGTCTGGAGGATAAGAGAATGGGAAGAGATGAAAGACGAGCGAAGGAAAGCCGAGTTCTTATGCGGAGAGTGGAGTATTTCAGCGCAGCAATGCCGTGGACCGAGGTTGTATCTGCATGGGGCTTAGCGCGTGTCACGAGTCTGGGGTACTTGCGCTCGGACCGGTTGACGGCAGCGACCGCGGCATGCGACTTTCCGCCGACTCCGATCCTATCAAAAGACATCACCGTTCTAATTTTTTTTTTCCCGATTCGTTTTGCAATGCTCATATGTACCGCGAGATCCAGATGCTACACGTTCCCAACTGTGAAGCAAGGAGTCCTTGCCTTCGCGAAGAAGGCACCGAGGAGACAGAATTTTCTAGATGGACCTCTCCCGTCCCGAATCCGGTCCGATGTCCAGAAGCAGAACTCTCACTCCACCATAGCATCTCCCTTCCGGACACAACAGAGTCCGTTTCGATGTCTTCGTGAATTTCACCTAAGTCAAACTATCCGCTTTCTCCATCAGGCTGCGGACATGGAACACCGCGCATTCATCGCCCTAGGAAGCAACCTGGGCGACCGAGTCTCCATGATAGAAAAAGCCTGCAAAGAGATGGACGCCACCGGGAAGATCCATGTGCTCCGAACAAGCAGCCTCTGGGAGACCAAAGCCATGTACGTCCTAGACCAAGACAAATTCGTGAACGGAGTCTGCGAAGTGAGCCTCCCCTTCTCCCTCACTATTTACACGTGACAACCCCCTTTTCTAAACCCCTAAAAGGTCTCAACATCTCTATCTCCAACCGCCCTCCTCTTCGCCCTGCAAGCCATAGAAAATAAAATGGGCCGCGTGAGAGTAATCGACAAGGGTCCAAGGAACATCGACCTCGACATCCTACTCTACGACGAGCAGACAATCTCCACCGAGAGATTAAAAATTCCCCACGCCCTCATGCTCGAGCGCGAATTCGTCCTGCGCCCCCTCTGCGAGCTAATCCCAGAAAGGAGCTTGCCAGCACACGTCTCCCTCCCCGCAGGCTCATTCCAATACCACCTCTCCAACCTGCCTCCCCCAGAAACTCCCATATCCCCCCTAACACCCCTCAGCCCGTCCCTCCCTGCCATAACAGCAGTCGCCTCAACCCGCGACACATGCATAATGTCCATTCTCAACCTAACGCCGGACTCCTTCTCCGACGGCGGGACGCACTTCAATCTCTCGCCCGCCAAGCTCACCGCCACTGTAAAAACCCACGTCGCAGCCGGCGCCAGCATCCTCGACCTGGGCGGGCAGTCTACCCGCCCCGGCGCCGTGCAAGTTTCTCCATCCGAAGAACTCGCGCGCGTACTCCCGGCTATAAAACTCATCCGGTCACTGCCCGAAGCGAAGAAAGTGGCGATTAGCGTTGATACGTACCGTGCGGATGTCGCCGAAGAAGCCGTCGAAGCCGGCGCTGATATCGTTAATGATGTTAGCGCGGGGACGATGGATGAGAAAATGCTGCCTACAGTTGCGAGGCTAGGCTGCACAGTGTGTTTGATGCACATGCGCGGCACGCCGGAGACCATGAACAAACTTGCTTCCTACCCCGATGGCATTGTGGAAACTGTCGGTCGAGAATTGCTCGAGCGGGTGCAGGCAGCGGAAGCAGCGGGTATACGGCGGTGGCGCATCATCCTCGACCCGGGTATTGGGTTCGCAAAAAAACAGGAGCATAATCTTGAGCTTCTGCGAAGGTTGGGCGAACTGAGGAAGTATCCGGGCTTGCAAGGGTTGCCATGGCTGGTGGGCACGAGTAGGAAGGCGTTTGTGGGAAGGATAACCGGGGTTAAAGAGGCGAAAGATCGGACATGGGGAACCGCGGCTGCGGTTACGGCTGCGATCCAAGGTGGTGCGGATATTGTGCGTGTGCATGATGTAGAAGAGATGGGGAAGGTGGCGAAGATGGCGGATGCTGTTTGGCGGGTATGAAAGAAGACTCGTGACTAACTCCCAGTCTCCGTTTCTGTGGATTAAGATTCTATGAGTGGCGAACGGATGCCTAACAAACCCTCATCTAGATCTTGGACTTCTCCTGCACCGGGCTCGTTTGGCTAGCACGACCAATGTCTCCCTTGAAATACGTCCGACCCTTCCCGTCCTTCACGAACGCCGCCTCCGTACCATTAAATACCACCGTCCTCCCATCGCCAGCGGGAAGCACAACGCCAAGCTCCTTCCACGCAGGCTCAAAACCAGGCTGTAGCTCCTTCTTGAACTCCACATAAACCTTGTCTTCGTCCGTCGTGTACCTCACCTCAAACACGGATATACGCGCCGGAGGAGGCGACACCCCATCATCTTCATACCATATATGCACGAACTCCTTTCCACCCGATGACCCCTTTGGAGGGAAAACTTCGACAGCACGGTAATCGTCAAGAGGGAGGTTTGCGGGATTGCTGCGTTCACCTGGGGAGAGTGTCTGGCATGGTCGTCCGACCGGAATCGCGCTGCCGACTTTTGCGAGCACGGGGATGCTCTCGGTCCATTTGGAAGATACTTCGATCCACTGTCCCGCATCATAGTACACCTGCACCGCATTGACGTCCATGAATTGGAGGCTAAGATTCGCCGAATCCTTTGGCAGATACACCTTCGCGGTCTCAGTACCTGGCTCGAACACACCGCCGACAAGCAGCGCATCGCCAAGCCAATACTGCGTCTCTCCATCGGTCAAGATCCTATTCTCCCATACTTCAGCATCCTGCTCGTAGCCCCATCCCGTCCAACGTTGCGGTGGCGTGGCCGTCTTGTGGCTTTCAAGAGCGAGGGAGTAGAGGAACGGGATCAGTTCGTAGCGGCGCTTGATGATAGCGCGGATGAAGGGTGTAGTTTCTTCGTACATCCAGGGCTCGATGACATCGCCGACGCTGTTATTGTCTGGCGAGGTCTTGAAGCAGTTTATGGCGAAGCGAGGTGAGTAGATGCCCTGTTGGCACCAGCGGACGAGGAGTTCCGGGGAGGGCTGTGGGCCTTCGAAGCCGCCTATGTCATGGCCGTAGCACTGCAAGCTACATTAGAGGAAGACGGCGGTGGCAATGGGGAGGATGACTTACCTGCATCAAGCACATGCCAGCCGTCAACGAAAGCGCGTTCGCGCCCTTCATCCCCTCCCAACTGGTCACGTTGTCCCCGCTCCACGCACTCGCGCAATACCTCAGCGTTCCCGCCGTCGCACTTCTCGTTAGGATGAACGGTCTTTGCTCTGGCTCCACTTCAATCGAGGCATCATGCGAGCTCTTGCCCATCAATTCTGTATTCAACGCCCGCCCCCAGAAACCGACGGCATTCCCAAACTCCTCGCTTCCTTGGATTACAGATGATTCGGTCAGTGCGCATTGCCAGCCATCATTCGGAATGGTGTATTCATTGTTGTCGTTCCATATGCAATCGATACCCACACGCTTCAATTCTCGAATACCCTCGTACCACCAGCGATATCCTGCTTTCGAGGTGAAATCGATGTGACCACCGACTCCGCTCTCACCACCGCCTGCGCTCCACAAGCGTGCTTGTGCGGATTCGCCAGTTATGGGATCGGTGAAAAAGGCACCGGCATTCTTCAGCTTTTCGTATTCCGGATGGTTGCTGAGAACATATGGTTTGACATTCGCAATGAGCCGGATGCCTTCTTTGTGATACGCGGCTATGAAACCTTTTGGGTCCGGAAACCGATGCCGATTCCAGGTAAACACGTTGCGCGTCTTGGGTTCCGTCTCAGCCACTGTGTATCCAGATGACATCTGGAATCCCGAGCAGGGTATGTCGTGCCGCTTGAGCTTATTTGCAAACTCCATTAGCGCGTCACACGCTCGTGGCTCGTCGAGCATTGAGTACTTCATGCCTCCTGCGAGGTACCCGAACGCCCAACGAGGCACGAGCATTGGATAGCCCACGACGTCTGCATAGATGCACACGACATCCTTCAGAGTATGTCCAATGATGATGTACTCCTCAAGCCCACCGTGCTCTTGCCGGTAGACCTTGAACCGGCCCCACATGCCATCCATTTCCGAGCCGACGGAGTAGAAGCCTCGAGCATGGGACGTGGAGAACACACCGACGCAGCCACCTGGCGTAGCGTTGATAAGCAGTGGAATGTGCTTGTACATTGGATCTGTGCGATATACGTCGTAGCCAAAGCAGTCCGTTGCCGAAAGGACGAAGTGCCGATTCGAGAGGTCCATGGGCGCTGCTTTCTCTCCGAGCCCGACATGGAGGGTGCCCTTGTTGTAGCGTGTGTAATGCGCGATTCCTGACCCATCTGCGACGTATGACCGATGAGGGAGGTCTGAATGGATGGGCGTCGTTTGGCCAGGAAGTGCAACGGAGATCAGCGGCGGTCCGCCCGTCCAGTCCACGGTAGCAGTGATTCCGCCAACATTCAGGGCTTTCGAAGTTGGAGATGAAGACGTAGCTTTCATCTGATCCAAATTTCTTTCGGGTACCGGCGCCGCTCGATGAGGAGGAAGCCGATGATTTGGAGAGGTGAAGGTTGTTCGGAAAAGCCCCGGCCTTAGCGCTTCGAACGAAAAGTCAAATGTTGAACCATTATGCCCTGATCTTAGAAGGATATGAAAATCTGAGCTGTTGCTAGCCAAAGCGGCTTGGAAGTTTTGCGGAACGATTTCGTTCTGAGGCATGACGGATTTAATCGCTGCAAGTAGTCAGCGCCACCTTCGCGACACCAACTGGATAACTTACGATGGCTTTGTAACTGATCTCTAATTTCTAGCCCTTTTCCTGAGGCGTTCTTCCAAATGCCGAAGTCTTAAGTACTCTCGTCGCTGGCGCGATATTCGGACCGCGCCTCTTGGCTTTCGGTAACTTCGGCCGACGCTACAACCAAACAGGATTTTAGTTGTCTGGGGACCCCATGGGGCATCGGATATAAGTTACTGCTCTCCATGCCCTCATGGCTCTTCAGCGAAGTTCCTTTGATACCGTCCTCATCGCCGCCGCTCCTGTTCGCAATGGCTAAACAAGACGTACCCACTCCTGTACAGCAGGAGATCAGCAAGAACGAAGTCAACACAGTCGAATCCGTCCACAAGCCCACAACACCAAAAGGCAAGGACAAAGCCGCCGAGCTCTTGGAGTCGAGTGAACGCATCACCGTAACGCCCGAGGACAATAAACGCATCCTACGCAAGATCGACCTCGTGATTCTCCCCATCCTGCTTTCCGTCTACTTTCTGCAGAGTCTGGACAAGACTACGCTTTCGTATGCTTCGGTCTTCGGTCTCATCAAAGATGCGAACTTGGATCCAGATTCGGACCAGTACTCATGGCTCGGTTCCATCGTGTATGTGGCCCAACTCGTCATGCAGCCCATCGTAGCGGTGCTGCTTGTCAAGCTTCCCATTGGCAAGTTTACCGGCGTCATGGTGTTCACTTGGGGGGTAGTCCTATGTGGGATGGCCGGAGCGACAACATTCGCAGGCCTCATGGCGACGAGGTTCTTACTGGGCGCGTTTGAGGCGGCTGTTGGTAGGTAGCCATCTCCTGCTCTCCAAGGTATCACGCACTGACGGTATTCCAGCTCCTGCATTCATCGCCATCGTACAAATGTGGTACAAGAGATCCGAGCAGACGAACAGAAATGCCGCATGGTATGCCATGCTCGGTATTGTCAATATCCTGGGCAGCTTGTTGTCGTATGGCTTGGGCCACATACACTCCGACCGTCTCCACTCATACCAGATCATCTTCCTCTTCTGTGGCCTGCTCACTGTCGTCGTATCGATCTTCGTCTACATCTTCATGCCCGATTCTCCCATGGAGGCTCGGTTCCTCAACGGCGAGGAGAAACTCGTTGCGGTCGAGCGACTTCGGATGAACCAAATGGGCGTCGCGTCGCGCGTCTGGAAGTGGGACCATGTGCTCGAGGCTTTTCTTGATCTCAAAACCTGGTTGTGGTTCTCTATGCTCACTGCCGTATCGTAAGCGTTCGCATTCGGTCAAATCACGAGTGTTCGCTAACCATGGACAGTATTCCCAGCGGCGGCATCACCACTTTCGGACCACTCATCATCCAGTCCTTCGGCTTCGGTTCATTTGCCACCATTCTCTTCAATATGCCTTTTGGTGCGGTGCAAATAATTGCGACGCTCGGCGGCGCATGGCTTGCCACCAGGCTGAAGAAGAAGGCGCCGGTTCTGATCCTCCTGTGCATCCCGCCTATTATCGGCATCATCATCCTTATGGTCGTTGGCCGCGAGAAGGAACACCGTGGCGTACTGCTGGTCGGATACTATCTGACGTCGTTCTACCCAGGTATCTCGCCGCTGATATACTCGTGGTCGGGCCAGAATACCGGCGGTGACACGAAGAGGAAGGTTACGACCAGCATCCTGTTCGTCGGTGCGAGCGCTGGCAACATCATCGGCCCGCATCTCTTCAAACCTTCGGAGAAACCGCGCTACTCACGGGGGTTGCGCGCAAACCTTGCCCTCTTCATCGCTATTGTTGTGCTGGTCGTTTTGGCCGTCTTCTGGATCACGATACTGAACCGCAAGCACGGGGCTGCCCGTGAGCGGCTGGGCAAAGCAGCGAAGATTGTGGATTTAAGTATGGAGACTAGTCGGCAGATGGCGGACGCAGGCGAGACGGCGAATGTGAGCGAGGGCGGTGTTGGTGACAAGGCGTTCGACGATATCACGGATGTGAAGAATGAGGACTTCATCTATCTGTATTGAGAAGGAGGCAGGGGAGGATAATTCGAGGAAGGAGCGGCCGGCGCAAGGAAACGTCATGACTGCAGCCATCGGCGCGCCTGGGCAGACTCCCGGATACGAACGACAGTAGCAATGTCAGCACCAACATGTTAGCGAGATTTCATGAAGTGCACAGAATTGTTCGAGGATTGGTCCTGAGGGACGCTGCTCGGTCTAATCATGACTCATATCCCCATACTCCCTGTCGCATCCATGACTCAACCTTCCAAGGTTCTCCCCCGCACCGTCTCCGCATTCAAAATCCAGCGTCCGCCGCCGGGTCCTCGTCTCGCACGAAGTTACCGATGGACCCATCGACGCCAACCGAGCGACCACGCAAACGTCGTGCCATCAAGGCATGTTTGGCCTGCAGAAAGGCCAAAGTCCGATGCATTGGCCAGCGCCCGTGCGAGCGATGCACCCGGAACGATGCCGACTGCCAGTACTTCGATTTGGCCGAGCATGCCAACTTCTCCAGAGTAGAGAGGCTTGAGGCTGAGCTGTCCGCACTGAAAGCTAGCTTGGGCGCTGTTGAGAGAAACCATGTAGGCCGGATTGAGCCACTTCCGGCGCCGCTGTCTACGCCTTCGACGGCTAGTGGCCCGCCGGACCCCGTGGGCGGGACTTCGCCTGCTCAGATGTTTGGGTATGGATCGTCTCTCCCTGCTTTGGCAAATGGGATGCTGGCTTCTCAGACACTGGTTCCACCCAGCACAGCCGCCAGCGCGGTCGAGAAAGGGCTGATAAACTGGGAACAGGCCGCTTTCTGGTTCCAGAGGTGTGCTGCCGAACCTCCATACGAGAGTCCTCCCGGTCACTAATGGGCACTAGCTTCTTTTCTGGCAGCGTACGATGCACTCCTGATGGATCGCACAACCGACTGACGCACGCAGCACTACTTCATCCCAATTTTCTGCGAGCGGCACGACACCTTCGACTCCGTCTCATCACGCAGCGCCTTCCTTTTCGATAGCATCGTGACCGTTGGATGTCGGGCCGAAGAAGGGTTCGACTCACTCGTCTACCACCGACTCCAGTCTAGCCTTCGCGAACACCTTACCAACGTCATTATCCACGCCAGCACACCATGCCTCGAAACCGTGCAGGCTATCACCGTTATGGCCGGCTACTCGGAAAACGGGATGGTTCTTATTGCTATCGCATTAAGATTCGCCTTGCAGTTGGGACTTCCCAATGCCGTCGATCGGCTGATGACGACTGCTTCAGGAAGAGGAGGGCAAGCAGGTGCAGAAGAGAGGGAACTATATCGCCTCGCGAGGGTCTGGCATGGTGTCTGCAATCTCGAACTCTTGTAAGGGGACCACTTCCATTACATACATCCGCTTTAGACCCTCGTTGACCTCATAGCGTAGCTTTTCATTGGATGGCGGCAAGCTTCCTGGCATAACATTGCGCACCTCCTCTCGACGAATCCGCGCTCTCGTGAACCACCCAGACCGAACAGCCGTCGATATACGACTCCTGTCCCAAGTAGAGCTCAACATCATCCGTTCCAATGCGTACAGAAATATTGCGAGTGCAACACTACCAGACGACGAATCCGTCCTGAGATCCACGGTGCAAGATACAGTCGTTGAGCTATCGCTCTGGGTAGTGGAATGGACAGCCATAATCTCCTCGGAAATAGCCGTCCATCAGAGAGCCTTCGCTTTGTCGAATCTCCACGTCCAGTACGAGTGGGCGCTCATCACTCTCCATCTCAAAGCTTTATCCGACAGTGGCATTGAAAACATCGCCATCATGAGCGACCTCCAGCGCGACATGGTTCGTACCGCCAAGGAGGCATCAGTCCGGCACCTACACCATCTGCTCGAGGCCTCGTCGTCGCCGCCCTCACCTGCCGGCTCACCTACTCAGGCACCGCCAGCAGCGTATCTATCAACCTTCAAATGGACAATGGACTACGTCTGGGCGAAGTGCGCCTTCTCCATCCTCCTCGTGCTCAAGCTCGCTCTCTTGCTGCGCGACCCTCTGCCCTCCGTCATACTGCTCCTCCACGACGCGCACAAGGTGCTCGAACAGCTCAAGAAGATAACCGTCGGCCACATCGCGTACTTCCAGATCCTGCAGACCAGCATCGAGAAATGCGAAAGTGCGCTGAGGGAGCATATGGCGCAGCAGCAGCAGCAGCAGCAGCAGCAGCAGCAGCAGCCGGACCCTATGGTAGGACTTGCCGGCGCGGGGTTGGGAGATACAGGGCCCGCGGAGGATGAGTTCCAAGGCTACGCGCCGAGCGAATTTGTCTTTGAATGGGACTTTCCGGGCTTGAATCTGAAGCATGTGCCCCTGGGCTGGCAGGATTTGTTTATCGATCTAGATAGCGTGTTCTGACTTCGGAATCTGTATCATGCTTACACCACGCCTTCTCAAACGCTCAGTGCAATGAAAGTGGATCGCTCCGAAGATATGACAGGACGGCGCGGCACTCGCTAGCGAGGCTGGAAGCTACCTAGGTAGGACGCTGTAAAGAAATGCACAGGTGGCAAGCTGCGAGCGAGGGAATCGTTGCGAGTAGTAGGAAGAGCATTCGAGATCGAGCAGTGTCTGAAAGAGGGTATCTAGCAAGAACCTCCCATCTCCACATGCTGACTTCCTTCTTTAAAACCCGGATCATAACACTGTATGTAAATACAATCTTAGAAGGGTATGTAGGCCATGCCGTAGTCCTGCTACTGACCCTCTGATGGTATTTTGCCCGTACACTCTATTATTCCCCATAATATTCCCAGCAGCGAGGCAGACACCATAATCCCCCTCCAATGTAAGCCGGCAATAGCAGCAAAGCTTCAAGATGTCAACGGCGGATGAGTGCGTAAACGAGGTTTTAGAAATACACATCCAAATCATCCTCGTCGAGCATTCGCCCGCAGCCACACGGACAAAAATCCGCGAACTCGCTATCCCAACCCACTTCAGAATCATCTTCGTCGGGGTCGTCGCTGGAGCCGCAGTACTCATCCGGATCATAATCCGAGTTATTCTCGTCGAGGTAGTCGCGATGGTGGCCGGGAAAATCGGGCTCCTGATGCATATATGTCAGTACTTTGGGGCTTAGCGTCGGCTCGAGCAATTAGGACGTACGCTTTCCAAGTAGTCGATCAGATCCTCCTTCCAGTTGCCAGAGGGCGCGGCGACGGCCTCGTTGAGGTTCCATTGGACGTCAGCGTCGCCGTCGTATTGGAACTTGATTGTAACGTGGGCGCCTTCGGCATCAAAAGCTTGCTTGATGGGCTGCAGGACTGGGAGAAACTCCGCGAGCACGTTGAGCCGGATGTGGCGCTGCGTTAGGTTGATCTTCAGCTGGAAGCCAGACTTCTTGACGACCCTCAGCAATGGCTCGAAGTACTCTTTCAGGCTGTCCTGGTGGGTGTACGGCGGACCGAGCGTGACGTAATCTTCGACGTGGATCTCAAGCCTTGCTTCTCGGAGGACGGTCGCGGGATCTAGACCAACGTGGAAGACGTCGTTGCAGACTAGGGACTTGATGTTTTCGAGACATCGGACGAGCGCCATGGGAAAACCAGGCAGTCCAACGAAGACTTTGTAAAAGCTCTCAACGGCCTCAAGCGCGATTTCGGGACCGACGAATGCCGGGTTGACGAACGTTGGTATCTTCCGGTTCCGAAGGCATTGGCAGGGCTTCTCTATGCAGTCCGGCGCAAAAAGGATGTTCTGTAAGGTCCAGAAGCGTAAGTCCCCCGTTTCGTTCCACCACAGGAATTCGTACACGATGTCTCTGAGCTCGCGGGGGAGTGTGGTCCGCATCTGAGCAACGAGCGCGAGCGTCGACGACTGCGCGTACGGGACGATGGCTTGCTCAAATGGGCTGTAGGAGGGTCAGCGGAAGCTCCTGAGTGGAAACAGGGGGACGCGTACCCGGCCTTCAACGTCTCCACCTTCTTCACGTACTGGTCGCGCTTCTTGCACAATTTCTCGATCTTCTCCTGGATGGACTCGACTCTGGATCGCGATCAAAACGGCCGATCCCTTTATTGGGCACCCGACTCACTTCTTCTCAATAGCAAGCTCGGAGCATTTGATGCTGCGACGGTTAGCCAGGGCTGTGGAATTGGCGGGGTGCAAATACATACGCGCGAAGCCGCTTGTACGAGGTCTGGACGTCATCGTCGATGCTGGACGAGCGCGGGCGCTTGTTGGACTGCATAGTAGCTGCGTGGGTGAGCGCTGCTTCGTGCGATGTGCTTGCTGGAGGTGTGAAAGCGCTGGCCCTGGAGGAGGGCTGACGCGCTCTCGCGTTTCTGTACCATTCCGGATCTGGATTAGCGCGTTTACGCACTTGACCTACCCGTAGACGGCCGGGGGCGTCTTCGAGCGTCCTTCATGAACATGAGGATGAATCTTCATTCCTGCAGTTAGTCGCTTTCCCGCAGTCGGTGTCAAGGTGAGCCTTGCCCACCATGTTCCGCAGCTCCAAACCGGATGTTTTCTTCCGGAGACCGCTACGCAGAGCCAAAGGTCGTCGATATCCTTGGGTACTATCCAGAATTGACTGGCTAGTGAAGCCTTCATGAGTTAGACGCCGATGCAAGCACCTCGCTATCGGACTGTACGGGATCTGCCACACGTGACAGCGCCGAATGTCCACGCACCAGCACACGACACTAGAGCGCCGTCGTCTCTGTCTACTGGCATGCACGGGACTTGCCGCTCCACTGATTCTTTCAAGCGCGTAGTGGAGGCTGAGCCATCCTCCACGAGACCGCTCGCTGCCAAGTTCACACCCGTATTATCTATCTTTACCACCTGAGAGAATGTGCGGAGTGTTTCAAGTGCTGGCGATACAGCCGCACTCACAGCCCGCGAATCGAAGGATTTGCAGTGTTCGAAAGAGAGACACCCAGGTCGACCGCCACGTGATCGGAGTTTTGCAGCTCGCCAGTCAACACGAGAAATGGCAACCAATCAGAATTTCGTAGTCTGGTGTGATGTCTCTTACTACATTCTGGTACTTCAACTTCAGACGAGAACCGGGTCATTTCGACGGTAAACAACACCAGCTGCGCCGCTGCCCAGGCCCTCCACGTCTTGACGACTCCGCAGCTCGCAAGGCAACGATGGCAGCGACGAGTGCTGCTCAGACAGCTGAGCGAGTCTGAACGAAATGGCTTGAATATTGTCGAGCTCAGCATCTTGTGATCTGGCACTGCCTGGAAGGGTCTCTTGAGACGTCGAATCACCTCAGTGTCTCGCGGATAAGTCTGCGCTTGGGTGTCGTAAATGGTGGTATAGGTAAGAGACACCCATATTTAGCATTTCTTCTCGATAAGGCTGCTCTTAAGCTGGGAAGAATAAATAAGTGCGTCGTTCATTATGCTCTTCAATCAGTTTACTTGAGGTTCATCAACACCTTCTTCTTTCTCTGGTTGACTACTTATCTTCATACCTGCTTTCATACCTAGGTAGTCAAAGCACCCCTACAATAGTCATGGTATCCTGCCTTTTGGGCGCTCTGCCGCCCCTTCTTCTTCTGTCTCTACAGACGGTCAACGGGGCCACGGTTCCTCGGGCGGAACCGAAAGACCTAACGACGCTCGAAGTTCACTTCGCCCCAAACCCTCTCCTCACCAACGACACCAGCTGCCTGAACGACGACCAATGCCCGGAAGGAACCACCCGCACAGTCTCCTACTTCGTCAGCAGGGACAAAGCCGTCATTGACGGCGATGTCATCTTTGGCACCGAAACCGAGATCCTCGAAGCTTCAACCGGCAACAGTACTAATGCAAAACGCGCCTACTCCATCTGGCCCTTGGCAACCTCCCGCAAGTGGCCCTTCGGCGTCATCCGATATCAATACGAAGACGCTACGACGGCGTCGGGCCGTGGGCCCAAGTTTGAGGAGGCCATCAAGAGATGGACCAACATGCTTCCTTTCCTGCAGTTCATCCTTGAGCCGGACAACAGCGTCAATCAGCCTGACATTCTGATGGTTCGCGCAGTGGAAGACAGCGTGTCATACTCGTACATTGGCAGGGTAACATTCCCTGAAGTACAACTGGGTAGGCCGGACCTTCCCGAAACAGATTACTGGTATACACACACCATCGGCCACAGTAAGTCCCTCATCCCCTACCTCGCCCTGCCAGGCTAACACCTCCCGCAGCTCTTGGGCTCATGCATGAGCACCAGAGGCCCGATCGCGACTCATATCTCACGCTCGACTGCGACAAGGTCGCCGCCACCGCGACTAGCCCACCGCCCGTCTGCATCGACCCCTGTGTGGGAACCGGCTGCTACTTCTCCATCTACGACTTCACCACCGATCCAAACTACTACGCCGGAACTTACGACATCAAATCAATCATGCATTTCAACCCAGGTGACTTCGCCAAAGACCTGGCCGACCCACCACTCAAGCCTATCGACCCCATCGTGTTCGACTCCAATCGCGTGTACCCGACCGTCACGGATGCAAACCGCGTCTGCGATATCTACTGGGAAGTGTGCCGTGGCGTCTGCGGCGATGGCATCCTGGCCCTAGCCAACGGCGAAGTCTGCGATGACGGGAATAATGTAGATGGCGATGGATGCTCTGCGGACTGCCACACCGCAGACGGAGGCCCGCGCTGCGGCGACGGCGTCGTGCAAACCACGCTCGGCGAACAATGCGAGCCACCCAACGTAGGAAACTGCGACGCCAACTGCCACTTCGTCATCGAGCCGCCGCACTGCGGAAACAACGTCCTAGAACCAGCTCTCGGCGAGCAGTGTGAGCCGCCCGGTACACCGACCTGCGATGCGAACTGCCAGACCATCAACACGCCCGCTACCTGCCCCGCGCACTGCAATCCGAACGTCCCGAACAATCTCTGCGATGAGAGCACGTCGTGCATTCCGCTGTTCGGAGCCAGTGGAGACCCGGGCCTGCCCTTTGGCATGAGCTACATGTGTGCCTGTAGGGCGGGCTTCAGGGCCGATGGGGTTGATCCGAGCGATGGTTCGAAGCAGGTGAGGTTCTCGGCGACGCAGTATACGAGCTATGTGTTTGTAGAGCCGGGGATGACGTGCAATACGGAGTGCTCGCCAGATACGAATCCGTTCCCGTGCTCGGAGGTGCCGATCCTGGATGAGTGTTGATGAGGTGGTAGGGAGATGGTTGGAAGGGGGTATTTCTTGCTCATGTGTCGCGTTGGTCGATGTTTAAATTAGTTTGTTTTATATTGCGATGTGATCTTAGTCCCTGTCATTATTCTCCAGTTTCCTTTACTCCCCCTGGCTATCTATCTCTCCTCTGTCATCTTTCTTCCATCACAGTAGTCAGCGCTTGAGAGCCCACAATATACAATGCCAAAATCCGAAACCCGCTCTCCCTCCCGAGCACACTTCACCGTTTATTGATAACACTCGTCTATCCCAACATTTTGCCTATCCCACCCGCAATCCCCGCCGCGCTAACACTCAAGCTCAAACTAAGCCTCAGCCCGTTCGCCTGCGCCCTAAACTCCTGCTTCCTCTCTCCCCAATCTCTGGTCAAACTCGCCCGCTGCTGCAAACTCGGTCTCCTCTCCACCTTCGCCTTCCGCTCCGCCTCCTTCGTATCCCGCATAACCGCCGCTGTCATACCCTCCACGCCCGCAACCTGATGCGGCGGCAGATTCTCATGCAGCAGCGTACCGTTCCGGGACTGCGCGACGAAGCATTGATACCGATACGGATGTAGCGTGCCGGCATGGATCTCTTCGATGCCACGGTCTTGCGTGCGGGAGTATTCCAGCATCGAGGAGATTGTGCGGTAGTGCGAGAGGTCCCAGACTGCAGCGTGTTTCTCGGTGATCAGGAGGAAGTTTCCGTCTGCACCGAGGGCTACGATGCGTGGTTTGTCGGTCCAGGAGCCATTTTTGATGCGAGATTGAAGAGCGGAGAGGAGGGGTTGCGGGAGGTTCATCCAGAGGTAGGAGGAGCCGTCGTGCACGAAGAAAGAGGTGTTGTAGGGCCCGAGGATTAGGCGGAGGTTGGGGATGTTGCGGGTAGTTGCGCCGTTTGGGGGAGTGGCATAGAGGAAATTCTCAAGCTCGGGGGGTAGACCGCGGGATTCTATGTGGTCGTGTCCAGTTTTATCGCGATAGGTTATCAGGAAGCTATTCTCGAAACCGAGGGTTATGTGGTGGACTTTTTGAAGTTGGGATGAAGTTAGGAAACTTGTGAGTTTCTTGGGCAGACGGGTGCTATGCTGTGGTTAGGCGATAAGGTCTATGTCGCGGAATTACCGGGGACATACTGGTCTTGGAGAGACGGGCATTGGAAGAAGTGGTCGCCACGTTGGCCGAAGGTGAAGGTCGTGTCGCACATTGTAGTACGCAGCTTCTCTTTGGAGAAGCGAAAGGACTTGGGCAGTTACAGATATATCGAGAAGGAGTTATGAAATAGAACGGGAGGAAGAGGGGAGAGATCAGAGATCGAAGATCGGATGATGGAAAGACGTTCACCCGCCAAGCGCGATCGTCACAAGGGTCCGGCCAAGTATCAACGCCAACTCAAGCTTGCTGCGCTGTAAATAATCCGCTTCCAGCCTCATATTATGCAGACAAACCACTCTTTTGCAAAGCTGCCGTATCTCCTTCTATTTGCTTTTTCGTAACTACTTCGAAGCTCGTTTTCTACTGTGATGCGGTTCCTCAAGCGATGACGTCATTTCTCACAGCCAACCAATAGTATCCCAGCATGAGCGCTACTTCCAGCAACACTTCGTTCTTCTCCTTCGGCCCTGAAAACAGTTTCGTCTCGAAAAGCTTTGAGCGGTTGCGATAGTATAACACCCCCTTTGTCTTCAAACCCCACTATCTAATCTCGGAGCAGCCGGAATCTCCCCCCTTCGCTCCACGATCTCATCATCGGCGGCAGCGTCCTCGACGTACACTGGGCTACTCTAGGACCTGTCCCCCAATCCTGGGTCCTGAGCTTCAAGGATACAGGCGGGAAGAACAATCTCGGTAGGTGCCGTGGACATAACCAGTTCGGTCGCTCTTTCGGTGGACCCTTTCTGACAGGTTCAGGTTGGGGAAGCTCGACCCCGGAAAGACTCAAAGACGTGTTGTCTACACTAACGCCATCGCCACACTTTCGTAGCTTTCTCGGTCCTCTAGGATCTTTTGTAGCCTGGGACCCAACGTTTATCCGCTGGACCGGGCTACCGTCATGCTTGGAAGACACCTTTCAGTCATGGCTCACGCCTTCTGGCTGGAAGGCCGGACCGCCGCGCCTCGCAACTTGGGGACTAGATGATGCGTTCTTCGCGATTAGCGAATACGGCGACGTGGCGTATCGATTAGGATCCGAAGGTGGAGAAGAGACGTGGCCGATCTTCAAAGAGACGGTAGAGGAGTGGAGGGCTGAGAGAAGGTTCAGCTGGGATGAGCTTTCCGTAAGTGCTTTCTCTCTTCCGCGTAGGTGAGGAGGTTGCGCTAATGAAGGAGATGCAGTATCTATCACTCGACTCAACGACGCCCGACCAATTCATCGCGATCCGTTCCAACGGCACGTGGGCGGGCAGCATCGACGATAGCAATGAAGATGCGCTGGAAGCCTTTACGCTCAACTTCTTCGCACGCTCCAAGCCCAAATCGAAAGCAAAGCCGCCCCCGAAGTCTAACGGCTACCACCACCAGCAAGCCAGTAGTACCATTCCCAGGCCCGAAGAAACGACACCAGACGCCGCAACGCAAGCTCTCTATGAGAAATGGGCCACAGAAACCGCCTCTGTCTTCGCCTCCGCGCTCGCCGCACGGTCCCAAGCAACCCCATCACCTCCCACAAACGCGAAAGGAACACCAGCTCGACCGCGCGCGCCCAAGAAACTCCAGATCCGCTCCCAATCCTCTAGGGCCGGAATACCAGCCACCAGCTCCACCTCTTCCAACGCGAAACTCTTAACAACATTTCCCCACCCACCCGCCGCGCTAACGACATGCGCCCTACCCGCCTGTACGCCGCACAAATCCGACCCCGCTGGCCTCCGCGCCTGCAAGCACGACGTCGAGAGACTGCTTCGAGCGTCGGGTCTGTATAGTTATGAGTGGCTGAGGCAGGAGCGCATACGCTGGCACCCTGATCGCTTCGGACGGCTCTGCGAGGAGAGCTGGAGAGAAGAAGGGCGCCGGCTGGCGGAGGAGATGTTCAAAATCATAGATAGCCTGATCACGGACCTGGACAGGATGAAGGGGGCCTGATTGATGCTTGGCGGATTCGATGCGTTGAAGCCTCCTGGAGTGGTTTTTTTGGAGCAAGTAAATGACTTTTCTATATGAAAGGGGAGGGTGCTGGTGCGAATAGAGGCGCGCGGGGTCGGGTCCGGGGAGGGGGGGCACGTGAACGTAGCTAGAAATATTAGCAAATGTTCCGTTGCGTATCAAGGAAATTTGCGCATACCTCTAACACCTCCGAGAGCAGCTTTCCCTAGATACTAAAAAACGTTGCGTCAACCCGCAAATGCCGTCGTCCGTCGTTCTCTCCCCGGAGAAGAATGCCCCGGTATGGCTTAGACCGCCTTCGCCCTCGCCCTTCGCTAATTCTTGCATCTCCGATCAGCTGACCCTCCCAAAACGAACTTGACGGACCCTGTTGAGCAACAATCCATATGCCCAATTCGACTCCCACTCAACCCACCAGCACAGCCACAAACTCACAAACCATGCTTCAGCTATCCTGCGAAGGTCGCCCAGGGTACTTCTGTCTCTGAAAACCGCTGGGATCCCTGTTGAGCAAGAATTCGTATGTCGGAGTTAGAGTCACGCTCGATCCATAAGTCGGCCTTCTGTCTGCATCCATGGAATAAGCATCCAGAGGACTTTCCTTTCTCTCTCTTGGTAGGGTGAACCTTTTGCGAGGGGGTAGGACGCACGTGTACTCGCGAAAGCTAGACTTCGAGTCCGTGAGAAAAGAGCCTGAGAATATGAGAATGCGCAGCATACCCTTCTTGTGGCGTATGATTTAGAAAAATGTGGCGATGCGAGACGTAAGAGAGTAACTCATGCAATGGTATTCAAATCTCTGGAGCTTGAGGAGAGAGAGAAAGTAGACGTCTCCCTCCTCTTTAATGCAACATTTACTCCCTCGAGTAGCGAGACAATTGCCCGCGCATGTGTGTTGGGCCATGTTCCAACCGCCCAACTCAACTCCCTCCTACCGGACCACCTTTGTGCAGCCGAAATCTACCTGTTGAGCTTCAGCTGACTTTTCACACACCCGCTTTCGACTTCGGATAGATCAGTCTGAAGAGCTTCGACACACTTTCCACGACACGTTAGTAATTAATCCTCCTCTTCACCTTGGACTCCGTATCTAACAGCCTGAAGACCTTCAGCACATTTTCCGCTCGACGGTAGTAAGTGATCCTCCTCTTTGACTTGGTTTCCGCAACTAACATCCTGATGAGCTTCAGCACTCTTTACACCCAACAGCAGCAAGTAATCCTCCTGCTCACGTCAACCTCTACATCCCAAAGCCTGAAGAGCTTCGGCACCCTTTCGGCTTAACCATAGTAAGCGATCCCTCTTTCCGGCTCGGCTCTGTAACTAACAACCTAAAGGCCTCCACACTCTTTTCAACTTCACAACTCAGAGCCTAAAGGGCCCCAGCAGACAATAGTAGTAAGTGATTCCTCTTTCTAACCCGGCTTCTGTATCTGACAGCCTGAGGACGTTCAGACCCTAATAAAAGATGAGCTTCCACCAGCGCAACATGGGCCGCCCCCGACGAGGACATGGGCTACCCTCAAAACAGGGGCGTGCCTCAGCAGTACATGGGCGTCCCCTATCAGTACACGGGCGTCCCACAGCAGCAGGTAAACGTCCATCAGCATTACATGGGTGGCCCCCAGCAGTATATGGGCGCTGCTCAACATCATACGGGCGTCCCTCAGCAGTATATGGGCGTCCGCCAGAAGCACATGGGTGGGGCCCAGCAGCACGCGGGTGGCACCCAACAGCACATGGGCGTCCCTCAGCCCGCCATGCTGTATCCGGTCCCACACCCACCTCCGGCCGGCACCACTGAGTCCATTCTCCGAGAAGCCTGGCGGGTCGAGGGCTTTGCTACCGTCAACCCCATGGATTACCTCACCGTGGATGGCATCACAAAGGTCATGGATGCTAAGGTAGACCTACGGAACACCCTTCACCGCCCGACCACGAGTATATATCGCCCCGAGGAACTGCCCTTGCTCAGTCGCTATCGCAGCTTCGTAGCAGCCAATGCCCTGGGGTTGCTCGTCCAGGAGCTGGACCACCAGCTCACGTGGCTCCGGGCGCGTGCGGAGGACCTCATGAAGACGGAGGTAAGTCTGCGTAAGGATATCCCTAGGGGCTGGAAGGACTTCGCCAGGAGCCGTACACAGCCGAAGCGCGATAGGGTCGTGAAGGCACCCAGGAAGGCCCGTACGGAGGCGGAGAAATCGGGCAGCGACAAGGCCGTGAGGCCCTCTAGGCGGGCTCCTGCGCAGACCCCGCCGCCACAACTGCGGAGACCATCAAGGAAGCGTCGCCCGCTGATCTGGAGGCCTTCCCGTTCCCCTTCCCGGAGCTGGATACGTAGTCCGTCATTGCGCTGGCGTCGCCTGGATATCCGGATTCTGGGTATACGTCGTCTGGTTATAAGGCGTCGGAGGCCTCCACGGCGCTGGATGTGTCGCCCGGCATTCCGCAGTCGCCTTGGGATACAGAGCAGGGGGACTTCACTGGGGTGGATACGGCGTCCGGGTCGGGCACCTCAGCGCAGATGGGGTCGAGGAGCATACAGGAGGGTCCCGCGTGTATTATGCAGCAAACGCTTGGTCCCGACGTGGATGCCGAGGTGGATGCTGTGGATTGGGACTTGTGGGTGGATTTCGAGGCCGGTGAGAAGTCAAGGTAGAGCAGGCTATGCGGAGGGAGAATTTGTTCATCATCATTGCATCGTCGTTGCATCGTCATTGCGGGTATCATCATCGGGATAGAATCAATGTAACTCACTTCATCTGATCATGCGGAATACGTGACCCTCTGTGCTGAACACCCACCGGTCTAGGCTCGCCACATCGGCGTCGCTGAACGTCAGGTACAAATACTTGAGCGTCTCAGCCGCCCAGAAGCTCTCCTGCATGTCGATCCACCTTCCGTATCCCAGACCGCTCCACTCTTCCGGCTTCACCCTGAAGACGTCGGTCAACTGCGCGTAGCCGTACGGAGCCTTGCAGTGCTTATCCATTGCCGAGAAGGCTTCCCATGCCCAGTCGCGATAGCGCTGCTCGCCCGTCATGCGCCAGGCATAGAAGAGCGACTCGACGTATTCGGGCCGGCCTTTATATTGCGGCGAGGTGCTCCAGAAGCCCATGGCTTTCCACTCTTTGACCTGCCGGGTTGTATCAGGAGTGTAGATGGGGTCATCGTATCCAAATTCAGGTATCCAGGACCAGCTCTCAGGGCCTATCTTGGAGGGAGTAGAGGTATACGTGTGGTGGCAGCCTTCCAGGAGGGCCAAAGCAAAAGTGCGTAGATAGGGTTCGTCGTAGAACTTGGACGCAAGAAGAATAGTTCCGGGCGCGAAGCAAGCAAGGTGACCTTGTCGGTTCAGATACCACTTCTCGTCTTGGCGACCGATGAAGAGATGCTGCATGGCGTGGTCAGGTGCCGATGCGGAGCGAGTCGCAAGATACTTGCGCAAGGAGTAGGCGGCATCAAGGAACGTTGCCTTGTAGTTTGAGAGATAGGGATCAGATGGCGGAGCGAGGAGGGTCATCTTGACCAGGTACTCGTAGTACGAATCGTGGCCGCCATCCCAGTGCCGCTGACGGCCTACGGGCGCAGTGGTGACAATATCAATAGGTGCGTCGACCATTCCAGGCCAGGGCGCCACCCACTTTGACCACACGAGCGGCGCCCAAGCAAGAGTAGAGTTCTTTGCGTATATAGGGTTGCCAGTGAGCTGGCTCAATGACCGGGTCTCGAGAATGGACGAGCCGGTGCGGGCAGGGCCGATGACAGTATTCTTGTATCGAGGCTTATCCGGATTCTCGATGTAGAGCGACGGAGGATCAGGGGAGCCCTGCGCTATGCTAAAGTTAACTCGGGGCCAGGGCATGCCGGTTGGCGTGTCATAAGCCGGTCCTAGGGCACCGGCGAGGGCAACGGCTTGCTCGAGGATGGTGTCGCGTGCCTCTGGGGTGATGATGTTTTCCGGTATTATGCCAGCATCGCAGAGGTCTACCAGCGAAACAAGACCGCCCAGGTACCTAATTGTCGTCTCAAACGGATCCACGAGGTCCTCAGCTGTCGTGAAGTCGACAGTGACAATGTGTTCCACCGAAAGCGCGAGCTCGTCCCACAGCCCCATCAGCGCAAGCGTTGTCGCCGAGTCCACGATGAAGGCGCCCCAGCCATTTCTCGATGTAGAGTTGCCGCCCGAGACAGGCAATATATCGTCACAGCCCCATGCGTGCTGGCGATACTTCCAAAAGGTGTATTTCATGGCACTGCGGACCTTCTCTGCCTTCTCTTTGTCCGCCCTATCCGTCCCATTCTGCCAGTCCGCATACTGGATGCGCGCGCCGTACGAGGGTGCTCTTTCGGTGCGTATAGTCGGGTGCGAGAATTCTTTGATAATGAGGTACAGGGTGATGACGAGGACGGCGGCGAGGAGCTTGAAGGACGATTCGGGGTTCTTCTCGAACTTAGACCGGCCCCAGCGGCGGAAACCGGGCATCCTGGGCCGCGAGAGGGCGTTAGCCCGAGGGAAGGAATTGGCTTCGCTGAGGGCGTAGAAATTGCGGAACCATGGGGTACACGCGATGCGGAGGTTCTGCGGAGGTGAGGAGTCCTAAGCTAACGCGTCATTGCTCGGACGTCGAAGCGCGCAAGAGGGCGAGCCAGCCAGCAATCCGGCGAATAGAGCTTCCTCCGGCCGGTGATGATAGCTGCTGGGGATGTGGTGAGTGTCGTGTCCTGAGATTCCCGATATTGAAATCGTAGCCATGGCATGCTTGGCATTCGAGGTCGCGCTTGCCGATCCTCCGAGCTTTTTCTCGACCTCCACTCCACCGCTCACAAGCCGTGGCCGTCACCATGCCCGTCTGGCAGTGCGTTTCCTCTCAATTTCCCGTTGAGCGCCCTTGCTAATCGACCCAGGTGGTACAAAGGGATCGCGCCCAAGACTCGCGTCCTCGTCGGCGTCGGCATCATGGCATACGCAGGCCTGGGGCTCGTTCTATCGGACAAGGTAGAAGAGAAGCTAGGCCTGGTGCCCACGGAGAAGGATAAAGAAGACTTGCGCAAGGCAATACCGAAGGTCACACCGGTCGAGAAGGGGAATAGGTGGGAATAGGTGAAGAGGGCAAGCGGTTTGGGTGCGGCATTAGGAGCCTTGCCTCAAAACGTGAGATGTGCTCTACAGCTATTCTCTAGCTATGCTCTAGCGCCACATTGAATGCTGACGGATGTCAGGTTTACAGTTGATATGGTCGTCCACTGTCCACTACAGCACTCTCCTATAACCACAAGCATCGCGCATCATTCGAATTAAGTTTATTGGGGTTAAGCTTTGGAAAGGCGCAACAAGAGGATACCCCAATATCCACACAAGGAACAGCTTCCTCAATGTACATCTCAGACTCCCCCTCCGACTTCGCCATTCTTGTACCCTGCTACAAACCCTCGTCCTGCAAATCCAATTATAGGCCGCCGGTACTGTCTCATGCTCACGAAACGCACACCGACTGTGCCGCATGAAGGCATGTCAAACGTTCGCGTATCGCATACCACTAGGAATCCCCCTCCGCCGCTCAGTAGCCTGCCAGCGAAATTGCTTGTCCTTCCAGTAAAATCGCCTGTCTCGAGGGAATGCGATAAATGGGGTAACGGGGAGTATTTTGAGCCGCGCCGCAGAGATCGAACCAGTGACTCGATGCAACTTGAGCACGGAAAGCTTTCGCTTCGGGATCTCCCTAGTCGCAATTCATTGTGCTGATTGGGAAGGATTGTGTCACCGGTTGTTGACGAAACTGAGAAGTCTGCCCTTTGTCAAATGGCGGGAGTGCCGGAATTTGCGTTGGTATGGTTGGTAGGTTAGAGTGATCGTAACACGTGATTTTCAACTGCACGCTAGGTTTGGAAAAAAAAAACGTTCAAGAGGGATATTCACAGGCCAATTTGTTGTTTCCAATTCGACTGCCTAGCTGTGCATCTCCATTCTCGTTCTTCTGAGTGGCTGCCTTCAGCAAACTCCAATCCTGCTACGATCGTATTCCGTATCGCGAGCATGCGTGACCGAGATCTGCATTCTTTGTTCTCTGGTACACAGCGCCTCAAACGGGATCTCCCCACGTGCAACAGTCAAAGGCCGCAAGGACGTCTCGTATTCGATGTGGTGCAGATGCGATGCCGTTGTTGAATGGTGAGATTCACATCACCCGGACACGGCTTACGCGCACAGCCACGAGGGCTGCACGAGCAACCGCATAAAGGCGCTTCATTCTCCACTTTCTCACCATCTATCTACCATCTACCACAGTCATATTCTCAGACCTACATCAGTATCATTCATATTCGAACCCCTTGCAAAGCGAACATAGCAAGCAGAACCAACTCAACTTCTAGTGCGCCGTTCGTTTAACGCCGCGCGCCCCTGTGACGCAGGCATCAGCACGTCAGCTTGGCACTTCTTCAGAAGATACTTCTCAACACATCCACCTCCGCAATACAAACTCAGTATGGGCTGTTTCTCAAGCAAACCCTCCCGACCTTACCGCGCGGGTCATTCGAGCGGCGTACGACGCCACCACGGAGGGGGTGATGCCGGCGCGGCGGGTGGATACTACTACGGCGACTCTGGCGGCGGCGGCGGCGGCGGGGACGGCGGAGGTTGGGGAGGCGGTGATGGCGGAGGAGGCGGCGGCGGAGGAGATGGAGGCGGTGGTGGCGGGGATTAAGGATCAGAAGAAAGGGGGAGAATGGGAATGTGAAGGGGATGAATAATGCATGATGGAACTTTCTTTTAGAATTAGAACATGAGTGCACTGCTCTTTGACACAAGTAGGGCGGTTATACGGTCATGAATGCCTGGGCTTGTAAGCACAATATCTTCTAACTATCTACGCGCTACAATGCGGGAGGGGTAAATTAGGCGAGCCAGCCAGCCCAAGACTATGATTTCTTTCTTGCACTTTTATTGCAGTAAAAGCCTTTTTTTTCTTTTGGCTCGGACACCTGGATCCTCACTCTGACTCATCTATCGGCTTCTGCAAGTGCAGGGCTCGCTAACTTCGTCGCCATGGCCTCGAAGGACTATGGCCGCGGGTATGAAAGTTGAGTGACCGGGAGCTGCGGGTGAGCACTTCGGGAACATCCTAGATAAATTTAACATACCAACAAGCTAAGTTTCTAACACGAGCTCGCTCTATTGTTGATATCCTCCGCGCCTTCCAAGCTTTCGAGCTGGAAGAGCAAAGAGTAACAGGCGTAGCTGGGGGCAGATTCTACTTGTGAACCAGAGACGGGTAGTTCCGGCCCCCTTTATCCTTAACAGACAGAGCCAATCCATGCATTCGCATGAATATAGACACCGCTTAGCGCGAGCGCGATACCCTTATGTCGGCCATCTCCACCGGCGATCAAGGAAATCTGAAGGCCTTTAAACTTTCCCAGAGTACCTGAAGCATATCCATGAGGCTTCCACACTCCGGTTACAAGACTCCTTGGCCGCAAAAGTGGAGATTGCTTACGGTCCTACGATACGAGCTGCGCAGATCTATTATACACGTGATTGGCCCTCACAATATATTCTACTTAGGGGCGGATTCTGGCTTCTCTGAGGAGTCTCGATATTAATCATTCGTGAGCAAAATGCAGGTGCAGAAGAACTTGCGCCCAATCTTGCTATAATGGGTCAACCCCCATTGACGTAAGAATATGAGACGTAAGCTGGTAGTTCACTATCCCCAAATGGAGTAAGTCGTGCGATTCTGCGAGCTATCCTTTGTCTTGGATTTAGCGTCCGATGGGGCAAGCAAGCCTTTCGAAAGCTTGACGAAAGCTTAACGTGTAGCTAAGCCATAATCATTTGAACGAGACATCCACTGAGCGACTTCGTCTGCCATACGAGTTCCGAGCTTACCTGTATACATTAGTGTACAAAATTCCTCTAGTGGCTGGATCTGGGGCCTTGCTTACGGTGCAGATCTGCTAGGGCTTAGCCGGCGACGGGATCGACAGAGTCGATTGATGGCATCCTGCGCGGCAGCGGAAGAGTAATAGCAAGACGCTTACACACTGTGTGATTCAAGGCGAGAGCAGTCAGCGTGATGATGCTTGCCTCGAAGACTTCGAATTTGTCGTCAGCTTGATGCAGCGCGCCTGAGTGCGTATTATTGCTTTGGATCACTTAACCTCCCCGGTGCTTCATGAAAACCGCCTCTGAAGTCAAATACCATCAACCGTTCTGCAAATTCTCCGAGGGTAAAATGGCGACCGAAACATCACTAACCACGAATGGCTACGTTAAGCTAGAAGATGAAGTTCGCACCATAGGCCACCGACACCTCATCCAACTCCTCGACCACTACGCCAAAACGGAGCCAGATCGCGCGTACCTCTCAATCCCGGTGGATCAGAAAGATCTTTCTGCAGGCTTCAAGGACGTCTCCTACGGCGCCTTTGCCAATGCAGTAGATCACTGCGTCCACTGGCTCAACAGCGTCCTTCCGCTGGCCACGGAGCCTTTTGAGACCGTTGCGTATAGCGGACCTAGGGATATCAGGTACCCGATGCTGGCATGCGCGCTCGCGAAGTTGGAGAGGAAGTTGTTGTTTCCGAGTCCGGCGGCAACGCCCGCGGGTCAGGCGCATTTGGTACGGAAGACGGAGTGTAGAACGTTCTTTTACGGTGGCTTGTTGAAGCCCGTCGTCGAGAGTGTTGTGGCCGAGGTGCAGGAATGGCAGGTGCAGGTGGACAAAGTGTCGGAAGTGGAGGAGTTCCTGCGAGAAGAGAAAGCGCGGGAGTGGCCGTGGAAGAAGAGCTGGAATGAGGCGCGAGACCTGCCCTGGCTTATTTTGCATACTTCGGGCACGACGGGCTTTCCGAAGCCGATTATCCTGACGCATGAGATGCTGGTGCTAGTCGATGCTTCTAAATTGATGCCGGAGTTCCAAGGCGTTGAGAATAGGTTTGACAAGCATCTAGAGGGTCGGAGGTGGTTTAACACCATGCCTACTCTTCACGTAAGCACTGCCTTTCCAATGCTGTCGGTCGTTGAATGCGAAAGCCTGACAACCATTAGATGGTCGGCATGTACATGGCGCTACAGTGGGCCATGGTCTGCGGTGGGGTCGCAATCTTCGGGCCCTCAGAAAACGTTACAACGGCTGGCATCCGGGACACTCTCCGCTATGGCCGGTGCCAGGCTATGATGACGTCTCCCTTATCCATCGACGCTCTGGTTGCCGATCCTCTCGGTCTCGAATCTCTTCGCAATTTGGAGTTCGTCTACTTTGGTGGCGCTCCATTGTCGCGATCAGCCGCAGAAAAGCTGACACCTTACCCGTGTTCTTCCGGCTTTCGGCACGACCGAAACAGGCAAGCTCTTTATCAGGCTGACGGGCGAGGACGATTGGGAGTACCACAAGTTCGCGCCTTCCAACGGGATCGAGTTTGAGAAAGTGGATGGAGACGTCCATGAGATGATTATCGTCCGAAAGTCCGAGCTGGCACGCTGGCAGCAGATTTTCTGGGTGTATCCAGAACTGGACATCTTCCGGACTGGTGATCTCTGGGTGGAGCATAAGTCGAGAGCTGGCAGGTGGAAAGTAGTTGGGAGGACAGACGACTTGATTGTATTCAAAACTGGACTGAAGATGAACGCAGCAGAAGTCGAGCGAGAGTTGAGTCATTGCGCTGGTGTCGCCGGGGTGGTGATTGGCGGTCAGAACATGGCGCGTCCGTTTGTTCTGGTCGAATGGACGGATGATGGTGTTGATGATGAGCGGAAGCTTGAGCGGCTGTGGCCGGCGATACAGAAGGTTAATGAGCGGTGCGCTGAGGTGGTGAGGATACCGAAGGATCAGGTGCTCTTTACGAAGCCTGAGAAGAAGTTGGCGAGGAATGTGAAGGGTGGACCCGTGAGGAAAGCGAGCCTCAAGTTGTATGAAGAAGAGATTGCGAGACTGTATGCCATCGAAAGGCTGAAGTCGCTTCGCTAGGATAGACATAGTTCGGAATACCTGCTCCTACGATAGCCGTTGCGTAGAAGGGATTGGGAAAGGAAAAGTCGGCGTGCACCTAGTCGTCCGATGATGATAACGCGAGTCAGGGCAATCCATGCCACCCACCTTTGAGCCTCTCGACCGCTTCACGTCTTCCCGCTCATGCTAACGATGTCGCCGTCTGGAAAGACGGGTCCCACATGCCCCGCTTACCACAGCCTGCAAGACATGGAATCGGTGACGTTAGCATTCCCAATCGGGCGCCAAGACTTCTCGCATCCCCAAACATATCGCGTTGAATAAGCTGGCCCACACACATCCACTGGTTCCTTCACCACGAATTACCAGCGAGTCCACTCCTTCAATTGAGGTCTGGCGTTGAAGTCGCCGCCAGAAGGGCGCTCGGGTATGGTTTCAGGATGACGGGTTCTCTCCTTCTTCCGGCTCTGCGCCTGGCACAAGCTTTCCCGGTCCTTTTCGTTCCCCTGCCGAAAGGCCGTCAGAGTCGTTTTGCGAAAGCTGAACTCCCACCCGGCCCGTCAGGCTCGGTACATATGAGTCTCGTCCATGGCCGCCACGGGCACCTTGCTCTTTGCCCTCATGCCGGCGATTTCAGGGAGACGTCCGATCGCGAGGCGCGGCCGCCGACGCCACGCTCGACGAAGTACCCAGTGGCGATTGCTTCTGCCAACATGCGTTGCAGACATCGATGAGTAGCGCAGGTCTGCTGTCTCATCTCAGCTCCCCCACGGACCCGGACTGTGCGGAGCTGTCGCGCGCCGTACGGTCAGAGAAATGACGCCATGTTGTCTGTCTGAAAGGTCGGTCGCGATCACGGTCCGGAAGGCTCCTGTTCAGCCAGTCTCAAAGAGTCTTTCAGTAAATCCATCTCGTGGGAGAGCGGACAGGATTGATAAAGTGCCGGAAAACCATTACAAACGCGAACTCGGCACCTCCGGTCGTCTAGGCAGACTCCGGACGGGTACTTACATCCGAAGGAATCACTTCGGGAAATAATTCAGCCGACCTCGGGTATCGGTCATCTATGCGAGACCTCAACTCTGGACTCCGCTTTCTATCTCGAAATGCGATAATCGAAAGTCAAGCGGGACACGTAGCCTGCGTCGTCGTCAGCGCGTCCTCCAACTCGGGCGTGCCCTCGCGCGTCGCCATTCACGGATCTGACCTGTCTTGGCATGATCGGACTTCCCCACCAACCCGCGGCAAACGAGTCCGCTGCGCCTTCCACCTCCATTGTCACCATGGAGGCAAGAGAGGGAAGGATAGGGAATGCGTTTGCTTGCGAGCGGTGCAGGAAACACAAGGTACGTTGCGTACCATCTGAGACCGCAGGAATATGCCAAAGGTTTGTCCTGTCCATTTCTAGTACGGCGTCGGGCTAACACGTGCTCCAGATGCCTGAAAGCCCGAGTGGAATGTATCGAACATGTTGCGCGACGGCGGCCAGCAAAGCCCAGGACGGTCGTACAGACGCCAAATCGAGTAGCTGAAATGGAAAAACGGTTGGACAAACTGTCTGCCATTGTTACCTCGACATCTGCGCCTAGCTCGACGCCTCAACCTACGCTGCCTTCGGTAAACACCGTCCCTTCGCAGATCGCCGACCCAACTCAGCGTACCCCAACGCCAGCATCTGCCGCGCCAGTAGCGCCACCACCACCTATTTCCAAACCTCCGATTCTACCTAATCCAGGTTCGACCCCTGAGTCGGCTCTGTCTTTTTGGGAGTCGATCAATGATACTCTATCTGGACTGGGACGCTTGGATCCTGTGATCCGATCGATCAGCGTAATCCACATGCAGCTGCTTCTGGAAAGCTACAAGAATATGGTCGACTTCTTCCCTTTCGTACCACTGCCGAAAGAGTGCTTTTGTCGGGACCTGATTCAGCAACGTCCAATGCTGATGTTCGCGGTACTCACGGTAGCATCCTATGATTCCGCTCTTCTGCAGCTCACCCTGAGCCGGGAGTTTCGGAAGGTCGCAACGGTCAAGATCATGAACGGCGAGAAGAGCTTGGATCTATTGCAAGGGTTGCTCGTGTTCATAGCGTGGCATCACCACTACATGGATGCGCAAGCGGTTTCCATCCAGATGCTCCTACAGATGTGCATCGGCATCGCAGGTGTTCTCAGTCTTGACCGCATACCGTCTTCAGCTAAGAGCCCGCTGCAGAGGAGTGACCCACGAGACAGAGAAGCTAAGAGAGCATACCTGGGGTGCTACTATTTAGCATCGAACCTTGGTCTGATGGACACATGCAGGGCCCGCAGCATACCGTACTCAACCGTCGTCCGTAGCTATGCGTCAGACTTGGCGTCTGCTTGGGAGCATAGATCCGACGCCATACTTCCCATTCTCGTCGATACATGCCAGTTCATGGAAGACGTAGAAGAGACGTTTCGCAATCAGTCCGAGCAAGCTCTGGCCGCGAGATCTCAGCTGAAGCGTCTTAGTGATAAGTGGGATAGCATATGGCTTGCCTCGAAAGCGCAGGCCAATGATTACAGTAAGGAATCTTCCCCCATAGCCGTTGTTCTGCGCTAAATCTGACGTAGAAACGCTGCACTGGATCGAGCTTACGGCTCGGATATATCTCTATAGAACCACGGCTGCACTAGAATTTTCTGACCGAGAGAACACTCCGTGGGCATCCGGCTTTCAGCTCTCGTTGCGCATCTCGTGCCTCCGCTCGATTGAGCAGTTTCTCGACAGCAGTCTCCAACTGTCTCCTAGTCAATACGAGTTCCTCTCAATAATCGACTGGCTCAGCATGATCTCCGCGCTTACTACTCTCGGCAAACTTGCGCTACATACCTCTCCAATGTCTGGCTGGGATCCGTCAGAACTTCAGCTTGGCAAGACGTTTGAGTACTTCCGCGATCAGCTTTCCTCACAAATGCCTCGCGCGCACGATCCGCAAGAGAACAGTGAAGACCTGTTTGAACGGTTTAGGCGCATAACAGCGATTATGAAGGTGGCATTGAAGAACAGCCCCGGACGAGGGAGTCCAAACGGCTCAACTTTTGAGATTGCCACGGGCTCTGGACGGACTGTGTCCCTCCTACAGGAATTACCACCAATGAAACCGAATGGGATAGTCAATGGCGCGGAGTCGCTGCCTGCGCCATGGAAGGTCAATCCCCAGTTTGACATGAGCAACAATGAGTTTCTGTGGAAGTTTCTGATGGGAAGTGTATGATCGGATCGCTTCCTCCGCCCAGTATATCCACCCGGACCGACACCGGTGGAGCACACGCCGCTACCATAGCCCTTTCGACCGGCAACCGCAAACGGCGTGATGGCTCCTGGCTGCGACACCATCTTCACTCCGACAGTCAAAGAGTCTTCCCGCTTACAGATCGGATGCTTAAAGCCAACCACACGTATGCACGTACCACGTCCCTTGTTTCTCATTCTAGGTAAGCATTGCCCAACGCGATTTGGTTCGATTGGCTGACAATTGCAGCATTACGAGAATGATGTTTTTTCTCGACACCTTTTGTGGGCGGCATTCCATACAGCCCCATTTTCTGCACCAACGTCAAGCTTTACCTACGCGAAAGTGTACGAGAAGGTGGCTTCAGGCTAATGGCCCAACTTCTTGCGCTTTCAAAATCGCCTCACGTTTCTTGTTCTCAGATGTCATTGCTATCACTCCTCGGCTTTTGGTCATGGCGGCGCATATCATTTATTGCATTTCCATTCCTGAGGTCTTTTTCACAAGTCACGTCTTCTTTTGCTATACCCACACTTGCATTGTTATACTGGATGTCAATATTTACACCTCTCTTAACCACAATTACTTCCTTTATCTACCTTGTCGCAAAACATAGTGCACCAATCACGATTACGAACCAATCACTTCCGAATGCCCTTATCATTCGTATATGCAATGCTGTCTTAGACGTCCCATCTTCGTATTCAACGCCATCACGCGACCCCCCCAATTCCGCGCAACCCCGCGACCCTCAAAACAGTTCCATAGGATAAGAGCACCGCCGCTCATCTTCTACTAGGAAAAGCCACGCATTACTGTACTGCTAGCTCGGCCGGTTCTATCTTACTAAGACTCGATTCGTGTATTCGCGGTACGCACTTCTCGAGTCCACAGATTATCATCCTTACGTGGCAACAATGTCTAATGAGCCATAGGAATCAGTCGAGCGCCGGGATACGGCTTACGCATACCGTCGTCAGCAAAACGAGGAAGCCATGGGTTGCTTCCATAGCAAGCAATCGCGGGACCCAGGCGGAGGCGGAGCAGGTGCCTATGGCGGCGACGGGGGAGGCGGAGGACACGGAGGTGACGGCGGTGGGGGTGGAGGAGGGGGAGGGAACGGAGGTGGTGGGAATGGAGGAGGGTAGAGAGGAGTGGAGAACACCCGGTTGGATTCTTGTAAGGCAGTTTCTCTCCCGGATCTTGGATACAGCTAATCTATCGATCGATTGATCTGTGGGCTTCGAAATAGAACTGTGTAGATGGGCCGGGGACGAGGCGCATTCCGGTGAGGGTGCTTGCTAGCCGATGGGGAACGAGTTTCGCGAGCTGGCCGCCTTGCGATATGCAATAAAAATCGCGCAGCAGCTCATGCTCTTCTTTTTACGTAATCCACAAGCTTCTTATTGCGACTTCATGGAGGTTTCGTGCTCAGCCCAAGCCTCTGCACGGTTAGGTGGCTCAACCCCGCTAGGCCGCTTTCGGCTGACCGCGCGCATCGCAGCCATCCATGCGCAGTCGCGCATTGAGCACTACAGGACGCGAGGGACAATCCAGAGGAGATGAGGCTCTCCGGGCAAGCAAAACGCCTACACGGACCCTGGCCCAAACGCGGGAGTCATGCCACGATCCTTCCGTATTAGGGGGGCACCGCCACACTCTTAACCGGGCGATGCGAAGGCGGTCTCACGACCATTGCGGCTAACGCTAAGGGAGATAAAAGCCGTTCGAGAGATGCTTCATCTTCTCATACTAACGCCAATTATTCCACTTTCCAGAAATTCCAGTGCGAACCCAGGGCAAGCCCGGCAGCCACGTCCTGCTTGAATCAGTTCAAGGCATCAGGACTCATCCTCATTTCCCATCGGAACCACCTCCCGCTCAAACAATGGGCTGCACATCCAGCAAACCTTTCTTCCGCAGGAAGAGGAGAGCCCTTCCCCCACGGGCACCAGAATCAGAACCCAAACCAGCGCCAGAGGAATTAGAGCCCAAAGCCGAACCTCCTGCTTCAGCATCGCACTTCTCGAAGTCCACAAAACCACCCACATATGCCTGGTCGCCGGCGAAGTCGTCCGGGACAACTGGCTCGGGGCCAGGTACTAGCAACACCTATTCAAGCGCGGCGTATGTGACGAGCACGTATGATTACTCCGGCGGAGGCGCGGCGGATTGTGGGACCGGTGGTGGACCTCATGGAGGAGGGGGGCATTGTGGCGGGGGAGATTCTGGAGTTGGTGGTGGTGGGTATAGCGGGGGAGGACATTCGAGTTCAGGAGGAGGATGGAGTAGCAGTGGAGGTGGTGGAGGTGGGGATTCTGGGGGATGCGGTGGAGGCGGTGGAGGGTGTGGTGGTTTTTGAGTGAGGATATGGAGAGCGACGAATAGATGCGGAATTTGCACTATGTTTTGTTACCAGAATTGTCATGTTTGGCGGCTTTTATGACGGAGAGATATTTTCCTTATTCGCGGTCACATGGTGGAAGATAATATATGATTACCTGCTTGAGAAAACTGTGCTCGCATGCTAATGTTTCCCGAACCTCGACTCATACTCATGAACCGGGTGTCATTTACGGTTGATTTGCACGCCGACTCCCGGCAGTCGTTACCCCCTAGAATGATCGCTTTAAAGACTAAGTGAGGCCGAGAGGTGAGTGTGAAGTTTTCTCATAATCTTTGGAAGTAATCTAGCTAATTTCCCGAAAGCATATAGAGTCCATATACGGTTCTGGCCTGCTTTTGACCATGTTCGAGATCCGAGAGCGTTGATGAGGCCACGTAGGAGCCGAAAATTCACTTCGACGGCCCCATCTCAAGGATCGGCACGTATTTCAGCTTCATCGATTCGGGGGTCTCTCACAAAGTACAAGCGGAAACGGTACATTCGGCCAGTCTTCCCCGACTTTCAGGAACAAGCAATTCATTCCTTTTTTTCCGCGTGCCCATGGAGGGGCCAGATGCAGTACTTTGGGCTAGCTCTCCGCGACCAAATGTCGCATATTATAAAGCATTAGATTCTTTTTAAAACCAGCGGCTTTTTAGAACTTCGTAACTCTCCTCGTCCTGCTTTTCGCGGTCACTACCCGGCCGAACGACAGTGTTGTTGCAGTCCTGATGCGCGTATTCTTCGTACCGGCACACTCCCAGCGCCGACTTTCCACACCATGTATTGTCCCCGGGTGCTTTTTTGGAAAGACTGAGCGGAAGGATCGACGCGAATCTTGGGGTGAGATAGAAGCGGAGCCATGTGCTAAAACCGTAATGGCTTTTGAAGGAAGGGAGGAGCCCGCGACGTAATGTAGATATCGGTTCACTTCGAAAGTCCCTCGGAATCTGGAAAGCATCATGATGTCTGCATGCTTATTTAATTCTGTCTCTTATCGAAGGACAGCCGTGTGGTAGAGAAGCAAGCGAGCGGAGGCAGGCAGCTTGCCTGTTTTGGGGGAAGTTGTCCTTGATGACTTCTCCAAATAATTTGCGTATGCTAAAACAGATAGAAACTAGAAGAACATCGTTAGAATAGAGGTTCAGTTCTGTTGTCGAGACTTAGGTAGTCTCGGACACACTTCACACCACATGTACCACCTGATGGCGACTTTTTGTCCAACGAAGCCATTGCATACTCCTCCCACGACTTGAAGTGTGCTTGCTATTCGGGCGAGGAAGAATTCGTAGAAAGTGAATAGAATTTCGTCCTACTGAAGACAAGGCAGGCGTAGAGTTTCAAGTCTAGCCATCGGGGTGTGGGTTGATGCTTTCGGCAAAAGACGCTCATGATAGGCCTTTCGTAGTGTTTGTGGAGCACTCCAAGGTATATGGATTGTAGTATAACTTTCCTTATTATTTTGAAACTCTATCCAAGCCGATTCTCTCCACCGTCGGTGAGATCGAGAATTTGTAATACGTGCCAGTGAGCGCGGCTAGCCCGATGGATATACCGCACTCAATTGATTCACTTTGCCCATGCAATCTCAGGTGCACTATTTGGAAGGACCAGGATCGGAGAGACGGGCATGAGACTCTGCCTCCTCCCATTGTAGTTCATTTCTCGGACCGGCACCTTCCATGCTTTGGCGTCGGCGTCGTTTTGAGACGAGGCATGTGGAGAGGAATCGGGCTTATAGAATATCGAAGCCGGAGCCGCGGCGAAAGTTCATAAATTCATGAAGAATCTCCGTTTAGTAACCGCGATACTGGGGAGCAAGCTCCCATAGCAGGATCTGGAGAAAGTTTATAGTCGGGAAAGTGAATCCCACAGCAAACCATAAGGGTATCTAGCTCTAGTTTTATTTCTTCCAGATGCTTCCGGACTAGGCGCCTCAAATAGAAGTAAAGTGCCATAGGAGAACGTACCCGCCCATAACCACCTCTGAAGCGTTGGCCGGAGAGGTCAAGAGCAGACATGCCACTGCTTCATCCGAACTTTCGTCTTCTCTCTTCCTGAAAGCCGGCGCGCCGCCTGTCTTTCCGTATTTAGATTTCACTGTAGAATCCAAGGCACAGACGGGAGACATCAGCGCTCAAGATTGCTGTTTTGCGGCGCCGCATGGGTCGCCGGTGGCTGTGATTCTGGAAGCACAGGATGAGGTGGGGAGTATGTGTGTGATTGATGTTATCTGTCGAGTCAAATTCCTAAGTTTTATACGGACACGCGAAGAAAACGGAGCCATTCTTGACCAAAGAAGTCACTTTTGGTACTCTGGAGATGCCCGGCGAAAAGAATGAAGAAGCATAGGATCCAATATCTTGCATTTGGGCGCTCTCCAACACCCCATCTCTACTATGAGTCCGGCATTGATCTCTTCTGAAGTGCAGAGAGCTCCGCATGGCAGAATCTAGCCTCGGATTTGAAAGCGGGAGGAAGATGAAAATGCTAGTACCCAGCCGAATCTTGAAGCTCCCCTCAGCATTCCGCAGAGAAATAAGCGTATGTTTCACCCATTATTCTTTCTTTTTTTCAACCATCCTACCCCACGGAGGAACAGCACTCCCATTCTCATCCTCTCCAAAAAAGTTTTTGGGATATTTTAAGCTATTCCGCGCCAGCAGAAGATCTCACATCGGCTGGACTACCAACCATTTCCTCTCCATTTGGTACGCTCTCACCCTCTTAGAAGCAGAAAGACATATTCCGAAACTCCTCCCACTTTTCGTCTTGTCGCTCAAAGCCGCAGAGAGCAAGACACTGCTTCGATCGAATTTGAGGCCGTCAGGCGCCAGCCAGACCCATTGTTAGGATCGAAGACTTCTTTGAGAATCAGCGAGCAGCGAGTGAGTACTCGCCTCTACGCATCAATCCCTTGGACGACGAATTCTAGAGGCAGAGCCGCGGAGACAGGCGAGCCAACCTATATCTCTGTACCACTCTTTTTTGACCGCGCAAGCACCCGAAGACACTTCCATGGACCATTTTGCGTACCTTTTCGACACGCCCAACGTCTCTGCACACATCCGCGGGTCTTTGCACAGTTTTTCGCCCGTCCGAAGAGAATTCCTATTCCTTTCAAGACCTGCCTCGTTGATTTATAGCCCACTCCAGGCCTGAGCAAACCATGTTGGTCTGATTTCGGTTCTTTTGTTCCCACCAAGGCCGCACACATCGCAATCTGTTCTATTCCTTTTTCGGCCGTCCGATCAACTCCCACTCCCACCCATGAAATCATTGCATCGCGCTTTTCTTCCCAGCAAACCGCGCACAGCTCGCTCCCATGCATCTTCTGTAGCATCTTCTGTGGCATTCACCACGATTCCTAGCATCCAAACCGAAACATAACCACAGAAGTATACCGATTACCAGAAAGTCCATCTAGTGCCGCCAGCCCATGCGTGGCCTCAACGACAAATTTTACTCCTCCACCGACGCACTTCGACCCCCATCGATTCTGACTCTTCTGGTTTATGTCTCCCACCGGGACAGGCTCGACAGGCGCTTTATATGCCACTTCCATTCCCCTCTATTCCCTTCTATTCCATTCGAGTTCCTTCCATTTCCTTCTCTTTCCCTTTCCTATCCACCCGCCCACCCACCAACATCCCACACACCCGCTCACCGATCAGCAACGCCGACTCAGGAGCCTTACCCGACCCCTCACGAACCCCGCTTGTGCGTCGGGCTCTGAAGATGTCCATGCTCTGGAGTGGGGAGATGTCGGTGTGACAAACGCACGAGCGCAGCGTGATCAAATGGCAAACTGCCTCAGTCTGTGACACATCGCTGACGGGAAGGAAATTGCGCGGAAACTCCACTGAAAACAAGTTGCGAAATATTTGAGAGTAAAGGAAGGTAGGCTGCACAAAGAGACTAGAAGGGTCAGGGGGATCGCGTGCGACAGACCACGGACAACGAAACATATACGACACTAAGAAATCATCGCGACAAAGATCGAGTATGGATATGGCATCAGTCATTTCTCATTTTTCGTACCTAGGCACCGACGCCCGTCAGTGCCCTACAAGTTCCCAGATAAACCACCGTATCAGACCTTTTCCATTTGCGGTATAGCCAGCATGTCTAGTTCCATAATCCATCTTGAGCCATCCCCAGAGATGATCAGATCAATTCACTTAGCCGCGTCGCTCACGAGGAGCCACCCTGCACCTTCTTCACGATCGGCACAACGCGAGAGTAAAGAGGGTGTGAGCTCTCAAGGCCAGTGATCTTGGTGGTGGCATCCTCGGCCGAGTTCTCCTTGAGGAGCTTGGCAAGCTCAAAGGACTCGTCGTCCCCCTCGACGTTCTGGAAGCGGAGAGCCATCTCGACAGCGCCGAGAAGAGCATCGACCTTCTCGCCGCGCTCAGCAAGCTGGGCAGCGGGGCCGATGAAGCGCTCCTTGCGGGAGAGCTTGCGGAGCGGGGCACGGCCGACACGCTCGACCTTGTCCTTGAGGGCCGGGTTGGAGATGCGGTCGACAATGGTCTCGACGTACTCATCCTGTTCCTGGACGGTAATACCGTGCTTGTTGACGATGAGGTGGGCCGTCTCCTTCACAGCATCCCGGACAATGTCATGCAGCTCCTTGGTGTGCATGACCTCGTGGATGTACGGGACCCCGCGGTTGTAGCCGTAGTAGGCCGCTGTAGCGTGCGAGGTGTTGACGGTGAAGAGCTTGCGCTCAATGTAAGGCTCCAGGTCGTCCACGTAATGGACGCCCTTGATCACGGGCTTGTTGCCGCCGTTCTCGAAGGGCTTCCGCTCGACGCACCACTCGAAGAACTTCTCAATCTTCACGTTCAGGCCGGCACCCTCGTCCTGGTGGGGCACAATGCGGTCAATGGCCGAGTTAGCGTACCGCGCACGCTTCTCGATGTCCTTCAATGTGTCCTTGTTGAGCTTGTCCTCAATGTACTTCTCGATGAAGCCCCTCCATGTAGTTGTAGCGTTGATGGCGTTCTCGCAGGCGATGACGGAGAGCGGGTAGTCGAGAGTGCGGGCCTCGATGGCCTTGGCGACGGGCTCAGCGATGAACTTGAGGATGTTGGGGCCGACGGCGCAGGTGACGACGTCCGCAGTGGCGATCTCCTGCACAACCTTGTCCAGCTCGTACTTGGAGTTGATGGCGCGGTAGTGGTCGATGGTGAACTGTCGCTCGCCATCCTCGCCGATCTCGGTGACGGTGTACTTGGGGGTCGACTGCAGCGCATTGATGATGCTGTCCATGACATCCACGAAGACGACCTCGTAGCCCGAGTTGTGCAGGAACTCGGCGACGAAGCCACGGCCGATGTTGCCGCCGCCGAAGTGGACGGCCTTCTTCTCGAACGTCATGGTGTTTGTTGTTGTTGTGGGAGGACAAGTGGCGGGGTGGTGAGATGGGGAGCGTATGTCTAGGAATTGAAGGTCAATTGAGCGGAAGAGAGGTGGAGGAAGGGTGACGGGGGGATTGAGTGGTGAGCAAAACTTTTGTTGTGGCAGGAAGAAGGAAAGAGCTACGGCGGGGTATTTGTAGGCAGGCGCGAGGGGGGCACGAGGCGCACGAGGCGTTTAGTGAAGGTATCGCGAAATGAAGGCCTACCGAGCTGGACGAGGATGCGCGTGCCTGGAGCGGTGTGCGGCGAGGCTGGGAGCGTGCAGGAGTCGGGAGCAAGCAGAGGTCGAGGCGAGTAGAGGCCGGTGTTGGGAGCACGCTGGTGAGCTGGCGGAGGCAGAGGGGCCCCGCAAGGGCGGTGACCAGTGACGTTGCAAGCGGGCGCGCAGTGACGCGATTGGCTGCGGCGGGCTGGGGCAACCGCGAGCGAAGGGGGAGCAGGTGATTGAAGGCGCAAAAGCAATGCCTACCTGGGTAGTGCTCGTTGGAGCGTGGGAGCGAGGGAGCGAGGGAGCGAGGGCACGCAATGGCTTTTGTATCTTCACAGCGCAGACTCGCACGGCGCTCGCAAGCCCCCACGGCGACGAAGCAGCTGCAAATATTAATGCCGCAGCACTGCGGCCCAACACGCAACATCTCGGCCGTGGACTCCGGCCGTGCGAACGCGCAACGGTGCAACTCGGAGCCATCCTTGACCCTCTGCGATTCGCTTTTTCCTGCGACTGCTGCGTTGGTGCGGCTGCGATAGTCCTACGTCATTACCCTGCGTAGCTTCCGCCGCCGTTCTTTTAGTCGCGCCAAGGCGGCCGGACTGATCTATGCCGCGAGCAGGATAATCCTCGCTTGTGCATCGATATGGCATGCAACGTAAACCGCGAGCGAATGCAAAAAAGAAAAGCACGATGCCCCAGCCTTCCAAACCACAACTACGCGTGAATCGCCTGCTGCACGTGCGGGTAGACGGCGATCATCTGGTGGTAGAGGTCCGGATGGTCCCTCATGAGCACCTCGGGATCCCACGCCATCGCGACGAAGATGGTGTCCAGCCCGCTGCTCAGTGGTGTCGTGAAGATGTTGCAGATTTGCAGGCCCACGAGGAACGCGAAGGCAACGACTACCGGCGTGTATGCTCCATCCGAATTATATGCTGGAGAGGTAAAAATCAGGTAAAGGTAGGCGAGGAGAGCGCAGGCGTATGCGATGAACGTTGCTCCCATGGTGAGCACCGGGCCCACCAAACACTCATTCACGAGCGCATCAATACCACGGTCCTTGATCATCCTGTCCCAGGTCAATTCACGGCTTCGCAAGTCGAGAAGCGTATACTTACTTCCACGTGTCCTTCGCAGCCTGAAAATACGACTTTCCGTACAGTGCAATGTACGAGAACGCGTAGCGGTTCAAAAACTGTACTGCCCACTCGAGAAGGCCTATGATGCATTGCAGACAGCAAAAAATCACCGTCCCCACGATATTGCCGTCCTGAGAGGCCGAGTGCTGAGCTGCGGAGCAGACTTGTCGTAAGAACTACGGAGATTAGCACCTGGCCTCCCGCCGTTGTGCAAGCACTCACCTGAATAATGGCCACAATAAGACTCCCCAAGCTGATGCTACCGAAACTGTAGGTAAGCGCTCGTTTCAGGGCACCTCGAGTGGCTCCTTTCGGGAAGTTATTGCCCATGAAGTACCATGAGCCATAGACTCCTGAAATGGTCGTGTGGATAGTGTTCTTGAGCCACCTAAACACACCATTAGCGCATCATCAAATGCTGGAAACAGTTCTTACTCAGAAATCCAGTACATGGCGAACGTCACGAAGACGATCAAGCCTATGACTTTCCCAGAACCGCATCCTCCGGCGCCGGTATTGCAAGCCGGGTTGTTTCCGGGTTCGTACTTGACATAGATAGCGACCAAGGTAACCGAGTACCATGCGCCGAATGCCGCAGCCAAAATACCTCCAATGAGCGACACCATATAGACATGACCGTACTTCTTCGACACATCAATGGACGTCCGGAGCATCAAAACGGAGAAGGGGATGCGCGGAATCCAGCTGATAAAGCAGAAGACGTAGAAGATCGAGAAGAGGAGAAAGACTATTCCGCCAGACCAGTATTTGCGCGAGAGCATGTATAGAGCGGTGACGAAACCGAAGACGATATTCAAAATACCTGTAATATCTACGAGTCCAAGGGTCAGCAACGTTCTTTAGAGTCTCCATGTGTGCGGTACGTACAAATGAATTGTTTAGTGAACGCACGAGCGGCCCAAACGTATGTATAGCTGAAGACGATCGCGACCACGAGCACGAAGGCAAAGAGAACAATCGTATTGGTTGAGAGGCCAAAGTCATTCTGGCTGCCGTAGATGCCGCCGCCATTGAAGGAGTGTGTATGCGAGTACCCTTGAATCGCAATCCCCGATGCTGCGGCGTAGCCCAGGAAGACCGCAATGAACTACCAGCATTAGTACCCAAACCATTACCCGTCAATCCCACACTTACAAGCACTCCAGCCCACCAGTCATGCCATTTGGGTCTTTCAATCGTGAACGCCTGATCAAAGCTCGGTTTCTCGCCATAGTTCTGTTGGCCCTGTCCGTTCATCGCATTCTGCGGCGGAGGTCCAGGCGGCGGCGCAAAGTTCTGTCCATACTGCGGAGGCTGCTGGGGGTACTTTGCTGGCTCTTGCATCCGGTAATTGTTCTGCTGTGGCCCGGCGTTGTAGTAGCTTGCCGCTTCGCCTTGCTGGGCCATTTTGCAACGAGGCGCGAGGAATTCGGTTCAGATGCAGGAGAAAGAAAGCGCTGGTACAGTGGTATGATGTTTTCTCGGCGTCACCGCGGCTCTTGACGTGCGACGCAGGTGCAGGTTGGAGAGGTGCGCCGCAAGTGGCTGTTGAGGTGGTCCGTGCGTGCGATCTCCTACGTCATTGGAAGTCGCGAATCGTGCTGGGGCGGGTCGCTAAGAGCGCGTCAATGGCATGTGATTCTATTATTCCCGCTTTCATATCCCTCCCGTGCCGTGCCCTCCACCCGTTGCTATGAACCGTGTCAATCAGACTCGAAGAGGGCGCATTTTTCACCGCTCGCCGCTCGCCGGAGAACATATCCCAAGCGTGAAGAAAGGCAAGTCCTGTTAACGTATGTATGCATTGAGATAGTTTTCATAACCACTATCTTTTTGGGTTTTCACTCAAAGTATGGTCCTAGAAGTTGCGGCCGGCGAGATTTTCAGGCGAATTAGGATCGGGTAACGTGAGATAGGCCTCCTATTCAGAGATGTCCCTGGCGGTCTCGAATGGCTCAGGGCCGGCAAAGCATCTAGAACAATGTGACATGGCTGTTTGCGCGGCTACTTCCTCGGCTGTCGGGCGCTCGTTTGCAGAATAGTGTATCACCCTCGGAAGCATGTCGACAAAGGCTGTATGGAAGGTATTCACGTTCAGGTATCGCTCCAATGAATAGGCAAGACCCGGGAAACCCTGCGGAGCAACCATCTGGTACCAATGGCAGATTGCCCCGATATTGGTATGAAATGAAGTGTCTCCATGCTCGTTACAGCGTGCTTTTCGCAATTCTTCTCTTTCGTTCCGGCCCTGGAACGAGACAATGGTAGCTACCATCTCCATGAAAACACAGCCGAGGGAGAATATGTCCGCGCTCAAGCCTCTCTTATCTTGCAGTACGACTTCCGGGGCCGCGTATGTGCGCGTAAAAGGCGTCGGGGAATCTGTTTCCACTTCTGCAGCAGACTGATACGCGCGGGTGATTCCAAAGTCAGCTAAATAAACCCTGTAAAACAAAGGACCCAATCCTATCGGAGTATAACGAACGAGGATGTTCTTCGGTTTGATGTCCATATGCTTCACATTGCGGCTGTGGAGAAACTGAGTGGTGTTCGCGAGACACCCGAAGAAGGCGCCTAGTGCTTGGACTTGATGTCCCCAAGGTGATCCATCTGGCTCGCTCCAATGCAGATGCTCATTCCTGCACCGCTCAATAGTGTCATCCATAAAATCATCGAGACTCCAGTCAGCCGCCGGATACAGGAGAATGGCGAGATTCTTCCTCAACGTGTACGTGCCTACGACTCGGACAATATGCGCATGCTGAAGTCGTTGCAAATGCTCAACCTCGGTGACGGCATCTTCCTTGCACAATCTCCGGCTACATCTGATCGTTTTGCGTGCCAGACGGATTCGCCTGCACATAACGCTTTCGACTAGCGCGGCTGCACTGTAACCAAGGATCCTCTCGGTTTTGAGCGGTATGTCTTTCTCATCCTTAATGTCGTATTCGACATGTTGCCCGCGGCCCGACCAATCCAGCTCGTCCTTTGGATCCAGGAGGATTCCTCTAGATCTAAGATGCTCCAGCCACTCGCTACTGAACACCTGAGCAGGCGGTACCGGTTTCTGCAGCTTAGAAATGAAACCCGTGCTGTGTGGCGAAACGAATTCACGGAGGCGGGCGGTAATAGCTCTCTTGAGGTTACGTTGGCGGATATCGTCTCCCAAATCTATGGCATCGATGACCTCTCGAGAAATCAATTGGACGAGCGCATCCTCTGATTCCGCCACCCCATGGTAAGTGAAGGTATGCATTAGGCGCAAAATTGAGGTTTTGAGAGCGTCTCGAGGCATATTTGTTCCAAGATCGGTATGACCGGCTGCTTCGGAGATGATACAATCAGCGAAGCTCATCAAATCGTCGTATTCAGCGGCGGATGGGTTATATGGTTCGTCTGGTTCACCTGCGGGGGGGCCTTTGCTCGATGTGCTTCTGAGGACTTTGGAGGCCGTGAAAGAGCGTGGAGCAGTAGCATAGCTTGCAAGGCTCGAGCAAGCTGTCTTATAACTTCTGGGAGTTCCAAGGCTAACCCCGCCTTTGCTTAGAGAATTCCGCAAAGCGCCTGGACTGCTGCGGTAGCCACCGCTGCTGAAGGTAAATCTGCTTCTGGGAGTACTGGTGGAGTACGGGAAATCGTCGGGTTGTGGGCGTTGTCTGATATTAATCAGACTAAGGAGGAAGGCTTCATCCTCCTCACTTGAATTGTCCGAACTGTCATCCGTCTCTTTCTCTTCTGTTCACTCTTCGTCATGGCCCAGGCCAATATTTAAATCCATATGCAGGTCGTCCTCCTGCCTGGGAGCGGCATATCCCTCTTGAGATTTGCCTTCATGCTGGCTTCCGGCGTTCTCAGACTGACGTCGATCTTTGAGGTAGGTTGGATTGCCAACATCCCCTTCAATCTCCTCAGGCGTGCTGTCCAGCGGCTCCAGGCGATGCTTGCGCTCCTCTTCGTCACTCGCGGTAATCTTTGATTTTGGAAAAGCGAAATAAGCCTCTTTTGCAACAGGGCAGACTTTCGGAGTACCATCGGCTTGATGGGGGGTTGTCATCGGCTCTTGGTTCGTATTGGAGGCAGGGTAATGGGCTTCCCACACCTGTGAATCGATATGGGCTGCGAGCTCACCCAGGCTACTACAGCGCTTTCCGCAGCTACAGCTAACCTCAACTCGGCTATTTTTAAGCGACATCTTCTGCCACACGCTTTCGCGAATGGCTTCCTCGACTCGCAACCACTACGAGCGTCAGTTGAAACTGGTGGAGGAGCGTCAGGCTGATGTTGTCGACGAGGGGGTGGTGCGTCGTACGACCTCGCTGCAACAGCAACTGGCTGCGAGCGCAGCGGCAGCGGTATGTACGTGTGAGATCAATCTAGAACACGCAGAACCAGGGCGTTGAAAAGCGAAACCATTTGAAAACTAGTAAAAGCTGCAATAGTGGTGAGACTGGAATAGGAGAAGGCTGGGGCGCACTCTTGGTCCCGGGGAGCGAGGAAGCCTAAGCTCTTCTTGGCTAGCCCCAAACTCCAGACGCTCCTTCCTCTTCCGCCGACCATCTCTCGACCTCCTACAACAAGGATACATAGACTCCTTCCCATCCATGTCCTATATATCCCTTTGCAAAGCCTTGAAGGCAGGATCTTATCGAGATTTATCGCCACGCTCGGAGTTGCGGCAACCTACCGGAGATGCTGAACTTCTCCGCTCGTCATCTCGGCGCTAGCAGTGGAAGGAGGCGCATATAAGACCAGCCCCAACCATACATCATCTTGACAGTTGTGATACTGCACCCTTCGGAGATGAGCAGCCTCGGAGATAAATACCCAATGCTTGACCAGGCACATAACGAGCAAAGGTATATAGATGAGCGAAGAAATTGGAGAACATGCAACAGCCAGACATTGTACACAGCCTTGAACAAGCTTTCCTCTTTTGTCTTCTTGCGCACCTTGAGCAACCATGTATTCCCTTCCCATTCCCGCCTTCTACCTCGCATTCGGTATATGCTCTCTGGCCGCCCCAGTCCATGATGCCTCCTTCACACCCGACTACATCCTCCACATCACCGCCCAAAACATCGGCATAGGTGGCATCCAGCGCTACACCACCGTCGTGAACGGGACAGTCCCCGGTCCCGAACTCCGCCTAACCTCCGGCGAAACGGTCTGGATCCGCGTATACAATGACATCCCAGACCGAAACACTACGATAGTACGCTCACATCCCCATACACCCTATGCAAACCCCACTGAAAAAACTCCAGCACTGGCACGGCCTCGCCCAAGCAGTATCCCCCTGGGCTGACGGCACGCCCATGGTCAGCCAATGGCCCATCCCACCACACCACTTCTTCGACTACCGACTCGTTATCCCAAACGATACATTCGGCACGTATTTCTACCATTCGCACGTCGGCTTCCAGTCTTCCACCGCTTCCGGTGCTTTAATCATCGAAGACCCCGGAATCCCACCATACGCCTACAACGACGAGCGCACACTCATGTTCCAAGAGCTATTCAACTACACCGACGACCAAGTCGAGACACGCATCACCGCGGACCCACTCGTATGGTTCGGCGAGACAAACGGCTTTCTGGTGAACGGGGATACGATTTCGGATTATGGCGTTGTGGATAATGCGACGGCGAGGCTGAATACGATCGAGGTGGAGCCGGGGAAAATGTATAGGCTAAGGCTCGTGGGAGCGACGACGCTTTCATACGCCTCTTTCGCATTCGAAGGCCATGGCGGGCTCGAGATCATCGAGGCGGACGGGAGCTATACGACGCCAGTCTCGGTGGACGTGATGCAGCTAGGCGGCGGTGAACGCTACAGCGTCCTACTGCACACTAAGACCTGCGACGAACTCAGAGAGAGCGGCAAACTCGACTTCTACATGCAGCTCGAAAGCCGAACTAGAACGTATGTCGTTACCAATTACGCGCTCCTACGCTACCACAATAGCTGTGGCTTCCCTGAAAACGCCACTCATCGCTTGTCCACGACATCCTATCCTGCCGAGAAGCCTCTGGATCTCCCGCCCGTAATAAATGACTTCCTAAACCACAAGCTCGAGCCCCTCTTTCCAAACGACTGCCCCACCGCGGACGAAGTAAACCGCCGCGTGATCCTCAACGCCCAGCAGACCGAGAACGGGTACTATATCTGGCACGACTCAAACGTCTCCTGGAGCGAGACACCGGTCGGTTCACAGCCCTATACCACACCAACGACGCCGTACCTCGTTGCGCTGTACAACGATCAGGAAGCTTACCTTCCAGACTACGACGCAGCTATTGCGAGCGGGGGCGTGGACCCCAAGACGAAGACATTTCCCGCGAAGATTGGGGAAGTTCTAGAAATAGTTATTCAGAATATCGGCTCAATAAGCGTGCACAATCAAACGCCTGGCGCTCTCGAAGCACATCCCTGGCACGCACACGGTGGGCACTTTTACGACTTAGGCAGCGGTGCGGGCGCGTGGTCCGCAGACGTCATGGAGGCTGGGCTGATTGGTAAGAACCCCGTTCGGCGCGACACCACGATGTTATTCCGGTACAACGAGACGACCCAGCCCAACGAGAAGAGCGGATGGCGCGTGTGGAGGCTGAGAGTGGAGAATGCGGGGGTCTGGATGGTGCATTGCCACTGGCTGCAGCATATGATTCAAGGCATGCAGACGGTGTGGGTTTTCGGGGATGCGGAGCATGTGCTTAGGGTTGGTAGGCCGGAGGTGGAGGGGTATTTGGCGTACGGGAGAGACGTCGTTGGGCGGAGGTCATAGCGAGGCAGCCAGTGTTAGCGAAATCGCGAAATCTCCCCGAAGCACTTCAGGATCTAGTATACAACGTCCGAATCTCCAACATCTTCACTTCTGAATTTTAGTATAATGTGTTCCAAAAGTCGATGACACACTTCAATAGCTGGAGGAGATCCAGGCCTAATTCCTCAGCGGATCGGGTGCTCAACGCTGTCCAGTCAGCAGGAAAGAAAAGCCGTTTGAGAATATCTGGGGAGCCACCAGTGGTGGAAGCTCGAGCCGATCCGTGGTCGGAACCATGCGCATGATGCGAAGAATTGCCTAAGCCTTACCTAACTTGTACGGGCACCCACCAGTACCCCATTCTTCCCCAGACGAATATTTGTGTTGAGCTTCTTTGAGCGATGGGTACCGTCCGATCACGGTATAGCCCGCTGGAATTGTTGAGTGGTGCCCACCTGGGCATTTGAGTCCGGTACCGCGTCATAATTCGCTCGAATATTGGGATTCTGAAAATCTTAAGCATCCAGTCGTTAGCGGAATGGTACATAAACGAGCGCATCCTGCTCCTCGTATCCCATCTCACTTCTCACCAACTTCCTCGACTTTCTAGTCACGTGCACTCTCCCTTTGCAAAACTCACAAGCAACCACAACTCCTCAATCTGCAACATGGACGCCTCACGGCAGACCAGCAGATCGACATCAACTCTCGGGGCCAAAGAGGCCACCGACGAGGTAAACCTAGTCCGCACCGTCACCACCAACGAGCCGGTGCTCGTCAACGGCAAGCGGGTCCTCCGCGAGGAGGATGCTTTCGAGAAGACCGCCTACGCGTGGTCAACTAGGAAGAAGTGGATTCTTCTCACGGTCGTGGCTCTTTGCCAGACCTCGATGAACTTCAACGCCGCCATCTACTCCAATGCGGTGGAGCACATCAACACGGAGTTCGGCATCACCAACGCGCGCATGGGCATGGTGGCTTTCCTCGTCCCATATGCGTTTGGTTGTGAGCTTTGGGCGCCATGGTCCGAAGAGGTGGGCCGCTGGATCATCATGCAGCTATCCCTGTCGGGCGTCAACGTTTCCATCGTCATCTGCGCCCTCAGTCCCTCTTTCGCCGGCATTATCGCTGGCCGCGTCATCGGTGGTCTCTCGTCCGCAGGCGGCTCTGTCACGCTGGGCATGGTCGCTGACATGTTCGACGCCGACTCTCAACAGCATGCCGTCCTCTGGGCCTCTCTCTGGAGCTGTTTGGGCGCCGTCATCGGCGGCATCTGCGGTGGGCCAATCCAGCAATACCTACCGTGGCGCTACAATTTCTGGATCCAGCTCGCATTCAGCGCCGCCACACAGATCGTACATTTCATCGTCGCCAAGGAGTCGCGCGCTACCGTCATGCTCGACAAGGAGGCCAAGCGCTTGCGCAAGAAAGAAGGACAGGACGTCTACGGCCCCAATGAGGTCAAGACCTTGAAGGAGCGCTTCCCCGCGAAGGAAATTCTCAAGACGTTCTGGCGCCCATACGAGATGCTCATGTTCGAGCCTATTGTGCTCTTCCTGTCGCTACTCAGCGGTTTCGCAGATGCCCTTATTTTCTCCTTCTTCGAGAGCTACGGGTACGTGTTCGCGCAATGGGACTTCACACCGACCCAGATCTCTTACGCCCTCATACCCCTCGCCCTCAGCTACTGGTTTGCCTACCTCTCGTTTTTCCCTGTGGTCAGGCGGCATAACCAGCGACGACGCAGCGGCGAAACCCTCAGCCCAGAGACCCGACTGTGGTGGCTGCTCTTTCAGGTCGTGCTGCTTCCTCTCGGACTCCTTGGTAGCGCCTTCGTCGCAACCGGTCCTCCCCTTCACTGGATCGGCGTCCCCCTCTTCTCGGTCCTGATCGGAATGGCGAACTACTCCATCTACTACGCTACTGTCGACTACATGGTAGCAGCATACGGAGAGTACAGCGCCAGCGCTACTGGGGGCAACGGCTTTGCTCGTGACTTCCTCGCAGGCATGTGCGCCCTTTACACCGGCAAGATGTACCACAGCCTCGGCATCCGCAATTCGCAGCTCTTGCTCTTCGGTCTCGCTGTTGCTTTCTGCATCCCCGTCTGGATCTTCTACTACTTCGGTCCACAGATCCGAGCCCGCAGCAAGTTCGCCATGGAGCTTGCCGGCAACAAGGAGAAGAAGGCGGCGACGAAGGTCGATGCTATTCAGCGGGACCGCGCTCACCGTGGCGAGGTCGAGGAGATCAAGGAAGAAGCATAGACGGGTTTCGATAAGAAGAGGGGAGCATTGGGACAGGTTTAATGAGAATGATGATGTTGATGACAGTGTGCTTCAGCCCAGATACCCCTGGATTTGCATCTGAGGTTCATGAACCTTGGGATGATGGAACGTATTTGTGAAGCGGCGCGAGACGAGCTCGCGCTTAGGGAAAATGGATCCGCGTTATTAATATACCGTGTCTGCTCAGATAGTTACTTGGTTGTGAACTAGATAATGAAGCCTTCTTTCAACGCGTTCCCCGTATGGTTGATGTGATCCACGTCGTGGGCTAACGCAGTGGGTGCGAGGCCGTGAGAACTGTCGTAGGTGCGAAAACTGCGAAGTGAATGATACATGTATCGATCGGGCATATTGCGTCCTGAGGTAGTGAAAGACATGAAGTGGCCGGTGAGGGTGAGCCCCGAAGACGCGAGGTCGCATCAAGCGCGAATCCGACTAAGCAGGAAGCGAGCCCCCACTGCGCAGTGCCAAGCCCAAAATTACGCCCCAGACTGCGCGACACCTCGAACTTCCGCGCACCTGCAGGGCCTTCAACATCTCCTCGATCCGACCGTCGGCTGCCGAACTCAGAATCGACCGAATACCTTTCGTGCAACACCAAGCCAGCGGCGACAAGCAAAATGGTGCGGAAATATCCAATGCCCTCAGCTCCATCGACCTCAATTGAACGGCTCGCGTGGCGAGAGTATCAGAAACCTCCTGCAGTGCTAACACCACCAGGTTCTCGCCGTCGACCTCCTCAACCCCACACCTCAAGCCGAGGCCAAAAAGCACAAGCTCAAGGTGCGCCGATGCCCGACCCCCATCCTCCCACCACTAATCAAAGAGTTAGCAACTCGTCCCCGCGCCGCGGAGCTTCTTCATGGACGTCAAGTGCCCCGGCTGCTTCACCATCACGACCGTCTTCTCGCACGCCAATACCGTCGTCGTCTGCCAGGGCTGCTCGCAGGTTCTGTGCCAGCCTACCGGAGGAAAGGCTCGTCTCACAGAGGGTTGCTCATTCCGGAGAAAGTAGGGGATTGCTGGCTGAGGAGCGAAGGAGATAACATGGCATGAATGGGTACATACAGGAAATGAAATTCTAGTTGGACCCTTCCACCTGAGTGCCAGTCACTGCATTATCTAGGAAACAGGCCACACGCCCGGGCTCGATATGGATGGTAATCATGATTCCACCGCATTCCCGAGTACGCTCAAATGCACTACAACACCCGGATGCAATATGCGATAGGAGAAGTCGATCTGACGCACTTTCACATAACAGTCCTGGTTGCCAGTACAATTCGGGGCTATTTGAATGTTCGATCCGGCGTTCACTACTGTTACCTTGTCGGGTTATCCTCTCCGCTGAGTCTAGCAGTACTTACCCACCTGCAGCTTCGGATTCCCCCCGTCTACAATGGGAGGAACGTCATATCTGACAGCCCTGAACCTAGAACGTCCAGAAAAGTAGCGACGATGCTCAGCATGACCGCATCCGGCCTTCCCACCATCCCGGAACGGTCGGATGCTTGGCACCGCCTGATTCCATTGTTCACACGTCAATTCCTCGCAGACTCAGAATAACAACATGCGTAGTATCCTCTATTCCTCTTCATCTCCGAATAATCCGCTATATTTTCTTCTCGAAAATCATATCCAACCCTCCACCAACATACGCAACCTTTTCACATCCAAAAACCATCAACCACCAACAACCACAATGCCCTTTGACCTCGCACACAACCTCACCTCCCACCACCTAATCCCCCAATCCACCGACCTCCGCCTCAACCCGCCAGAATCCTACCTCTACATCCAGGACTTCCTCATCATATCTTGCGGCGTGCTCTACGCCCTCTGCTACTTCTTCTACATCCTCCGCACGTATGACGATAGATATATTGCAGGGACACCGCTCTACCTGGCGGGGACAATGGCGTACGAATTATACTACGCGTTCGCGACGACGAGTACCAGAATGGAGAGGGCTGCCTTCCTGGCGTGGTTTGTGATGGATGTTAGTTTCGCAGCGGTGGCAGTAGTGTGGGCCTGTGTGAAGGGGAGGAGGATCAGGATGGTGAGGGGACTAGTAGGGGGTGTGTTGGCCGGTGTGGTGATCTTGAGGGCGTTGGGGTGGTGCTGGCTGGATGAGAGGGAGCAGGTTACAGCATATTGGACCGGGCTGGTTTTGCAGCTACCTATCGGGTGGGCGTCTCTGTTCTTGCTGCTTCGACGTGGCGACACGAAGGGCCAGTCGCTTGAGATATGGTGAGTTGCGTAGATTTTGCTTCTGCTCGTTCCTCGCGTGCTGATGGGACGATGCAGGATCACGCGGTATCTGGGATGCCTCACAGCATATGGTGTCTTCTTTTGGCGGTACTTGAATGCGCCGAACAACTGGAAATATGTGGGAAGCTGGTGGAGCATCTGGACCATTATTGTGACTTTAATACCGGAGACCGTGTATCCGTTCGTGTACGTCCTGGGTGTATTTGAAGGAACATAGCAAGGTGAAGGTGGGATGAATGTGATATCAATGCAAGCGTGTGTAGCAGAATGCATGAAACGACTAAATTTCAATGTTTATTCGATGCGATATCAGTATGGCTGTGTGCAAATAGGGGTATATAGAAATTTCATGATCTTCCGACACCCAGCATGCACCGATTTCTACGCCATACCACGCCGTAGTCCTTTTGATGCCGCCTAGTTATTTATGCACGCCCAGTAGCGTAACGCCATAAAACTTAGAAATGCTCTTTACTCCAAATAGCAATTATCGCCCTGACACATTATATCTTCCTAGGGGTTTTCGAGGCCCTGGGACTCCTCGGGACGAGACCCTGACCCTGCGTCTTCATCTTGCCCATAGCGTTCTGAACCTGCTGTTGCTTTTTGGCGACATGGTGGTAGCGGGTTTCAACTTGATCTTCGAACTCCTTGGCAAGCTTCCTCTTCTTCTGTCGGGCATCTTTGGTACGCTGAATGATATCGGTGAATCGGCCAAGGAACCAGTCACCAGACTCTTCCCACTCGTGAGTCGGTAGAGCGCGAAAGAATTTGCCCTGGTCGCCCGCATCGAGGCTCTTCCATACGTGCTCCAAGCGTTCCGCGAGCGACTTATGAAGCATATCCTCCGAGAGTGGCTGAGGCGCGCCGCGGGGCACAGTGTCGAAGTCTTCGTTCTTCAATTGATCGTAGCTCATTTCGAATAGAGTCGGTTGGTCGTAGTCCTCGATAGGGCAGGGTGGGGGTCCACGAACGGGCGCTTCTTCAACACGCTGGTGATGAGAAACAGGCTCCTCCTTCGGTCGAGCCGCGGCGTGTCGTGTGAGAGGTGCAGATGGCTCGGTGGGATTAGTAGTGAGTGCACCTTGAGGACCTGAGAGTGGCCGTGCACCGCGGTGAGGCAGAGGGTCAGCTTGCGCTGGAGGCTCGCAATGGGAAACGACATTCGCTGGTGCAGCGGTCTCGCGGGTAGACTGACTATAGGTCGGCGGCTGGCTAGCGGGTGGCATAGTAGCATTGTTATGTTGGAAAGCCCCTCCGCGCGCAGGGAGGTTGACATTCGACCGTTGCTGGTCGCGGATACCGGCGGCCTGTTTGACTGTATTGGATTGCTTCGGCATCGCAGGCTTCGCCTCCGCCGCACTTCGTGGACGCTGAGTCAGCTGTTGAACGGTTTGGCGCCCTAGCTGGCCGTTACCGGGAGGCCTTCGAGGTGAAGGCGAAATGGCACGTTCGTCATGGCGACCGTCCCACGGTGGCTCCTGATCTGCAGCCCAACTGTCAGGAAACCCATCCGGTGGTCCAGAGGTGGTGGTTGGGTAAGAATTACCATTTCCCAACGCACCGACCTCCTGCAAGAATACCTCTTGCCGCGCACGCGAAAGGTCCTGGATCCTATAATGCTGGACAAGGTCCTCGAATGATGGATGTTGTGCGTACTCGCCGTCTTCTTCATCATCGTCCCCGTCCTCGGACTCGTCATACTCATCATCGTCGCCGCCATCTTGAGCATACTGGCCTTGGTGCTGCTGGCTGTCCTCCACTTGCACCACGGATTGATTGTTCGTAGTCGTATCGAGACTTTCGGCATCCGTATCGAACATATCATGTCTCTGCCCTACCTGGCCTTCACCGGAGCGGCGCCGTTGTTGAGGTTGCTGCTGCTGAGGCGGAAGGTTGGTGCTTCCGCTGGCTTGCCGGCGCGCTGCAGTATGCTGCCGAGCTGGGCCTTGGTGGCTCAATGTCGTCCGTTCAACTGGCAATTTCAAGCTTTCGGCGCCTGCTCGTCGGCCGGATCCGCTGGGCTGGCCCATCTGTGGGCTATTTGACCTCCCGCCACTCTGGATGAACCTGTTCATGACGGGTGATCTTGCGCGCACCCTACCGTGCGAATCGGGGATTTTGAGGGCAGTGAGTGAAGGCAGCACGCGTCATGTGCGAAAGATGCTGGTAGAGTGTTGGAGCTCGAAAGGGAAAGCACGATGTATGTTCTGATCTAGCCGCTTTCGACATAGCCTCGGCTCACCGCAAACAGGCTAGCGTGTCAATGACGATATCTTATCTCCATTCACTCGCTTTATGTCCATTGCCTCCTCCATGACGCCCGTTCCGCTCTGCTCTCAATTGCCGTCACCTTTCACTGCATCTGGATATCATCGCATCCAGTGCAATGGACGTGTGCCACCTCTACAAGCTCCCGAATGAGGTATGCGCCGCGTGCACCCCCTATCCGATACCTGCTAACCCTCCCAGCTTCTCCTCCACATCCTGGCGCCCATGCCGACGCCCGCCCTGCTTCCTCTAACTGTCCTGTCGCACCGCGTCTACACGCTCGTCCTGCGCATCCTACATAACCGCCTCGTTGCCGCCGCAGACCTAGAGTCACATTCCGTGCTCCTCGAATGCTTCCATCCCTCCGCGAAGCTCACCGAGCCACCGTTCTTCTGCACGTATCACGGCACTGATGGCCTCAAACTCTACGATGGTTTTGCTGAGGATGACATGAACCTAGCCAGAAGGTTGGGCGAGATGCGTAACCTGTATTCGAGGTTTCGGCCGTATCGGCGCGAGCTTGAGACTGGCGGGAGGAGGGTGCGCGGACCGCCCGGTGACGTACCTGGCAGCAGGACGTATCCCGGGACGGCGAAGGAAAAATTCACGGGCGAGGCTGTGAGGCAGATAATGAGCCTAGATGGGCATGAACTGTTCACGCAATTGGTTGCGCAAACCAACCTAGTCAAGCTCGGCCCGCGTCATGGCTTGTTTACGTGCTTCGTTGGGATTGAAGAAGGCGTCGTGAGGGTATGGCGTGAGTGGTTAAGGAAGATGTCTGCCAAGGAAGAAGGAAAGCCTACCAAACAGCAGCAAGAAATTGTAGAAGAAGTAGGCAAGGGGAAGGAACCCGTGAGAGAGATCTCAGAAGATAGGCAGGGCGTTAATGACGAGCGGATATTGTGGGTCAGTCCGGCAAAGAATACGGGTGTAAGCTTCCATGTCAGGGAGAGGAAACTGAGAAGAGATATTCCCATTTTGGTCAGAGCAGACGAGGAAGATATGCCAGTGAGCTATGAGATCGAGTACGATGGTAAGTATCCCTCTCGTTCGATCATTTGATTTTAGTACTAATCCAGTCTCTAGAGCTGTTCATTCGCACATCGCATCTCCTCCTGATGCTGGAGAAGTCTATGGTTCAGGAAGACAACACTTCCGGAAAAGCAGTTGTCTTCGGGTCGTTCGGATAAGTTTTAAGCCGAAGTAAACGCAATATGAAGGACGCTCGGCTTTCCGAATAATACTACATATGCATACGCATGCCGACTAACATATTAGTCCGGACTTTCTATGCACAACGAGGTTTTGCGCAATCCGCTGGAGCATATCTCAATGAACAAATACAAGGAAATTATATCCAAGCAAATCCACGTCTTTAGCGACTGGTGAGGAACTAAGAAACGAAGCGCTCCATGCGCACTCAAGAAGGAATGCAGCAAAGTCCAAAGAAAAGCAGATGATACTTAGGTTCCTCTTTCTTGAGCTTCAATCGAACCTGGTGCAGACTTGTCACCACTTCCTCAGCCGGCGGTCGGCCATCAGGACTCAGTTTCAGCATCTTGCGAACGAGCTCAGAGAATCTGCCACCAAACCGCCTCGACTAGAAAGCTGGCGAAGCCAGGCATCCGTCATATCGAGATTGGCATGAAATGAATTGTCTCGGTCAGGCATCATGCCTTTCAGTAGATCGAGTCGGCCGAAGAGGACATATGCTATGTCGGGGAAGATGCATCCAAGGGAGAAGACGCCGCTTGCTCTTCCGTTGGGGCCCCATTCAGCAACTTCTAGCGCGAAGTATCGAGGTGTACCGCGTCCTTCAGTGTCCGTCCGACTTGCGCTTCGGTCCGAAAAATCCGTGGAAGTTACGAAGTCCGCGATAAAGATGTTTTCTCGGGTGATTAGGATGTTCGACGACTTTAAATCCTTATGTTTGATCTTTTTCCATGTATATAGACAAGCGCTCCAGCTAGGCACCCGAACAGAGTCCACAAGCGCTTCGATCCAGGCTGGATATTGTATTTCCCCGGACATTGGCTGGTGTGGCTGGGCGAGCCCTTGTTGTTCGAGGCGGAGATAGCATCGAGCATCTCAAGCTCTCTCCAACTGTCTCTACCCAAGGAACTCACTACCTCGTCCTAATAGACATGGTAAGGGTCAGGTAGTAATACAAAGAGCGTATCGTAATCGGAGAGAAAGTTTCCCAAGTCGCACACTGCAACAGGCCAAAGGATGATGCCGATAATGCGGTCGTGGACGAAGGAACTGACAATATTTATGATGTGCCGATGTCTAGACACGCGCTGCAGGTTCTTCATCTCCGTTTTGAAGGGGCGGAACTCGGTTTTCCGGGGCGGTCTCCTTCTCTTGACAGCAGCAGCAGTCCCTTAGCACCTAGCTTCATGGACATCACCCTGGGCTCCTCGTCCAAGTTACCTGCCTATTTGCAGAGGAACAGTTTCATCGGGCGCGAACTCAACATGGTTGTCCTTACCGGTGCCGGTCCACTCGAATGCCCGATCGAAGGGGTCTTCTCTACTGGGTTCCAAGTCGGCCGGTCAAGAGTAAAAAAACCGCGCCCCGCGTGAGCTGGAAAGCTAGATCTCGTCAGTTGGCAGCCCGTCAGCATATCGTAGTCCACATACTCTCGTTACTACTGAATCAACAACCGCTTTAGTGTCCATGGCCGAGACTTACAAGGCTTGACAGTCTTGAATAATCCTAGAGCTAACAGGGTATAACATAAAAGCGAGAGTGTAACCTGCCTTTTGAGCACGCTAGATCAGATGTTCTCATGCGATCTCATGGCGGAGCGTGCTCTTCGCGTGATGCTCTCAGCCTCGTCAGCTAGACGAAACCATGTCGATTGAAACTCGGATATCGTTCAGCTTTTGATAAACTTACGCGCAATGGCTTGTCCTAGAGGATTTTACAGGCCACCTTTATCCAGTACGCAACTCAGGATCACCATGCAGTCGGGGTAAAGCTCTCATTCTGAAGTGAACATTTAGAGGAACCATGAGCCAGCAAAGCAAGATATATTACAACAAGAAGAGCCCTATTACACCTCCAGACCACCTGCCTCTACACGAACAGGCAAAAAATCCACCCCAACGCCTCCCTCTCATCCTCTCCACTTCTAGGTCCTAGTAGGTAGTCTGCTAAGACTTACAACAGACCGGCAAGCGCAACCACCACACCCCCAACAACACCCGCAGCCTTCACCTCCCTCGGCACCGCGGCGCCCGTGAACTCCACAACACCCGTAGTAGCCGTAGGATAATACCCGCCCGTGCCCGCCGGATACGTAACCAGGCTTGTCTCATACGCAGCACAGCTCGTGCAAACCGGGGCCGGCGTATACGTATACGTGTAGGTCTCCTCCTCCACCTCAATGCTGGTGTGCACATGCGGCGTGGGCGTCACATACGGCATCGCAGAGTACTCTGTGTATACACCCTCGAAGCACTCAGTCTCCGTAAGTGTATGCGTTTCGCATGTCTTGCAGGGCTTGACAACGGGCGGCATGTATGTTGTCGGTGTCGAGTCATCAACGCATGTGGTCGTTGTCACGGTGACAAAATCGGTGGAAGTGTAGGTGATGTGCTCGCTAGACATGGCGCAGACGTAGCAGGGAAGAGCGGAGGTCGAGACGTCGTAGATGGGGCGCGCTTTCGTGGTGCAGGGCACGTATTCGGTGGCGGAGTAGGTCACTTCGACGATGTATTCGACACCAATAATCCTGGGACCCGTAGGGCAGGAGGGCGTTACGTACGGTGGTGGGGAATAGGTAGGGTGGCCACCGGGAGGGTAGTAGGTCGGGGTGGCGCTTGCGTTTCCGTAGGGGACTGAGGGGAGGTAGCCGGTAGGATACGGAGTCGGCGGGTGTGAGTAGCCGGTACCGGTAGGGCCATCAGGGGTGGTGCCGTTCTTGGGGTAGCAAGTTCCATCACCCTTAGGAAGGCCGGACTCGCACTTGCAGCTTAGAGAGCAACCGTCGCCGTTGAGGATGTTGCCGTCGTCGCATTCTTCACCGAACTCCTCGTCCCAGACTCCATCACCACACTTGGCAGGAGTGGCACCGCGGGAGATGATGTACGGAAGGCCAACCGTGCCGTCACCGAAGGTCTGAGAGCCGACTCCCAGGATGTCTTCCGCGATAGCGAGAGCCTGGAAGCCGTTGGTGCCGACGGAAGGATACGACGAGAAGGCTTCGTGGACGCTACAGCTCCAATCCGAGAGAGACTCATCATCGAGAGAATCCATGGCACCGGAGGTCGCTACGAGGTGGACTTGGTTGTAGCAGTCCAAGTTACCGCGGACCGTAAAGTCACCAAAGTAGGAAAGCTAGAAGATCTTAGCGTGAAGGTGTGTGTAGCGGAAGCAACGAGTACTTACAGCCTCTACCTTAGCGCTCTCCTCGTCCTCGTAGTAGCACGACAGAGCGAAGTACAGGCCAGTCTGCGGAACGCCAGCAGGCGTCGTTCCAGCAGCGGCAAACTTGATCGAATTGTCAATGAGCGTCTTCGCCTTGCCCTGGTTGAAATGATAGGACGGATCGGTCCCTGGCCGAGTTAGCATCCATACGGCGTCCTGGACTTTTTCGAGCAGGTACCGATCAAGATGATGTTGCCGGTAACAGCAGGGCTCCACACATCCCTCGAATCCTCAAGAAATTTGATCCTGCTGACGCTTCCGCAGCTCGGGTCGGGGACGACAATCGCCTGCAAAGGTGGCGGTACACTTAGCAAATATCCAAAATTAAAGAGGGGGAGGGGTTGGAGTTAACCCTAGCATGTCTTCGGTCTTTACCTGCCGAAGGCCTTTATGAAGAGCTTTCCAGAGGTAAAAGCCGAGGCATCATATCCAGAGTGTGTACCGCAACCTACGTACCTTGTACTTGGCGAAGTCCGCCGTGGTCATGGCGGCCCATTCCTCCTCGGTGACAGTTTGGGTGGAGAAGCCGAGCGCTACAGCTTCATCGTACTCGTCGTAATCAAGGCCCTCCAGGAAGAGAAGGTCCTGAGCTATGGCCGAGGCGGCGAGACCGGCCATGAGTCCGAAGGAGAGCTTCATTATGGTAGTTGGTGTTTGAAATAGGCAAATGAATGTGGACCCTCAGAGAGGGAAGCAAACGAATGACTGATGAAATACTAGAGATTAGCAGTAAGGAGAGTAAACTTGCTGGTGCAGAGAAAGAACTGAAGGATGCATAAACAGGCTATATATCCACCAGAACCCGGATGCTGCTGTCTCCGAAATAGACAAGCACCGCCACGGACAGGAAGTATATTCATGATGACGGTGGAAATTAGTTCCTGTAGTCGCTCGCATACCGACCGCATATGCCAGTAACCGTCCTATACGAAGCGTACTTCGGGGGCGGGAAAGACATAGGCTGTAGAAATCATTCGTTGTACCGGCTCGTATGTCTCTCCATAGTGTTTACTTGGCAGGGGAACTGTCCAGCCACGCGTTTACAGTTAGCGAGAACGGACGCCGTTGGGTCAGCTTGCCTCGTGATGCTTGGTTGCCTATGGTCGGGAGGTTCCGATATGCTTTTCAGCTCTAGCTCAGCCCAATTGGGCACGATGTTGAATCCCCGGTTGACCCCGTCTTCAACACCATTAAAGACGAAAAAGACAGGTGTCCGAATGGTCCGAGTTAGAGGCTATTTGCGGCTCATCCTTTGTGCAACAGTCATAGTCGTCCAACTAGTGCATTGAGTCGGTCCAGACTCCTCTTCTCACTACATTCACCATTCTCTTGGATATCTCTTTGTGCCTAGATCCGTGTGGCACCTCGTCGCTCACAGGCTTCCTGTCTTGGACCGCATTTCGAATTCCAGTGGTTGCCACACGTGGTAGGCAGCGGTCACTTTTCCTTACGTCTGGACGCTGTTCCGGAGATGTTGACGCTCAGCCGCAGTCTTGGAGTCTGGGCAGCGCGATGTTCGTGACGCACAAACAGCCACCACGACGCAGGTCGGAGAAGATATTCGCCCATGCTGACCCAATCCCCTGAGCGGACTAGACTAATGGAGATGAAGTTTTCGGCAAGAAGATGAAGTCGGGACATCCAAGTGGATGCGGTGACAAAAATAGAAGCGCGAAGAGAAAGAAATGAAAGGGCTTTTGGTTGTGCATCCTCCTCGTGAATCCGATTCCATTGAGCTTCCCATTGACAGCGGTTCGAGATCCATCGCTATCCGAGCTGGGACTCTCTCATGCTGCCTTCACAGCGGCGGCGCCGACACCGGCGACGGTGACGATCCACATCGTGCTTTCCGCTCGCATCTCCAGACCATTGGGTTGGCGAAGCCGAACAACACGGCATGGAACCAATATCTCCATGGCACGTGAAATGCGTGGTGGATGAAGACCAGGCACGTCCCCAGTCTTGGCGCGCTCTCCACCGAAAAGTTGAGCCTATCAACCACACCTCCAACCCCATCGCAAAGCCCACCCGCTCCACGCTCCAAACCTTGCTCTCCTCGCCCTCAAATCCACCATGGCGACCTCCGCCGAGCTCGAAGACCCGCTCTACAACCTCCGCCTCAGCATACGCGACTCCAACACCCCCATCCTCACCACGACGCCCACGCCCTCCGCCCCCAGCGACACCGTCGACGACATCGCGCACGCAACACACATCCAATTCAACCATGGCGCGCACCACCAATCCTTCGACATCAAGACGCCCACGCGCTTCGCCCCCGACGACAAGCCCATCGACCTGCGCAGCATCTACTTCGCTTGGCTGAACAAAGACGCCCAGGTCACCGAGTACTTCGCCGCGGTCCAGCACCTGAACGAGGAGCTGCCGAGCGGCGCGGGCGGCAGCGTGCAGAACTTGAACTTCGCGCAGAAGATCGAGCTGATTGCTTGGCTGAGCGGCGAGACGGAGAGTAGCGAGAGTATTGCGCCACTGGAGGGCGCGGATGCGGCGAGCGCGGCGGCCGGCGATGCCGCGGCGATTGCGGGCGGGAAGGGCGTGCCCATGCAGAAGACGGCTGGTGTGGGCGGGGGCCAGAAGATGGTGGATGCGAGGCTGTTGCAGATTTATGATGGGGAGAGGAGGATGGGGGATCATAATAGTGTGTTGAGGGGGACGAAACCTATCGTATGTCTACGTCCTCTAACTATGTATGAGGCAAGATGAGCAAGCATGTGCTAACAAAAGCTCGACAGGACTTCTCCATCTACCGCAAAACGGCCGCGACCTTCCTGCGCTCGCGCCCCCCCTCCACAAAAGAACCCGCTCCCGCACCCCACCCCCCGCTCGTCTCCGGCCTCCAAAAGAAGCCCTCCTCCCGCCGCCTCGAACAACCCATCATCCTGCTCTCTCCATCCGCATCCTCCCTCCTCCGCATGTCGAACATAAAATCCTTCCTCAGCGACGGCCTCTTCATTCCGCCCAACGCCACCGACACGCAAACCAGCAACCTCCTCCAACTCCAACGCCTCCTGCCCTCCATATCCTCCTCGCCCCTGCGCTTCATCCTCGTCGACTCCACCTCGCTCTTCAAGCCGCCCTACTGGTCGCGCGTCGTCGCCATCTTCACCACCGGCCAGCCCTGGCAGTTCAAATCGTACAAGTACCCGAACCCCGTGGAGCTGTTCACCCACTACCCCGGCGTGTATGTAGGCTGGGAAGGGGAGAATGAGCCGGAGAACGTGAAGAATTGGGGACGCGGCGTTATGAGTGTCAAGGTGGATAAGTGGACGGGCAGTGAGAAGGGGAGGTGGAGGGATAGGGAGGTGGTGGAGAGGATTTGGGGGCGCATTGAGGAGGGGATGAGGAGGGGGGGTTGGACTAAGGAGGGCCCGGGAATGGCCGGGCAGCAGGCGGGGAGGTAGAGAGCTGCCGATGTTCGCAGTGTGTAGATTGGGAAGGCGGATGGGATGGTGTCTGGCGTTTGTAGGCTGCATAGCGCGGTTCGGTTTGGCTCGGTTCGGTCGGCTTGGATTGTTATACCTCCGAGAATCGGCGTTCATGTTCACAGCTTTAGGAGTTATATCCGCATGTATTAGAACAAATGCAGAAGAGAGTAGGATGAAAGTAGATCAACGTATCCATTAGCGCCGAAGCTCGATATCGTAGCATGAAAGGAGAAAGGGGTTCTGTTCCGCAGATGTACATTCCAGATCATAACTCATGTCCGCATCATCAATGAAACCGTACATAACTTTTCCATCACCTCCTGCCATCAGGAGTTGCCTTGTCTTGCTGCCACATGTCCTACCACTCCAGCGGCTCCTTCAGCACCTCGCCCCTATTCGTCTTCGGCACAGCCGCCGCCTCCACCTTCACCGGGCCCTTCCTATGCCTCGCCAGATACCCGCTCCCATCCAGCCACGGCCACTCCCGAGTCCTCTTGCCCTCATGCCTCTCAATCTTATCCACGCTCCCCATCGTCAGCTCAATGTCATCCAGCCCATTTACAAGACAATGCTTCCTGAACTGCTCGACCTCAAACTTCGCTAGCTCGTTCCCCTCTGCATCGCGAATAACCTGGTTCGGCAAATCGACTTCGATTCCCTTACCTGCCTTGGCAACAGCAGCGATACGCTCGAGATCCGGCTGCGAGTCGATGCGGATAGGCAGCATCCCGTTCTTGAACGTGTTGTTGAAGAAGATGTCGCCGTAGGAAGGCGCAATGATGCATTTTATGCCGAAGTCGAGGAGGGCCCACGGGGCGTGTTCGCGCGACGAGCCGCAGCCAAAGTTGGGGCCTGTGCAGACGAGGATCTTGGAGTCGCGGTAGGGGGCCTTGTTCAGGATGAAGTCGGGGTTTTCGGTGATGCTGCCGGGCTCGTAGCGCCAGGCGTGGAAGAGGGCGGAGCCGAGGCCAGAGCGCTTAATTGTTTTAAGGAATTGCTTCGGGATGATGGCGTCGGTGTCGATGTTGGCGATGTCCATGGGGGCGGCATAGCCGCGTAGAGTCTCGAATTTGGGCATGCCGGCGGAAGCGCCTACTGATGATGAGGATGCCGACGGGTGCGAGACAGGGTCGGCGGGCGCGTCCATGATGCGGTCGAGATCCTCATCGCTACCGATATCCTCCATATGAGCATCGAGCTCGACCTTTGGTGATCCTTTAGCCGCAGCCATTGAAGGAGGCGCCAGTTTCCGGACATCAGCGAGGTTGCCAACGATAGCAGCGGCAGCGGCCATAACCGGTGAAACGAGGTGGGTACGGCCACCAGCACCCTGTCGGCCTTCAAAGTTGCGGTTTGAAGTCGAGGCGCATCGTTCACCAGGCGAGAGGATATCGGGGTTCATGCCAAGGCACATCGAGCAACCAGCCTCTCTCCACTCGAAGCCAGCGTCCGTGAAGATCTTGTCGAGGCCTTCGGCTTCTGCTTGCTGCTTGACGAGGCCAGAGCCAGGAACAATCATGGCGCGCTTGACATTCGGCGCGACTTTCTTGCCGTCGACTATCCGTGCAGCCGCTCGCAGGTCCTCGATACGTGCATTTGTGCAAGACCCAATGAAGATCTTGTCGAGCGGGATCTCCTGCATCGGCGTACCGGCAGTCAGCCCCATGTACTTCAGCGCACGTTTGCAAGCGTCCTTTTTGACCTCGTCCTGGAAGTCGTCAGGACCAGGGACCACTCCGGTAATCGGAACAACATCCTGAGGCGAAGTGCCCCAAGAGACAGTGGGCGCGATATCCTTGCAGTCAATGTAAATCTCATGGTCCCACTTGGCATCTGCATCCGAATTCAGGCTCATCCAGTAGCTTACGGCCTTTTTCCACTCCGGGCTGTCGACCTTGGGCGCTAGTGGCCGGCCCTTAAGGTATTCGATGGTGGTCAGGTCTGGCGCAATCATCCCCGCTCTTGCGCCAGCCTCGATCGACATGTTGCATATCGACATGCGGGCCTCCATGCTCAGACCGCGGATAGCCGATCCGCAGAATTCGATAACACTCCCAGTGCCTCCAGCCGTTCCGATGACTCCGATGACGTGGAGGATGATGTCCTTGCTGCTGACTCCCGGCGCCAGCTCGCCGTTGACCTGTACCTTCATGTTCTTACTCCGCTGGGTGATCAGGGTCTGAGTCGCCAGGACGTGCTCCACCTCACTTGTGCCAATGCCAAATGCCAGCGCGCCAAATGCGCCATGTGTAGATGTGTGGCTGTCGCCGCAGACGACCGTGGTGCCGGGCAGAGTGAAGCCCTGTTCCGGGCCGATGATGTGCACGATGCCCTGCCGCTTGTCGTCGAGGCCGAAGTATGTGAGATCGAATGCTTTGACGTTCTCCTCGAGGGTCATGCATTGCGTCCGCGAGTCGGCCTCTTCGATGAATTTCTCGGTCGTGGTGAGGTTTTTTCGCGACGCGGTGGGGATGTTCTACGCCGGGTTAGTATGGCATATAGACGACTGCGCGATCTGAGAGCGGCAACGTACGTGATCTACCGTGGCGAGCGTGCAGTCCGGTCTCCGCACCTTCCGGCCTGCGTTGCGGAGGCCCTCGAATGCTTGCTGTGTGTCGTGTGAGCGCCTACCCTTGCCCGGTGCTCCTTCCCAAACTTTCTTACCGGTGATGTCACTTCGTGGACAAGGTGTCGGTCTGCGCAGCTGTCAGTGGGGTAGTCGGGGGCAGCGGCTACAGCAAACACACCGATATAGAGCAGGATTGTGCCGTCTTCCTTCTCGTCGACAATGTGGTCCTCGAAGACCTTGTCGTACAGGGTCTGTGGGGGTTTCACGGCAGACGGCATTGCGGCTATCTGGGGGTTGCGTAGCACGAGTGGGTCAATTGGGAGGAGATGTGACGGGGGGGGTGCAAAGCAGTGCAGGCAGACAAGAGAAGAGAAATTTCAAATTCGGAAGGCTGCGGCGGACAGTGAGGAGGTGGTGGCATTCAAATAGCGAGCTGGCGGCGATAGAGGAACAAAAGCTCAGGCCCGAGATCGGAGCGATGGGGCAGTCGCGAATGGGCGGGCTTCTGATGACACGGCCTGTCTCGGCTAAGGGCCTGGGAGGCCGCTGCCCAGGTACCGACGCCGTACTGTGACCGTACAGTACTGTGATAGCGGTGCCTAATCTCGCAGGCAATCCATGGATGCAGCTAGAGGCCGCGCTGCCGGGGGGTGTGGCCCAGGTGAAAGCGCGCCATCTCGTACCCCGGTATGACGTCCGGCCCTGCTTTGAGGGGTCCGGTCGGCTGCAGCTCGTGCCCCGCGCGCTTGCCAGCTGCCAGCCCCGCCGGCCGCGCCTCACACATCAGCGCCTCTGCCCTCCCTCCGATTGGGCTGCACACCCTTGGAATGCACCACATACGCACATCACCGTCGGCTTGCGCGCAGCTGCCGGCCGGTCCCGTGACGTCCGGATGCAAACCATGCATCTTGTATTAGTACCGCGCGGTTCCCCAGCATCGTGCCATCGTCCACGGGTGCGGTGCATGTGCTGATCGCTGCCCGCCTACCAGTTGTCGGCCGTGAAAATGAGCAACGCCATGCGATGCCGTATAAGCAGCCCCAGGACCCCGAAGGCCGACTGAAACGCCAATAGTCCTAATGCAAGGCGGTCCTCCCGCATGGGCCCGAACCAGACCAGCCATAGGTTGATGATGGTAAAGTTCGAGCATGACACCACTTGCCCGTTCTCATCGCTTTCAACGTCGAGCAGCCGAAGCCGGTGCAGTAGCTTGACACTCTCCGCTATCGGTCGGGCCAGTGGTCTCTTGAACTCCACCCGCGAGCATTCTAGCAGCCCCGTCCGTGCATTGAAGTGCGGCAGCCGATGTCGGGGGCAAGGTACAAGATGGAACAGCTGCGGCGCAGAATAGACGAAGTTGAACCCCTGAGGAAGGAGCAGCAGGATCAGCGTCTTGCTGAAGTGGCCGAGAATCCCGTCGACGGCGAAGACCATGCCTGCGAAGTAGCAGTACGTGTCCCCAACGAACACCCTAGCGGGGTACCAATTGTGCTTCAGGAGGGCTAGTGACACCCCAATGAAGGGGAGCAAGAGATACAGGGAGAACAGATGCGAATCAGTGGCTGGGTGCGGGTACGGTGTGAAGGGTGAGAGGTACAGGACGTCGTTGACCACTATCAGCACCGCAATGACCAGCGATTGGGCGACCTCGATGCCGTTGATTCCGGCCAGGATGTTGATACTGTTGGTAGAGAACATGGACAGCATGGCCATGTAGACGTAGTACAGCCAGCCTGGACGCTCATTAGCACTGTCTGACAGAAACATGGCTTAGTCTCGTACCCAGGTCGAACAGTTCCCCAAGGTAAGGCCTCAGAGGGATCGGGACAACCATCTGAGTGACGCCAAAGTCCACAAAGTAGACGATGAGCATGGGGATAGCGGCGATGGCCGGGATGAACAGCTTGTGCCGCCATCTGATGTCGAACAGGTCGTCGCCAATGCCCAGCAGCGCGATGCATTGGAGCGAGAGGATGGCGGAGAGGTACGACGCCAGCTGGTGGCTTTGTTAGGGGGGAGGCACGGATTCCGGCAAGGGGCGTGGTACCTTGTTGTGAGGGAACCTGTGGAGGAGCCTGCCCGTCTCCACCTCCTCCAGCTCTTTGATGACATCGCGATTGCCGCCGCCGGACGTCGCAACGACGATGTCCTTGTAGAAGGGCCACGGAATGAACATGATTAGCGTGAAGAGATACACCACGGCGCACACGGCGCCCATGGTCTCAGGGCTGCGTCATGTGAGCCGCTGCGAATTAGGAAGTCGGAGCTGGCCCTACCACGTACATTTCGGTCTGCCTGAGCTTGCACAGGTCTCTGCCCTTGAACCCCCGCCGCATGAATGCACCGCCCAGCCACCGTATGAGCGCATAGCAGGACGCAAACGCGAGGCCGCTGAAAGCAATCGACGCGACGAGCGGCTCGCCGTCGGCGCGAGAGAAGGTGTTGGAGAGGATCCCAAAGCACGCCAAGGACAGCGCCAGCAGCGAATAGGCCTCCGTCGAGCTGAGCGCGGCCGCCATGCTGGCCGAGTGAAGGCAGGCAACCGGATATTACGAAGGAAGCGATTGTGTGCGCGCGTCTGCGATGCAAATGGGCAGAGCCTGGTGTCCAGCCTGGTGTTCAACAACGGTGTCGAATACGCGGTGCACGCCCGCCAGGTGTCCACTTCCAACCTAGGCCCGAAACGCGCGACGGAGCCAGCCCAGACGAGCGAGCAGCCGCGCATTGACAAGAGAATGGCGCCCGACCAGCACGCCCAGCACCACCAGCACGACCGCATCCAGGATGCGCTCGACCAAGTGACGCGTCGTCTCGTGCGCCCGGCTTTCCTCTGCAACTTGACGCCCTCGCGCCTCCCGAGCCAGGCGGCGAGCAGCGATTCCAGCCTCTCGCCGCGCAGCCCCGGACCCACCCACGAAGCACGGAGCTTGTTTGGCCCGCACGCTTCGCACCGCCGTCCTTCTCATCTGAACCAGGTCGCCGTCATCTGGGACGATGCGCTGGAGAAGGCAGACCTCGTCGCGCCGCTAATCCTAGAGCCGTATGCCGACGGCAGCGCCCCAAGCGTAGAGCCCGTCGTGCGCAAGTCCCTCGAATCGCACTTTGTCGGCGCCCGCAAAATGGCCTCGGACCGCTTCCAGACCTTCTCGCACGGCCACCAGGACCTCGTGCTGGCCGTCGATTTCAATTACTTTGGCACGCGCATGGTGACGGCGAGTTCGGACCACCGCCTCAAGGTCTGGGACAAGAAGGACGACTCCTGGTCGCTTGTCGAGAGCTGGAAGGCCCACGATGCTGAGATAGTCGATGTGAGTCGCACCACCCTTTTATCTAATCTTCAGCCCAGCCCAGCCCAGATCCGGCACCCCGGCATCTGCATGCCCGATTTGCCACACCAGACCGCCTCGTACCGTGCCTCCTAACATCTCCCAGGTCAAGTGGAACGGGCCTTTCATGGGCGAGGTGATCGGCAGCATTGGCGAAGATGGCCGCTGCAAGCTCTGGCAGGAAGATGTCACAGAGGTTCCCATGTCAGGAAACCGCTTCAAATTGATCACAAACCTCGGCTCGCAGACGAATGCGCCCTTCATGTCCCTGGACTTCAAGAACATCATGCAGGAGACCTGGCTAGCCCTGATTACTCGTGATGGCCTGCTGACCGTCTACGAGCCCATCGACCAGAGCAGCCTCAATGAGTGGGATCTGATCGCGGAGCATTGGGTGTGCGCGAGCAATCCTCCGGAGCGCCAGGAAGAAGTCGGATTCAAAGTCGTGTTCCACAAGGAGAAGCTCCCGTGCTGGACTGCCATCATGGCCGGCTTGGATCGCAAGTCCCTCTCGCTAGCAGTCGCGGCCATGAATACCGTTCTCATATTCCGCACCGACAAGACCAAGCGTTTCTTCAAGGCAGCCGAGCTGAAGGGCGCTCGACAGATCATTCGCGACGTAGCATGGGCGAATGGCTCCATGCGAGGACACGATGTCCTGGCAACCGCCAGCAAGGACGGCGCCATCCGCATCTACGAGGTGTCAACTCCTCGTTCAGACAAGTCCACCACGGCCGGAAACTCGTCGGGTTCAACTGCTACCGAGACAATTTCCTCTCCACAGCCGGGCAAGTCGCGGAAGAATACGGCTTCTGGCATTGGAGCCGGACTAGCAGCAGCGTCAAAGGCCCCGGATCACACTCAAGATAACGAGCAATATCCCGGACGCATTCGACAGGTCACGAAGCTTGTGGACGAGCTTACCAATCATCATGGCGCCGTATGGCGTGTGGCATTCTCGCAAATGGGTATGTCCGTTCTTTCCGCCTACTGGAGCGTGTACTCACAGTTGCGCAGGCGATTTGCTCGTATCGACCGGAGACGATGCTTCTATTCGCACATGGAAGAAGGTTGTTAACGGTCATTGGGCTGAGTATGCCGAGATAGAAACAGCCCGCGAGCAGTAGACTTCATTTGTTCCGATTTGGTTCGGTCCGGTCGGCGTTCCGGATAGGGTCGGTTTCTCGTGGCGGAGTTTATGTACAGTGGCCATTCTGACTTCCACCCGGCGTCGAAGTTCCTTCACCCTAGATACCCTCGAGGAGTCCTCGACATGGCGACGCCGGGCTCCGTTCCGCGCGTTCGCGCAGCGCCTCTTAATGGCATAAAGTCACAGCTGATGGTGTCATTCTTGCGCTCCTACCGTCACCTCTACGTGAGTTCCACTTCTTCCAACTAATTCACGATTCCTTCGTCTTTTGCGACACTCCCATTTCGTTTCCTCATTCGTGGAATACGATATTGTGTTCCTTTCTCGCTTTTCTTCGCTACATGCGTCAAGCCACATTCCATAAGCCCAACCATCTCCATGCCAGCCATTCCGCATTCCAGCTCCGCTCTCAACCTCGAAATCCATTCAAATGCGTCTCCATGATCCTACATCATTCATGCTTCGACGCTTCTTATTTCACACAGCCCAAGAGCGGCGTCATTCGCGGTCAATGCGGGTCTGGTTGTCAGCAGTACTTCAATGGAATCGAGCCAGACGTTTCCCGCTAACAAGAGACACGCCATGCTATTCAAACGCCGCTCCTCTTCGCAGAATTTAGCCACAGAACAGACTCATGCTCCTAAATCCGGCCATCTCTCGCCGAGTAATGCCTCCTTCTCAAGCTATCACACACCTGAAACGATCGAAGAAGCCCTAGCACTTTCGGAGACGCCTCCACGACCTCCTCCGCACCGTATCATAAATGCCTCGCATATACGACAGCCTCTTGAGCGTACGCAATCCTCAGAATACTATCTGCATATTTTGAAGGAGCCTAGGAGTAGGAAAAAGGACCCCGCCACGATTCACACCGATGCCACAGCCACCCAACCCGCTTTCGAGAGCGACGCATTCGCGATTCAAATGCCGACCACACGCGAGCCGGTACTGGTGGATCAGCCAATCTTCAGCGCGAAGTTGCCGTCACCCTCGCGAGATCAGGTCGAAGCATATCGGACGTACAAGCAGAAGGCACAGCAGGTGCGGGAAAGGAACCATAGCGAGGGGGTGCGCGTGCCGTCGAAAATCGTTTCATACGACTACGCATATACCGCAGACGCTGAACAGCCTCCGCCTCTCGAGCGACATGTGAGCCTGCCGGGCAGCCCACCGCCGCAGTTCTCACCCGCGGGTGCCTTCCCAATAAGCCCGCCACTAGCACAGCACGCATGGACGCGGTCCAATCACCCCGTTCGAATGCAAGGCTCGCGGTCTATGAGCGACTCGAGCGGCATCACCATCGCACGAAAGCCCGTCGGCCTCGGAAACGTCGGCTCCTCCTCTCGCCCACGATATCAACACGGGGACGCAGATACTGGCGCCGCGCGCTCCACGCCATCCACCCGCTCATCGACGCCCACGCCAACGAAGATCAAAGTGCGCCTCAAGCCTAGGACCACCGACCCCGACCGCCCGCAGAAAGAGTCGTGGTGGGGTCTATACAACCGCTCGCCGCAATCCTCGACCGACGGCTCGCGCTCGCCCAGTCCAACAAAGCCGCCCAGCTTCGCCTCCGCAACACCCGCCGCTACAAACACAGTCTTTGGATACAGAAGCAACGATACTACGGGCACACCAGCGCGGACAGCGCCTACGACGCCCAAGAAGGCGCCACCTAAGCGCCCGCTCACCAGTCGCTGGGCCTGGCTCAGGCCGGCGGGTCCTCGCATCACTAAGCCCGCTGCGACTCACGATGCACTTGCTGCAGCTGCAAGAGCGACTGCGTATGTCGATCCTTTTGCCCTGCACGCAACGCCCGCGCCCACTCATCCCAGTACGCCGATCGCATCGCGACCAGCCTCGCCGAAGAAGCTCGCTCGTGCCGCTCCACCCCCGCCTCCTAGCAAAAGCGAGAAGGGTAAGTTTGAGACTGGGTTCGCGCAGATTACGAGCCTGATATCCATCATACTGAGGGTGTGCTTGTTGGTGTATGCGCTCGTGGGCTTGTACTTCCTGCTCGATGCTATCCGGGAGGCTGTCCACGCGCTTGGGGCACCCTTTAGAGCGATGAAGATGGTGGCAGGGTGTGTTTGGATTGGATGTGCGTGGGTGGCGAGGGTGCTGGGTAGAGGGTGGGAGAGGTGGGGGGTTAGGATTGCGCTGAAGGGCGGTTGGAAGGGGCGGTGGTGGTGAGGGAGCTCGTTGAGGCCGTGGCGAGCGCTGGTCCTAGGCTCGCCCGCTGGCGCGACGGGACGCTGCTGAAGCAAGCATAGCATCTATACGGTCGCATGCACCACCAAGCAACAATCAATATGAGCCCTAAACCTATGGTTACAGGGCGTGGTGGATAGCAAAGCCTACAGCAGGCGCCAGCGGTCGGCGCTATTGGCCGTACTGAAAGTCTTCGCAGCACGTTGCCACTCCTCTTCGCCTAGTTGAGCGCCATAATAATGAGCATGAATTTATCCTCTATCTCTTGATGTGTCCCTGCTGTTGGCACTTCTCGATAGACCACAGCCACCACCCATCTCACCTCGATCAGGTCCTGACGTCTTCCCCCTGTCGCCCAGTGCACATATAAGCCCAGAAACATGCACTGGATTTATATCTGCTCTATACTCCGACAGAGAAGCTATCTCGAACTGCTCGATATCACCGTTGTAGGTGAGGCTCTCGGTGTCCGCCAGTGAGCGCCGCCAGCCGAGCTCCTTCCAACGCCCTCACCTCACCACCCACCACCACCACGGCTTGGAGATACTTCTCCATAGCTTCTAAAGCATTTCTCACGCCCGGGCTCGCGCATATAGCTACTCTCTCAGCGGCACCGCCCTCCACTGCCTCGCGCCCATCCCTCCATCTCAACCTTCACCAATCCGGCCAAATCCGGCATAGTTCACGGCATCACCTGGGCACACACCGCTCCCACACCGACGCTATCCGAAGACGAAACACTAGCGTCAGGCAACAGCGCTCACGCGCCTTCACCGCCCCTCACTTCCGCCCTTATCATGACGAAATCGTACGAGCGCTCGAGCTCCTATCGTCGGCGTGACGCGACCGCCTGCTCACGCCGCCACCTCATTGGCCGGGAGACGGCTCCGGCGCCGACAAGCGAGCTTTTTGTGATCTGAGCCTCGCGCCCGTGACCCAGCTCTGACGTCCGTCGGCCAGCGCGAGATCACTGCGCCAAGGCCCTAGAGGGGTATATAAGAGTGGCCCCCCGCCCGCCTCTGCTGCTTTCTTCCTCTTCTCTTCCACTCCGCTCCACTTCAACCTCGAAGCTCAAGTCTCTTCGGCCACCATGGTCACAACAAGCCCTCATCCTCTCTTTCCACCTCACCTGCCTTGACCAAGTCGACCTCGTGTCACTTCAGCTCAAGTACCTTCCTCTTCCCTCACCTTCGCTCGTGGCTGACACCATCAGGTTATAAGAGAATCGCGACTCTGCTTCGGCAACAAGTAGTTGGCCTCTTTCCCCCGTCACCCTTTGCTGACCTGGCTCAGTCACTACTTCACCAGTCACCTTCACCTTCATGTCACATCAAACCAACCCATCATGGTGACTTGACAGCCGAATCATCATCAGTAAGTCGCACCTGCCTCATCTCTTGATGAAGCGCTCACGGTCCCCAGTCTTCGGTTTCCATCGGTGCCTACCACACTCAGCACCTTCGTCGACATGACGTCGCCTGTCAACAAACTCGACGCTCACTGAGCAACGACGCCAACTTCACCTCGTCCCTCGCCATCAGCAACTCGGCAACTCACCGACCTTCACCGACTCGATGCTGGCTACTACCTGGTGGACTGGTTTCAAGCGTAAGTTACCACTCACCACCCTTCACCACAGCTTCACTGACAACCATTCAGATCAGGTTCTTGTCCCCTAGCACACATTGTTTGCTTTCCAGCGGGTGTTCACGGGTTCCACATACAGCCGGGCTCTCCCCATGACCCCCCGACCAACAAAGACGCAGCAGGTCCACACAGCGTGCTTCGGCTTAATCAAAGATCCCCTGGGACCTTCGGGTTGCTGGGGGCCGTCACTTGGGCGACGTGGATTCTGTTTGGTCTGGTTCGCGAGGGTCACCACGACAACCTGGAGGCCCGGCTAACGAGAACGGCGATGAGCTGAAGTTTGCACTGACTGCGAGCGTGCTTCGGCTTAACCAAAGATCCCCTGGGACCTTCGGGTTGCTGGGGGCCGTCACTTGGGCCTGTCGGTGAAGCGGATGCTCGGGATGAAGGTAGTGCTTTCGGTGGTTTTGGTGCCGAAGAAGCTTTCCACCATAGATAGTTTGCTTTTCGTTGTCTTTTTCCGTTGTCTTTTTCGTTCTGTGTATCGTCTTCAATAGCAAGAACCTGACTGCTCCATCATACAAATCTTCTTCCTTTGTGACGTCTTTGCCTTTCACGAGTCGTCCTTCCTGCCATGTTCCCTTCAACCACCATCCGAACGTGACAACAGCTCGAACATGGCAGTGGCGCTTGGAGTCCTGTCGCGTTCTACATCGCGGGACACGCGCCCGCAGGAGTTTAGCACCGCAGCTGGAGGTGTACCATGCGTATTCTATCACAATCTCCGCAATTGTATCAGCGCCTTTACCAAGAAACATAGATATCAGGCCAAGACATCCGGATGCGTGAGCGAGAGGCGTCAAAAGAAAGCTATGTAGACGAATACGGGATGACGTCCGCGGCGTCGGCACCGAACAACAGAACACTAGAAATACCTCTCCTCGCACACGACAGGGCACTACTCCTCTCCTTACCTCCAACCTCTCACAGAGGTTTAAAAAACCATGTTGTCTACGACTCATGTCCGCGGGACGAATGGATGGCCTATAAATCGACATGTCCGCTACTAAAACCAAGACATGATCGCACATGGTGGTCCGGCACCCTTCTCTGTTTCGCAAATCAAAAGTCGAGCGGGTTCACTTTCATGAGTTGGCCGGTCCCGAATGTGCACAATGGCAGACAATGGCGGACGCAAGTTCCATGTCTGCCAAAATTTTGACAGCATCAAATTCATGAGCTGGCCTTCTCCTCCGCTTTAGATTCCACTCAAGCAGTCATCGTCACGGAACATGTTTTGGATTTGCTTTGCTTTCCCGAGTACGATGGAGAGACAAATGGGTTCCAAAGTGGTAAACAGCAACGCAAGGCAGCGACGCAAATGAGCGCCAATCTAGAGAATATCGCCGCACTCAAGAATGGAAGTCCCAAAATGGATTCCAAAACTCTACCATGCCGGTCCGGCGGACGGGTGTCCGAAAGACGAAAGTGCGCTAGGACAAGGTCATATGGGGATGTCCTTGAGGCACGACCCTCAGAATGAAAGGAAACAAGCCATCCAAACCTGCAATGGTTTCGTTTTCGCAAAGGCATGCGTGTCTCTCCAACCCTTCTATTCATCGATATCACGGTTTCTCCTTTTTGAAAGCTCTCACTCTAATCACGAAGCTTTCCGGTCTTGCACAAAACGCAAGCCCCCTCAGACATGTTTGGATCCAGAACTCCCTTGCCCATGAATTGCTACTCTACCAATGCTATGAGTACCAAAACCCTTCCCACACACACACACGAGCCCTCGAGCAAGACCTAGCCGCGGTCCAAAGACTTCGGACGGGGTGGAGACATAGACTAGAGTGGGCCGGGAAAGCTAAAATGCATGAACAGGGCAGGAATGAAGCTGAAGCCAGAGACTACAATCTTGAATGGTTGCGGCGTATCCGAAAACCAAAATGCGATGCCGAATCTCCTCACAGGGACTGAAAACCTCTGCGCCGAAATATACACGCAGCACCGTGACCGCTGAGTATTATTGCAATCTCACTGTCTCAGCGAAGTTCGGACTAGAGATGAGGTAGTCGCCTGCAAGGGGGACGGCATGTTGCGAATGCCGGGTGACAAAGTGCTCCGGCCTATCAAAACTGGTAGTCGGAAGGGCGATGGGGTGCTGCTTTCCGAAGATGTCGAGTGACGGTTGAGTGGTCGAATATGCCACAAAAGAGTGCTTGCGTCCCTCTCTCACCCGCTTCCTTTCATTCCCCCTTCCCCGCCGCGGCTCTACTCAAACTTGACGCCGGTCGACCATGCTTCGCCGTCTCTCAAAGGCAAAGATTGGAGGGAGATACCTGATTGGTGTGTTTCCCCTCAAACGTGCGACTAGAAACATCATGCGACTCCCCGTCGACTGCAATCACTACAAGGCACTAACCAGCACGAGCATGTCCTTCAAAATGTGCAAAGCTAAAGCGGATGTGTGTTGAACCTTGGAGGCGAACAAAAAGTGATTGCTTGTGGCTATGTCGTCAGAAGCGACGGCATGTACAATGCACGGTCTTCTCTTGCTTAGGGCCCAAAGATGAGGTGAATAATTAATAGTACAGCAACAAGGGAACTCATTTGGCCCAGAAAGCCGCGGTGGACACTCACATACCTATCAAAGAGCTTGGAAGCGTATGCGTCCTCCATACCTCCCGAATCGCTAACGCTTCTCGAAGGCGCTATTCGAATCTTTTAGGCTTTTCCGCCTTCAAAAGCTCACAACTGAAAGGCCCATGTTCGTCGGGAAGTGTCTCCGTCGCGATATGCGCTAATCCTTCATGTGATGTGTGCCTCTTCGCTCGAGTCTCCAAAGTCGCCTAGATAGCCAAGTAATGTCCGGGAAACATTACAAGAGGAGGAGCTTGATGCCTCCAGAAGCAGAGAAGCACTATAGGCTAGGAGCATGTCGCCGGAAGTACCAACCCAATAATTATATGTTCCCCTTGTCATGGATATCGAAATAGCCATAAAGGCCACGGCAAGGGAGACCCGCTCGTTGGATCGGAAGACCAAAACAAATTCGTACCGCCTCCCTTTTATGTGCCGACTCGAGTAGGGTTGCTCCGAGCTAGGCGTGCCCCAAACACTGCTAAATCACGCATGCTAACTCAAAATGTTTCCTCTTCCTTGCCGGAACGATCACACTTCGAAAAAGGAGGAAGAGCACCTATGCTTGTCCGCTTTTCGAAAGTGAATCCCGCGATGTGATATGCTGGCTGCCTGTGTCCTCCGCTTCCTGTCTTCCGATAGCAGAGCTATCACTATCCCATGATTGTGAAGCACTTCGAGCCAATAAGTCAATACGCTCTCGCATATGTGGAGAATATCACAAACCAAAACCCCCTGATGGGTCATGCTATAGTTCTTTCCTTCCACGGAAACGAAAAGATGTGGAAGAGAAAGGGTCAGTATAGAGTAGTGTGTGCTGGGCCGCGGAAGTGGGATTATAAAGCCATTTGTTCGAAACTTTGGTAATACAGGATTACTCTCCTTCCAGTAACGGAGGCGATCGTCGTCGCGGAAAAGTGGCTTCCCACGCACTGAGCACCTTGACGAGTAAAGCATCCTGACCAGCCTTGGCAAGGATAGAGACACCAAACGGCCTTTCGTTATATTCAAGGTATGAAAGCGGCGCCTGTGCGATGGGATAGCCTTCTAGCGTTAGCATCTGGAGGTCTCTTGAGAGAACGCAGTGAGTTATACCAGCGCATGCCGCGATGGAGGACAGAAAGTCGTCACTGGGGCCGATGATCACGTCCACGTTGTGTTTTTCGAGTATGAAATCGACGCCCTTGTCTCGTGAGCGATATGGCATGTTGTCAAAATGTGCGCAATATTGCTCCTCTGATATGTGCTGGTCTTCGGTAGCGAGCAGGAAGTCCTGATTATCGTGGTCTATCGTGTATGCTGTTAGCTAATTTTATGTGGTAGCGTCATAGGGTAAACGTACCTGGCGGAAGCTCTCGCTCTGCATGTTTGAAGTTGAACTCGATCAGTTGAGGAAGACTTCGGAAGGTGCTTTCTTCAAGTTCCCGTAGATAGTGATTCAACTCGGCCTTCAGATCGGCACCTAAGATTGTTAGAGGCAAGCAACGCAAGATCAGAGAGTAACAGACGTGTGATCACCATCTCACTGTCTTCTCCGCCCAGCGTAATCTTATCTTTCGTGATTAGAGGGACATCATCAGCTACGTGTTTAGCCAGAGTCTTGATTTTCCGATAAGCATCACAGATTTCCCGGTTCTGTGAAAGGTAAGCGCTTTAAATGGCAATGTCATTACTGAGAGAGAGCTTATAATATGTTCTGTCGCTTCTGGAACTGGTTTTATGAAGCAGTCGGGAAACTTCCAGACCTCGGGATCGACGGTTGCAACCGAAATCCCATCCCACGAAGCAGTAAGGTACGAGGTAAAGCTCTCGCCACCCTTATTTTCTGATATGGCGTCGAGAAGGACAGCAAGGTCGTATACAGTCTTGGTCAACGGGCCAGCGGAATCGAAATTCTTCGAGACAGGGACGATTCCGGCCTGAGGTACGAGACCGATAGTTGGTTTGAGGATGTAGAGTGCAGCTCGTCCAGTGGGACAGGTCAGAGAGCCGTCAGTCTCGGTCCCTATCGAGATGGGAGCGTAGCCCGCTGACACAGCTACGGCAGATCCCGTTGACGATCCGGATGGACTCTGCTCTAGTGTTAGCAGTGTAGCATACCGTGAAGACAAGTCTACGCACGCTGTGCCCAACTTTGTCTCTGGGATCTAGGCAACCGCGAACATAGGCTGACTGCGCTTGTCCTCCGACCGCGGACCAGCCGATGAGCATCATGATGCCTCTATAGTTCGAGGGTTCCTGAGCGGTTAACGCTGTAAGCTTCATAGCACTAAAGGAAAACTCACGCTGAGATTGGCTTGGCCGAGAACCATTGCACCGGCTTGTATAAGCATATCGACGATTTTGGCGTTTCTGGTGGGCCTCGAATCGAAAAGTGCTAGACTGCCGGCGGTAGTCCGCATACCAAGGTCAGGATGGTTAGCGATGTTGTCCTTGACAATGATCGGAATGCCATGCAAAGGGCCTCTTAGGTGGCCGTCCTTTCGTTCCAGATCCAAAGCCTCCGCAATGGACCTCAGTTAAGGTAGTGGCCCGACGTGAATCATTGCATGGAGATAGTGATCATGCCTGGCTATTTGTCCAACGTATTCCTCAACAAGGGCAGTGCTGCCGATCCTGCCTTCTTGCAAGAGGGTCTGTAGATACTCGGTGTCTGCCGTGAGAGGGTTGAGAACGACCTTGGACATGATTGCAGCCCCCGGGGCGGTGGCAAACACGAAGAGATGGTTGAAAGAGGATTTAAATAACAGCAGGACGCTAATGCCAATCAGGCATGAGAGAATGAGTTGACGATGCAAGTGCATTAAAGAGCGACTGTCTCTGCGTCCACGGGTGTGGAGTTCAGTGCGAAGGTGTTGCCGGATATAGTTACTACTTCACGTAACCTAGTAATGTATATATATAGCTATATTTCTCGTAACGTACTTTATAAGCGAACGTGTTACACAAGCGAACGTGTCACCTTCTCTTGGCAACGAAAATTAGCAAAAATTAACCTGTTTTTCTTAAATAACTAAGCGAAACCTTAATACTTTTCTATAAAAATTTATATATATATTCTCTATAGTATATTACACCTTATAATAAAGTTACACTAAGATATATTACGTAATTAAAAAGCTATACGTATTTAAGTAACTTTTAAGAAAAAATCTAGTTTACTTCTAGTAAGTACTATTATATCTCTATAATAATATATAAAACTTATAGTATATAGTATTTATAACGTAATAAAGGTTTCTAGAAAACTTCTATACTGCTAGCTCTTCTAGGTATAGCGTAATAAGAGATAGAAGTTAGAAAAATATCTTCTTTAGAGTTTTCTCTTCTAACTATATATATATATAGTTAATCTAGCTATATAAACTTGTAATTTTATAAATTATAGTATACTTAAACTATGTAGAGCTTATTAACTAATAATATAGTAGCTTTAAGTAGTTATTTAAAAGTAAAGCCTTTTTATAGTATAGTAGAAAAAGATAGAACTATACTAAAATTATCTTAAAATTATTACTTCTAAATATCTAGAAATCTTATAATATATATAAGCTTATAATATATAACTTTATATAGCTAGATTATTAATATCTATATATAGTTAGAGAAGAAAACTCTAGAAAGATTTTTTTAAAATTCTATCTCTTATTACGCTATACCTAGAAGGGCTAGCAGTATAGAAGTTTTCTAGAAACCTTTATTACGTTATAAATACTATATACTATAAGTTTTATATATTATTATAGAGATATAATAGTACTTACTAGAAGAAAACTAGATTTTTTCTTAAAAGTTACTTAAATACGTATAGCTTTTTAATTACGTAATATATCTTAGTGCAACTTTACTATAAGGTGTAATATACTATAGAGAATATATATATAAATTTTTATAGAAAAATATTAAGGTTTCGCTTAGTTATTTAAGAAAAACAGGTTAATTTTTGTTAATTTTCGTTGCTAAGAGAAGGTAACACGTTCGCTTGTGTAACACGTTCGCTTATAAAGTACGTTATTCTTAATTAATTAACTTATGTCTTAATACTCTATAATTTATCTAATAGTTATAGGTCTAGATTTACCTACTACTATAAATTAAACCTATTAAGTTTATTTAATATAATTAGATAATAGAGTTACTAACTTATATATCTTATTATTACTAATAGATTCTAGAGTTACTCTAGAAATATACTATATATAATTAAATTCGCTTTATATACTATAATTTCTATAATAGAGAATACTATTATAGTTATTAAGATTCTTAGTATACTATAGAATTAGCTATACTAGAAGTTTCTTATAAAGAAGAAAGCTATCTAGTATAGAGTATAATAGTCTAGCTTAGTATTTACTAGAGTTATATAACCTTATCTAGTATCTTAGTACTTAGCTTTCTATATATAGAGAGCTCTATAAAAGCTAGCTTTATAGTCTTTACTACTATAAGCGTTCTAGAATACCTAGCTAAATAAGTTAGCTATAGATAGTACTATCTCTATAAGCTATAAGAATAGAGACGCTAGTAGAGTAGGTTAGATTAAATTTAGCTATCTAAAGGTAAGAAGTAGAAGAATACTCTAAGAGCTCTCTATATATAGAGGTGCTAAGCGCTAAGACGCTAGACTAGGTTACGTAACAAGGTTACGTAATCTAAGATTATATAACTAAGGTAAATCTCTAAACTAGACTATTATATTACTCTCTCTTATAGAGAGAGCTTATCTCTAAGCTTTAAAATACGCCTCTAAGGTTTCTCTTCTTCTAAAACTTCTATATTATACTCTTAACTATCTCTTTTAGCTTAGTTTTAAACTAGAAGCGCTTTTATAGCTACTACCTTCTACCTAATTACTCTATTCTCTATAGAGCTCTACTCTAATATAAAATTTACTAGAGAGAAAGAGGCTTATAGAGATTTAAACTAGAAGGCTTATTTATATGTTTATAGAGTAGCTTTATTATAGACTCTCTTCTTAAATAATACTATAAGCTTAGTAGAGTCTTAAATTACTTAGTAGCGTCTTTATATTACTTTTATATCTTCTACTCTTATAGATTTTAAATTCTCTACTATCTTCTTTAGAGTTTTCTCTTTTTTATACGTCTTAATCTAAGTATCTAATTATAATAGTAGCTCTAGCTTATCTAGATATACTATATAAAAGTTTCTTATTTTATAAAGAGTATTAATAAAGTCTATAGTATTATACTAGATAGAGTTAGAGTTATAAGTAACTTATATAGTATAGTATTAAAAGTAATTTTAATAAAGATAGCTATCTAGAATTTTATATATATACTATTCTAGATTACTATTAACTTTAATAGATAGCTACTTAGGTTCTATCTACTCTAGTAATAGCTCTAAAGCTTTTCTTAGCTAATTAGTATAAAAGATATTATATATACGTATATATATAAATAGCTAGAGCTAGAAAAAGTAACTCTTTATAGTAATAATTAAGTAAAAGCTATATATCTATTAATTAAGCTTTATACTAGGCTAATTTATTAAAAAGCTATAAGGTTTAATATAGACAAGGTTACCTATAGTAAAATTAAGTTCTTAGCGCTTTTTATTTACTTAGAATGTCTATCTAGCTTACGCTTTTATAATATTACTTTATATAATTTTAGTAGCTTTTTTTATAGTATTATATTACTTTTTAGTAAAATTCTAAGCTTTCTAGCGTAAGAGACGCTTATATAAAGTAGAGACTTTTATTATATACTTTTTCTAATTCTAGTAGTATATTAGCTAGTATTTAAATTTAATTTTATACGCTATTAATTCTATAGTTTTATAGAGTAATATAGCTTATACCTAGTCTATATAGAGTAGAAGGTTTAACTAATTATTCTAGTAGTAGTTAATAAATAAATATAAATACTAATTAAGGTATTAATTAATAATCTTTATATTTCTATTAGTTTATAAGTAGTATATAGTAGAGAGCTTCTACTTAATTTCTATAAGCTAGTAGAGCTTATCTATAAAGGTAAAGGTAAACTATAGACTATAATCTAATATAATAGACCTAGAAGAACTATATATACACTAGATATATTAGTAATATAGCTTTACTATATATTAAGCTATAATTTTCTTATAATAGAGTAGAGAGAAACTTTACTTACTTAGCTAATCTATAATAACGTATATATAGTTAAATTCTTTCTTATTAAAAAGAAAACTCTTAAAATCTATAAAGATAGTCTACTATACTCTCTTAGAAATAGATAGAAGCTTTAGAAAACCTAGCGTTTTATTACGTAGAGTATAGCTTTACTAGTAAGCCTTATATACTACTATATATATATTAACGTCTTCTTATATATCTAGCTAGTAATATTAATCTTATAGTAACTAGGTAGTCTTTTAGCGCTCTAGATAGGTAGTTATCTAAGTAGTATATATAGCGTATATTAAATACGTTTATAGATAGTTAATAGTAGAGACTATTAATTAATTCTAATATATTAGTAAGCTAGCTTCTATTTTCTAGGTAGAGCCTAATATAATAGCTTTTTCTTAAGCTAGCTATAGAAATTTATCTAATTAATTAGTAGTAATAACCTAGTTAATTATAGTATAGAGATTCTCTATAGAAGGTACCTTTATAAAGGTATTAGTAGACGTAATTTCTATAACGCTACTTGCTAGCCTCTTAGTAGCTAGAGTAGCTAGCTTACCTAAAATTTACTTAATAGTTATAATAGTCTAGTTTAGAGATTTACCTTAGATTACATAACCTCGAGTTACGTAATCTTATTACGTAACCTAACCTAGCGCCTTAGCGCTTAGCACCTTTGTATATAGAGCCTCTTAGAGCCTTTTCTTAACTTCTTACCTTTAGATAGCTAAATTTAACCTAACCTACTCTACTAGCACCTCTTATTCTTATAGCTTGTAGAGATAGTACTACCTACAGCTAACTTACCTAGCTAGGTGTTTAGGAACGCTTATAGTAGTAGAGACCGCAAACCTAGCCCTTATATTATCTAAAGATCTATACCTCTTTAGCTAGAGACGGTAGCATAATATCTAGCTAAACTAAGTAGCCTTGTTAAGAAGCGTTTACTAATAGCTAATACTAAGAATTAGAGCTATAAGAGCCTAGTTGCTTACTCTAAGAATCTATTAACGTACTAATTAATCGCTTACCCCTTAGCGCTATATAAGACTACTAGCAGATCTAGTTAGTAGTAGAAAGATACTAGTACTAAGCTAAAGAGAGCTATTAAGAGCTCTATGTATAGAAGAACTTCTATAGAACTTCTACGTACGAAAACCTTCTCTTTTTACAAATTATAAAAAATAGACAATTCTCTACCCTGCTAGCAGAGCTAACAATTCTCTATACTGCTAGTAGAACTAACAACCTGCTACTCTACTAGTAGCTAAATACCTCCCCTCTTTACTTCTTTCTTAATTAAAAAGCTAAATAAATCTAAACACTATAGAAGAACCTTCGCGAAGCTAATCTAGAGGTAGAACCTTAGCCCTATAATACCTCTTTACTCTAATAGTTCTTAAATCTAGAGCAGCGAACCTGCTAGTAGAATATACTAATTAATATTTCTATTA